TAACCGAAGTAGCCGCAGAACTCGCCGCACTGATTCGGAGGCTCGAAGAAATAGCTCGTGGACTAGATCCGAGCTCGACGCATGGGATGCTCTAGACGATCCAGGAAATTACGACGAGGCGGACCCCTACTACCGACCTGACGAAGGGGGCGGGGATTATCAAGGACCCTTTGATTATTAAACGGACTAACAACAGGGCATAGGGAGAAGAAAGGGGGTAAGGAAGTTGAGGAACTCCTTCCCTTGAAAAAAAAAATCACATCCGAAACGATGTAAAACTACAGTCGTCCGCAACGACGTAAAACTAGGATCGTCCCTCAAGACGTTAAACTGTACGACCTCGTCCGAAAGAGACGTTAAACTACCGCGCGTCCGGAATGACGTCTAAACTATCGGACCTGCATGTCTTAAAACTGTGAAAAGACAAGAAGGCAGGGGAAGTACCTGACCATTAGTCCTAGGTTCAAATGATGGTACGAATCAAGGACAACAGCGGGCATAATTCCACATACGACCTACGGCGGAATCCTTTCACATCCTCGCTGTCAAGGAGTTAATCTGACAGATGCATCGAGCGTCCCATTTGGATCCTCAGTTTTACAGGGTTTTTTCCGCATTAGGGAACCCTCTACATGACATATACTCTACTCGTAGGTGTCGACAAGCAGGCCCTTCGCCTTGGTACAGCGAAGTGCCCATACATAACCGGTTGCAAGTCCGAGTCAAGAAATTATGATGCATAACTCGTATCGTGAACCCTCACAGTCAAGGTCTGACTGGTGTTTTGGGACGTCCCACTTTGGATCTCCCGTTTTACAGGATCGTTTCCGCATTAGGGGATCCTACAGCTGGCGCATGAGATGATGTAGAGAGCGGGCCGCCTCTACCTCACAAGTCTTCCTAATGATGCGAGGCCACAAAATCACATCCGGAACGATGTAAAACTACCAAAGGCTTGGTCCGCAATGACTATAAACTATTAGGGTCCGCAATGACGTTAAACTAGTCTTCGTCTGAAACGACGGAAAACTATCCAGCATCCGAAACGACGGAAAACTACCACCGTCCGAGATGACGTTAAACTACCATTGACCAAAGGAGCGTGGTTGCATTCTGGCGAAGCGCGGAAGGACTCGCGTCACAGAACCCTGCCTATAAAAGGTCGAAGCGCTTCCGATATTCACTCGCTTTTCGGTAAAAGAATATCGGGTCGTCTTGGTTCAATTCCAAGCGAGGGGTCTGGGGACATGGAAGAGCAAGCATCTCTTCATGGAGCGCTCAGTCTAGTCCTGGAGTCGAAGTACAAGAAATTCCGCTCCAAGACCTAGTCAGGAGGCAACTAGGACACGTGCCTCGAGTCAAAGATCTAGTAGGAAGGGACTAGATCACGCGACTCTCGTCTGGCCCACATAGCGGAAGAACGACAAAGAGCGGGCCACTCATCCAAAGTCTATTCCGCAACGCTCGTCCGCGACGACGATAAACTACAATGCGTCCGGGATGACGTTAAACTAAGCATTGTTTTTCCACAATATTTGTGGCGAAACAACGTCCGCGATGACGCTAAACTATTGTCCCTTTCCACACAGGGATTGTTCGAGGCCAATGGTATCGACGTCCGCAACGACGGTAAACTACGGGCATCCGGAATGATGTAAAACTACTGTCCCTTCGTTCTAGGGATTGTGCGTGGCGATCTTGACAAGATACCATGCGTCCGCGACGACGTTAAACTAGTGCCCCTGGACCTAGGGGTTGTCATTGATGTCTTTGTCCCTAAGACACCAATGCGTCCGCAATGACGGTAAACTATTTGCTCCTTACCGAATAGGAGTTGTGGATTGACCGCCATGGTGTCAATCGGTCCGCAATGACACTAAACTACGTGCTCCTTACCGCATAGGAGTTGTGATTCATCACTCTGGTGCTGAATCGTCCGCAACGACGTTAAACTACTTGTCCCTTCTTCCTTTACAGGGATCATCATCAACGTCGTCCTTGACGAGAACGACGCTGATAACGTCCGAGATGACGTTAAACTACCCTCATCCTCGGAGGAAAAGCCTATCGTGACTCGAGGGACATAGTCAGACGATAGCCCGCCTATCGCACGGCGTTAAACTGCAAGTCGCCTAATGCACGGCGTTAAACTGCAGGCCCGCCTACCTCACGGCGTTAAACTGAGCGGTCTCACAACAATGAGGCGTTACAAGTTACCCGGTTTGATATAGTATAAACTGTCCATCATGCCTCAGTGGAATCTGGAGCGGGAAAAGTCTGGTCTATGGCCCTATGCACATAACCGATGAATGGTCCGGCGTGCAGAAACATCTCTCCCCACAGAAATTCCATGTTGATGATGAAGCAGGTCCGAAACGACCTAGAAAGTAAACTACTGGGAGGCGCAAAACGCCTTAATGACGTCCGCAAAAGACGTTAAACTACGGATCGTCCGAAACGACGATAAACTACGGACCGTCCCGCATGACGTTTTAAACTGCCAGTCGTGGATATATCTCGCACCCCGACCAATATATCAGCTGTGGTCTTGATGTCTACTCGTGCAAGCGAACGGACAGACTTGGGAAAGGAGTCAGACTCCTCCTTATTCCTCGCTGCACCCTTCAAGTCTAATTCTCTTCACATCCTTGCCTCGAACCCAACACTACACGTGGTATTCCCCACCATAGGCCCACGTTTGTGAAAAACAAACTCTGGACGCCGTAAACTGCCTCACCGGAGATGAGTCCACCGTATGGGGACAATACTGCTTGGGATTTGGCTGCAACCTCACCGGAGATGAGCTCACCGTATGGGAGCGATACTGCTTGGGGCGTCATGACTGGTAGCCTGGAGAAGTAGGCCTAAGCCTTCGTAAAGCGATCAACCTACTTGTCCATGGGCGCCATCCACTGTCGTCGAGAGGAACAACAAATCATGAGGATAGACGACTATCCTGGAAACACTGAGGTTTGGCCCTCGGAGAAGGAAGAAGAAGAACCTGATGACACGAATTAGAACCCACACGCTCGAATTTCTACACATCCACACACCACTCGCATTCATACACCTTTCTTGCTACCGTTCCAGAAGAGGCTGGAGTAAGACCATGACGCATTTTCCCATGGCAAAATAATCCTTATGGGTGAAGGAACAACATCCTACCGAGCGGAGGCTTGGAACCCTCGCGCCTCGACAACAAACAAACAGCTCAATGGAGATGGAAAACTCCTAGAGGATCAAACGACGTAAGTCGGTCTTCCTCCCAGAAAACGAAGTCATGTCTCGGAAGTCGCATCCGGAGACCATCGTTGGATCAAGAAAGCAAATCGTATATGGAGTGGCGATGACACGCAAGGCGTGGTCCTACCAGGCGAATAGGATGTAGAAAGGGGGTATTGTTATGATCACGTTCTATCGGGCCTACACGGCGGTCTATTCCGATACGATCATCACAAATATCACGCGGCCTCACAGGTTGAGGCGTACGCCAAGGTACAGATATTAACCTTGGTCATCCACTCCCAATGGATCATCAATCATTGGTCGAGTATCACGGGCCTATTGTATTAGCGGGCATGGAACGCCGCCTTATAAATTACTCACACGCAGGGCATGAACCTCCTAGTCTCTCCTGGCCGGAAGGAGACCAACGGAGAAGCACAAGAGTAGTCGTTATTGAGAGAGACGACTTAGAGAATACCTACAAATACATATTCGGTATTCTCACGCCCTCCTTCCCAAAGTAGTATAAAAGGCCCATAGAATAGGCTGACGATCTTCAGTCTATTCTCTTCGTTCTGGTGCTGTCTTCCTACAGTACCCTTCGTTCCCCTGTATCTTCACATACAGGGACCTACGCTCGTACTGTCTTCCTACAGTACCCTTCATTGCTATACCGCAATACACTTCTGGCTCCTGTGCTACACGTACAGTCGAGACCACCATTCCACACATCCTCCACGAGCGACCTAGGGAAGAACCTCCTACTCTTGGGGTTACCGACGAGCAGTCGTAACAAGATCCAAACCTATGGCCATCCAATTCAACAGAATCATCAGGCGAATTAACCACCCATTTTGCTGCAGTCATTGACCCATGGCGTGTCTCATGGAGGTTTTGAGAGTGTCCTATGGCTCCGGTTCAATTAGGCGCCGGTGATCACAATACTTTACTCACCAATTGGTAAGGTACAAAAATATTCGCATTGACTGCACCTTTCCTCACAGAAATGGAAAGGCTTCTCGTCTGCATTGTGCTTGTGCACGCCTGTATGGGAGGTTGATCCAGGCAAGATGGGGATCGTGCAAGCAAGGCGACGCGAGACTTGTGTGTACTGCGTAGGGATTTGATAGGGGAACTGCGCGTTAGATTTTCAGGCGTAACCAAACCTTGGTGAACTGAAAGCTTTCATGTACCCCGCTGAAATCAGCTACGATCTCAGAGGGCTGCATTTCGATGTAGCAGATACCCGGGAGCTCGCAAAGATGTGGACACGTGTGATTTTGCCTATAGAGAGTGAGTGTATTGTCGACACATTCATGGAATGAGAGCTAGCTACCCGCAGAGATGGGTCACACCGCTATCTAATCCATGGAAATGGTTAAGCGCACTGCACGAACGACCACATCTACATACAAATAAGGCTCAGATCACAACTATGCAATTATGGAAATATAGACAAGAAACCCACAATTCGCATACGATAGGGCACGACTGTACTTTCTCGCAGGCATGGTCTTCGTGTGGCACATCCCATGGCATCGTGCATAGGCCTCTGCATGTATACAGTGAACCAGACGCGGTAGGTGCATTCTGTAATACACAAGGCTAGAGGAACTTTCAATTACTGTCCTCAATAATCACAGTATACTGATCTTACCCTTCCACACAAATGCGTGCGGGCAGAACACATGTGCATAGACTGTAAATGGTCTATCGGCTAAGGGCATAGTTAGGTTGATTAGTTGATCACCTCGTTCTACTGACCATTGTCACGCCTACCAGATTGCAACTATGCATACACCCACGTTTCCCTTCCAGAGAACAGGGTTTTCCACACGAGTGAGCGCTAATTTCACACCTGTATAGAGATATTAGTTTTAACGAGTAATCCTCGGATCGCACGATACAGACATATGTTGCCCTGCGTGCCCAGCGCTGTACGAGGCGAGATGAGAGATCATAGATAATTCACAATGGTGATATGCCACTCACGGTAATCCACAATCTTTTGGGGCGGAATGCTCCTCAACGATCTCGCATTGGCGCCAGCACCTATGTAATGTACCACATGCATGATCTAATGGATGATTCTTTGGACGAATGCACAAGAGACTGCAATCTGCACATTCGATACCGCACACCTGCGCCGAAGCAGAGACGTCAAGATATGCGACATCTGCTGCACGATACAGAAGCTGAATGTCATTGTTATCCCGGAAACACGTGGTATTGGCCGTTATCCAGTCACGGACGTGCTGGATTCGGGCCTCGAGTAGCTCTGAGAGGCGATGCTTGAGTGCGTTGATCCAATCAGTTTCTGGGGAAGAGAATCGACCTGGAATATGCTCTTGGCATTCGTCTATCAAGGACTGCAAGATGGCCTCTCGAGATTGCCAATTCGATTCTTGATCCACTGAAGGGTCGGGAACAAAGAAGAGTACGCCAGAATCATGACTCTTGATGGGGGTGTCTGAGTCAATATCCTTATAAATCTATCAGCCAGCCATCATTGAGCTTGAGCAGCACAGACAGTCATTCACCTTCAATGATTTGCAGTCGGGCTCTAGTGTCGACAAGCCGCGAGAGAGAGCTATCGGAAGCAATGATGTCAAAACACGCGTACAATGTGATGCTAGGTTCTCTACAGTTTCCCAGAGTGAATCATGGTTAAACGAAATTGGTTCCCCATATTAAGCACTCATGGTCTAAAGCACCCCAATCGTTGGCCTGCACGTATTGTTAGCATAAAGAACAGGCGTGATTTGTCAAAACCCAACCTTGAGCTTGGCCATCAACGTCTTAAGAGTGTGTAAGAAGACACCTGCGCTACTATGGGATACATGCTGTTGCTCGAGTTGCTTTTTAAGTTGCCCAAACAGACTGTAAAAGCGGGGGCTGTTGATCACCGGCCTATTTCTTGCTATCAATGACAGAGCACATCATGCAGAAACGGAACTGACCATGGAACGATGTTGATTCTGCCACGGTGCAAGCGAGAGATGAAATTCTCTTCCTTTTCATCTTCGACAATCTTCTGAAATTTCAGACTGAATCTAGAAGTCAATAGCCACGCATGTCGTAAGTTGATTTGTTTGAAGGTTGAATGACCTGTCACAAACTTGTTGACAATTTCTCGTGCATCAGAATCAACAACATCGCGTATAATGATGCAGAGAGTTCCGTTGAAGATTCCTGGATTAGATGCCGGATCCAGGATAGATGAAGATGATTGGAAGCTCTAAAACATAGTTGAGAAAAAGAAGCGACAAAAGCAGACCATAAACGCACTGTAAAGAGCCCGGCGATGTCTCGGGAGAGAGCAAAATTATTACGGAACAACACCTACAGGTAGTGAGCATCGTCAGACTTTGTAATCATAGGGATTTCTTTCACTAGATTAGAGATTGCGGTGTTGAAGAGAACCTGAAGGAGCTCGCTTCAATTTTATCAAGGAGCAAATAATATAGCACACCAGCAATGCGTCCTCTTGAGGGCTCCTTTCAATTGAGTGCACCCCTAGAATGCCCACAGTCTAAGTGTAATCATTACAGTTGAATTGGATACAATTTACCTTTGAAGTCGAGAGCTACAACGAGAGCACTGTGAGTCGGAGTCACAGACATCCACACACCTTCGGTCTGATTCACATTATATATCCATCACTCCTGCGTACAATTTAGAAGAAACTGACCGTTCGCATCGCTGACCCAGCAAACGATGTATCCACGAAATGATTCAAAGCATAGCTCTTTCCGACAGATTGTTCGCCTAAAACCCATGATGCAGTGGTGAGGCTTGGGGGTGTGAGTAGAGACAAAAAGAGACTGACCCATCGAGCTGACCACTCGAACCGGCTACGACACCCATCAGCCTGTTAGCTTTCGAGTAGACATGAGATCATGATGGGCTCTTGCCTTCGAGACCATATATGATTGAAACAGTGACTCATACCATCCTAGACTCAGCGAATCGACAATCTGTCCGACATCTGCACCGAGCAATTCTCATTCGTACTCCGGACTCCATATTCCGTCCTTCAATGGGATAAATCTGTTCTGGCGAGTGACAGCGATGATACGCTGGTGATGCCTCTGAGTGCGAAACACACCCAAGAAACACCCCTACAAGCGCAGGTAGGCAGGAGCTAGTTCTAGTGTGCAAGGAACTATAAGCTGTGCAACAACCAACAAGGGAGCGTACTAAAAGTGTTCGGAGTGTAGTGAACAAACAACTCCAAAATCGAAGTATTCAGTCGGTCAGTCAGTCGGTAGGTCGGTCAGTCAGTCGGTCAGTCGGTAGGTCGGTCGGTAGGTCAGTAAGCCGGTAGGTTGGTAGGTCGGTCGGTAGGTCGGTCGGTCGGTCGGTCGGTCGGTAGGTCGGTCGGTCGGTCGGTCGGTCGGTCGATGTTTGATCGGGATTTGATCGGGATGCAAAGGGAAGGGAATGGGTGCAAGGCCACACTGGACCCTGGCAGAGGATGACAAACTAGATGAGAGGGAGAGAGCAAGACGACGAGGGCTCTGGCGGAGGGCTGTGATTGAACGCAACAACACAAACAAAAGGGCAAAATGCGAACAAGGATTGGAAGGCAATGGCTCAAAGTCTCATGGACACAAGTGCACAAATGGAATCGGAACAAGGGGGGAGCCAAAGCTGGTGTATTGCAAAGCCATAGGTGCCCTTTTATAGTAAGTCCGAACAGGTACAAGATAAGGAGATCGGCAGAGGCATAGAGCAATCGGAAATGTGTGCTAAGAGTGATCAAAGGTAAAGAAGATAAGGGAGTGATGTTGCAAACACTATAAGATAAGAAGCAATAACTCTAAAGTCTAAATAAGTGGAGAGATTGCCAAGGTGAGTCCACATGGACCTGGAGATAAGAACCACATGCCACATGGGTAAACCATTTAGAAACTTGGGAGCTCTGAAGATAACAAAGGATAGGTCAACAGAAGGCATAAGGACGATAAGAGATAGAAAGACAGATCCGTTCTGAGTCAACAAAGTGTTCGGCTGCCTCCGATTCGGGACACCGAAGCCGACCGAATGTGCCGACCATGTGAAGTGTACCGAACCGATCGGCGATCGGCCGCGACAGTCTGTGGGGAGCCCCTACTGCTGAGAGTGATGATAGATGGATAGGATGACTGTGAACAGCTCCGAACGACTGTGCGGAGGTCTAAATGGAAAGTCGGCACCTGACAAATGGCTGAGATCGCCGAACGGATCGGGATCGGTCGGTCCTAAGTATGCCGAACGGTCAAAGAATACTGAAAAGCTGCGAAAAGTGGGGTATTGGTGCCTAGAGCATACCCATGCTCATCAGCGAGATGCAGCGGAATCAGGCACAGTAGCTCGACGACCCATTCTCCAGCAGAGTAAAGGGAGACCGACATGTCCTCACAAACCGAATGTACATCGAGGGTGGCAGACACTTTGATATCTGAGAGCCAGGCGCCGGATGGTTTGTGAACGCGACTCTGCAGTGAGCCGACAAGTTTTTCGTAGTATGCAGCAACAGGAGCCGTGTGACCATCAGTCAAGAATGTGAGTGATCGCCTGCAGCGCCTAGAAAAACTGATGTTCTCCCTCTGGATAGCAGCTTGGACAGGGAATCGAGTCCAAACGTCTAAGTGGCAGTCAAGTAGGCAATTGTCAGTAGTTTCCGACTGGTCGGTTTCCGCAACGCCATGCCCAAGTTGCTTGAACTGATACTCGCTAGATTTTCTTTGAATTTGTAAGACTACCGAATGGATGCTGCGCGAGGATTCTGACAAGCCAACCAAGTGAACAGCAGAACGAGGACCTAAGCTTGTGACACCGAATGACACATGTATGGGCATCGACGAAAGAAGGATACGAATACCATCCTGATTGGAACCGAAAGAAGACCAGTGATAGGCTGCCAATGTAGACGTTCCGTCGTCGCCGGTTGTCACCGCAAGAAGGCAGGACCCATCAGGTGTGGAAAAATGGCTAGCTGCTGCAGTGTCTAATTGCAAACTTGCAGGTCTATCTCCCAGTCAGAACAAACCTTCACGGACAGAAAATCGGCACTGCAAAAGCCTACCGGAATTGCTCTGTAATCAAAGAAAAAACGCGTGCCCGTCCAGAGCGCTCAATGAGACAGAGCTCTTCGGTTCCAGCAATAAAAAGAAGTGAGCGCAGATGTGGCATCCCTTCGTACCATCGCAGAAGCTGAATTGGAGAGCCACGAGCACTCAGCGAAGTGAATTGTTTGTCGAACACAAATATTTGAACTTGCAACTGAGCTTCGTGACTCTGTGGAAGAGCGAATATGAACAATAGAGCAGGCTCAACATTATAATCTTATCATTTACCAGTGTCACACCACATAGGGCCAATAGCCGCCTCCCTTCATCAAATGCCGTAACAAAATCCTTGGACAGCTTAGAGAAATATATCTTCTTTTTGGTTTGATCGCGAGTAATCGCCCTATTGAGGTTCACGAGATCCTCAACGTAGAAAGAACAGTAATCTTCGCAGTCCACTGCAACGAGATATAAGTTACTTCCGATCCTCTGGATGTGCCTGTTCTGGTCTGTGATTAATGCAGAGACAATTGAAAATACAAACAGCAAACCTGAGTTTCTGATTCAACGGTAATAAAAATACCTGCGCATAATGGCCTTGTACACGAGGGATAGGAATGTGATTGGTATCAAGGCGTAATGATTGCTCATCCGCTTGAGTGAGACTGAAAGGAAACACCTTGTACTGGATTCGGGGTGTTTCTTGAATGACGCGCCAACCACAGACTCTCACGCTTTGTGCTACATATCGTGTCAATTGACATGATATTCAGAATAATCATGCAACCTGCGGAAAGACACACCATAAGAATGCTTCTGCATCTCCATCGATTCCAAATGGAATACAGTCGAGCTACTAGGACGGGAATATGAGCGCAGAGTGATCCAAAGTACCGCTATAAATACCTTGTTGGGTCGCCCGCGAGCTCGGCTTGGACATCCTCGATGAATCTGGTCTGAAACCTAGAGAGTTCTTTCCCTTGACGTGAAGCGATTGGAGCGAGCGCATCGTCAAGACGCGAGCTCGCTAGAGAGCGCGCGGCATCCTTAGCGGCCTTGCCAATCAGTTCTTCCATAATTTGAGCGATGCCTTCTCGCACTACTGCTAACGTCGGGATGCTTTTTTCCTCGCTTGAGAGCCACTCTAGGAAGGTCGTGTCACTCATAGCCTGGGCTTCGGCCTTTGCAACCGCAACCTGGTCTGTCTGCCAGCCAAAAGCAGATTTCCACCAGGAGAGTTGGATTCCTCTCTCTCGCAGAACGGGAGCGTCGCCTCCATAATCGAGGATATCTCAAATGATCCGCATCTTGTCTTTTTCTTCAAAATGCGCTTTTGCGAGGATATTCCTAGCTAGGACGCTGCGATACTTTAACTTTTCAACTTGCCTGGATTTCGAAAGCTTCAGATGGGACGCTGTAATCGCCTGCAAATTCTTAACCAGCCAGTCTTCAAACATGTTAGCATGGTGCGACTTGATGCTTAAAAGGTGGCCTACCGGCGACTAAAGCATCGTGAACTTGGGTAGGGTTCTCAGCTATGGCTAATGGGATGGTTCTGGTAAAATGAAATTAACAAGGTAACTACATCTCGAGTATTTGTTCAAAAAATGAGGCTTACGGATACGTGTGTAACACCTCCCTTCGCAACGCTACGGTGATAGCGGAGAGACAATCTTCCTCATAGGCCCTTAGGCCCTTGTGAACCTTCCTGCGTTCTTCGGTCGCAACACACCTTTGAGCTTCCTTCAGTTCTCGACGGCGGCACTTAAACTGTTCGCAGATTGCCGGAAACCTTTGTCGCAAGCCATTGTCAAGTAGGAACGAGAGAGTCTCTTCATCCAATGAGCTTGGGAGGTGGATTGAAGAAGTGCGGTCCCTACAGATGACGAAATTTTAGTGTCAAGGCACATATGACGTATACCAAAGATAACGAACTTTATGAAAGCCGTCAAACTCATTGCATACATAGCCTCGTTCAAGTACTCTTTACGTTCTTTTGCCGAGACATAAGTTGAGGTCATGAAACCGCACGCCGTCTCCCCAGCCATTACTGAAGCCCCAAGCTTGTGGTCCGCAAGATAAGCAAGAAGCGTGGGGTCGTTGGAAAAGGTGACGTCCGTTAAAAAGACCTTGTGAAATCCAGTAAGTGATTACGAAGCCGAAGAAAACCAAAGGGTGAAAAACCTTGAATCCATCCCTAGATGTAACGCTCTCCGTCTCATCGCAAGTCTGAGCAACTTGGAATGCGAACATTCTCCCATGATCATCATCGAGCTCATCGTCTCCCGCATCCAGCGATGAGTCTTGAGCTTTCCAGTTGAATAATTTGGATTGCTCTGGTGATATAACTGCTATCGTCTGGTCTACGAGCTTTGACATGTATCTAGGAATGAGGTTAGACAAAATATTCAGCGACCTCAGAAAAATCTACCTCATGAACGTGGCACGATTCTTCGTAACGGAAGAAGTGGCACCATCCTCCCAAGTGGTCGCTTCAGGCCAGTATACGACGAACGCCTTGACTTCGTTGTTGACAAGTGCGGAAACAGGTCGGACAACAAAGTATAAGCCGGAACGGAGATCAGCGTTCTTGGAACCGGACTGATCATTATTGGATCGAAGGAGTAGATCGGCTCTATGGAAGAAAAATGAAAGTTCCTCGCGTGCGTAGATCACCTCAGGATAATACCGGCTCACCCTTGCTCATTGATAACACCGGTATTGGCAAGTAGCTTGACGATTTCGGGCCTACTCCCGTAGACGCCAACAGGTTTGATACTCGTCTGTCAAAATAGCATGAACCATTCCATTTACTCAATAGAAGATTGAATTGACCCACGAGATCGAGAGCCTTGAAGTCAATCTTAGTCATCGACGTGTAGGCTCCCGGTTGCAGTGCATTGATAAGTTGGCCAAGAGAATGTTGAGGGATGACAATTTTGTCAACTGCATCAATGTTGGTAGTTGAATTGGTCGAATGTGGTATTCGAACTTACCCAAGCCGCCGCTCCCTTGTTCCAGAATAAGATCCAAAAGTCTATACATTCCCGGAATTTGATTGAGGAGATCCGACTCATCACCACGTAAGCCATCAGTGGGAAAAGAGGGGAAATCGTGTTCAGAATTAGATCGTACTAATGACGCTTCATCGATTGAAGTAGAGTCGTATTCCTCACGAATCGGGGATCGCAGCTAGAGTATACCTGTTATAAGCTTCCCAAGCACGACAGGGATCTAATTTCTGGCACACACTGTATTGTTTTCGGAAACGACCACCTCTTCCGTGTTTGATTTGATTGAGGGTAGAAAATCTCGGTTGGACGATGAAACATCGGTTGTCTAGAGAATTATATATTGTAAGCAACGGACGACAATACAACTAGGACGGAAAAGGGGACCAGAGAGTCCTGCCAGGCTGATGTGCTCTGGATAAGAAGGGAAGCAAGTGGTGTAGCCTCGACGGAGTAGAATTCATCAAAGGTGGCGGCATCGTCGACACCATCATAATCAAGGACACCATCATAATCAAGGACACCATCATAATCAAGGACATCGACGGTCGTATCAGTGGGAGTCATAATGTGGGCTTCATTGTCAGAATCTGTGAATTTACAACATGGTTCAGCTCGTATATCACTAGAGACGATAACAGAAACGAACCACATGTGTTTTCCACCTGAAGTATGGTATCGTCAGAATCTTCAAGAATGCGGAAATCGAAATTGAGGGTGCCTCGGAGCTTTGTCGTTTTCCTGTGGCTGCTGGCAAGTGCACGGTCGTCACTTGAGCTAGTAGTTTGTGCGCGCAGTATATTCATGAGTAGGTGCTAGGATGCAAGAAAGGCAGAGGGTGGGTTTGGGGTACAGAAAGTGCGAGGCTGCCACAAGGACTGTTCTTTATAAGTGCAACGGAATCTATTTCAGAAGACGAAGCCAAGTGATAAACCATTTCCAGGTTAAAAGCCCTCAACCACGGCCTCATGTAGCCCAGAGTTGATTAAAGCATCGCGTGTTGGCCACATTGTCTCTATGAATACTTTATATGTGCTATCGAAGGAGTAGAAACTTTGCCGCGGAACGCGATGCGCAAAGGCATAAGGACCGTTCATTTCGGGCGTCGCCGCACATTCGAACTCCTACCCACAAATTTCAAAGAGCGCTACAACGATGTTTTCCCCTACCGTTTCCACCTGATATTTACTATCACTGGCCCTATGTTCGGACAAACTGGACAAAAAAAAATCCTGCCCTCTGTAGACTTCGCCTTGTACCCCCAAAATTTGCACAAACAATGCCTGCTAGACCTTTTCGAAGCCTGTATACTTTATTCTGGTGGAAATGGGGAGAAAAGTAGAAATTTGTGAACGAGACCGTTGTTCGGACAGTCTGGTCACACCGGGTCACGAATCCGCATTGCACAGCCGAAGCGGCCGCCTCTAATTTTAGACTCCGACACTTGCACCTGTGTTCGGACGAGGATCACAGTGCACACATGATCATGAATTCAAGGAGGGACATTATGTTTCTTCCCAGCCTTGCAAAGGCTAAGGCTGTCATTTCCTAGTTCTTTGACGGCTACTTGGGGTTGCTCCTCAGTGTGCTAGATTTGAGGTTTATGCTTGTTGCCACCCTGCAGGGTTGGTGTGGAGAACAGTTGTGAGACAAGGGTGTCACCTCGGGTAAACACAGAAGTGGGGGGAAGTTTGTGACTTAGGAGGCTGTAGGTTCAGTATAGTCTGTGGCACGGTTGAGGAGGGGAGACAGTGGGGACAATGTTCGGACACGACTTGTTGCTGGTAGAACTATGTGCGGAGAACGAATTTGCACTCCCCTTTTTCGATGCTCCGTGTCCGAATGTCATGCTTGATACCTTGTATTTTCATACGAGTGCAACAACACACCATGCATTTTCTTCACATACCGGAACCAATATATATGGGCTACACTAGACTACATAAAAAAAATTGGATCATCAGGATCCTTCCTCGCGTGCTCCGACTCATCCGAGGCGTGACATTGGGCTTGCAAAGGCACATTTTCAACATTTAGGAACGTAAATCACCTTTAAAAAATCTCAAAGTTTCAGAAACCAAGTCTACACTATTTAACATGATTTATGGTCAAAATATTGAGGTTGATATGTCGAGTAATGAGCGAGAAACATAGACTGTCCGAACATCGGTACTGTCCGAACATCGGTACTGTCCGAACATAGGGCCAGTGATAGTACTGCCTAAAACCACTCTCATGGTCATCTAGAATAGTCTGACGGCGTCATCAAGGTTCAGTAACTCATCTCTCCTGCACCTGCCTGCATCAATCTAACCCGCAATACTAATGTCAATAATAGGAGAACGGCGAAAGCCTGACCTGTCAGAGCGTAGACTCCGCCGCAATTCTAATCTTTTCTCAGCATGCATCAACCCGCAGTGACATGCCAACATGGCACAGAGCCTAAATATATGCAATCGGGTTCACTGAAATGTGTAGGGAGAAGATGGCTTGTAATGAAATCTAGACCCATCGTTTCCTTAATCTCCCTCCCGCCTTCGCGGTCTGCTGAGAGTTCTGCATGATGTTCTGTCTGTCTGCTCTTCCTAGTCACAGCTACATTTGAGTGGATTTGATCTGATCCATCGAAACCATGAAACTATGATATATCTAGTCAAAAATGCCGGGGCTCAAGCCCATAAGTAGGTGAGTGCAGAGTGGATGTTCTAGCGACGGACACAGATATGAAATTAGCAGGCTTGAACATTTTTTTAGGTACAGAGCAATGAATCGCTGGGAAAAGAGACGTGAACCTCAATGCAGTCAGATGCAGCCCCTGTATCAAGGCATCTATACGTGGGCTAGCTTGGCCTTGGCCTACGTAGAGACCTATCCTGATACCGTGACAGGGACAGTCGGCTTTGGCAATGAACCTTAAAAGAGGCGCACTGGAGTCCATGTACCACAAGCATGTAAACTCAATGATGAACTTGATGCTCTGTGCTGATATGTACCTCGACATGCTCTCATTGTATGGTCACAAGACTCTTAGACCCTCCCAGACACACACCCTTCTATGCCTTACCGAGCGCACATGTTGATGGCGGGCCGCTTCGCCTAACTTGAGGAGGCTTCTCTTATTTCTCTTTGCGCCCGTCCCTTATAAACTGATCATACCCCGCATATGCGGCCTTGCACCTCTGCCTCCTTCCTGCTTGGCCGCTCACCCAAGATAACACTTATCATGGGTGTAGGTGACATCTCCTTTCCACTTGATCCCGACATCCTGCTTATTGACAACCTTTCGGTTTTGTCCCGTAGTACAGCGCTAGAATTGCTGCTAACCCAGTACGACTCGACGATACCTTTGTTAGAGGCTCACTAATGAAATTCTCATCCAGTATGTGGTCGGCTCTTTTGCGTGTATAGGCGGTGGCCTTTTTGGGTTGGACATCTCGTCTATGTCTGGTGTGCTCAACGTGAGTGGTATTAGTTAGGTTAAGTCAGCAGTAAGATTGGTCCCTTATCATTGCATATTGAGCCTTCAGAACGATGCCTACCTGAAGGCTTTCAGCTCAGTGCGTGTCATTTAGCTTTGAAAATCGCGTTGTCTGCTTACCTTGGGTCAATGAAGCCCGGTCCTAATGCTCAAGGTGCAATCGTTGCCACCATGCCTGCGGGTTCGTTCGTAGGCGCGCTCGCCGTCAGTGCTCTTGCCGATAAATTCGGTCGCAAAAAGACTGTCATCCTTTCTGGTATCATCTGGGTCATCGGCTCGATTTTGCAGTGCGCTTCAATCGTAAGCATCTTCTACTCTGAGAGCTTTCCGTTGCATGACATGTGGTATTCCCACAATAGAACCGTGGTATGCTAGTCGTTGGTCGTATCATCTCGGGTATCTCTGTCGGTCTTGCGTCGGCTGTCGTTCCTGTTTATCAGTCAGAGATCACGGCTCCTCATATTAGGGGACGTCTCGTCGCCATGCAGCAATGGTCCATCACTTGGGGCATCCTCATTCAATACTTCATCCAGTTCGGCTGTTCCTATATCAACGGAGTAGCCTCGTTCCGAATCCCGTGGGGTCTCCAAATGATACCAGCCATCATCCTCTCTACGGGCATGCTGGCGTTCCCCGAATCTCCACGATGGCTCATTGATCATGGAAGGTTCGTCTTCTCATATCGAATAGACACCTGACAAGTACTACGTGCTGATAAAATAGCACAGGGAGGATGAAGCACTCCAGATCCTCGCGGATCTTCATGGTGGAGGTGATCCCAACAATGCACTCCCGCCGCACGGGGTTGAGATCCGCACGCCTTTGCTCGGCCATGCAAGCCTGCGCCCGCGGGGTCATACACCTAGCTCCCCACATGCACACGGTCTCCCTCTCTGCGCTCCACACTCCACGACGCACGACGCACGACGCACCGTCCACCGTCCACCGTCCGCCGCCCGCAGATCGCCCCAGCGCGCGACCCCTCCGTCCGCCGCACTCGCCCGCCCGCCCGCCCGCCCGCTCTAAACGCCGGTACGGCGATCGCGCGATGCTCATCCGGGGACCACGAACGGGGGGCGCACACCCGACGCGCGCGGGCCCAGGCGCGCACCGCTTGTGCAGCGCGCTCGTCGCCGTCGCCGTCGCCGCCCCCGCGCGTGGGGCCGTCGCGGGCGGACTCGCGGTCGCGCGATCGGAGCGAGTGCGAGTGCGAGGATCGGGCGGAGGCGAGGCGGGGGCTCGAGGCGGTCGCTGATGGCGCGCACCGTTGCTCAAGGATGCGTCCCTGGCGCTCGTGTGCGCCGCGTCGTCGTTTGCGCGGGCGTGTGTGCTGGTGGTAGGCGCTGAATACGGTCATGGCTGCGCCTGGCTGTACGTACTTGGCGATGTTGGATTCCATGCAGACTGCCGTCGCCGAGTAAATGCGTCGCGGCGTTTATAACTTCGTGCGGTCGAGGAGATTCCGCGCATATTCGTCCTCGACGGTCACAAGTTGATATTTAATAAAGCGTATCTTGGTCCCTCGATCGCGCGAGTCGCTCGCAGCACGCTCGCGAGCAAATACTAGGCTCAAGTGCATCGGGATACTAATAGCGAACGGTTGCTCGCCCGACTCTCTCTGTGGACCAGCCATGCTGACATCTGTGCGGATGATTCTAGTCAAGTATTCCTTCAGACTTCGATCATCCGAGACGTTCGTCGCATGCTCACATCTTGAACTCAAGAGTACAGGGCTAGAGTGTATCGAGATACCGATATCAGACGGTTGTTTACTCAACTCTCTCTATGAACCAGCTACATTAGCATTCTCACAGATAAATTCTGCAAAGCATTTCTTTGTACCTGAATTACCCAAGACATCCACTGTGTGCTTTCGGACCATGAATCTAGTGTTTGGGACATAGGGATAAAATGTATTGAGAAATCAATATCCTATAGTACTTTCTTTTTTTGGCTCCTGGACCAATTATGCTGGCAAGATATGCATAAATGATATTCATAAAAGTGTCAAGTATGAGAGACCAACCTAGACAAAAAATCAAAACTTTTACCTCAAAAACACCTATTTTTCAACAAATCTTAGCAATTTCTAACAAATACTGTTAATTTTCAACAATGCCCAACCATGATTATCACAAATTGCCATAATTAGGCACAACTCATCCACACTAATTCCATTCTAGGAAACTCACAAATTTTCAACCCCTCAAAAACTCTTTCTAGACACTCAACAATTGTCAATATTTGCCAACAATCTCCAAGTCTACAAGACAGTCCTCAATCCAATAATATCCAACAATTGCTAACAATCATCTAGGGCCATGAGTAGCATAGTATAGTGCATCCCAATATGGCTTAGAGATAAGGTACCAAGGCATAACAATATCTAACAAGATCCAAGAAACCTTAACAAGTAAATATAATATTGAGATTGGACAGGATCAAAGGGCAATTATGATAGTAGACAATTATCAACAATTGTTGGCAATAAGATCATTAATTAACACATCATGCCAATAGTGCCTAATTAATAAAAATTGCTAACAAGAGACCACTGCTAAATGTGGTGTTTATGTGAAATTTGCCACTCATTGCTGCAAAGTATTATATATTGCCAACCAGACCCTAAAAAGCTTGATTTTTGTCTGAGAAAACCCTTCATAGAAGAATCATCTAGTTAAAACTTATTAAGACCTAGTCTTCACATATAATATATTAAGAGGCTTCTGAGTCACTAAGGAAATATGCCAAATCCAAATGCATCTGAAAAAGTCACCAGTAGCTATTTTAAAGTGTAGTTTAGGGTAGATAAGGGATTTGTAAATGTATTGTAATTCCAAGTAGTGGCAAAGGTCATTTTATAGATATAGAGGTATGACTTAGTGGGGATCTAGGTGGCAATAAGTATGCTGCCTGCTAAAGTCTAGATAAAATACTGGTAGTTTCATATAGAAAAAACCTAGCCAGTGTTGATATATAACTGAGTAGTTAAAGATGATAAGAGAGGAAAGCACAAGTATGGGTTAAACCAATATTATAACAATAGTTTTATTGACAATCAAAACCTGGCCTAATGGCAAAAGTTTAGATATTGTGTCAAGGAAAGAACAGATAGTAGATAACAAAGGTAAATAAGCTAGCAAGACAGGTCTCTGGCTTGTTTTATATATACTATATACTAGATTATGGCAGGATCAAGAAAAGGTCCATAGTTTGAAAGGTAAATAAACACTTGGCCAATAAAAGAAGAAGTAAGCCAAGCTATTAAAGTATCTGTTATGATTATGCTTATCAGGCCTTTATAGCAGTCTAAGCTGATAGAACAAAACAGAACTCCTCGGCCGCGTGCGTCGCACGATTCACCCACGAGCGGGGCTCACACCTGCGCGCTTGCGAGCGCGAGCGCCCCACGCTCTGACCACGATCACCGACGACGACGCCTTCCTCCTCCTCTACGCACGTGCCCTCCACGCCTCCCCCTCCGCCTCGCATGCCATCCTCTGCTCTGCGTCGTGGCCTCCGTCCCCGTAAAACGCCTTGCTCCGCGCTTTGCAATCCGCACGACCGATGCAGATCGCACCCGGCCACATAGTGCGCGACTTCTCAACCGCGTCTGCATACCAGCCCGACCCAGATGACATCAGCGTCTCGCTCGCCACATGCGCGCCTCTCCCCGCCCTCTCCGAACCCCTCCCCACATCTGCTTCCTGCCCTCCCCCTGCGACCACCGAGCACCGAGAACTGCTCCGACGAGCCGTGCCGGTTCTTCAGCGGCGTTGCGCGCGCCGTCAACTTGGCAGCCGGGGAGCGGTCCCCGCACGGACGGACGCACATCCCATCCCGCATCTGCAGGTCGCCGCCGGTTTCAAGTCCCGAGGGAGCGGGCGTGCGCGGCTTCAACCGGGGCGCGCCTCTGTCCGTGTAGAGAGGAGCAGCTTGGCGGACGCTCGTGAGCAGCTTTTATGGGATGCGGGAAGGCCGAGAGCGCGCGCGCACGATGAGTTGCGCTTCGTACTGCACCTCGGCATGCCGTTGTCGGCGTCGACCATGCCTCCCCGCCCATCCTTTCCCGAACCCGAACAGCGCGCGATCGCGTGCTGCGTGCGGCGCGCATTGGAGCGAGTGGAAAGCCCCTGCGCGACTGCCGCGTCGACTCGCAGGACTGGCGTCGTGGACGCCGTCGTTGCGCGCGGAGCAGGCACCCTTGCGTCGGGCAGCCCTTGGCCGGAGGCTCTGCGTGATGGGCACTGTTTGGGCGCTGTGGACGAGAGGAGTCTGAGTTCGACGAGGCGCAGACGGCCGGTTTGACGGCTGCGTGTGGCCGCCTCGTGTGCCGCGTCTGAGACTGATCTGTGCATGTAAGGCGCGGAAGGTACCGGTGTGGCAGCAGCGCGGGGCTTTGTTTGATGCACGTCTGCGGGGTTTCCGCGCCTAGGCGCCGGGTGCTCAGGCGATCAAAGGATCTGAAGTAGGCAGCCCATCTATCCTCACCCCTCGCCCAAGGATGATACCATTTTTCCCGCATCTGCCGGCTCAAGCTCGAGGATTACAGAACGAGCGCGTGACTGTTGTGTGATCTTGACGGAAGGAAGATGTCAAACCGAAATGAAATACAGATTCTATCTCGCAACCTGCAGTAGAAGGTGGGTCTATGCTCTGCTGGATACGACAGCCGCTGCAGCTGAACCCGCGAAGTGCAAGATTGCTGATACTCTCGAATTTCCCATTCTCCGTTCGAGTGGACTTCAGAAGAGTGCGAGGGATGTTCAAACCTCTGAGCACAAGATCCGACGCAAGTAATATGCCCAGCCCTGCTAAGTGAGCCTTTTGCTTCTTTTCTGTTCCGCATCGGCTGCTTGATCGATATCTGATATCCTGACTGACGTCCTATGGCCGGCAGCACGGAACATGGCAGCAATCATTGATCCTGCTCTCGGCGCTGGAGGGTCATCCCTATCAAGGTTAGACAAGTACATAGACGCCTTCTTTCTTCCATAATCTCACAGTCGCAGTTGACGCTGTCATAAACAGTCTTGACACTCCGATTGCTGAACCAACCAGACCATGACAGCGACAGCTTTTATCATTACTCTGTCAAGTGACATCAAGCCTCCGGTCTCGTCCTCGGCTCTTGACTCACTGATGAACAAGCATCGCCTTCTGATTCGTCCGAGGACTCCATGATCTGATCGAACCGACATCAACCCTTGGTCATCGTCTGGGTAGATCCCCTAGCAGAAGCTGAGCTTGCTGCATCAGCCAAGGTCACCTCGTTCTTCCGTCGTCTAATAGCTCCAAGCTACTTGTGTCGAATTGCACCCTCATACTGCGAACCATGATGCACTTATTTTTTATTATTATCGCAGGCCTGGTGAGTATACTGACATGAGGTACTCTCAAATTGCTGATGACGCCGTGTTAGTCTTCGTCCGTGTACTTGCATAAGCATCCTATTCGTGGAGATGTCGCCGTCGTCGTCGAGTCCTTAGTTTTCCTTGCACTCTACGCTGTCATTGGCATCCAGCAACGACATGTCGGGTGGACAGGTTTTGCCCTCTCCTCAAAATGTGTCATGCTTCACGTCGGCTCCATCATCATGTCCACCATCGCGTACCGAACGTCCCCATTTCATCCGCTGTACAACTTTCCTGGACCGATTTTGAACAAGGTGACCAGCCTTCGGCTGCTACACATGGCATATTCGGGGCGTCGGCATTTGATCATTGCCCGTCTGCATGAAAAATATGGAAATATAGTTCGTACAGGTGCACACTCGTGTCGACACTCGCTATCGAACTGCACTGCTGATCCTAGTCTTCACTTTTTTCAAGGTCCTAACACCCTCTCAATCAATTCACAAGCCGCTATTGCACCGATATACGCCACCGCTGCGGCAATGGACCGGAGCAGTGCATACAAAATGGGAGAGCTGTCCGGCAGCAGCCTCTTCTTCTTTCAGGACAGAGAGAAACATCATGAGCGGCGCAGAATCTGGGCACCGGCATTCACATCTCAAGCGTAGACCATTTCACCAGACATTCCTCCCACCAGCGCTCATTTTTACTTCGATTCTAGGATCGAGAAGTACATGCCGGGGATCGAAATACGCACACACCAGCTGATGGAATGCTTAGTTGCGCGACGAGATTCTGCGGGTCAAATAAATATCTCTCAATGCTTCCAACACTGGGCCTACGACGTCATGGTAATCACATTTTACACATCTGGGCCTTGAACATAAACTGACCACCTCTATCAATCCCAGGGTGATTTTACTTTTGGAGGTTCAAGCCGGTTGGTACGTCTTCGGGTCGGTATTCGCTCATTATTTGCTCATTGTCGGGTTCAGGAATTGATGGCCAACGGCGATCCAAGAGAATTAGTCAAGGCTGGTCAATTGGCGATGATGGCTTATGAAATGTGCGTTCTATTTCCTACCTATCTACTACGGCATTCATCAAAGATCCGTCTTGTTTGAAGTCTGGGAGAAGTCCCTTCATTGTTTCAGATACTCTGGCATCTCCCAACCACGAATGATATACGGCGCCTCGAACGGCATGCTGTGAAATTGATGCACACTCGCCGAATCGTCGGTTCCACGGCAGGCGGACACGAGGACATAGCATCATATCTAGTATGTCAGTTTAATTTGCATGTGTACCACGCATAGGAATAATCCGCATCAGCTTGGTGAGAACGAGTCAAATGTCTCGCGTTCCAGCCACCTACCAACGGAGGATCTCGAGGCAGAAGCGTTATTCGTGATACAAGCAGGCATGCTGATTCTGTCATTGATTTTCCGCACTTGACACTCACGACTTTACAGGCTCGGACACTACTTCCGGAGTTCTGAGTTTCTTGTTCTACTTCTTGCTCTCGCACCAGACAGCTTTCGATCGGCTGCAGAACGAATTGGACGCAGCATTCCCGGACGCCAGCATGCCCTTGCATAGCGAGACCTTGGAAAATCTACCTTTCCTAAATGCAGTTATAGATGAATCTCTTCGCCTGGGCACACCCTTTCCCGGTTTGCCTCGTGTGAGTCCTCCGGGTGGGGCCATCATCGATGGTGCCTACATAGCAGAGGGGACCATTGTCTCCGTTCCAACATACGCCCAACAGATATCGGAGGAGAATTTTTGGCCAGAGCCGTTGCAATTCAAGCCCGAGAGATGGCTCCCAGAGGGACTTGGACCTGGCTCACGCACGTGCAGGTCTGCGTTGATGGCATTTTCATTCGGTAAGAGAATGTTACTAAATCTGGTATCAGCGCTGATCGGAATCGATTGAAGGTCCTTTTGGATGCCTGGGAAAAGCATTGGCGGTACAGCAGCTCCGCCTCGTTACTGCAAGACTTATCCTGACCTACCACCTCACCCTTCATCCTTCTTTTGATTCGGAAAACTTTTTGAAGGGTATACGCAATATAAAGACAACCCTTTTTCCTTATGCTCTCACGGTCATGGCTTCTCCACGCGCACAAAAGTAGACTACAGTTTTCCATAGCTCGTTCTTTTTTGCCTTTCTTACCGATCTTGGTAGTATAGTGTGTACCTGTGCTATATCCTTGCTTCATTTCTTGTTCTTATATGATTCTTTTTGTTCTATTCCTATTTCAGACCATCCCGACACCACTCTGCGTGTACGTTTGCATCGTCCTCTGCAATTTGCGGACATAGACGCTGACATTTGTACAGGTTATTGCGGTCGATGTGGAGACGGAGCCGAACGATGACTGATAATGGATGCGATAGACCGTGCTTGGCTGGCTGTCTGATGTATAAAACGACTGCATACAGATTGTCATGAACGAGCGCGTCTTTCGCGATCCCGGCTTTTATGGATAGAGAAGGAGAGGTCAAGCGGGAGGGCATCGTGTGGACGAGCCAAGATGCAAAATGCTCTTGACACCCCAAAGTCCACACTGTTGGCTCCCACTTCCCTTCTTTGGCTATTTGTATTCACGCCTCGTTTTCCTGCATCCCTTCGCGGATATTCACCTGACAGGTTGTCTTGTAGTGCAGTGCCGAGGTGTCCGAGCGGTGAATCATGAGAGCTGCTGATGCGTGCTGAGTGCGAACTACCTCAATTTCCCTCGATGATCGACCTCCATGCATTGAAGCTTACTCTACTCTAGTGCCCGCGGATGCGACAGGGCGATGCATGCTGTCATTAGGTCACCGAAATATTTGTGATTGATGTGCACGCTGGATGTCTCAATAAAACCACGATGCGTCAGTTCATCCATAAACGAGCCCCTTCCTTCGCCATTTCAGCGCTACGACGTCAATCCAGCAGCAAGTCCCTCTCAAGATATGCCTTCTTGCACTCAAACGGCCTCTCATCTACTAGAGACGGCGATCTTCAAAAGGAGCACCTATCGCCTCAGCTCATCCGAGCGCGCACAGCTTTCATATGAGAGGGCAAAGGCCATTGGGCTTGCGTTCCGTGCGTTCTCTTAGCGCTTCTCCCCTGACAGTTGGCTGAACACGTTGCGGCAGATATGACGCTCGAGGATATATCCATGTTGACGGAGAAATTTTGGGACTGCCATGCTGATCCCATATTAGTCCACGACGGTGCCGCAACCACACTTCTCACGATACAACTCAACTTGGTGACCGGGACGCTCGCTCATTATGTGCGGGATAGGAACGATCTACGGCCATTGATCGATGACTTGCTGTCATTCCGCAAGTTTGGCCAGTTTCTTCTGACCGAGCAAGGGCATGGCCTGGATGCCCAAAATTTGGAGACCACGGCTACCTGGATTCCCACTGGAGGGTTTTGCCTTCACACACCATATCCACGAGCTGCAAAGTAGGGTCGTGCCTTGTTGCAGAGCAACACTTGCTGATCTTCATGTTCTAGGTACATGCCACCCACCATCCCCATTGGAACCCCATGCACTGGCATCGTGTTTGCGCGCCTCGTTTTCAACGGAGAGTCTCACGGGATCCGTTCGTTTATCGTCGAATTGAACGATGGTACCCAAATGTGCAGTGGAATTACCGCAAGGTGCGTTCGCTTGCTTCCGCTCGACATACTCATCTTCGAATGACATCTCTTATGGACATTCACGGCAGGCTCCTTCCGCCTCGTGGGGGCACGAATCCAGTCAATCATTGCCTAACTTACTTCGATTCCGTTCAGCTTCCTCAGAGTGCACTCCTTGGACCACTGGAACCATCCCAGTCTCCGCATAAAGATTTCGCGCAGTCCATCTGGAGAGTAGCTGTTGGATCCATTGCGCTGACTAGTATCGCGCTCAGCGCAATGGGGTTCTATTGCCACATTGGAGCTCTTTACAGTCTTCGCCGCACGGTAACTGTTTCAGACGGCAGCCGCATCCCGATACTCCATTTTCGGACCCAGCAAATCCCTATCCTCACCGCGACGGCACAGTTTTACGTGCTGCAAGCGTTCTCCAGATGGGCCACCGCCCTCTTTTCCTCCAGTGATCTCGATCCCCAGATTCGCCGCGGCATCGCGGCATGCGTCAAAGCTGCCATAGTGCAACGCTCGCTGGCTGCGGCCCTGTCGATCTCGGAGCGCTGTGGAGCACAGGGCCTTTTCGAGATGAACCAGATGTCGGGCACACTTGTGAGCTGCGACTCTGGCTTGTTTTCCATGGTATGCCGTTGATGCGACTGTGGGCCCACCAGAGTGAGATACGTGGGATCGCCATTGCAGAAGGGGATATACTGGCGCTGTCTATACGTATGTAACCTTGCTTGATGATTCTAGGATGCTGATAAGATGATCCAGGACTGACGACCGAGTTGCTTCTTGGCCGCTACGAGCTGCCTCGTTCGACACACCCGGATAGCCTGCTGGCCCGGCACGAGATCGGCATCTTCGAAGAGCATCGCAGATTTATTGCCTCTGTGCCTGGACACAGAAGCCAGGAAGTGAATCGTCGCGTATTGCCCCACTGCCAAGCCATAGTAGAGGCTATCGGACATCGGATGGCGTACGACGCTGCGGTGGCGAGCGGGGTCGAGCCTTGTTTGGTCGATCTCTACGTTGCGAGCGTCATCAAACTTGATCCAGCATGGTATGTAGAGCACGCAGGATTGGGGCGCGGTACGCAGGCCGAGATGGAGAGCGTGGCTTTGGATGCTGTTCTCCCTCGGCTTTCATCGCTGGTTGGCCGACTTCACAACGAACCACACCTTACCGCACCCATTGTCTCCGATGCGGCTTGGGACGGATTTGTCGCTGAGCTGGAACTGTTTGGAAGAGGGGGGTCGGATATGAGGATGGACACGCATCCTCAGCCTCGTTTGTGATTTTTTTGCTAGTTCACTTATACCCCGAACAGCTTCTTCTGGCAGCACCGCTCACCGCTCAGCTGTGACCTTCACAATGTTATTCTCTTGTTCTCCTCGATACCAATCGACGATATAGCGCAGGCCATGGCCCAGTTAGGCAGACTATATATACGCCTTCTGTTGTCTCGATGGCGCTTCGTCCACCCCGCTTGAATGGTCCTGGATTCCATCAACACTTGTTCCACCGACTTCGTCCCAATAGTGTACGTTCCTTGTATACATTGGCCAATCCCAGGCTTTATATATGCGCATCTTTAATTCAAACTGACCGTGTTGCGACTTGTGCATTGCCCTCCGCTCACAACCCTCCCAGACACCGCGTCTAGGCCCGGCGTTCTTGTACGTTCATCCCGTCCTCTGCAATGGACAATAGATACTGACACACTTCATAGGTGTCCTACACGCCTGCTTGGTGTATACGGCGACCTTGGATTCCCGACAGACTGTTGGCGGTGAATGTGTCTCTCTTGATTGCGTTGAATTGTCGTTCTTCGTCGTTCTTTGTCGCTCTTCTTTGCTCCTCCCTAGGTTCTTGTTCTGATACTTAGATCAGATCACTAGGTTTTATGTGTGTACTTGCATAAGCATCCGATTTTTGGGATATCGCTTGTACTGTCCGGGATGCGAGTAGGCAGCAAGCATGTCATTTCCATCGCCGACTCTCCACGTTTGACGCTCACGACTCTACAGACTCAGACACGACCGTCGGTGTTCTGACCTTCTCAACATATCATATTTCTTGCTTTCGCACTGGGGGCTTATTATCGGCTGCAGAACGGGCTTAAGTGTCGTTCCCCGGACGCCAGCACGCCGTTCTTACCAGATTCGCCACCAGTAACTGATCAGGATCGATTGAAGGCCCCTTTACATGCTTGGGAGGAGCCTTGGCAAAATGACAGCCCCGTCTTGTGACTGCAATATCTGTCCTAACCTATCGTGTTATACCCTATCGTGTTATACTAGGTTACACTCCATTTCTCTCTTAACGCGGAAAGCGTCCTGTAGGAAATACTCGATATATAGCTCACCCTCTTCCATTATGCGCTTACGATGACCGCTTTTTTTCTGCCTTTCTTGGCGATCTTGTAGTATGACATGTGTCCTGCAAAATATTCCTCCATATACCCATCATCCATCCCTTGTTCTATCCCTATCGAAGAGGGATGTTTTGACTGTAAACAATCCGGATATTTTCGGTTGTTCGAAAGAAGGACTCATACTTTCCAAGAACTAGTGTTCTCATTTCCATCTCTGTTGGTAATAGATCGAGTGAATTCACATTGTGTTTTGCGAGAACGGAAGGGTCTCGGGACATGGACACATATGCTGGAGCAGAAGCGATAATATTATAAACGAGGCTGCGGAGTCACATTCGCCCTTTTCCCTTCAAAAAAACTCTAGCTCGGCAACAAAGCTGTCCCAAGCCGCGTCTGAGACGATGGGCGCGGTGAAGTGTGGCTCGTCTTAGGGTCGGCCGACCAGCGACGAAAGCCGAGGGAGGACGGCATCCAAAGCCACGTTCTCCATCTCGGCCTGCGCGATGCGCCCCAATCCTTGACCGTCCGGCGAAAAATGTAAAGCGCTCCAACGCGATAGATGACTCCCATAACACTTAGCGCAATGCCAGTCAACGCAATGGACCCAACAGTTACTCTCCAGATGGACTGCGCGAAATCTTTGTGCGGAGATGGGGATGGTTCCAACAATCCAAGGAGTGCACTTTGAGGAAGCCGAACAGCATCAAATTAAGTCAAGCAATGGTTGACTACATCTACCCCCCCGCGCAAAGGAAGGAGCCTGTTGGGACAACACGTTCAAGGAAGCACTTGATTCAAACTGAATGTTCACACCTTGCGGTGAATCTATCACATATGTGGGTACCATCATTCAAATCGACGATGAACGGACGAACCCCGTGAGAGACTCCATTGACGATAAGACGTGCAAATACTGGGCCGATGCATGGGATCCCGATAGGAATAGTGGGTGGCATGTACCTGCAGGTCAACAATCAGGCATACGGCCATCGCCACAAGAAGGCTCAAAAGTACTTTACTGCTTGCGGACTTGGGGCGTGAAGGCAGAACCCTCCAGTGGGTAGCCATGTAGCCGTGGTATCCAAGCTCTTGGCGTCCAGGCCGTGCCCTTGCTCAGTGAGAAGGAATTGCCCAAATGTGCGGAATGACAGCAGGTCATTGATCAAGGACCAAAGGTCGTTCCTGCCTTGCACATATCGAGAAAGTGTCCCAATAACCAAGTTAAGATGTATCGTAAGCAGTGTGGTCGCAGCATTGTCGTGGAGTAGGATGGGATCTGAATAGCAGCCCCGAAACTTCTCTGCCAGCATAGACATATCTTCAATTGTCATATCTGCCACAACACAGTCAATCAGCTATGTCCGAAAAGAAGTATGATTGAAACGCACAGAGTGAAAGCCCAATGGCCTTCATTTTCTCATACGAAAGCCTTACACGGATGAGGTGAGGTGAGATACTTGTCTTGTGAATAACGCCGTCTCGAAGAGACGTGGGGCTGGTTGAGTGACAGAATGCATATCAAGGCGAGTTTGCCGCTGAGTTGACATCGTAGTACAGAAAGGGTCAAGGAGGAAAACAAGGGATTTATAGGTACACTATGATCCGAAGCTTTAGTATCACGGTATTCAAGGAGGACAGGCACGCTTGCAACTTACCCTGCATGATTCCAATTGAGGAAAAACAAAACCAGAAACTAACGGAAATTTGTTCGACCCGAAGGCCAGAGCAAGAAAGTGGATCGAGTTGACAAGCACTGATCAGCATGGTCACCAACGATTACGATTCTGATATGTGGATCGTGTTCTATCTTCCCGTCCGATCCCCTCAATGGCGCGTGCATATCTCAGAAGGCGAATCTTGCATATCTTCGGCGCTATTCATACGGGCGCTTCGATCTACTGCTATGGGCACAGGTGGCCCGTGCGGCATGACTACATTCCATCCGTCATCGAAGTGCCAGCATGTTGTGCCTTCCTTCTCAGCACTTAACCTTCCAATTCTTTTGAACGCCATCGCAGGGGGCAGGTGTAACAATCGATCTGAGGCTGTCGTTCACGCTTGACTGAAGGGAAGACTCATGTCTGCTCCAAGATATCCAACCGCTCCGCCCGCGTATGACTCGTGGCAGCGTCCAAAGTGCGTATACACAGCCGAGATGACATCTATCGACGAGCCATACTATCCCTTTCTTGAGCGAAATCATTTTTACGCTACTCTTCAGCTCTCCCCCAAGGAGAAACCCACCACGATCTGGTGAAGAAACCGAACCCATCATACCCGGGAGCCGCAACAGCAACTACGACACGTTTCCCAAGTTGCCGCGCAGAGGCGGCACTTCCGGGCGGTTCGTGAAGATCGTCGTCGTCGTCTTCGTGTCCTTGTTATCCTTCCAATTCCTCGCAATCTGGGGCCGCACTCTGCAGCTCGACATGTGGAGTCGTGAAGTGAAAGAGCATCGGGAACGGCTTGAGGAGTGGAAGCAGGAGATGCAAGCGCACGAGCAGGAGCGTCAAGAGTGGAGGCGTGAGCGCGAAGATCAGCGTGCGGAGTTTGCAAAGGAGCGGCTTGCCTTCGAGCGTGAGCGGCAGGAGTGGCAGCGCGAGCGGATGGCGCATAAGCCGTTCTGGGGAGAGCTGGAACACGTCTCACCTTACTGCCTCGCATACAACACAATGAAGTACAAAGCGCGGTTGTGGAACGTGCCGTTGGGCGGGGACTGGCTGGAGGCATGCCAGGGAACATTACAGGAAATACATGGTCGCACAATCGAGAAACCTGAAAGGTGCGAGAATCGGGTGAGTTCAAAGGTTTCTGGATTGGACATCGTTTCTGTCTTAAGTCTCACTGAATTCTGCTTTTTAGGGACAGAATGAAGGATTCTGGGGGTATTGGCGTGTTGACTTCGATGAACCAGAGTGCATCACCAAATGGGGCACGACCTGGGATAAGGTAAGGCAGTCAATCTCGGAGTCAGCCCAATCTAATCACTGAATTCCCTGCGCAGGGATGCGTCCGCCCTGGCGTTCACGTACGCACCCAGTTCTATTGCACTATGCTATGAATTCTGATGATGTTGCACAGGTCGTCGAGGCACCGATGTGGGGCCAGAAGCCCAACGACGACTGGTACCAGATGTGCTGGACCACGCCGGGCCATCTGCCCGGTATGTCTGGCGATCTTGGTTTCCCCAACGATTGTCAGCAGCGAGTGCGTAGTACTCTGTTACCTTCTAGTTTTACTGAGTGCTGACGTGCCGTTAGGGTAAGAGAGGCGGAGGAATGGTTGGCGTGTGGGAGTTCCATGATGGAAATTGCTATTAGTCGTAATAGATGCAAGGCTTGGCTTTCTTGTGTTTGTTTTTTCGTATGTTATACATGTACTCCCTTGACGCGCGATCGTTCTTGCTGTGTTGTGTACCTGTTATCGCATGCTGAGTCTAACTTTCAACTAGTTTCCCCAACAATAGCAAGACTGCTCTGAAGGAAGTTTGATTGTCAAGGCTTTCAGCATACAACATGAGTAAGTGACAACGTGAACAAAGCGAGAGGATGACCTATTACAACACTCTCGTCGTGATAGTGGGTGCGCGTTTTTCCTCTGTGTTTCTGCTTCTGCATTGAATGGTCGACAAGCGCAAAATAGCGTCGATGATTCTGCGATGAGGTCAACATAATAAGACGTCCGGCCACCGGTTGTTGCATACGACTATCATCAATTGTATTTGACAGTCTGAGAAAGAGTCCGCAGTCAGTAACGAATTTTGTGCATGTCCGTGGCAAAATCTGTACCTACCTATTCAGGGTAGACGATACTCTATTATCTCTTGCCTTTGAACTTGCCTCGCTTTGCAGGCATGCCCGCTTCCACCACGTCGTCATCACGATCACGATCATCGTCTGCCCTCCCCCTCTTCTTCTTGTTTCCGCCTCTCGCCTGGTCCTTCAGCTCGACTGTGATCGCTCTTGAAGCTTCGTCCACTCGCTCCCGCAGCAGCGCGACTTCGTCCTTGTCAGTTGGCCATGGCTCCATCTCCACCCCGATCACATATTCGATGCACTTCACGAGTTCTATGTCGTACTGCGTGACCAAAGTGATGGATTTGCCCGAGCGACCAGCGCGCGGCGTACGTCCGACCCGGTGGATGTGATCTTTCGAGTGGAATGGTACATCAAAATTGATGACGATGTCGACTGCGGGCATGTCCAGATCTCTGTCGCAAGATGTAAATCAGTTGAGGGTCAGACATACACAATTCTGGAACATGCCGACTGGCGACGTCGGTCGCGACGGAGATCTTGCGATTTACAGCTTTGAATTGGCCTAGGGAACTGAGCATCTGGCTTTGACTCAACTGGACGTGGATAGGAATGACGGAGAAGCCCAGGATTCTGAGCATGATTGCCAATCTAAAACAGAGGAAAAGTCTCGAGTTCGAGCAGCACATTAACGTAAAAAAACACTAACCGCTGCGTATCACGCAGCGTGTGGGTGTATACAATGATTGAATTTTGTGCGAGGGAGTTGGCGAGGTGGATGAGGTATGCATCCTTTTGATTTAGAGGGGCCAAGAGGTAGTATTGCAATAACAACGACACTGTCTGATACCTATCGCATCCCACTCAAGTTTCAGAGATTTTGCAAAGCACATATGTACAACACTCACTTTCTTGAAAATTCTACGCGAACTAGATCAGAAAGGCTGGCGCGTTGCAGTGTTGCGACCTTGGTCGACATCGTGGCTGAAAAAAGGTAAGTAGTGCGTTCTGTCGGGATGTCCTAGAGAATTTTGTCGATGACCAGCCCAAAGTCCATGTCCAACAACCTATCTGTCTCATCCAGCACCTCTTATTACACAGGAGTCAATACATCTACGGAAAGCATACATGGGCATCACGCACCAAGAACTTCAAACTTCGAAGGCGGAAGCCCTTCATGCTTTCCATGATATCTTGTAACCGTCCTAGAGTAGCGACGACGACATGCGGCTTTTTGGCGAGCGCAATCTTCTGCGACTCAATATCCATCCCGCCAATAACGACGGCGCATCGAGCGCCCATCGCAGATCCGAGAGCCTCGAACTGCTAGGAGATCTGGTAGGCAAGCTCACGCGTCGGCGCTAGGACGCACGCGAAGAGCCCCTGCGGCTGGCTCTGTGGTTTCTGCAAGATCGGTAGTGCGAACGCGGCGGTCTTTCCGGACCCGGTAGAAGGGATACCGACAATGTCTCTGCCTTCAAGCGCATGTGGTATGGACTGCGCCTGTATGGGAGTCGGTGTCTTGAACTTCATCTGTGCCAGAGCTTCCAGCAAAGGCTCGATCAGACCAAGCTCCTTGAAAGTAGGCAGAGACTGCTGCGCCGCCTCTGCATCGTCAAAAGGAGCCTTGACAGATATTGTACGGCAGTAGAAGACGGAGTTGTTATGCGGCCTGGCGGTCAAGGAAAAGAAGTTGAGGTGGAGTTCCATTTCGTGCTCCGCGTTTTTATTTCAACGCGGACTCGAGAAAAGTATGCCCACGAAACGCAATCGCAGCCTGTCGATGGATTGTTTCGCTCTATTATTTCAGTGGTCATTCTCACCATGAAAGCCTCATCAAAATGAAGAGGAATGAGACAGGGGGTTATGAGAGACGCAGTCGCAATTACACATCGCAAAAGACGACCTTTCCAAGAGATCGAGCCAGGCAAGTCGCCGTGTTTCTATTACGATCCCTCCCCTCTGGAAAGATATTTTCCAACGTGGCGCACGGCGTTCCAGCAGGCCAGAGAATTTAAGAGCGCGTGAGGAGAGGACGGCGTACTCACAGCCCATAACATCACCTCCCGCACCTCACCTCTCCTGCACCTCACCTCTCCCGCACCTCACCTCTCCCGCACCGATGCCCTGTGCGCATGTACGGAGCGACACCGACCACATCCTGCATATTGGGTGGCGTACCACCATATCCGTCGCTTTCAGAACTCTATTAATCTTGGATATTCAGCTCAATATCACTTGGCCCCCTTCGTGCACACGATTGACGTCCGTGTCGCCAAAGGGGAGGGTGGTAATGGGCTTTCCCGAGAGAAGAGTAAAGTAAAACGGGGAGAGTTCTTTGCTACATGCCTCGTAGGGGTCACGGCCGTCGCCACCTGGACATTATATGCTACGAGGATGTTCGGGAAACGTAGCTCGCCCGTCGCGAATATCGCGCTGGCCTCGCTTGGACCCACGCCCGTCAATGCAGCCACATATTTTGTCATATTCTTTCAAGCCAAAGTTGACAGACCTACGCGCATATATTATCTGCAGCAGGATCATAGTGGGTGGAACATGCCACTGGAGAGGTACACTGCACAGGAGGGACCCTGATACCACTCTCTGACAAGCACCTGTCGGTTCGGGAAAGCGGTGGGAAGTGGATCATCCACGGGGATGTCGAGCACCGAGCAAGGGGGTGATGGGGGAGGCCTGCAGGTTCGCGCATCCACACGAACAGCCTTACTATCGAACGGTGCATGCATACTGCCGTTAATTCAACGACACTGCTCCCTCTGTCTGGCCATGAAACGACCATGCCTATTCACACATCTGCCAAGTCCATCAAAGGCCAAACGAGACGACCAGTGCGGATTCAAGGTCACCACAGACAAGAGGTAGATCACATCGCGACACATCCTCTCAATGATCCTCGGCTTCGCAGTGGCGAGACTAGATTATCGAATACAGTGAGATGGCAAGTCGGCCAAGTTTGCTGCGCCCTCCGGGCTTGCGCGCCCAGATGAATCCCTTGCGCACGTATTTCTAAACTAGCATCTGGTCGCATGATCAATGCCCTCGCGAGAGTATGCTCCAGTAGCTGAGACGGCTTCACCAACGCTCCGACCGAGGCGCATACACTCACTCGCGCATACGATGTCGACGCAAATCTGCCAGGTACTCGATCCCAGCTTAGAGATCCGCAATCTGCATCCCTTCCAACCCTGCAAGGGCATCAGCACCCCCACCCCCATACTGAAGCGCGTGCGACTCACCCGCGTCCAACCATCCCACCTCGTCCTCTCGCCCAAGAGCCCGCTCACGCCCACGAGCCTCCGTCTCCGCCGCATCGTGCGCGTCTCCCGCCTTCCCCTCGGGCCTACGCGCCCGGAACACGCCGCGCGCAGCGACGCCGTCGATGATAGTTTGTGCGCGGTTGGCGTAGACGTCGTCCGCGAGTCTGTTTTGGCCCGCATTGTGAGATTGTTCGCGCTCGCGCTCTTGAGGCGCAGACGGAGGAGGCTGCGGGAGGCGTTTCCGTCCTGCACGAGGCGAACGCGCGCGCATACGCACGGACGGGAGCGACGACCAAAGGCATAAGCGACCGCGCACACACATTCGCAAGATCTTCGTCGCCACAAGCACGGTAGCAAGACGAGTGGAAACTCGATATACGAACGAAAAAGGCACGAAGCACGCACCCACGATCGCCCAATTGCGCGTGCTCGGGATGCGCAGCACCTCCACCTCGACCTCCCAACCCAGCCATGCGCTCAAACTCGCAAGCCACACCCGATAGCGCGCGTACGCGCTCCCGAGCTGGTTGTCCGACCCCAGGTTCAGCGCCGCCGCGAACGTCGCCTCCTGCTCACCCTGCGCATCCCGCCCCGCATCCGCGGAGTCGCTCGCGCCAGCAACGGCAGAGGTAGAGACCACCCACGGCCGGTCGCGCGCGCGCTCGAACTTGCGCTCGAACGTCCACGCGCAGCACGGAATGGAGAGGTACCCCGACGTGCCCACGCCTGCGCGCGCTGCGAGCACGGGGAGCCACGGCGTGAGCTCGTCGGCGTGGTTCCCGATGAGGAACGCGCCGCGCGGGAGGTCGAGCACGGGCGCATCGCCTGTGTCTTCATACGCTTCCTCGTCGCCGCCGATGCTGGCACGCTCACCATCACTGCCCTCAGCGGTGTCCATGCCCACGGTCGACGACGCGAAGGCAGCAGGGTCGAACACACGTACGGAGAGCGCGGCGCGTGTGCGTGGAGGGTAGTGTGTCCAGGACGAGCGCTCGCGGAGGTCGAACCCCGTGCCGGCATACCCTTCTGAGATAAGGATGTGCGTGAGAAGGCCATTGCCGCAGCTGGTATGGAGTCACAACGTTCCAATGATCAACATAGTGCGGAGAGAAGAAGACAACGGGTGAGCGTGGTGAGCGTGGTGAGCGTTGGAGTGGGCCCGGCTGACGAGCGGATGGAGAGGGAGTGCGCACCCCATGTCGACGAAGCCGCCGGGAGGGCGTGGCCAGCGCTTCCATGGCTCGGACACCAAGTCTTGAGGTCCGTGTTCGTCTCCACCATGCTCATCTTTGTACGTGTCTTTCCAGAGGAGCATGAGAAACGTGGCGATGCCGACGTCCTGCGAACGCGAGTCAGCCCCCAGCGACCCCGCCTGCAACATTCTACACGCGCGCACGCACGTCCACTGACCTCGAACACGTGCTTGAGAGGATCGGTCGCCTCCCTCCACTCACCCACGACGTGCTTCCACCGCTCGCGCATGACGAGGTACAGGTCCTGGTATGTGTCGCGCGGGACGAGCGTGTCATGTGCGACGCGCTTGCGGTACTGCGTGTGCGCGCCCCAGGCGTAGCGGTGGAGCGTCTCGAGCAGCGCGAGCGCCGTGCGGTGCAGGCGCGAGTCGGGATCGGTCGGAATGGAGGAGGCGGGGAGGGGGTGCGCATCGATGCGGAGGGACGCGGACGAGGTGGAGGAGGCAGGGAGGAGGCGGAAGGCGAGATGAGAGACTAGAGGGTGGAAATACGGGAGCTGGGTGCCGGGCTGGAGGAGGGGGGTGAGCACGAGCACGGAGATTGACGATGGTGGTGCGTCGGCGGCATCGCGAGCGGATGGGGAGGATGAGGTGTAGAATGTGCAGTGCTGATCGAGGGCGGCATCGCGGCCTGGTCGGCGGGGAAGGAGACGGCGGTGGATGGTGCGGATTGGTGTGAATCCTTCGAGTCCAGGAACTGACGGTTGTAATGCGTCTGAACCTGCGTAGTCTGCGAGGACCTCGGAGCGGAGGATGAGGGTGGAGTTGTACTCGGGGTGGTGCACGAGTTGGGACGTCGCGGTCTCAAACTAGACACGAGCACGCGCAAGCAATAATTGTATTCAAGAGTGTAAAAATGATATTACGAGTAGATGAAGCGAGACGTACAAGCTCAGGGGGAAAGTCTGCAGGACAGGCGACGATGGAGACCCAGGACGGGCCGAGCGGGGCGTGGCCTTGGGAGCTTGATGAGGCTTCAAGGGAGCAGAAGTTCGGGGTGAAGCGCGGTTTTGTGATGGACTGGGCCATCTGGTGAATGAATGAGCACAGACGTGGAGGAATAGGTGGGTGGGAGGGAGGGACGATGGCCGTGAACGTTGAACTCGACGCGTTGGATAGACGCGTTGGAAATGCGTTGGAATGCTCGTGATTTGGGTGTTGCCGACGTCGCTGACACTTCGCCCCATCCACTGGCAACCTTGTTCAGAGGAGATGTCCTTCGCATGCTTATTTCACGCCATCCCTGCTGATGTTTTCTGCTCTGCTGATATTCATTGTCCTTATCCGAATGAGAATGCAAACCAGCATTAGGCTGATCTGGTCCACGTGGCGCGTTACCCACATCGGAGGATGCAGCTTGAACAGAGTCGTCGGACCTCGAGTCGTCGGGACTATTCCTGCCTTTCATCATGCCGCAGCTCTGGGCGTACTCTGATGTGTTTTCATGGCTGGAATGCTCCAGCTCCTTCCCAACTTCAAGACGTGTTGAGAAAGCGTTTGAGGGCATTTATGGCGTTCTATGGGTGTTTGTACACAGTCTGCATATCGCCTCCATGAACACTCAGTGTACGTCAATCCTCTGGAGCTCGTTGATTTGGTCTGAACCGCAAGTCCACATCATGAGACGTGACTTCAACAATGTCGGAAGGCCTACCCCAGGAACGCCGCCCCCGGTCGAGAATCAGGATTCTCAAAAGGGGATCAAACCATTCATCCTGCCTTCTCTGCTCTGCATACTTCGCTAGATACAATTGAGATTATGGCAGTGGTCGAAGACGTAAAAGTGCCCCAATGGTCTTCATCTCAGAATGTACATGGAATTGTTCAACGAGTCCAGATACGAACGTTATAAGACTGGCAGGTATGACAGGCCACGGCGTATATCCACCCTTCAAGCAGTCTAGCATATATATTTGATTGGCTATGCCTCCCGTTCTTTCCCCCGAAATCGCCAATGTTATGAATAGTTCGATTGGAGAGCATATGCGGCTCACCTTTGAGAATACTCTGTGCGATAGATTGCACGTACCCTTGACTGTGGTCCTTAGCCAGACGACTGAGGCTGGCCACTGCATCTGCATCAAAGACGTCGTCTTCTCCAAAAGTGGTCGAGGTATCAACATGGAAGATTTTGCGCCACTCTCTATGCAGAGTTTCAATCCATAAATCCATCCATCCATAAATAGAGGGCGACACTGGAAAATTGTGGCGCTGGGCCGGCGGCTCAGGTCGCGTGTCTTCGCTTATGCTCGCGTGGGCCACGTAAGAAACCACGCGAGACCACTGTCCCATAGGCTTCGGGACGCGAAACGGAGCGTGTCGGAGCTTGAAACGGAGTTGGTCAGCGCGCGCGTGCCCGGGGCTAACCTAAGCATAGGGAATTCTCTTTCCCTGGCACTGTCTTGCAGTGATTTCTTCAGGCAAGGGGGCATTCACCAAGTGCTTAGCTTGGCAACCACTCTGGGCTCTTGGTTTTGTTTGCAGGTATTTTTTTATGTAAATAAATAATAAATAAAAGGGGACAATAAGAAATGGTGGCACTGGGCTAATAGCTCAAGTCATATGTCCTTGCTCACACTTATGTAGGCCACATAAGAAACCATGTGAGCAAAGCAAGCATCCATGACAAATTGGGTGAGCAGAGTAAGCCATGTCTTGGTGCTCCTAGCAACTCTAGCAACTAGAGTGGGCTATGCCTTAGCAGCCATTGAAGCTTGAAATAACATCCTAGCACCTTACAAAGAACCTTACGGGGGAGCCTCATGGGTGGGACTCTGATGGGGAGCCTCATAGGGCAGAATTTCATAGGGGAATCTAATGGATAGGACCTTATAGGGGGAGCTTTATATGGGAATCTTACAGGAAGGACCTTATAGGATATCATAAAAGAGTCATATAGGGATATTAGGGCACAGGACTTTTAGTAAGCAGAGTGAGCCATGTCTTGGTGCTCCTAGCAACCCTAGCAACTGGAGTGGGCTATGCCTCAGCAGCCATTGGAGCTTGAAATGACATCCCAGCACCTCACAGAGAACCTCACGGGGGAGCCTCATAGGGCAGAATCTCATAAGAGAGTCTAATGGATGGGACCTTATAAGAAGCTTTATATGGGAATCTTATAGGAAGGACCTTATAGGATATCATAAAAGAGCCATATAGGGATATTGGGGCACAAGACTTTATGGGCACTGGAATTTACAGGCACTAGACTTTACAAGCACTGGACTTTATAGGCACTGGACTTTATAGGCACTGGAATTTGTGGACACTGGACTTTATAAGCACTGGACTTTACGGGCACTAGAATTTATGGGCACTGAACTTTACGGGCACTAGACTTTATAGTCAGTGCACTCTACAGGCACATGAGACCAAGCACTACAACAAAAACTCAGATTAAGCACGGGCACTGTACTTTACAGGCACTAGACTTTATAGGCACTGGACTTTGTGAACACTAGACTTTACAGACACATCAGACCAAGCACTGTAACAAAAACTCAGATTAAGCATGGTTGTGCCGTCGCAACGCGACGGGTGAGAAGCTAGTCCATAAATAGAGGGCGACACTGCAAAATTGTGGCGCTTAAGCGACGGCTATGCTCGCGTGCTCCTCGCTTATGCTCGCGTGGGCCACGTAAGAAACCACGCGAGACCACTGTCCCATAGGCTTCGGGACGCGAAACGGAGCGTGTCTGAGCTTGAAACGGAGTTGGTCAGCGCGCGCGTGCCCGGAGCTAACCTAACCATAGGGAATTCTCTTCCCCTGGCACTGTCTTGCAGTGATTTCTTCAGGCAAGGGGGCATTCACCAAGTGCTTAGCTTGGCAGCCACTCTGGGCTCTTGGTTTTTTTTGCAGGTATTTTTTTTATGTAAATAAATAATAAATAAAAGGGGACAATAAGAAATGGTGGCACTGGGCTAATAGCTCAAGTCATATGTCCTTGCTCACACTTATGTAGGCCACATAAAAAACCCTAGCAACTAGAGTGGGCTATGCCTCTGCAGCCATTGGAGCTTGAAATGGCATCCTAGCACCTCACAGAGAATTTCATGGGGGAGCCTCATGGGTGGGACTATGATGGGGGAGCCTCATAGGACAGAATCTCATAGGGGAATCTAATGGATGGGACCTTATAGGGAGCTTTATATGGGAATCTTACAGGAAGGACCTTATAGGATATTATAAAAGAGCCATATAGGGATATTGGGGCACTGGACTTTATGGGCACTGGACTTTATGGGGACTGGACTTTATGGGCACTGGACTTTATAGTCAGTGCACTCTACAGGCACATGAGACCAAGCACTACAACAAAAACTCAGATTAAGCACGGGCACTGGATTTTACAGGCACTGTACTTTATAGGCACTAGACTTTATAGGCACTGGACTTTGTGGGCACTAGACTTTATAGGCACTGGACTTTATAGGCACTGGACTTTGTGGGCACTGGACTTTGTGGACACTAGACTTTATGGGCACTGCACTTTATGGACACTGCACTTTACAGATATTGCATTTTACGGGCACTGCACTTTACGGGCACTGCACTTTACGGGCATTGCACTTTATGAGCACTGCACTTTATGGGCACTGCACTTTATGAGCACTGCACTTTATGGGCACAAGACTTTACAGGCACGTCGGACCAAGCACTGTAACAAGAACTCAGATTAAGCATGGTTGCGCCGTCGCAACGCGACGGGTGAGAAGCTAGTCCCTATATAGAGGGCGACAGTGAAGAATTGTGGCAAAACTCCGCCGGCTAATGTCGCATGTTGTCGCTTATGCTCGCGTGGGCCACGTAAGAAACCACGCGAGCGAAGCGAGCGCCATGACAAATTTGGCGAGCGGAGCGAGCTGTCTCTTCAGCCGCCCGGCAACCTCGGCAACTGGAGCGGGCCGTGTCTCAGCAGCTGTCGGGGTTTCGCACGGCATCCCGGTCTGCCCGGCAATGCCAACAACTGGAGCAGGCCGTGCCTCGGCAGCCATCGGGGCTCAAAATGGCATTCTGGCACCCCACAGGGAACCTCACGGGGGAGCCTCATAGGGCAGAATCTCATAGGGGAGCCTTATGGGCAGAACCTTTCATGGAATATGAAAAGGGAGCCTAATAGGGAAGCCATATAGGCAGGATCTGGCAGAGGAACCTTATAGGGGAATCTTTTGAATGTCATCTTGCAAAATCTCATAGAGGGGCCTTATAGGGGAATCTTATAGGCAGGACATTATAGAAAATCATGGGAACTGGACTTTATGGGCACTAAAAGTGATATTCTAGCACCTTATAGAGGAGCTTCACAAGAGAGCCTCACTGGCAAGATCTTAAAGAGGAACCTGACAGAGGAACATAATAGGTAAGCATAATGGAGAAACCTAACAGGGAAATATAATAAAAGAACCTATATAGGGGAACCTTATATGGGCCATATATTGGCAGCTGTTGGAGCTTGAAATAGTATCGCAGCACTTTATGGAAAAGCCTTATAGGTATGACCTTATAGAGGAACTAAATAATGCTTGACAAGAGAGTCTTATATAGAGAATATTATGGACAGGACCTTATAGAATGTGATCAGAGAGCTATATTAGGGCAAAATAATTTATGGGCACTGGACTTTATAGGCACTAAAATTTACAGGCACTGGGCTTTACAGGCACTGGACTTTACGAGCACTGGACTTTACAGAGACTAGACTTTACAGGCACATGAGACCAAGCACTGTAACAAAAACTCAGATTAAGCATGGTTGCGCTGTCGCAACGCGACGGGTGAGAAGCTAGTAAATAGAGGGCGACACTGCAAAATTGTGGCGCTGGGCCGGCGGCTCACGTCGCGTGTCTTCGCTTATGCTCGCGTGGGCCACGTAAGAAACCACGCGAGACCACTGTCCCATAGGCTTCGGGACGCGAAACGGAGCGTGTCGGAGCTCGAAACGGAGTTGCTCAGCGCGCGCGTGCCCGGGGCTGCTGCGAGCCTTGCGATACCTGATCTCTGCCATCAACCATCATCATCTCTGTCCCAGACCCTCATCTGTGCTCTCCTCTGCTTTATTCCTCACTGGCTTTTCTCTCAAACTCTACTCTGCTCTACTGGGTGTCTCTGAGCACGGATTCTGCTTAGAAAGAGCCTACAGGGTGTGAAGTCTACCAGCACGGCCTTAGTTTGCTGTAGCCAAAAGCAGTCTTTTCATAGCTGCCTGGACCTCTCTCATCCTGCGGTGTTTCAGTTGCTCAGGTACCTTTTACCACAATCTCACAGTCACAACGACCTGCTTTGCAGACAACGAGTGACATCGAGTTGTCAAAGAGCATTGGGAATCCTCTTCCCCTGGCACTGTCTTGCGGCAATTTCTTCAGGTGAACTGTGAGGGGGCATTCAGCGAGTGCTTAGCTTGGCAACCACTCTTGGCTCTTGGTTTTGTTTTCAGGTGTTTTTTTTATTTAGCTTTTCACAATGAGTGTTCCACCTTTGTAAGTCTGTGTTGCTTGCATCATGTCCATTGTGCTCAACTCTTTTTGTAGGCCTCCTAATGAGGGTGTAGTGGAAGTCTGGATGCCTGCATTGGCACCTTTGTGAGTATCTTTGGCTTGCTTGGATACTGTTTCAGTGCTAAAATTCTTTTTAGAGATGATGATGAGGATGATCTCTATATGACACCTCCACCTGAGACTGTGCATAAGTATGTGTTTTAATTTTTGCTTATTGGTTGTGTATACTCATATTTGTCATAGTGAGAATGCCAATCATAGTGAAGATGAGGATGATCTGTATATGACTCCTCCACCTGAGAATCTCAATGGGTATGTGGTTTTATTTAATCTTTTTATGGTCATTGGCTAAAAAGAAGAAACTATAGACATGTTGAAAACCAAGAGGCTGTTGAAGAGGCTGCCCATGTGGATGTGACTATGACAAGGTATGTAGTTTTTGTTAAATCACACAAAATTTGTTTATTAATTTTGGGGTTTACAAGAACTCCTCCTAGGACTCCTGAGCATGAGCGCCAGACTGTGCGAGAGCAAGAGCGTGCTGAAAGGCTTCAGATGACTTCTCCTACTCTTCGGCGCGAGCGTTCTGCATTACGAGGCTCTATTCGTCAGCCTGTCTTTGAGGATCTCTCTAGACCTTCCCATCCTGTCACTTCTAATCCTGCTCAGCCTCCTATTTCTCTTGCACCACCCATTCAGCTTCACCAGCCTGCCACACTTGCTCCTCCTGTCCAGTCATACCATTCTGCAGTGGCTGCTTCCTCTGCTCCATCATATCATCCTGCTCAATATGTTCCTCCCCACTTTTATCCTGCTCCCATGTTCCAACACTCTGTCTATCATGGTGCTATGGCTCATCAAATTCCTGGACAATATCCTATCCATGCTCCCCCTCCTATGCCTGCACCACCACCTCATTATTGGCCTGTGAATGTTTCTGCCCATCCTAATCTTCCACGCCATTTGATTGGGAATCATGATCGACAGGCTCGCATGCGTCTTGCAGCAGCTAGCCATCCTGACTATGAGCGCCGCATGATGAATAACTTTGAACAGAGCCATGCAGAGCGTAGACGGCGTCGTAGAGAGAATGCAAGGCCTGACGCAGTGGTTCCTCTTCCTAATCCTGTCCATCATCCACAGCCTCCATCATCATCTCGGCATAATATGCAGGCTTTACAATACCAGCAAGAGCAGCAGGAATATGATCATCATAGAGCTTCCCTTCATGAGCAGCATCTTGAGGAGATCCGCCAATATCTTATAGAGGCCCAGCAGAGACGCATAGAGCATAGAGCACAAACACAGGCAGAGCAGCAGATTATTCTTGAGCAACAACAAGAAGACAATGCCCAGCCACAAGAAGTCCATCAGTATCATTTGAACCTTTCCCAGCAGATTCATGATGACAATCTTGCCATTCAACACAATCACCATGCTCTAGCTCAAAATCAAGTAATGCAACAGCTACCTCTTGGTCGTCGTCCTTATCAAGAGCCTGATGCACGCTATAGTGTTGGCCATATGAATGTTGAATGTTCCCACTGCAAAGCCCTTCACTTTTCCTCTGAAAAGCTATCATCCTCTACTCGCAATCACATCCGCTTTGGCATGTGCTGTTTACAAGGCCAAATTAGGCTGCCTGTGTTATTGGACCCTCCTCAAACACTGCGTAATCTTCTTTGTGGAGACACTGAGAATGCCAAATCATTCAGGCTAAACATCAGGCAGTACAATAGTGCATTTGCATTTACTTCTATTGCTGCCAAGCTATCAGATCATGTTACCACTACTTCTGGGCCATATGCATTTAAAATCCATGGAGAACTTTATCATCAGATGGGTACCTTGCTACCACCCAACCATCTTAGACCTTCCTATGCTCAGCTCTATGTTATTGATCCTCAGGCTGCACTCAATGAGCGCAACAATGCCAATCCCAACTTGAAGTCTGAGATCATGAATAACTTGCAGGATATGTTTCATGAGCACAATCCTTATGTTCCCCTGTACCGCCATGCCTATCAAATCATGGCAGACAAGAATCCTGGAGAACGAGACAAGCTTGCAGCCCATATTGCTGTCTTGCCCAATACTGATCATCGCCGCTATAATGAGCCTACTGCAGATGAAGTTGCTGCCATCATTCCTGGAAGTGGAGATGAGGAAGTGGACTTGCACAGAGATATTGTTGTTCGTTATAACCATGGAGGTCTAAAGCATTTCAGCCATCTTCACCCTCACTACAGTCCCTTGCATTATGTGACATTATTTCCACATGGCGAACAAGGCTTTCATCCCAATATTCCTGCTCATCCTGGACCTAATGGCCAAATGCTCTCATCCAAGGTGTCTCAGCGCTGCTATTATGCCTATCGTCTTATGCGCCGTCTGCTTGATCCTGAAACCATCTTTAGAGCTGGCAAGCTATTTCAGCAATATGTGGTTGATGCTTGGGCATCTATTGAGTCTAGCAACCTTTTCTGGATCAGGAACCATCAGAAGGAGATCAGAGCTGAAAAGTACCAGTCATTGTTTGATGCTATCCATGCAGAAGCTGAGGTAGACCTAGGCCAGCGGGGAAAACGTATTGTGCTTCCCTCTACTCATGCAGGCAGTCCACGTTATATGTATCAGCTTTTCCAAGATTCTATGGCTATCACTCGCCACTGCCATAAGCCTGACATCTTTATCACCATGACTGCAAACCCTAACTGGCCAGAGATCACTGAAGAGCTCTTAAAATATGATGGTGGTTCAACTCAGCAGCCTTCTGATCGTCCAGACTTGGTTGCACGTGTGTTTGCCTTGAAGATGAAGGCTCTTATAAAGGATATCAAGGAGGGCCTATTTGGCAAGGTGGCAGGGATGGTTTATACCATTGAGTTTCAAAAGCGTGGTCTTCCTCATATGCACCTTCTTCTTTTCCTTGATGCACAGGACAAGATTCAAAGTGCTGAAGATGTGGATAGGATTGTCTCTGCCCAGCTTCCAGATCCTGCTGCCCATCCTATGCTTTATGAGTCTGTCACAAGATACATGCTCCATGGACGCTGTGGCCCTGAGTTTCCTCAAGCACGTTGCATGGAAGAAAAAGATATTGGAGGCACAAAAGTCAAGCTCTGTAGCAAGCACTATCGGAAGGACTTTACTGAGCAGACCCTCTATGGTGAGGATGGCTATCCTACATATGCTAGGCCAAACAATGGGCGCACCTTCACTCGGCATACTATGCAGTTTGACAATCGTGATGTTGTTCCTTATAATCCCTATCTCCTTGCCAAATACAACTGCCATATCAATGTGGAGGTCTGTGCATCCATCAAGGCTGTCAAATATATCCACAAGTATATCTACAAAGGTCCTGATCGTGCTACACTTCAGATTGGAGACATTGATGAGATTAAGGACTATGTGGATGCTCGCTATATTGGACCTGTAGAGGCTTGCTGGAACATCTTTGAATTCCCAAGGCATCTGGAATCCCCCACAGTCTATCGTCTTCCTGTCCATCTCCCTAATGAACAGCAGGTCTACTTTGATGCTGATGATAATCCTGAAGAAGTCTTAAACAGAGACAGGTCCCAGAAAACCGAGTTGACTGAATGGTTTATTGCCAACCAAAAGTTCCCTGCTGCTCATGCTCATACCTACCAGGACTTTCCTCTTCACTATGTCTGGAACCAGTCAAAGAAAATATGGACTCCACGTCAGCAGGGTTCTACTATTGGCAGAATGTTATTTGTCCATCCCTCTGCAGGCGAACGCTTTTACCTCAGAACATTGCTCACCATTGTTAAAGGTGCCAAGGACTGGAAAGACATTCGCACTTATGAAGGCATTGAATATCCTACCTATCGTGATGCCTGTTTTGCACGTGGCCTTTTAGAGGATGATGGAGAGTGGGATATGGCCTTGGCTGAAGCAGCAGATATGCAGACTGGAACTCAACTTAGATCCCTCTTTGCCACCATCCTTCGCTTCTGCATTCCTTCACAACCTCTTATTCTTTGGAATCGCTACAAGGACAAAATCTGTGATGATCTGCATGTGCGTCTTACTGCCATGGGCTTTCCTGATCCTACTCAAGAGGATGTCTTTGATTATGGCCTCTATCTGCTGGACAAAGTCCTTACTGGAATGGGAAAGCGCCTCATTGACTATCCTCCTATGCCTTTGCCTCTGCAAGATTGGAACCAAGCTGCAAATGTGCTTCTTCAGGATGAGCTCAACCATGATTATGTGGCTCTTTGGGAACAGGTCAGTTACCATGCATCCTTCAAACTTGACCTTGAGCTGACCTTGCATTTCAGGTGGAGACTAATCTATTGACCTTCAATGCTGAGCAGAGGAATGCCTATGATGCTGTTATGCAGTCAGTCCAGTCCAACCAAGGCCAAGTCTTCTTTCTGCACAGTGCTGGAGGTGGTGGAAAGACCTATGTTTGCAACACCATTGCTGCCTCTGTCCGCTCTCAGGGCAAGGCTGCTCTTTGTGTTGCTTCTTCTGGCATTGCCTCCTTGCTTCTGGATGGTGGTCGCACTGCTCACTCTCGCTTCAAAATCCCCATTGAGGGTCTCAATGAGCGCTCCTCTTGCTCTTGGGAGAAAAACTCTGACTTTGATGGACTTATTCATCAGACTGGGGTGGTCATTTGGGATGAGGCACCAATGCAGCATCGCTATGGAATTGAAGCTGTTGATCGCACTCTTCAGGATCTTATGGGCAACCCTGCTCCTTTTGGTGGTGTTACTGTGCTGTTTGTTGGAGACTTTCGTCAGACCTTGCCTGTGGTTCCCAAAGGAAGCAGAGAGCAGATTGTGGCTGCATCTTTGTGCAAGTCCTCACTCTGGAATCACATCCAACTTCTTACTCTTAAACAGAACATGCGTCTAGACCAGACTCCTGAAAGCAATGCCTTTGCTCAATGGCTCCTCAATGTTGGTTCTGGCCATAACCTTGGTGAAGACAAGTCTATTGAACTTCCTCCCAACATGCGTCTTGATAACAATACTAAGGAATCCTTGGTTGACTTTATCTATCCTGACATCTCTGATCAGCACCCCAAACCAGACCACTTCTTCCTTGACCATATGATTCTTTCTGGGCGCAATGACACTGTTGCTGAGATCAACAAGGAGATTCTGGCCAAGTTTCCTGGAGAAGACAAGCTCCTAACCAGCATTGACTCTGTCAAGGACATAGAGGGTTATCCTATAGAGTTTTTGAACTCTATCAATATCTCTGGCCTTCCTCTTGCTCACCTCCATGTCAAAAGAGGTTGTCCTCTCATTCTTTTGCGCAACATTGATCCCTCTCATGGCCTATGCAATGGCACTCGACTCATCTTACTTGAGGCAAGGACACGTGTCTTAAAATGCCGCATCTTAGGTGGGGCACATGCTGGAAGAATTGTGTTTATCCCTAGATTAACCCTGGAGCCATCTGGAGAAGCCTGCCCTATTCCTTTGAAGCGCAGACAATTCCCTGTTCATGTTGCCTTTGCTATGACCATCAACAAATCACAAGGACAGTCTGTCAAGTTTGTTGGATTAGATTTGGAGCGGCCTGTATTTTCCCATGGCCAGCTTTATGTTGCACTGTCACGCTGCACATCAGGAGATAGAATCAAGGTGTTATTCCCACCAGACTCACAAAGGACCAAAACCACCAATATAGTGTACCCTGAGGTATTGCAAGGCATTTTGGATAATCAATAGTATGTCTTGGATCATAATCATTGTGACATAGCTAACAATTATAATAGGACTTGAACAAGGACTGTAGTATAAAACTTATATAGAAACTTCTTACACTTTGACTCTCAATCCCCACTCTAACTTTTTATATGTATGCTTTGAAATAAAACTGCTACTCTAACTTGGCTGCTTGACTAAAACCCAACCACAAACTAAGCACTATAACACAAACATAGATTAAGCACTGTCACACAACTTCAGACTAAGCACTGCAACAAAAACTCGGATTAAGCATGGTTGCGCCGTCGCAACGCGACGGGTGAGAAGCTAGTCTCTATATAGAGGGCGACAGTAGGGGTCCGGTGGCAACTAGCCGTCGGCTAATCCCACGCGACAAACCACGCGAGACCACTGTCCCATAGGCTTCGGGACGCGAAACGGAGCGTGTCGGAGCTTGAAACGGAGTTGGTCAGCGCGCGCATGCCCGGGGCTGCTGCGAGCCTTGCGATACCTGATCTCTGCCATCAACCATCATCATCTCTGTCCCAGACCCTCATCTGTGCTCTCCTCTGCTTTATTCCTCACTGGCTTTTCTCTCAAACTCTACTCTGCTCTACTGGGTGTCTCTGAGCACGGATTCTGCTTAGAAAAAGCCTACAGGGTGTGAAGTCTACCAGCACGGCCTTAGTTTGCTGTAGCCAAAAGCAGTCTTTTCATAGCTGCCTGGACCTCTCTCATCCTGCGGTGTTTCAGTTGCTCAGGTACCTTTTACCACAATCTCACAGTCACAACGACCTGCTTTGCAGACAACGAGTGACATCGAGTTGTCAAAGAGCATTGGGAATCCTCTTCCCCTGGCACTGTCTTGCGGCAATTTCTTCAGGTGAACTGTGAGGGGGCATTCAGCGAGTGCTTAGCTTGGCAACCACTCTTGGCTCTTGGTTTTGTTTTCAGGTGTTTTTTTTATTTAGCTTTTCACAATGAGTGTTCCACCTTTGTAAGTCTGTGTTGCTTGCATCATGTCCATTGTGCTCAATTCTTTTTTTAGGCCTCCTAATGAGGGTGTGGTGGAAGTCTGGATGCCTGCATTGGCACCTTTGTGAGTATTTTTGGCTTGCTTGGATACTGTTTCAGTGCTAAAATTCTCTTTAGAGATGATGATGAGGATGATCTCTATATGACACCCCTACCTGAGACTGTACATAAGTATGTGACTTACTTTTTGCTTATTGGTTGTGTGTACTCATATTTGCTATAGTGAGAATGCCAATAATAGTGAAGATGAGGATGATCTGTATATGACTCCTCCACCTGGGAATCTCAATGGGTATGTGGTTTTATTTAATCTTTTTATGGTCATTGGCTAAAAAGAAGAAACTATAGACATGTTGAAAACCAAGAGGCAGTTGAAGAGGCTGCCCATGTGGATGTGACTATGACAAGGTATGCAGTTTTTGTTAAATCACACAAAATTTGTTTATTAATTTTGGGGTTTATAAGAACTCCTCCTAGGACTCCTGAGCATGAGCGCCAGACTGTGCGGGAGCAAGAGCGTGCTGAAAGGCTTCAGATGACTTCTCCTACTCTTCGGCGCGAGCGTTCTGCATTACGAGGCTCTATTCGTCAGCCTGTCTTTGAGGATCTCTCTAGACCTTCCCATCCTGTCACTTCTAATCCTGCTCAGCCTCCTATTTCTCTTGCACCACCCATTCAGCTTCACCAGCCTGCCACACTTGCTCCTCCTGTCCAGTCATACCATTCTGCAGTGGCTGCTTCCTCTGCTCCATCATATTATCCTGCTCAATATGTTCCTCCCCATTTTTATCCTGCTCCCATGTTCCAACACTCTGTCTATCATGGTGCTACGGCTTACCAAATTCCTGGACAGTATCCTATCTATGCTCCTCCTCCAATGCCTGCACCACCACCTCATTATTGGCCTGTGAATGTTTCTGCCTATCCTAATCTTCCACGACACTTGATTGGGAATCATGATAGACAGGCTCGCACACGTCTTGCAGCAGCTAGCCATCCTGATTATGAGCATCGTATGATGGAGAATTTTGAAAGGACTCATGCAGAACGTAGACGTCGTCATAGAGAAAGCACAAGGCCTAAACCCAATAACCCTCCTCATCCTACATCTTCTATAAGACAACAGGAAGAGAATAATCATTATGCAATTCTTGACCAGCGACATCAGCAAGATATTCAGCAGCAGCAGCACCTTCATCATCAGCTTGATCTTGCAGAGCAGGCACATCATCTAGACCTTGAAGAGCAGGCACATCAGCATAACCTTGCTATCCAACAAAATAATCAAGCTGTAGTGGCTCATCAGGCTCTCCAAAATCTGCCTCTAGGTCGCCGTCCATATCAAGAGCCTATTGCACGTCACAGCCTTGGTCTTATGAATATAGAATGTGCTCACTGTCTTGCACTCCATTTCTCTTCTGAACGTCTTACCAACTCCAGTCGTATCCACCCTTGCTTTGGCATGTGCTGCTTACAGGGTTAGATCAGATTGCCTGCATTTTTACAACCTCCCCCAACCTTGCGCCGACTGCTCTGGGAAGGTGGTTCAGTTCCAAAATTTTTTAGAGATCATATCAGGCAGTACAACAGTGCATTTGCATTCACTTCTATTGCTGCCAAGCTATCAGATCATGTTACCTCTACCTCTGGGCCTTATTCATTTAAAATTCATGGGGAACTGTCTCATAAGATGGGAAGCTTGCTACCACCTAACAACATCAAACCCTCCTATGCTCAGCTTTATGTTATTGATCCTCAGGCTGCACTTAATGAGCGCAACAACAATAATGCCAACTTGAGATCTGAAATCATGAATGACTTGCAGGATATGTTTCATACACACAATCCTTATGTTCCTTTGTATCGTCATGCCTATCAAATCCTGGTAGAAAAGAACCCTGGAGAGAATGACAAGATTTCAGCTCGCATCACAGTCTTGCCTAATGCCGATCATCGTCGCTATAATGAGCCTACTGTTGATGAGGTTGCTGCTATTATACCTGGGAATGGAGATGAGGAAGTGGATTTGCACAGAGATATTGTTGTCTGCTATAACCATGGAGGTCTAAAGCACTTTAGCCATCTTCACCCTCACTACAGTCCCCTACATTATGTGACATTGTTTCCACATGGCGAACAAGGCTTTCATCCCAATATTCCTGCTCATCCTGGACCTAATGGCCAAATGCTCTCATCCAAGGTGTCTCAGCGCTGTTATTATGCATATCGTCTTATGCACCGTTTGCTTGAACCTGAAACTATCTTCAGAGCTGGCAAGCTATTTCAGCAATATGTGGTTGATGCTTGGGCATCTATTGAGTCTAGCAACCTTTTCTGGATCAGGAACCATCAGAAGGAGATTAGGGCAGACAAGTACCAGTCATTATTTGATGCCATTCATGCAGAAGCAGGTATCAACCTAGGCCAACAAGGAAGGCGCATAGTTCTTCCCTCCACTCATGCAGGCAGTCCACGTTATATGTATCAGCTTTTCCAAGACTCTATGGCTATCACTCGCCATTGTCATAAGCCAGACATCTTCCTTACCATGACTGCAAATCCTAATTGGCCAGAGATTCAAAAAGAGCTCTTGAAATATGATGATGGTACAACTCAGAATCCTTCTGATCGTCCTGATTTGGTGGCACGTGTCTTTGCACAAAAGATGAAGGCTTTGCTCAAGGAGATCAAAGAGGGCCTGTTTGGAGGGGTTGCTGGCATGGTATATACCATTGAGTTTCAAAAGCGTGGGCTTCCTCACATGCACCTTCTCCTTTTCTTGAAGCAAGAACACAAAATTCAGAGTGCTGAAGATGTGGATCGAATTGTCTCTGCCCAGCTCCCAGATCCTGCCACCCATCCTATGCTATATGAGTCTGTCACCAAATACATGCTTCATGGACGTTGTGGCCCTGAATTCCCTCAAGCACGTTGCATGGAGGAAAAGAATATTGGCGGCACAAAGGTCAAGGTCTGTAGCAAGCATTATCGCAAGGACTTCAATGAGCACACCCTTTATGGTGAAGATGGCTATCCTACATATGCTAGGCCAAACAATGGGCGCACTTTCACTCGAGGCGCTATGCAATTTGACAATCGCGATGTTGTTCCTCATAATCCCTATCTTCTTGCCAAATATAACTGCCACATCAATGTAGAGGTCTGCGCTTCTATCAAGGCCATCAAATACATTCACAAGTATATCTACAAAGGTCCTGATCGTGCCACTATTGAAATTGGAGATATTGATGAGATTAAGGACTATGTGGATGCTCGCTATATTGGACCTATGGAGGCTTGCTGGAACATCTTTGAATTCCCAAGGCATCTGGAGTTTCCTTCAGTCTATCGTCTTCCTGTTCATCTTCCTAATCAGCAGCAGGTCTATTTTGATTCTGATGACAATCCTGAAGAACTTCTCAATAGTAACAAGTCCCAAAAGACAGAGTTGACTGAATGGTTCATTGCCAACCAAAAGTATCCTGCTGCCCATGCTTACACTTATCAAGACTTTCCTCCCTTCTATGTCTGGAATCAAAAGAATAGAGCATGGACACCACGTATTCAACACTCAACTATTGGCAGAATGTACTATGTTCATCCCTCAGCAGGAGAGCGCTTTTACCTCAGGACCTTGCTTACTATTGTTAGGGGTGCCAAGGACTGGAAAGACATTCGCACTTATCAAGGCATTGAGTATCCAACCTTTCGTGAGGCCTGCTTTGTACGTGGCCTTTTGGAGGATGATGGAGAGTGGGATATGGCCTTGGCTGAAGCAGCAGACATGCAGACTGGATCTCAACTTAGATCCCTCTTTGCCACCATCCTTTGCTTCTGCATTCCTTCACAACCTCTTATTCTTTGGAACCGCTACAAGGACAAAATCTGTGATGATCTGCATGTGCATCTTACTGCCATGGGCTTTCCTGATCCTACTCAAGAGGATGTCTTTGATTATGGCCTCTATCTTCTGGACAAAGTCCTTACTGGAATGGGAAAGCGCCTCATTGACTATCCTCCTATGCCTTTGCCTCTGCAAGATTGGAACCAAGCTGCAAATGTGCTTCTTCAGGATGAGCTCAACCATGATTATGTGGCTCTTTGGGAACAGGTCAGTTACCATGCATCCTTCAAAGTTGACCTTGAGCTGACCTTGCACTTCAGGTGGAGACTAATCTATTGACCTTCAATGCTGAGCAGAGGAATGCCTATGATGCTGTTATGCAGTCAGTCCAGTCCAACCAAGGCCAAGTCTTCTTTCTGCACAGTGCTGGAGGTGGTGGAAAGACCTATGTTTGCAACACCATTGCTGCCTCTGTCCGCTCTCAGGGCAAGGCTGCTCTTTGTGTTGCTTCTTCTGGCATTGCCTCCTTGCTTCTGGATGGTGGTCGCACTGCTCACTCTCGCTTCAAAATCCCCATTGAGGGTCTCAATGAGCGCTCCTCTTGCTCTTGGGAGAAAAACTCTGACTTTGATGGACTTATTCATCAGACTGGGGTGGTCATTTGGGATGAGGCACCAATGCAGCATCGCTATGGAATTGAAGCCGTTGATCGCACTCTTCAGGATCTCATGGACAACCCTGCTCCTTTTGGTGGTGTTACTGTGTTGTTTGTTGGAGACTTTCGTCAGACCTTGCCTGTGGTTCCCAAAGGAAGCAGAGAGCAGATTGTGGCTGCATCTTTGCGCAAGTCCTCACTCTGGAATCACATCCAACTTCTCACTCTCAAACAAAACATGCGCCTAGACCAGACTCCTGAGAGCAATGCCTTTGCTCAATGGCTCCTCAATGTTGGTTCTGGCCATAACCTTGGTGAAGACAAGTCTATTGAACTTCCTCCCAACATGCATCTTGATAACAACACTAAGCAGTCCTTGATTGACTTTATCTATCCTGATATCTCTGATCAGCACCCCAAACCAGACCACTTCTTCCTTGACCGTATGATTCTTTCTGGGCGCAATGACACTGTTGCTGAGATCAACAAGGAGATTCTGGCCAAGTTTCCTGGAGAAGACAAGCTCCTAACCAGCATTGACTCTGTCAAGGACATAGAGGGTTATCCTATAGAGTTTTTGAACTCTATCAATATCTCTGGCCTTCCTCTTGCTCACCTCCATGTCAAAAGAGGTTGTCCTCTCATTCTTTTGCGCAACATTGATCCCTCTCATGGCCTATGCAATGGCACTCGACTCATCTTACTTGAGGCAAGGACACGTGTCTTAAAATGCCGCATCTTGGGTGGAGCACATGCTGGAAGAATTGTGTTTATTCCTAGATTAACCCTGGAGCCATCTGGAGAAGCCTGCCCTATTCCTTTGAAGCACAGACAATTCCCTGTCCATGTTGCCTTTGCTATGACCATCAACAAATCACAAGGACAGTCTGTCAAATTTGTTGGATTGGATTTGGAGCGGCCTGTATTTTCCCATGGCCAACTTTATGTTGCACTGTCACGCTGCACATCAGGAGATAGAATCAAGGTGTTATTCCCACCAGACTCACAAGGGACCAAAACCACCAATATAGTGTACCCTGAGGTATTGCAAGGCATTTTGGATAATCAATAGTATGTTTTGGATCATAATCATTGTGACATGGCTAACAATTATAATAGGACTTGAACAAGGACTGTAGTATAAAACTTATATAGAAACTTCTTACATTTTGACTCTCAATCCCCACTCTAACTTCTTATATGTATGCTTGAAATAAAACTGCTACTCTAACTTGGCTGCTTGACTAAAACCCAACCACAAACTAAGCACTATAACACAAACTTAGATTAAGCACTGTCACATAACCTCAGACTAAGCACTGCAACAAAAACTCGAATTAAGCATGGTTGCGCCGTCGCAACGCGACGGGTGAGAAGCTAGTCAATTGAATGCTAGGAGTCCATACGCGTGGACTGTCGTGGTTTAACCATTCAAGTGCCGATTTAATAGTGCCTGCGTCGCGGATCGTGCGAATGGTGTCTTCTTGAATACCTTTCAGCAGCATAAATGCGGCAAAGTGAGGGCAACTGACTGTGTTTGGCTAGCACAGCCAATACTGTCATTGCTTGCCCGTCAGGTTTGATCAGCTCTTTTATGGCGCCAGTGGCAATCAAGTCCATACGAATGTTAGCTACAACATGAACAACGAGCATTTTTTTCGGGATTAATTCAAGAACGCTCACAATGGATTGAAGCACGCAAAATCACACTCATGTGTGTGGAGTCGGTGCCTATACGGTTAGTGCTGGTCATCGCGCCGATTAGTTGGTGGATCATTTTGTCCTCGATCATAACCTCGCGGGCCTTATCTGTGTCAGTGTTCAAACGTCAGAGAATGAGTTGAGATTAATCACAGTCAAAAATTACCATGTTTCAAGAACACCAGAAAAGTTAATGCTATCATATCAAGTGTCGGAACTCGTGATGTGTCGGGTTTGGAGGTTAAAAGAAGTTGAACCAGAGTTTGGAGAGTCTTGATTTTAAGAAACTCTTCGCAGAAGACGTCTGTAACACAATCAATACGATGAGGCTGGAATATAATCAATCAAGATACCGTTGTCCGCCAAGGTCTGAATGCACTTTAAAATTACGACCTGGACTTTGGAATCGATCGACAATTGTAGCATGTTATGAACGGTGGCTAAAATCCCAGAACCAATGATTTCTGTTTTGATAGTTCCTGTACGAGAGTCAAACAGCGTTAGACGGCGTCCAGACATGACCGCACACCTGGGATCGCCGAGGGCAAAAGGGACACTAGAGAACAAAGTCCGAGAATCCGTGGCCCAGTTTGCTTGATTATGCCATAGAGCGAATTGCGAATATTCCTCCGCGCCTCGATTCTGAAAGCCGATGAGATTACCGACAAAACACCCTTCCACGAGCGATCTCTGAGGTCTATACAGATAGTGTATAATTTCAGCATGAGTTAAGGTATCAGGAAGACAACTTTACAAGTTTTGATGTTCGGGATCAAAAAATTCGCTGCGAATATTTCTACATCTTCTGTTCCTATTTGATGTTGTGGAATATCGCCTATAGAGCCATCAGACACAGAAACGTTCAAAGGCATAAATGAACGAACTTCGGACGAGAAGTCTGTAAAGACTTGGTGCAATGCGAGTTTGGAACATTTTATCTGTGATCTTGATGATTCTGAAGAGGTGGCACGAGCTGCCGCTCGCACCATTTGATTCTTCGAGGGCCTTGGAAATTTGCGTGCGCGTCTCATCGTTCGCTGAATGAGAGAATTCATTTCAACCATGTCATTAAACGAAGCATGGTACCCCACCCGAGAGCGCCAGGCGAGAAAGACAGTCAAAAACGCTGCATTGAATGTTTAGACTTCCGTTCGCGAGCTCTTTCGTCAAAGCTGGAATAATTTCCGGGGACGCTAGGATATTTGAGTGCACGTTCGCTGTGAACTCGTGAGCCTGGAAGCAGAAAAACGAACTACACGACGTACAATGCTTCAACAGCTGGAGGATACATTTGAAGCTGTGCTCTTGGAGATTGGGAGTTTCAGAGCACGAAAGAATGATAGCAATGGCATCGTCTATCTTGGTGATTGCCTCTGCTCCTGTAGCTAGACATGCGAACAACATTCAGGCGACGCTTCATTCAGTAAGGCGGGGAACGATGACAACACCACCCACCAGATGCGGCAGTGAATGCCAATCGGTTAAGATTGTACAGCCCGTTCTCCGAAGTGGTTTGAAGGCTACTGATAGCCTTCGGGATATATGATAAGTCAAAAAGATCCATCTCCAGAATCTGCTCGAATCGTTCGGTCCAGGAAGAATCGTTGTCTTTCCCTGTTCCAACAAGCTCTTTGAAATCAAAGTCTGTCAAAGTCGCCTTAGGAGCGTAGTGTTTATCCTTAAACGCAACGGAAGCGTGTATATGTTGGCCTTCCATTATCATACGACCTTTGCCGCGATGAGGAAGTCTGTAAGACGGAATGAGGAATGAGATGAGGAGCATGTCTTAGCACAGTCACCTGGTTGTCGTCGATATGCCCTTTTGTGGCGTGTGATCTACACTTGTTCGCATTAATACAGCCCCGGTGACAAGGAAGTGACGAACCTTTGGCATTGTTTATATTCCTGTACGTCAACCGCTTGATCGGTAGATATTCCATGACCCACCAGAGCCACTTCAAAGACTCTGTAGGTTTGCTCTCACGAAGCTTTTTCCAATCCCATGCAATTTCATTGCGTCGCTTGAGCCCCAGGCCAGCAGCGCGGGCTTCGTTCTCCATCCAAAGTAGAGGAATCGCAGCTTGATTCAAGTCCTTGTTCTCTTCTGCTCCACCGCCGCTGAAAAGATGGTGGAAGGCGTGAGAGGCTGTACTGAAAAAGTAACAAGCAAACCTACATGTCAGAGTGACATCCTGCAAACCACACTTCCTTGAGGTACTTTGGGCCTTCATGGGCGACTTCATTCTTCTCACTAACTGGTACGTTGTCATTTGGCATGGCGGCAAATTGGGAAAAATCGTCTTCTTCAGCATCGTTTTCTATCGTATCGGATGACGTGGGGAGGTCCTGTTTGGGAAGATGAGTATCTTCATCAGAAGGAGGCATCGTTTTCCGAAAGTATTCTGGGAGAAATTTGACGCGGCGCTCATCCAACGCAAGTGCGTGGCGAACGACGCAGATATGGTCACAAGTTTCCGTAAGAGGAAGAGGCACAGTTCTGGTGATACCGATCGAAGATACAGTATCCCTGATGGCGCAGTTTGTTAAAATCCAGACGTTGATCGGGCGAAAGCTTACCAAGCGCCAACAAAGTGCACTTTGACGTCTCTCGAATAGGTTGTCTTGAAATGAGGCGCAAGATCTGCAAGATCGTCTCAGAATGCGCTGTAGAATAGATGTCAATAAACCTGAAAATAGACCCCCACCTTCAAATTTCTGATCTGCATATAGATTGTAGGCGCTGTGGTGCAGAAATGAGCAAGTCTAAAGGCATCATGAAGTGAAGTCGCACAATGGAATCTGCTCTATATTTCCGGGATACATGAGGCCAACCTGCAAAGACCGACATGAGCCATATTTCATATTTATTCGCCAAAAATACGACCTTCTCTATCATCCCTGCCAGCGTTCGTACTTGATATGCGCCACGCGAGAAACCTACGAGAAAGGATCTTAAAATATTGCACAGGCAGAATAACATCGCTCTAGTTCGTGTACCGAAGAGGAAGATGCTGTCGCCTGGCTCATAATGATCTGTGAGCCATCGGTAAGCGCGTTGCACTATGCGCTCAAAACGCCTAACCAAAGGGTATGCAGAGTCAGATGATCGAAACGCTGAGACAATGAAGCAGCCTACAATGCGATCGCGAGGTCAACTTTACTGCTTACAAGCCGCCTCCAATGCCCGAACGTCCACGCGGAGGGAGGGGCGTATGTTCCGATACCGCTATTGTAGTACGACAATTGTCCGGGACCTTTGATAATACGGCTGTGAAGCTCGACGACGTTCGTATTCTGGGCCAAAGGTAGCATCAAAGTACTGAACACATAGAGTCGGACGGTCGATACCTTTTTCCCGAAGTGATTCGATGTACCGTCGATGCTGACCACCAAGATACGTCCTTGGCCTGCACATCTACTGTCGCACTTATCTTCACACCGGCAGCTACAACTGCAGCGACATCTACACGGGCATGACTTTTGACAATTGCACCCGCATCGTCGCTTCCAATCTGGCTGGGTAGAAAACGAACGTCTATTTGGAGCTGGAGAGGGAACGCCAGATGGCCAAACCATCACGAGTGAGCGATTTGGTGGTGACCTATCGTCTCAGAAATCTTGTGATGCGGTATTTATCCTTCTGTGAAGGACAAGTATGATGAAGAAGGAGTCGCAATGCCTCAAATGATCGATGGTACCATGAATTCAGGGCTGAGCAGAAGCTCGCCGCTACGATGCCGGCTCATCGACGGGACCTATCGATATATGAACTTCCTGTAGACATCGTGTTTCTCTGTATCTCCGGTGAGTGGGAACGGGGACGCGATGTTATGGTGCATATCGGGAGGGCACTTGACTGAAAATAGAAAACAAGAGAGAAAGGCGTGCAAGACGCATGGCACTGTTTGCGCCCAAGGCTTGAATAGATGGTCTGCACCGGGGTTTCAATGTTGGCGACTAGAGCAATGCATGCAAGACGCATGGCCCGAATAACCAGATCCCGCTCACGCCTAATACTTGCACAGGCTAGCTGCGTCGGGCTTTCAGGACGTCGGGACATCGATTTTGATTCTTCTAATCTGTAGAGGCCACGAGTTAGAGTACCGTTTGGACCGAATATTCTACCATGATGCATGGCTCTCGCCTGACTAATAAGATAACAAGACAATTCTGACAATCGTGAGGTGACTGCAACGAGGACATCCGAGAGTCGGCAAAATCAAGAGAGAGAGAGAGAGAGAGAGAGAGAGAGAAATGAGGCGGGCTTCTCAAATGTCAGATCGGATAATGGGCATCATCGTTGCGCCGGCAGAAGACACGGCGAGACGCACGACAAGTCGTCGGAAGCGCCAAAGCTGCACAGGAGTCATCTGACTCGCATCGATGTTCTAAAAAGTGAGGTGTCCGAAAAGAATGGGTCACAGTGCTCACCATTTGTGCCCAGACTTCACATGAGGCTTGAATCGTCGATGAGTGCCTTTGTGTCCAGACTCTTGGTAGTCTCAACGTTCTGTGAAATGCGAGCCCCAGGGACGCTTGTTCGGTGATCGTAATGGTTTCATAGATAAAGCGGATTGCAGTGAGGTATCGATGCAGATGATGACATCCACCGCGTACAAATGCAATATCGCACACACTACGGGGCATACCACTTTTGTAAACTCAAAGTCATATCGGCGGCGGAGAAAATAATATCGTCTAGTGGTAATGGCTTGTCAGCGCACATCGCGAGGAAAGAAGTATTGCTTCGAGATCGCTTCAGTGAGATGTGAAAAGGAAAGGCGAGCTACGAGATGCTCGATGTGCGCGCGACGGCACGGACGTGACCATGCGTGCGCTCGCGCAAGGATGAGGAGCATTACACAGACATTATACAGATAGTGATGGATTTGGCGTGTGCACAATTGTGAAAGAAGAGTTGTAATTTAGGCCTGATTGCATGAAAGAGGCGAGGCCGCGACCCAAGATGCTTTGGCCCCCTTCAGCGTTGGACGACGAGGCTCGCAAGACGTAGGAAAGCGCCGACACTACTATCGCATCGAGATGCCTGTGTATGATTTCTCAATGAGCGCGCGATGTGGACAGATTCAAAGTAAGAAGTGCTTTTGACGCACCTTGTTCAATACTGAGTTTTGACGAACAAGGTAGGGATAGTTATAATGAAATTGGGAGCCGGGCGGAGCGAGTAGAGTCAGGATGAGTCACAGGTCCATCATCGGGAGAAACAGAAGGAAAGGACGCAGCCGAGGGCAACGTGTAATGCTTGAGTGAAACGTTTCAAAACGGACACAGACACGGAACGGACAAAATGACTATCAAGTTAGGTTCGCGGTGATGAATACACGCACATAAGATGAGATGTAGGTGGGGAGGACGTGAGTGAGTGAGGTGGTTAATGCGACGTACCAGATCATAGAATGGCCTGCTTGATCTACATGTCTCTTGCAAATGACATGACCCGTTCAATGGCTCTCATCTGCGTGATGTCTGCGAAGAAGATAGTAAGATCCGATGGGAGATTCAGCAGGGCAGGCGACATTTGTGATCTACAAAAACTGAGCAAGACTCAAGAGATAGCCATGAGCAGACGATTCGTCGAGGCAGCAAAATGTCGATTTAGTAGGTGCCTGAGCTATCTCTCAAGGATGCAGATTATCGATGCAAATGTGTGTGGATATCGCAAAAGGTTTGAAGGGTGAAACAGATAGCCATGCCCAAGGTTGACATATTGAGGAAGATGAGTCTTTTTAGTGGTGAGGCGCAGTTGGGGCGAACAGTGGGACGGTGACATAGCTGCCGGGAAAACTGCGAATCAAGCTCCAGCAAGGCATCACAGCAGTATCACAGCCTGGTCGACAGAGTTCTCTGTAACAGATCAGAGAAGACGATCGTGAATCCGTCGCTCGCGATGCAGCCGGGCACTGGCCGGGCGCGCAGCTGGTCGGGTGAGGTCGGGTGTCAGAACCGCGTGGGAATTCTTCTGTTTGCAAGTCGCTGCAGACAGTCTGCAGACAGACTGTACTCAAGCCTGACTATAGCCTCCGTGGTTGACCTTGCACAGAAGAAAGACAACTGAAGACAGTACTGCAGACGTTGTCCAGTGGCTTGCTGTAATTCCACACGATCGAAACTCTCACTTGGAGGGGCCGTGGATAACACAATCCACCTAGGTAGCATAGTCTCGTGTCGTGCCCAGAGCTTCCCAGAATTGGCCGTGAGGCTTTCACCTTTCTATTTGTCAGTCGGAGCGCAATTGATAGTTTGTTCAGGTTTCTTCATTGATATGGGTGTCAGTTGCACAATGTACGTTCATCCACTTTCAGAATGGGATTTGGACGGTCGAATAAGGTGTAAGGGACTGCCTCGTCTGTGATCCCACTGTTACCAAGTGGCTTCTGATATACAACAGTATCTCCACACCAGCTCACCTTTGTGGATCACCTCTCTCCCATATTCGATGCCGCCAACGTACCATGCGAGATATGAGCAGAAGCTTTCAGGCGTCGGCTATGGCGTTCCTTTGTGGCAAGCTGACCCGTACGTCGCAGAAGATGAAGTTCCGATTGAGGGTTTTGCCTACGTGTTGTACGTTCACCGCGTTTTATGGACCGATTCGGGGGAAGTCACGAAAGTATCATGCGGGTAGCGCTCAGAAACTCCACTACGTTGTATAGGGCAGTGCTCCCACGGCTCCCGCCATTCGTCTTTCGCAATCTGTGAGGGCCCTATGGCGTTGCATACGTCTCGTGCTCTTTGCATCGTCGTGTTTGTTCTTGTCTGACCGGCAATTACTCTCCTGTTCCCCGGAGGGAAATGATCAAAAGACAACAGAGATACGAGATGCAGACAATCTGTCCAGAACGATGACTATAATACTATAATTGCTGATTTACACAGATAGCAAGAAACGAGGACCTGGATTCCTTCCCGCTGCATTGTATCACGGGAACATGTATGCATGATACTGCTCTACAAATTCACAGAGACCGAATGAACGCTGCCACTCTTTCGGCCCCTTGCATGTCCACGGATGTGACCAGCGAGATGTGCGCATCTGGCCTGATTAACACAACTGCACCGACAGTAGCGTCGATCCCGTACTGCATGTATGTCTTCTTTCCACCACCACCAGCAACTTCAACGACAGAATCCTCAACATGCACGCTAAAAAATGCAAGTTCAAACCACAGTCGAGAGACCAAGGAGGTGCAGACATACATTTTGGCGTCGCGGACGACATCTGGGACATCTGTCCAGTGCAATCCTTCTTTGGATCCCGCGAGAACAACATATAGTCGCAACAACGCTCTCTCCCTCTGACCATCCCCTGTCACTGTACCTTTCACATCGGCGATTCCGCTGAGGACCTTCTCGGCAAAGGTCGCCAGTCCTTCGGGTTTTTGCGCAGCGCTCAGGGTGCCGGGAAATACAAGCAGTTTGAAAGAACCGTCAGAGATGATGAGATCCTGTACATTGAGCGAATGCCAATCGTTGAGCCTGAGGATGGGCGAGGGCGGTAGACGCTCTCCGGGGATCAATCCTGATGCAAGGGGAGAGGGTTCTTCGACCGGGGTCAGGGGAGAATGATAAAGGATACCGATTCCACTGTTTCATGCGGAGTTAGATCTGGGTACAGAAGAGACGAACATTAGCGTACCTAAGGAACCTGTTCTTGTCTTCCCATATACTATATTCGCGCATCGTCAAGACCGCTACGCGATGTTATGGAGTCAACACTAATGCCTACCGCTTGTATTTGCCCTCGCTCCCACCCAACTCGAAAGCCTTCGCAACGTGCCGATCGAGAGCGATGAGTTCGCGCGCGTAGGCCCGTCGCTCGGTATCATACGTCGAGAGTAAAGAGGGCTTGGCCCAGCCGCGAAGGACATATGCAATTTTCCACGCTGGGGGATTCAAACAAGGCGCTTGTGAGTGCATAGTCAATAAGCTTGGATGATGAAATGTACCGAGATTGTGCGTGTCACGCATGGATGCATTTGCACCCTGGCCTGCTTTAGGGGAATGCGTGTGGCCTGAACGTTCAAGGCATAGCCATGATGATCGAACAATTTAAGAACGTGGTCGAGACAAAACTTACAAGCGTCACCAGCGATAAAGACACGGTTTTGGACAGAGTAGGCGGACGCGACCTGTTGGACAACTGTGATGAACGGGGTCAGCTTGCGCTCAATCTATTGAATTCGAACCGCCCACCCTTGTATGTGCTCGCCCAGGTGCAATTGGTGATATTCATTTCATACGGTTTGAAGACCTGTTGCGCATGAAGATGTCAATCCCAGCACAAGAGAGGGTGCCGAGGGGGTGCATACTTTGTTCACCGTGCTCTGTACCGAAGCGACAAGCTCCTCGCGCGTGAACTTCCGCTTTTCCCAGTGCTCAGGAACAAGGGGAACGTAGAGACGCGCGGTTCCACCTGGCTTGGGAACCAACTATTGTCGCCAGTCTCAGGAATCAGCGTGACTGTATGTGGATAGAGGAGTACTCAACCCCAATCATCCCGCACACCGGAGATGTGATGATACACTTGATGCGCGTGTCGGGGAACGTGCCCGTCGGCGTGAAATCTAGGACGCCCCAGTTGATCGGACGATCCTCTATAATTGACACGAATCCAAAAGTCAACGAATCCAAAAGATCTTTGGGGAGCCCGCGCACCACCGTCACGCTCCATCTTGATACCCATGGCATCACGAACCCAAGAGCGTGCACCTGCGCGCCACGCGCAGTGAAGTTAACTCAAGCAAAAATACGACGATAACAGTATATCATACCATCGCAGCCTACTAAATACTTTGCATGGACGACTCGCTTCTCCATTGCTTCTTTCCTTTCTGGTCGAGCCAACGTGACCTACCCACAAGTCACCTGCGCTCAGCACTTTCTCGAAACCCAGGAATCCATGCACTAGAGTATGATGTAGAGGATACACGTACTTTCACAGGGTATGAATTGAGGTCATGCACGTCCACCGCCTCATCAATCTGTAAGGCAGTGGGGACGTACGGTTGTTCTACGTGTACACCATATTTCGCTGACGAGTCTTTGAGTATTCCTTCCATACCTTCTATGGGAATGGTAACCTATATAGTTTGTAAAGACTCCGTTCAGATGTAGATCAGCGACGTAAGGATGCTTGCCTCGTAAGGATACCGCGCATCAGCTACTGATATGTTGGGTACCAGAGGTTGTCTCTGAGTATAGTGGCCAGGTGAGCTGCCAATCTTAGATCAAAGGAGTGTCCATGAGCTACCTCAATGTGTTCAGTCTCTGGGTTGGTCATATACGCTGCCTGAGAAGAGAAAAGAATCAACAATTGTGCTTGGACCTGTGATTTCGGAATGCTATAAACGCAGGCGCACCAGTGCAAGGATTGGCCACCCTTCTTTCATAAGACGTTCTCTCAATCCATAGCTCTGCCATATCTCGGCGGTACCAGGTTGGATACCATCAGCTTGCCCATACGACTCCCCTGGTTGTCTGCATTGATATAAATAAAGGTCGCGTCAGAGAGCACTCTTGCAAAATTCACAAGCTCTTACCTGCGATCGACGATGATTGTCTGGACACCTAATTCCCCAAGGGCGTTCGCGCACATGAGCCCGGCAGGCCCAGCGCCAATGATCAGCACGTCGGTTGTCTCTACCATAGTTCCATTGGGGTCCATCATTTGATACGTGTCTCGACGGATGCTGATATCGAGGCAACAGTGAGAGATAGTCAAAAACGCCCACCATAAATACATACGCGTCTGCACAGGAGTAGTTATAGGTCAGGAAATAATCAAGACAAATCTATTAGAAATACTCACCGATATGGGAATTGGGAGGAAGTTATAATGAAGTCTGCGTTGCTAGTGACCGCCGATGTTGACGGTGCGAGCAGGACGACTAGTACGTTGCAATGAGGCGCTATTGGTATATCGATACTCATCTCATATGACAAGAGCTGACTCGCTAGGCGTCTATCCATCAGATTCTCGCAGGATTAAGCAGAGAAATTACCGGATATGATGTCGAGTTTGGACACAGCACTTGACCCGTGATCTCATACGTGGAAGATCTAGGTCCAGAGCGCTTCACGCGAAACTTTGCGACATTTTGGCAGTCAGTCACAAGTAGTATCAGGATTTTACGAGAGAGAAGTGTGGAGGACCCGGTGAGAAGACAGTGTGGGGAAAATGACGACGATCCGTTCTTCCTGATGACCTGTTGAATGGGGATGGTGGGATGTGGTGTGACAGCGAATATTTACTCGTTTCGACAGTGCCGTGTGGATATCCGAAGTGTTAAGCCATGATAATCAATGTTCATGACGAAGGCGCTGTAGCAGGCCGTAGCAGGCTGTATGTAGCTTTCGCAAGTCCAATTCCCGAATGGCATCCGAGATCGTGATCAGTTCGAACACGTTCGAACCAGCTCGACATTCTTCGGATAGATCCGAATCCTTTCTCCGCTGGTGTGAGCGTCCAGCCCACGCGTCTTCCCACTTTCAGGATTTAATCAAAAGGCATGATACTGCCTCAAGTTGTGCTTGTAAAAATCACTGCTATCGGGGCTCCTCTCTAGGACTACGGAATCTACCTGATCCTCCGGAACACTTCCAGAATCATGACACAGTCCTCCAGCGTCTGACTGATTGTTCTCCAATGCACTTTGAGGCGTCTTGCAGCTTCGATCTTCTTCGATCTCTCAGTAGTCGCCGATAATAACCATTGCTAGGTAAGCACATACCATAAATCAGATCACAGGGTCCTCCCACATGTCCCCGCTTTGACCTCGTTTTTACTCATATCATGTTCCAGGAGCCGAAGATCTTGTTTTTGAGCGTCAAACATCAGTTACGGGTATCTCGTCCGAGGCAAATTTGTTCTGGTTGAGTCGGATTTGTATTCCCAATTTCCGAAAGCCGTTCGAACGCGAACGTCATCTCTATCGCACCCAGCTATGTCGGCGACGCCAGCGATCCTCATTGTAAGTTTGTGCACTTCATGGTTATATACCACCAGTGATACCTTTATAGGTGGGCAGCGGGCCAACAGGGTTGATAGCAGCCATCACTCTTCGCCAGAACGGCATACCGATTCGGGTAATTGAGAAAAGAGATTCATTTCACGGAGGCATTCGCGGAACTGCGCTTCAAGTCAATCAAGTCTCTTGTGACTTGTCCTGCCATGACTGACTTCGTGCTATGCATCATCACTACAGCCCCGCACTCAGGAAGTGCTAGCATCCATCGGCGTGCTTGACGACGTCATGACCATCGCGACGCCCCCGTTTATGATCGGTGCGCATGGCATAGGTAAGGCAATCGTGGAAGAGATCAAATGGGCAGAAGAGGCCGATGCGTCTCTCGGTACACCCTACGTCCACCCGATCAGCGTGCACCAATCCGTGTTCGAGGACGTTTTACGGAAGCACTTAGAGAAGTTGGGCACCAAGGTCGAGTTGAGCGTCGAGTTGGTCGGGATTGAACAGAGCGAGGGCTCTAACACAGTCTTCGCTCGCCTCAAAGGTCAAGACATGGAGATTACTGAGGAATACGAGTATATAATTGCTGCGGATGGTGCCCGTGGTGTGTGCACAGTCGTTGGATCAGTTTGATCTCAGTTCTCATTGATCATAAAGGCACTACACGGCGGATGCTCGGTGTATCATTTCTAGGAAATACTGAGGAGGGTGACAAGATGTTCGTGGCGAATGTAGAGTGTACAGATATTGATCGCACAGTAAGTTGGTGATTTGCTCTACAGCAACCATCAATATTCACTCGAACTTAGCATTGGCACAGATGGGGTGTGTTCGGTGTTGGAGTGTACGTTATTTTAATTGGTCAACTGCGTAATTATTTAACGATCGTTAATGTTCATGTAGGTTCTTTCTCAAACCTGTCGAGCCAGCACCCATGTTCCAGATTCAAGCTATGGGTGCCGAGCTCCCGAACCCTCTCCCACAAGATGACGAAGGCATACAGAAGATGTTCAATCACATCAGCAAGTCGAACGATATCAAGCTGAAAAACGCGACATGCATTTCAGAATGGAGGCACGAATTATGCATCTTTAGTTTTTTCTGATAGCTGACGCGTCATGACTAGAGCAAACATTCGCATGGTCGACAGATTCAGCGTGGGGCGCGTCTTCTTGGTTGGCGGTATGAATAAACATGCCCTTGTTTCGTGGAAAACTCAGTCACAAGTCGGTTCATAGAATCCGCGCACTGTCACTCTCCAGCGGGCGGCCAAGGCGCGAACACCGGGATTCTTGACGCGGTCAGTCGCAACTCCGTTTTCACATGTACGTCACATTGCTCACTATATTGCCATCAGGCCAACATCAGCTGGAAACTCGCCCTCGTTCATAAGCGTCTCTCCTCACCTTCTCTCCTACAAACATATGAAGACGAGCGCATGCCTGTTGTCGCCGAGATGCTCAACCTCACCTCTGATCTCCACCGTCTCGCATTTGCTCGTATGCCTCCTTCCACACTCGAGGCGCGGAAGAGGGATGGGGTGCCGGGCGACCCTATGTGGAGACCGCGGCAGGGGTTGCAGCTCGGCGTCAACTGTCGCTGGAGTCCGATTGTGTTCGAGGGCAGGGAAACTCAAGAAGAAGCTAAGAAGATCGAGAGCGCGAAGGCGAAAGTGAGCCCGTATGGCGTCGCAGGAGACAAGCTCCGCGCAGGTGATCGTGCGCCAGACGCTTCCTTCTTGGTGGATACGGCCACAGGTGTACAAACGACACTTTTCAACGCTATAGCTGGCTTGAACAAGCATTATATCCTCGTGTTCGTCGGACGCACCTCCGTAGATCTGGATACATCAATTTCCGCGCTCGACAAGTATCGCCGCGCTGGCCTCGCTTCGACTATTCTATTGTTTCCAGCTGGCTCCCATGCTCCTGCGGATGTGCCAGGCACTCGCTCGTTCGTTGATAGCAAAGGACACGCGTATGCAGGTTTCGAGGTGGATGAGACGTCGAGGCTGTATGCCTTGGTTAGGCCGGATGGGATGATTGGCGCTTTTGCAACTGATGTGGAGCAGCTGCGTCGATTTCTCGCGGGGTTTGCGTCTGGTGTCGAAACTGCATAGCGCTCGCGTTTTGTGAGTGTTGCGATGCGAAGTGGACAATCGTTAGCACGTTGCTCCTTTGACCATCAGAGACATGTGCACAGATGCCAGTGCGTGTTTTGACAATATATTACTGGCAAGTGATGTAGCCTGATGACGATCTACACGTTTTGCTTTTACGCTTACATGACTATAAGATGACTTCTTGACTCTTGAATCAGACAATTCAGGATTGTGTGCAAATGATATGCACGTGTATACTGCGCAGACGAGCAGCGACGTGTCTTTCCTTGCTTTAGGACCGCTGCTTTGAAATGTCAATAATATTATCGCAGGTATTTATTCAGAATTTACAATGGTATTGCCTAGAGCCAAGCTAGTGAGCTGAAAGATCGAACCGGGCCATCCCATGCAACGTAGCGACCGGATTCCGATGCATATCCTTTGGGGTGGCGTGAGTCTGCGAAAAGATGCCCGATGTCTATCCATCACCATGTCGCTTTTGAAGATGTATCTACGAAGTTGTGCACAACAACGCACTCATCGCGGACAAACGCCTTGACATGACTGTCTTCTGGTGAGATCTAAAGACATTGAGCATGAAGCGGTTGGTCAAGATACAGGATGTGGCCATGACAAATGGAATTGGGAACTCGAGCAATTGTTCCTATTGTCAAGGCATCAAGAATGCATTAGGTCCAAGGCAGCAATCCCACTTACCAGAGACAGTACCCAGAAGAAGGCATTGAATAAATACACGGAGAACATACTAAGTGCGATTTTAGTAACTTAGGCACGCAAATTGGAAGAGAAAAGGCGTACAGGATGGTGTATATGGCTGTGTCTCGCACGAGCACACGTTGAAGGTCAGCAGACAGTTGCAATGATAACTGGTGTCCGGTGTCGTGGAATAAGGTATAAGTTGCCAGACCACCGAGCACAACTTCCAAGGCCGCTATCGGAACAAAATAGAGGGGCAAGTATTTCGGAACGTTACTTGTTGCACAGAATGGCGCATGCACCAGTGGATTGTGGATGACTTGCGCTGAAGGGATAGATACAATCAACAAACAAAAGGCATTCATCAATCAAGCAGCGACGAACTTGTGACTGCATGAAGAGCCTTGTATATGATGAAAGCACTTGCACTCATAGCTGAAAGGAAGCCAACCGCCATGCATCCCATGATCCGTCTACGACTCCAGCGCATTCCACTACGACACAGTGCATATACACGCATCATCAATGTGACTGAATGAGCGCAATCAGTAATAGTCGAATAAGGTGGATGCAAACGACTCTACCATCAACCAAAGCCGCGGTGATGAACACACCTGTCCATCCCTGCCAGTTGAGCCAGTAGCGACCTAACAGGAAAATGATCAAAATCTCGACAGACACCGTTGCTAGCTACTCACAACTAAGTAAAGGTCAGCGGGGTTCAAGATCAATCATCGACTTCAAGATGCAGAGCACGCACAACTGTGTGCCAAGTTTAGTATGAGTGATGAATCATCTGTGGATGACTAACCGAGTCAGACAAAGCGGTTGCAAAGAGGGCTTGAGTGCGCTTCAATCAGGTTCATTATTCACCAGTCCTTGAACACGACTTGCTCACCATAATTGTTGAAACTAAGATGAAAAACCTCAGCTAAACTCATATTCAAAGGATTCAATGACTGGAAGGCGTACAAGACAGTTGATAAACCGTAGTAACGATTCTTCCCCAGCTCTGAGTGGTCGTTCTATTTCAGAGATACCAAGAACTCACAATTAAAAATAGGATTTTGCCGATGGACCATGTATGTTTGTCCTATTCCAGAAGATGACGTTCTCAAAGCTATGTCGGGGGCAACTGATACAAGCCTTACCCAGGCCATTTCAACCTGGATATTCATCAGTCTGTAAGTACGAATGCTTGAGGGAGAAGACACGCACTTCATCTGCAAATGTGAGGACTGAAGCTTCCCTCAGTCAGGGATTCATGCTCGAGAGAGAGAATTAAGCCCACAATGATCATAGAATATCGCCATACTGGTAACCACTTGGTGAGTCGTGTCAGCTAAAATTGGAAGGTCATCTATGACATTGGCTTACATGCAGCAAGGCGGATTTTTTCGAGGTCATCAAGAGCAGTGACAGATTGAAGGAAATCTACGGTCCTGACCGCGGAAGCCATGAAAACGAAAGAGTTGGGTCTATCAACTGACTCTCCGAATCAGAACTAGGAGACTTACCTTTATATCCTCCGAGCATGGCAAGCGTGGCATCTGATCAAAGATCCTGTCTCGGGGCGATGTCCTCTCAAAGCTGATGATCACCCGGACTTCCCATGTAGATTGTATCTATTCGAATTGCAAACTCCTTGTGGCACAAGCGGTCCCGACGGGGATGTATAGACATTGATACCACCGCAACTCGCGTTGTGTGGGAGCAGCGTAACCCATTGCATCATGGAGGATCAGGTTCTGATCTACGTCCGAATGGCCAGGCCATGAGTATACGGGTCACTGAACACAGATACTCTTTACATGGAGGGGAAGCCCACACGATCGTATGGTAGCTGCCACGCTCAGGGAATCACCACTCCACTGCTATAAATATACAGGTGAGGACACATTCATCATCAAAGCCTGGAAAATTGCTCGCAACCAAACATTGAGACGACGCTGGTGACCCAAACGATTGTATGCGAAGACATACTGATTTGGCGTTAACATCTGTCCACGGTGCTCTAGATACGTTGATTCAAAAATTCCCTCCAACAGACTATAAAGAAGCCTCAACTCAATACGGAGGACGCAGACTAAGATGATCGCGCAGCTTTGATTGTGATGAATAGTGATGGAAGGCTTTCTTCCCCTAAGCCCGAAAATTCCGTGTCAACTTGAGAAACTTGCTTGAATTGACAGAATTGATCACTCACATACATATGTCTACCAAGCTCTGCAGGCCGACATGACAAGCATGGAAAAGAGACTATTTTTCAGCACCTTGATGACGGCATGATAGGCGTCAAGATTGACGAGCAGTGCCTCAAATGGACTGAGTTTTCTCATGACGTGCATTCGCACGAATAAAAGAAGAAAACTGGCGCCGGAAGGATCGGTAAACAAGCACCATTTACAAGCATGTGTGGTGGTCGAAAATGGGTCCGATGTACACGTGCCAGTGTGTGCAAAGTGCGCATGGGTTCCATATATAAGTAGGTTTCACGACACGAGACGCTGGGAAATATCACGCTAGAGAGGTCTACAACTTCAGTCGAGACCAAGGGAGTCAGCTTGATGCTCACCTCAACTGTGGCCGCCATACAGCCGATCTGTAGCAGCATGCGGAGTGTTCATCAATGGAAGTCGCCATTGACCCACAACCACGTGGGAAATCATCGGATTCTGTCATTCCCGAGCCGCCTTGCCAGCGGGTAGTGGAATGAAATCGAAGGCTATTCACAGACATACCTTCAGGTGCAAGTCTTATCTGCGACTGGTGATGTAAAAACGTGAGCAGAAAATTTGCATATCAAACTCCTGAAGTGAGCGAGGATCAGTATGGCACATGAGCTGCGTGCTTAGCTCGCGACACCGAAAAATGGCGTCTACGCCATTGCGCTGCAACTGAGATGGACAGTGGAAACCTCAGAGAGAAGCGGACCATCTAGGTAGGACCTACTAAATGCATTGACAAGAGCTATGACTCATCTTTAGATTTCCAGAGGATGACGTGTTCATCTGTGGAAGTGTATAGACTGGTGGCTTCAGCTTCCAACAGAATTGCACTATGTTTCAGAGAACGATTGGAGTCTCTGAGTTGCGAATCCACTATTCCGAGCTGAGTATATTTAGGACTTCGCTAGCCGAGTATCTGCCGCATCACTTTGTGAGCAATATTCGTCGTCTGATTATCCTCTATCGTTTCTCCCAAAAGTATCTCAACCGCCTGAATGGTGGATTTGACAACGACAGGAGTCTTGGTAGACATCTGAGCGACGTGCGACAAGGAAACCTGGAAGGTTATCGTGTAGTCATCGCATATAACAACCAGAAACTTATCTTCCAAGTATTGTTTGGCGTGACCCGAGTCTTTCACTTCAAACGGACAGCTCCTCGAAACCCATCAAGCGAGTCGACTATGATGGGACCCCGTAACGCAACGGGTGGGCAAAGCACATGGGATGCGATGCCCTGGTCTTCAGGAGATAGTTTGGGGCCACGTTCTTTGAGGTACAGGCGTGAAAAAATCATCAGAGCCATAATGCTTGTGTTGAAATTTCAATTCAAGCAGTTGTGAGAGAAGTGAGCGGATATATGAGCGCCAGCAGCAAGTCAGCAATCCGGGGTCCTACGGGTGCTGGGGTGGTTTCGCTCTCCGCCGATGTCATCTGGAACATCTCTTCCCCCCGTCCACTTGACTAGTATAAGCTGAGCGCTGACTCGCTGACTGCTGAGCATCGGGCAAATCATGGATTTCTCTCCATGAGAGAACTTACTCAGGCACCGTGCATCTACGTCCTGACCATTCCTGGCTAACCTCGCGCGGGATATAGTTGTTTAAATTATGAAAACAACAAGCATCTCCATTGTTTTCCCAGCTATGCCGGCGACGCCAGCGATCCTCATCATCAGTCTGAGCACATGACGATTTCAGACCTATACCCCACTCGTGATACTTTTATAGGTGGGCAGCGGACCAACCGGATTGATAGCAGCTATCGCCATTCGCCAGAACAGCATAGTGATCGGTGTAATTGTAGAAGAGATTCATTCTACACATAAATCTATGGAACTGGTCTGCAAATTAATCCACATCTCTCGTGACTACCTTCACCCATCATTGACTTGGTGTCATGCATCCTCCCTACAGCTCTGCGGTCAGGAATTGTTAGCATCCCTCGGCACGTTTGACGATGTCATGATCGCGACACCCTCGTTCACGAGCGGCGCGGATGGCATGGGTAAGGAATTTTTAGAAGAGATTGAATGAAAAGAAGGTGCCGATGCATCTCCTTTCATGCCGTATGTCCGCCCGGTCAGCGCGCACCAATTTGTGTTTAAAGATCTTCCACGGAAGCATTCAAGAAGTTGGACACCAAGGTCGAGTTGGGCGTCGGGTCCGTCGGTATCGAACAAAACCAGGGTCATAAAGCATTATTACCCTCCTCAAACGTCAGAGAATTGAGGTGACTGAGAAATCTGAGTATATCATTGCGGCGGACGAGGCTCGTGTAAGTACAATTCATAGTCATCGGAACATTTTGATCTCTACGCTCATTGCTCATAAAGGCACGCCGCAAAGAATGCTTAGCATCTCATTTCTAGTGTTCAACATAGAGTATTCAGATATTGTTCGCACAGTGGCAAAGCAAAAAAGAACAGAAAAATACAAAGTTCACTCGAATCTACCATTGGCACAGATAGGGCGTGTCAGGTGTCGGCATATACACCATTTTCATTCGTGAAAATTCAATGATTATAGTTTCTTCCTGAAACCTGTCGAGCCGGCACCCATGTTCCAGATTCAAGCTTTTTGAGTGTCGAGCTCACAAACCTTCTCTCAAAATGACGAAGGCATATAGAAGATGTTTGATCGTATCAGCAGATCGAGTGAGAAGTATTCATCACAGGAGATTATCTCATAGATTGTCCAATAAATAGCTACAATATCTATCCACCACCACATCGCCTTTGGGGACGTATCTACGAAAGAGATGTGCTCATCGCCGACAAACGCCTTGGCATGACTGTCATCTGGTGACATCTGAAGACGTTCAGCATGAACCGGTTTGTCAAGATACAGGATATGACTGTGACGAATGGGATGGGTAACTCAATTAATTTCTCCTATTACCGAGGGGTCAGATTCATTCCAGGTGGAACGCCAAAATCCAGCTCACCGAAGACAATGCCTCAAAGAGGGCATTCAATAAGTAAGTGAGAAACATACTAGGTTATATTTCAGTGACTGGGACACATAAACCTCATGAGCGAAGCGTATAGGATAGTGTATATGGCCGTATCCCGTACGAGCACACATTGAAGGTTAGAGACGGCTGCGGTGACCGTAGTCCAGTGTTGCGGAGCAAGGTGTAGGTCGCCAAACCGCCGAGGACTAATTCTAAGGTTGCCATCGGAACGAAAAAGAGGGGCACGTATTTTGGGATACCACTTATTGCACATAACGATGCATCCACCAGCGGATTGTAGATGACCTGAGCTGAAGGAGATAGATAGAATCAAGAAAAGAAGGGGGTTTAACAATTACACAGCGACGAACTTGTGGTGGCCTCCAAAGACTCGTATATGATGACAACACCTGCGCTCATAGCTGATAGGAAGCCGACCGCCATAATTCCCGTGATGCGTCTACAACTCCAGTGAATTCCGCTACGACACAGTGCATAGACATGCATCATCAGGGTGGCTGAATGTACGCAATCAGCATTATTCGAATATGGCAGACACAAGAGATTCTACCATCAACTAAAGCTGCGGTAACGAATACAGCTGTCCATCCTTGCCATTTGAGCCAGGTGCAACCTGAAGAGAAGATGATCAATATCCTGACAGGCTTGGATGCTGGTCACTCGCACATAAGTAGGGGTCAGCGGGGTCCAAGGTCAATCACCGACTTTATATGCGGTCAAGATGCAGAGCACGCACAACTGTGAACCCAGTTTAGTAGGAGCTCTAAATCTTCTGTGGAGGACTCACCGTGTCAGACAGAGCAGTCGTGGAGAGGACTTGGTGCGTTTCAATCAGATTTATCGTCAATTCTCCGGCACCACGGACTGCTCACTATAGTTGTTGAAACTGGAATGAAAACATCTGAGCTAAACTCAAGTTGTAGATTTGGGTGGCTAGACTAACGCGAGAGCTAATAAAGCATAGTAACGATTCTTTCCTAGCGCTGAGTCGTGGTTCCATGTTCAACATGCCAATAACTCACTATGAGAAAGAGAATTTTGCCGATGGACCATGTATGTTTGTCTTATTCTAGAAGACGACGATCTCAAAGCTATGTCAAAGGCAACTGATACAAGCATTACCCAGAACATTTCAACCTAGATGTTCATCAGTCTGCCAGTACGAATGCTTGAGGGAGAAGACACGCACTTCATCTGCAAATGTGAGGACTGAAGCTTACCTCAGTCAGGCGTTCATGCTCGCAGAAGGAGAATCAAGCCTACAATGATCATACAATATAGCCATACCGGCGGCCAATTTGTGAGTTTTGTTGTGTCAGCCGAACATAGGGGAGTATGTATGACATGTGCTCACTGGAAACAAAGCGGGGTTTTTCTAGGACCTCAAAGGGAGCGAGATATTCAAGGAGATCGACGGTCCTGACCGCGGAAGCCATGAAAACGAAAGAGTTAGGCCTATGGACTGACACTCCGAATCAAAGCTGAAAGACTTACCTTTCTAACCTCTGGGCATGGAGAGCGTGGCAAAGATCCTGTCTCAGGACAATTCTTTCTCAAGGACCACTCTGACTTCCCATGTAGATGTAAGATGTCGCATCTGTTCGAAATGCGATTTGCGTGAGAGAGCACGCGGGCCAGACGGATAGATATCGTATCATGAAGGAAGGTTCTGATCTACGTCTGAACAGTGAGCCGGACCATGAGTATATAGGTCATTGAGCACAGAGAATCTCTGCGAAGAGATAAAAGACATGATCATATGGTAGCATACTGCCACGCTCTCTAGAACTTTGCGCCACTCGACTGTCCAAGCACAGGTGAGGGCAGCCTCATTATCGAAAGCATGAATATTACGCACAGATCAACACACTGAAGCAATGCTGATGACCCAGGCATCGATATGCAACGACACACTGATTTAGCCCGTCGTTACCTGTCCACGATGCTCTAAATGCGTTACTTAGAATCTTCCAACAGACTATGAAAACCCATCCACTCGATACGGTAACCGAAGATGATCACGCAGCTTTGATCGTGATACATAGCGACGAAGGGTGTCCTTCTCCCATGCCCGAGAACTCTATGTCACCGTAGAAACCACGAGTGAGTTGACAGAATAGGTCTCACTCACATCAATATGTTTACCAAGCTCCAGCCCTGCGGGTCGATATGACAAACATGGAAAACAGAATGGACTACAGCACCTTGATGACGGCATGATGGGCATCGAGATGGACAAGCAGCGCCTGAAATGGACAGACCATTCTCACGGCGTTCATTCGCACTTCTGGGGCCGAGGAGATCGATAAACAAGCGCTATTGACGAGAGTGTGCGGTCAAAGTCGATCTGATCTGCATGTGCATGAGAAAAGTGTGCACAGGTTTCTGATCCGACTTTCGGAACACGCGAGCAAAAATAAGGGGGTTAACAACACGAACACTAGGAAGAGTCACGCTACAGAGGCCTACGACTTCAGCCGAGACACACGGAGTCAACTTGATGCGTACCTCCACTGTGGCCGACATACAGCCGATCTGTAGCAGCATGCAAAGTCAATGGGAATCACCGTTTGACCCACCATTTAGGACAAAGTGGACCATCTCATTTGATCGTTCCCGGGCCGCCTCACCAGCGGACAATCAAGCAGAACCGAAGGCCATTCACTTAACATACCTTCACACGCAAGTCAAATCTGCGACTAGTAAAGTAGAAACCATGAGCAGGCAGCCTGCACGTGAAACTCTGGAATCGAGAGAGTATCAGTATGGCACATGGGTAGTTATTCATCTGCGCGCTTGAACCACGACGTCGGAAGTTGACGCTATTGTACCACAACCGAGATAGACAGTAAGAACCTCATGGCGAAGCGAAACATTGAGTAGAACTAACCGTACATCGGATCGACAAGGGTTGTATTCCTGAGAACCTCACGTCGTCCGATGGCACTAGCAATGAAAGCGTGTTGTGTTGTATAGGGCAGAGTACGTGAACACCGGTTCAGGTCGCATGCCGTCTGGAAGAAGCATGTGCTCGCCGTCCGAAACTTGAATCTTGCGGCTGCCGCGGAGCACAATCGGTCCTTCGCAATACACAATGCGTTCAGGTCGGAAGAGAATCCAGAACATCGATTGAGATACCGAGAGTCTGGCTGGCTTGAATGTCTCCTGCATCCGAGGAAAAGTGAAACCGGAACGCGAAACAAAAAAATCTCTTGCATTTGATCAAGTCATCGGGTCTTTTTTTAAAGGCCGGAGCGTGGGCTGAATGAACATGGAGACCAACGTCCATGCCGCAGAAAAAGACTGTGTCAACGATACTTCGTCGGTAAAGAAGATGGCCATACGCGCCTATACACCCTTAGACATTCAATTCTACGATAGTCCATTACGCCTAGAGCAATCCGCATCTGCCCAGCCTACATCTACATCTACATCAGAATCAGCATCCACACCCAGAGATGCTCATCCATGCCGCATATACATCGTCTCACACGCGCGCTCCCAACCATCGCTCTCCACCATGATCCATCGCGGTTTATAGCCCAGCTTCCAAAAGGAAGTCTGTCTGCCCCCCAACCTATGCGCTGCACTCCATCACCGTAAAGAAGGCCCAGTTACGAACAACATGCGCCCGCACAATGCCCACGACGGCAGAGGGGATGAGGTTGCCCTCACCACCACTGCCAGAATCACCAACGTCAGAGAACGCGGCGGTGAGATGGTGGTTTCCTTGATGCAAAATGTGATCCAAAAAAATAAAGCGACGTCAGGTTTTCTTGATGCAAAATGTGATCCAAAAAAATAAAGCGACGTCAGTCTGGAGTTCCCAAGGGCGGGTAACCACCATCGTACCCGACGTCAAAGGGGCGATGATTAGGGATAAAGAACGTAAAGAACATCAACGCACGACAGCGAGCAAGGGCTCGATATCACGAATCGCGGCAGACGCGCGCTAACCGTCGAGCTACGCGATCACCTATCGCGAGATTTTCTCCAGCGCTCAGCTTCAAAAAGGTAGTTTGGCTGCCGCTACCACTCTTAGCATGCCCCACCGACAATGACGGCGCGGTCGAGGATACCATTGGCAGACTGCGGGTCCCGCAATGTGAAACAGGATCAGAAAGCGATGACTGCCACTCACGTCGAAACCGCGCGCCCAACGTAGAGAGAGAGAACGTGAGTAAGAATGACAGAAAGCGCACGACACCTCGTATCACCGCACGCGGCGCACATACACTCAAGTCGAAAATCCAGATCAAATCCAAGCAACGCTGCGCAGCGCAAAGAAAACCCGCTCAATCATTAATCCAAACCACTACTATACCGCTGCGCGCCCGATCGTCTCCTCGTTCACATATCCACTCCTTACCCTCCACTCATGCACCCATCCCGCGTCCTCGCCGCGGCTCACCAGCGCGCGTTCGATGCGCTGCAAGCACCATTTGAGCCACACGCGCTCGCGCACGACCTCGCCCGCGTGCCCCGCGCCCTTACGTGGGCCATTCGGGTCGATCGGCATCGGCTCCGTCTTCGCGAGTAGATCACGGAGTACGGGGAGCAGCGCATTTGCGACGACGCGCGCAGGCTTGGCGGTAGACTTAGCGGGCGCGATGGGCGGCATGGTGACAGCATCGCTCGGGGCGTCAGGTGATGTGGAGGAGGATACAGAGGAAGGCGGAGGGGCTGGGATAGCAGAGGCGGTCGTGGCACGCAGACATGCAGTTAGGAGGAGGGCACAGGCGATGGGGTCCGAGGCAAGCGAGGGGAGACGGTAGAGCCCGTAGAGTGCGCCAAGGGTGACGCTGGCAGAGAGCGGGTGGTGTGCGTGCAGCGCGTGCAGTAGCCTGCGCCCTATAGCGGGCAAGGCAAGGTCCATGCCATATTTTGGGCGGTTCGAGAACACGTCGAGCGCGAGGTCGGGGCATTTGAGTTCCTCGCAGCGACCTAAAGGTGCATGAAGATCAGAGACAGTCAGGAGAGAACGGAAGGAGAAGGAAGAGAGGGGCAGTGCACTCACGGACGAAGGCCATGACCATGTCGGGCTTGAACGTCCGCCCGCCCTCTCGCCATTGTGCGAACATCGCGACTACGCGCTCCATCTGCGCACGATCTTTGGCAAGCGAGAAGAGGTGCTTCCATGCGGAGTCGCGGACCTGAAGCGCGTCCTTGGCTGTGGGGCTGCGACCTATGTGCACCTGGACGAACACAAAGAGCTCTTCGAACCGCTGTGCCCGCGCCGCTGGATCAAGGCGGCCGTTGTGCTTCGTATTGGCGGAGGCTGGATGCAGTGAGGAACTAAGCCCCGTCGGGGAAGTATTGGAGGCTGACGGTGAGGTGGGTGTGGACTCGGAGGATGTGAAGGTGAAGAGGTCGCCGGACGTGTCATTCGAGTCGGTGAAGAGGTTGTCAACGTCGGCGCTCGCCGCCCTTCTCCCCTTTTTCGATTTTCGTGCTGAATGAGATCACAACGGTATATGTGCGCGCAAGAAAAGCAGCGTGAATTGTGAGTTCAGAGGCGCCACCGATTGTCGAGAAGAAAACGCACCTATGGGCGAGACATGGAGGCTTCGGAATGTCGTTGCGCGAGATGTGAGAAAGGTGCTAGGAGAGAGGTAGAGAGGCCTGGCTCTGGCCAAGGAAAAAAGGGTCGCCATTGTGGAGGACGACGAGGACGATGAGCTGCCCGATGCCGAAAGAGCTCTGTTGTCGGGAGCCAAACAATGCCAAACCGCCTCCGAACCGCCGTGGGAGCGCCGGGAGCCGGCGAGGACAGTGGCAGACTAGGTTTTGAGAAAATCCGCCCTCTCTCCATTTGAGGCAGGACAACCGCCATTGACCACAGCTGCCCACCTTGGGAGTTACCTCGTGATACCTGCGTCCTTTTATGACAGGTTGTAGGTAACAGCCACCGACCGCCCCCAGTCGAACCTCCTCATCAGGCCCAGGAGCGTTGGAAGTTCAGACAACCCCCATTTCAAGGTACAAGGCCAGTCACTACAGCATGAATGTTCCTCATGTCCAAGCGCGGCCGCACTTACTGTCATCTATTCACGCCGTTGATTTTGCACTTGACAGCTCCCCCACTTCAAGCCAATCCTCAACCATTCGTGGGGGAGGTGCATCCGACCGGAGCTGTGTCGCACCGTCAAATCGGATGACGTCTGTCTTCCCGCTTCTCGTGAATTGAACCGCACCATCTGTATAGCATAGTGTTGGCTTCTCTCTTCCGTTCTGGCCCCTCACGGCGTATACGCGAATGCCGAGCTCCCCGCGCGATGCTATGGCGTTTGAGAGCTCTGATCGCCCGAGCAAAACTTTCGGAACTCGGAGTTCCCAATTATCCGCTGAAGGACGTTCAACAGGTATAGTTGAATACACAATACACGGAAAACATACTAGTCGTGCCAAATTTGGCGTATGCATACGCAGGATATTGCCGTGCGGCCACCTTTGAGGTCATCGATCAGGACACAGGCAGCGGCAGGCGTCCGATATCCTTTGACTTGTCTTCATACCCTACTTTTCAAGCTTTTCAGGTGTCTGGTAAACATCGCGCTCAAATATCTTCCTCCGCGAGCGCATCTTCGTCGGTACGCCATATCAATCAGTAGTTGGCCATGTTTGACTCTGCTAACACAGCGTTCGCTCGGGTGCAAGTGTTTCCACAAACAGGTAAATGGTTTGTCTACTGCGTCCGGTGAATTGATATGAATATTGTTGCAGCAGGACAAGCTTGTACGACTGAACCAGGAATACATTATACCCGTTCACTGCTCAACATCAGGGAGGGTCTTCAAAAAGGATACTTATCGACTGCTCGGCCAGCCTTATCGGCTCCAAGCCTCGTTTTTATTGGGCAAACCTTATCCAACCCCTTCGATGTCCCTTTTCCTCGTTTGTACAGGATACTCGTCACCCCATGACGTCTTCAGGTGATTTCAACGTGAGTTCACTCAACCCCAAAAGAACAAGAACAAGATTACAATAGTTCAAGATGCATGGTTGACGGTACTCGACAACGTACACCTCGAGCTGGCTCTCGAAGGTATATTTTTGCCTGCCTGTTATTGACTACGCGGGACGCCCGATCGCCGCTAATTGGAGTTGGCGATGGAAGTCATACATATGTGTAACCTGACGCGTATATTTGACCGTTACAAAGTCGGTATCGATACTCCAAAAGAAAATGGACCACTTGCACGATTTGACTGCTCATAGCCACTTTTCAGTGATGTTTGTTGAATCCTGCCCAATTCTATAAAAATCTACATCTACAGCAGACGCGCAGCCTATACTTACAGAGGCCGTACGCCGCCAAGTAGCACCTAGGTATGAAACATCCACCGCACACTTCAAATCAGCGAGCACAAAATTACATTACACAGAGATAAGTGGCTTATAGCAATCAACGACGTACACTTCGAGCAGTCTCCTCTCGACGATATATTCTCACCTGTTTGTCATTGACCACGCAAGACGCCCATCCACCGGAAGATTGAGCTGCTTGATTACAGTCCTTCACCCACCTCCTCATAGCTCTCAAGCCGTGCCGGTATTGCCTTCTCGCAACCTCTTCGTCCACTTTGGTACTTAGCCCAGAGTTTCCTGAAATCGAGAGATCTAAAGCTTCTGGAGTACAGTCTGTGGAGTCAGCAGCACATGGATCAACATAGTGCTTCGGAAGACGAGAGTTGGTAGCTTCTTCAGAGATTCTGAGTCGCTTGTTTGGACGACTAGTAAGAGGCGAAGAAAAAGCCAGGTCATTGAAGGTGATGAGGCCACATCGAGGATTCGAATAGGGTTTCCGAGGCGACGAGAGGAATGAATCGGGAATCACTCTGAGAATCCATGTTCGATACGATTGGCGCACCACATCGATGAGAAATTGTGCCTTTTCCAGCGGAATTCCGTATATGCGAGCAAACACTGGCGCAGTGCCGTTATAGCGGTTATAACGCAAGTCCAGCTTTCTGCCAGTATCGCACGACGAAATGGGGTTTGGCCCCCGAAATAACCGGCGGGAAGGTGTCAAATGGGTACTGAAAATACGTGGCCTCGACTGTTTCATCCCCGTTGCCATTCGTCGGATTGTCTCCAGGTCGAGTTCGACGAGAGATGTCAGGGACGTCCTTACGTAGCGGCACCAGACGATATTCGAAATTTTCCTGGGCGTCATACATCTATGAGCCATCAGAGGCCGGTCAGCGTGCGGACAGATCAGACCAATGTAGCACGCACATCCTCGATAGATGGGAGGTTCTCCGAGTTCATCCCGGGCCCTATCCAGCGTTGCCATAGTCTATTAATTATATCTATCGAGGAAATAGCATCCATTGATCGGATTCGAGCGACTCGCGCCAGTCTTCGCGCACTAGAAACATTGAATGAAAGGGGCTGCGTTCGAAAAAAGCAGGGCCACATACAGCATATAGCATTGGACTGTGTGTCTAGCTTCAGCGTATCATATTTCATGCCCCAGATCCACTCGAGATGGGGAAGCTACATAGATAGATGAGTTAGGATCAACATGGATGTTCTGGGAACTAAGGACTGACCATAAAATGGTTGATCCAGCGACGCTCATTCAGAACGTAGCAAAGATGCACCGGAGACTCAGCAGCAGAATCTCCTGTTATGAGACATCTTGCATCTTTTTTGTGACTAGTTTTTGTTTGAGTGGACGTGCCTTGGCGTTTTGCCCGAGCTCTACGCCGTTTTAGGTCTATAAATGTGAGTTTCTGAGAGTTCTCTGCAGGTAAAGATCTCAAAGACCACTTACTGCAGCAAAAGCTGGGATCCGGGTTGACCTTGTTGGGGCCTGTCTGCATTAAATTATTGGAAGATAGATTAGTGGTTTCGAGGGAGACTGGTGGAGTTCTTTAGAATGCTTGATACTGGGCGGTTGAACTGTGCCGCGGGCTACGCGGAGTTATCGATGAAAGTCACATGTGTGTGACCTGACGCATATTTATCACGTGTTCATTTTCGCACATACGGAAATATAGGAAGCCAGTTTCCGCTCATATTATGATCCTCTTACAAGAGTGAACAAATAGTTGCGTATGAATCCCTATGAAGCCGCATTTGTCGGTCTACGCTGTTCGTTCAACAGCCGTTGTTAAACAAGCCACAGTGTACCATCCCACGTGAACTTTCATGGGCCTGGGAAAATGACAACCAGCATAAATGCCCGTAAATTGGGTGAAAGAATAACTGCTCAGCGCGTATGGCTCACTCAAGACTCGCTCTGTAAGTCAACCATGGACGGGTTGGCGAGACGCAGGCCACTGGGGCAAAAAAAGTGGGCGGCGGCGGCGGCTGACATGGACGAACCAAGATCTACAAGAAAAAACAAGAGAGGACGACACCAAGGGTCCAACGGCGACTGCTGCTGACATGATTAACCCACAAGCAGACCCGAGCGAGCTCTGGGGAGCTATACTATATATACGTGTGTGTATCTGAAGTGGAGAGCAACAGGTAGAAGAAACAGACAAGAAAGCAAACGAAAGAAGCAGACCTACACCCTCTACACCCTCTTCTCCTCGTCGCTCGCCGCGCTGCTCGCCGCCTCCACCACATGATGCCGCGGCTCCCTCCCGCCATCCGTATGGTTCTCCAGCTCCTTCCTCAACCCGCCCTCCACATCCCTCACGCCGAGATCCGCCTCCAGCCCGACGTAATCGTACGCAAACTCGCCCATGTCGTAGTCGTCCATGCCCACCACCTCCGCCTCCTCCGTCGTGCGCATGCGCAGCCCCGGAATGTAGTGCATGATCCAGAGGATGATCGTCGTGAGCACGAACGAGTACGCCATCCCGCTCATCGAGTCCGCGATCTGGTACCCGAGCTGGATGTAGTGGCGGTTGAGCCACCCCCCAGGGATTGAGGCGATCCCGTCGAACCCGGCGACCGAGCTCTGCGCGAAGAGCCCTGTTAGGATCTGTGCAGCGGCGTGCCGCGAACGCGATGGTCATCAGTGTGCGGGCGGGAGGAGGAGACAGAGGGAAAACACGCACGTTCCCGACGATGCCGCCGATGGTGTGCACCGCGAAGATGTCGAGCGCGTCGTCGTAGTGCAGATAGAACTTGAGCTGCGTCGCGAAATTGCACACCGTGCCGCCCAGCACGCCGAACAACACCGCCGCGGCTACGCACACACACGAATCAGCCCCGCTAAACCCACCCAAAAGCACACACAGAGAAACACTCACGCGCGCCGACATATCCAGAACCAGGCGTGATCGCGACGAGGCCCGCGACCGCACCAGAGCAAAAGCCGACGACGCTCCACTTGCGTTCGAGCCTGTAGTCCCACAGCATCCACGTCAACCCACCGACGCTCGCCGCGAGGTTCGTCACGATACACGCCTGCACCGCGCGCAGGTTCGCGCCGAGCGCCGAGCCGCCGTTGAACCCGAACCACCCAAACCACAGGAACACGGTCCCGAGCACGACGTACGACGTGTTGTGCGGCTTGTACGCGAGGCGCTCCGTGCCGTACCCGCGGCGCTTCCCGAGGTACACGCTGATCGCGAGCGCGGCGGTGCCGGAGGAGATGTGCACGGGCGTGCCGCCCGCGAAGTCGAGCCCGCCCATGAGCAGCGACCAGCCGTTCGCGCTCCAGGTCCAGCACGCGATCGGGTTGTACACGATCGTCGACCAGACGAAGACGAAGACCATGGTCGGACCGAGACGCGCGCGCTCCGCGATGGCGCCGAGCGCGAGCATCGGGGTGATGGCGGCGAACATGAGCTGGAAGACGCAGAAGGCGAGGGCGGGGATGCGCGCGCTGCCAATGGAGGGCTGGTCGAGAACGCCTTTGAGGCCGAAATATTCTGTGGGCGGGCAGGTCAGCGCGGGCTTATTGTTTATTGTGTGCGGACTGACTGAGGTCACCGATGTACTTGTTCCCGGTTTCGCTGAATGCGAGGGAGTAGCCCCAGAAGAACCACTGCGGCGGGTGTCAGCAACACGAGCTTTTTTTTTTCAGAGACGATGAAGCACGCGAGTGCGGGACACACCTCAAAGGAGACGACGGCGAGGGTCATCATGGAAGCCCATATCATGGAGAGGGCGTTCTTGCGCCTGAGGAGGCCAGAGTAGAAAAAGCCGACGCCGGGAATCATGATCCAGACCAAAGCAGTGGCGGAGATGACCCATGCGATGTCGCCGAGGTTGTAGACGGTGATGGCGCCCGTGTCAGGGTCGGTGTACTGCAGGTCGTTCGCTAGAGGACGTGAATGTCAATATTGTTGAAGGGAGAACGTTTGCTAGCGGTATGCTGCAGTAAGTGACGCAAAGGGCGTACAAGCATCGTAGGTGACGTTGACCATGGTGAAGACAGGCAAGGTCTAACTTCCAGAGCGGAGCGCGCGCTACAATGGACGCCTGGCAGCGAGTCCGGTTGCTTCTCTGGATGAAGGGGATAAGAGGGATGAAGGAAGGAGGAGAAGGAGGCGAAAGGAGCAGCGACGCCCGCCCACGCCCAGATAAGCTGCATTGCACATGCCGATAACAGCATGGACAGACGGCTGGCCTGCAAATTGACAGCTTGATCCCGCACAGCGACAGCCCGCCACCGCTGCCCACCGCCTTCACCTTGGCAAATTCCCCCAATAGCGCCCTGTCCCCCGGCGACCGCCCCTTCCCACCGACCGATCTCCTTTCCGCGCCGTTCTACTCTTTTGTCGGGAATCGAAGAGACTGTGTCCCGTTTGAGGGGCGCTTTGGGGCGTGCAGGGTCGTATGGACACGGATCTATCCATTGCCGGACACTAATTTGCGACAGATGTACTCCTATCTTCGGACTCGCCGACGTGTGCCTGTGGTCCATTTCCGCGGCCAATTCTGCTGCGATCGGTGGTGCTGTAAGAAAGTCGTAAGAACTGTACAAAACGTGGAGGACGAAACGACACGCCGTCCTTGCGATCACTAGGCTCGCACTCTTCTCTTCCACCTTTGATTCCTCCACAGATCTACAGAACATACCCACCCACCGCCTACTGGGTTTTCGGTCACGCGGGACAGCGCGAGACCTGGGGAAGGGGGTGCACGGGGTCCGTGAGAGACAGCGCATATCGCCCAATCAGCGCCCGGCGTCGTGGTTATCTGCCCAAGCTTTTTTCTTATCGAGCTTGATTACCGCACTTATGGCCAGAAATATACAGCAGGCACGCAGCTGCGCAGGCACGATCAACCCCAGGTCGTTGCCGCAGGCTTTGTTCTGCTTCTTACCGCGGCAGTACTCGGGATCGCGCTCGAGGGCGGGGAACACTCAGGGGTCGACGAAGAAAAAACTCGTACCGGGTGCTTATCTAGGTCAAACAGTTTTTTTCACTGAATGGCTGCAGCGGATATCGCTATGTGGAGCGGCCTTGACCTCGATATTAGACCAGAGTCCACGGGAAATATCTTCATCGGCAGTCTGGTATGTGCAAGGCATCGTGTTCATGCGCTGACTCTTGTTACTCTCGAGTTCACTATTATTTGAAAAAACGAAAGATCGTCGAGCTCAGGTCTAAACCGGCATCGCGACTTCAGCAGAGCCTCCAACTCTTACATACCGGAAAAAGCAAAACCGTCGAGAATTCAGGTCATGATAACGCCTTGCGGCGGCCTTTCCCTCTAGTATCAGGACAGAGAGGCTAGTCTCCTTCCAAGATCGCTCGCCTTCCCCTTCACGTTCGGGAGGAGCCCGATGGAGAGACCGTCAGGAGGATATAAAAGGATATAGGTAGTAAGCTATTGACCCCCCTTGGCTCATCGAGTTCCATTGCTGGTATGCGAAGGTCCGGCTACATAGAATTTACGGCTGACTGCTGTCGGGCTCTGGAGGTCCTGCTGTGCCGCAAGGTGCCAGGTGAGTGAATAGCCAGATACCGTCATACCAGCAGTAGTATTGGGATACCATGTCTTCGCCTCCGCGTGCGCATCTGCGTCGTCGGCACATCGTGCGAGTTCGATCTCGTTCGTTCGCCGTGTCCCGACCCCGCCCGAGCAACAGAGCGACGATGGTCGTTCTGGCCAGGCACGAGCATCGACCTATCATTTTAGGGGAGCGCTTCACGTCACCGCTCATGACAGCTGTCCCGCACGCGGTGCCCGAGTGGTGCCCGATAACATACCAGGCGTCCACCCGTCCACCAGTATGCAGATATACTGACAGGCGCCGTGAGGACTTGAGCGCGTGCATTACGCGTACGTGCCGCGCTTACTTGACTGCAGTGGGGCGCAGGTCCGCGTCGGGTGTACCGTGCGCAGTGCAGCACAGCATTATAGGCGGGCTTGACTGGATCGACTCAATTGACCGCCGGGGGGCGCTATGGAGCAGTAGGTGGGACAGACGCCGTTGAGCATGCGGCATCGAACAGGCGATGGTGATCGGTTCGTTCGCGGTTCTTTCGCGGGTTTTGTCCTCCTGGTTCGGATATGCATGTACGTGTGCGCAATGGGTGGAGTCCTCACACTTGGCTCGAGTTTTTGCGCACCGGTTGGTCGTGTCATCAACAATCGCACGTGCCCATCCTCCTTCACGTTTTCCGGTTTCGCGATGTGATCATGCACTGGCGATGCACGCTCTGCACGCGATGCCGATGCTATGGTAAATCGGTATTTGCTCTGACTGGTCCAGAAGAGTTCGCAGACGCCCCCATCGTTCGCTCGAACGCCTTCCGAAACCAAACCCAATTGATCCAAGAAGACGATCTACAGTCCTCGCCGTGCCAGAACTTACATCTCCTCAAGACATCGAAGCTTCGAACGCACACACCGCCCTTCTTTTTGACATCTCCCACCCACACCGGTCCGCCCACGCAGAGCTACACCCGGCTCCCATCTGTCGCGCGACTCTGCGTAGGCGCAGAAAGCACGCGTACGAAAGAGTTAAGCGGACGGGCAGCTCGGACGCCAGGGGGTCGACGGGACTCACTGCGAGCGTGCTAGGATGCACTTGGAAGGCGATCGTCGTCGTCGTGGCGAGCGCGTCGGGCTCGGCACGCTCGCCCCACGTGTCGCCAGGAACCTCTGTGTACTTGTTCCCCATACCCCCGGGCGGCATGCGTGAGGTCAGGCTATTTGGAGCGATATTGAGGTTGGCGCAGGATACTACGGAAGAGGTAGGCGATGGACGTTGTACGTACGTGGTAAGAACAGCGCGTGGTAAGAACAGCGTTCGCGTAGACTTGGTCGCGGGGATATCATCAGCAGTCAGCGAGGGGACGTCAGAGTCGAGGAACGTGCTGAATGATTGAACAGACATACTTTTGCTCGTTGAAAGATGGAAGATCAGCGAGACAAAGGTACCTGGCATGGCGAGGTACTGAGGGGACGACGGCTCGTCAACGCGAAAAGTACATGATAAAATATAGAAAGAGCGAACGAACAGTGAATATTGTCGCCGCTTGCGCTATACTGCGCGAAGTCCGGACGGGTGTCAGGTTCACAGTACTACGAGCACGCACCCAAAACCGGCACCACTCGCGTCGTGACGATTCCGCGAGTGATCATGAATCCCATCAGGCCATTGGTCAAGTTGTCTGTGCTGCAATAGACTTCAGAAAAGCGCAGAGGGCCCGTAGAGGCTTGCTCACCTCTTCAGGCCGCTGCGCTGGCGGTGGAGTACGGCATATAGGGCGATCGTGATGAGCACGTCGAGCACGGTGGCGCTCACCACGTTGACGAGCATGACAGCCTTCGCAAAACTCGGTGGAACCAACTATTAACGTGGGTGTCGAGCCGGCAGATGAGCACATACCTGCAGCTTCTTCGTCTGGAGCGTGAGCCACAGCGGGCTCAAAAAGCTGTAATTGAGATGTTCGTGGATTTGTTATGTATGTTATCCATGAAGGAGATACGCCGAAAAGACGCACAGAAGCACAGTGATGACTGTGAAGGAAGGCATCAGTGGGTTCAAAAGGTTGCGACAATAAGAGAGATACCTAGACTAGTTGCAAACGCCACTGCCGCAAGGATGGTCTGAGAGTCGAAGGGGAGCCCTGTGAGTTCAACAATGGGCACGTCGAAGCTTTGGAAAGAGCGCACCAAGAAAGAGAATACCCATGTTGGGGCTACGGAATCTGGGTGAAGACCTCGGTGCACTGGGATATAACATTCAGCAGAATCGCGTGAAGAATCAGCGAGCGACGTACGCTTGTGAATTCGAATCACAAAAAACCTGATGTTGATTCTTTCAGCCACAATTCTATGAAGCACGTATCTCCCCTCTCACATCTGACACAGAAAGGTGACGAGACCCTGATCACAGAGATGGTCATCATCGTAAACGATACATAGTCGAGAGAGAAGCCTCACTGTGAGCATGCCTTCGAACTAGGTACGATGTTTGAGTCTATTGGAGATAGGGGCTCAAGGTGATTGACACTCACATGGAGACTCCTACAGCATAAACAAGAAAAGCCGAAATCAGCGTCAAACAGCTTGCAACGCGAGCGTAAGCAGCCGAGCCATGTCTCTGCCTGCCCTCCAAGGACCGCAGAGTCACCAAAGTCTACGATAAAATAATGATACGCAGCATGGAAGTGCAAGACCATGATGACAGTGTCAATGAACCTTCGAACGTGACCATCAGCATCCGTTTATTATCGCACGCGCTGCCTCGGGAATACACACGCAACAGCACCGAGATCTGACAAGTCACAAGGGTGTCAAATGTCAACTGCGCACAGATTTCGTTTCGGTGACATACCAGGGTTTTCAATGTCCATCGATCTCTGGCGGCATAGCTGTTGAAGTAGTGGATGCTCTGCAACGAGGTGATGCCATAAAATCTAGCATCCGCGATTGGTCAAGATTTATGTGAATACGCCTCGTACTGTCTAGATACAGAATGAACCTGCAGACTCACATGCCAGATAGAATCGTCCCTACAAGGAGAGGTCCATACGTGATCCCCATATTCACTCCGTCATTGTTCGCCATCGTGAAGTTAAAGTGCTGTATGAAAAAGAAAGGAGATGTCTGAGGCCTTTGCTCTCCCGGCTGCAAGCATTTATCTGAATCGCCTGAGTGCAGTTAATAATTATTCTCGTAGCACATAGACAGGTCCCACAGCTCTGCGGGCAACACACGGATTTAACAATGACACCTACAGTCATCGATCTGCGGATAATCGAAGAGCTCGTTGGACAGATCGAAGCAGATTTTTTTCAGTCCTGTGGCACCTCAAGTCCTCACATCACTCCGACCGAGACTGATGAGGTGCAGAACATTCTTTGCCTGCGTTGTGTCAAGGAGCTATAAGAAATCTGTGGCACTTGATTGATATCCATCAGAGAGACTCGGTAAAAGTAGCGCATTAGCGACAGGCATCAAGGCAGGCGGGATCTTGAGACAGGAGTTAGAGGGTCTATGGTGAAAACATTTCCATAATGCAAACGGGCAAGTCTCATGTTGGACGCTCCACATTGTACTTGGGACAAATCAATGCGCTATGGCTGTAAAGATCACGTCATAATTGGGGGAATATGTCATGAAAATGAAAGATTCAGTGCTTACGGTGAAAAGCGCAGGAGCTGTGCGACACCATGGTCACGCATGATCGTCTAGAACGAAGTGAAGGAGACGATATGAGACGCCGGTGAGGCACGGAAGGTGAATCTATATCAGACACGGAAGTAACTGTATGCAGAAAGTATGTCTACGATGAGGTGCTACTCAACCCCACATAGCACGTGAGAATTTGCCCTCAGGACGCTCACTCTCGCTATATTTCCGCGGAATTATGTATAAGTATGGCAGTATAAGCCCTCCTGTGATTACATGTCGAGAATGTTACAAGTTGGTTTTGAGTCAAAGTCAGCTAGAGAGGAGCTAGAGAGGTCAAATTCCCCGAGGTCAATTGAAACTCCGCTCCGTCCACAAATCGGGGCCCCACGGGTGAAAACCTAAATATGGTGTTTTTACAGCCTTTGCGGCGCACTTTATGCTCACATTTGTGCGAGGTTCTGCTAGTCATCCGGCCGTCAATGTACAACCCAGGCCATCACTCGACGCGAGGGAGTGGGAATTTATGCAGGCGATCATCCTGCCAGCGTTGCCTCCAACCAGGCTGCAGTGGCTGCACACAGAACTGTTTTCTGTGTTAGTTCAACTGGCATTGAGGAAGCGTTATCTACTGAGTAACCGCACAACGCTTTAGCTCTCTTTCAAGGCCGCAACCCTTACCGGTCAGTGATCTTATCCTTCATTCTGTCATTTCTGAATTCGTTCTAACATTCCACTCGAAACAGAGCGATGCCCTTGAATGAATCCAGTACTGGCATCTACCTTTTACTTGCCGTGCACCTCACGAGCGAGGAGGATGTCTTCCACTGGGGACTCGCTGCCTGGTCCGAATTACCCGACGACGCGACACAGCTTCCAATTAGTCAAATCGTGTTGATTAAGAACGAGCGCAACGAGGAACTCTGGTCAAGGTGCACACGCACCGTCGCGCTTAGCACCATCAACAATCTCCTCGGGTTCATCCTGCTCCCCCTCCCGACGGAGTTCCCAGGAAACCTCAGCGACATGCAGGCGATCCTGGCAGAGTGGCAATTGCGCCCGGGCGACGTTTCGGATGCGGAGATAGAATCTGGCATCGATTGGGTGGTTGACGTGTTGGAAGAGAATGCGGAGCAATGGGGGATGGACCTTGGGCTCGAGGGCAATCACATTTTCTCGCACGGGACACTGCTCTCTATGAAACTGCGCACCGCGCGCTATTCAAACACGCGGCCCGCGACAGTGATCCACCGTAGGGGTGTGAATATCATCAACTGGAACGCCTTTGATCAATGAATGGCTGCGTAGTCTGCCGCGGCACCTTCGTCTAGGTGCCATTCCTCATCCACACATGTGAGTGGACTAGCAGCGAGGCAGATGATCTTGTGCAGCCAATTCACCGTGACGACTTCTTGTTTGTCGAATTTGGCCGCAGAAAATCGCTATGCACACAGTGAGTGTCTTCTGTTAGCTCTTCCCATGAATCTTCCTTACATTGTATTTGTTTTAGGGCTATGCCTCCGGACCAAATTCGTCAATGGTCGGGACCTGACACATACAGAATCAAAGGGTACGCAGCTACTGACACATGTGACTCTCGATTGAAAGAGAAAATATCAATTGGTTCACAGTCGGCATGGAGCGCGATTTTGAATACGTTAAAAATACAACCCGAGTTTCCCAGATGGTAGGCGCGCGCCCTAGGGCAAACTCTAGATTACCAAATTGCATAGCTGCTTGCTCCACAACCATCTAAACAGATCCAACCACAGGATTTATGCTCGTATTCGGCTGTCTTCCAATGCGACCGTTGTACAGCTCTACAGACACGGAAAGAAATCGTAAGTGCGAAAAAGCTCATAGTAGGACAGGCTTGAGCTCTAGGGACTCACGAGCATATCGGGTTGAGCTTGGAAGGAGATGGTTGTTGATGTCACGCACGCGTTGGGATCACGCTCGTTCCACGTATCTCCGGGAATCTCTGTGTCCTTGTTGTTTACGACTCTTGGCGGTGTTCGTGATGTCAGCCTAGTTGAGTTAAGGTCAGCACCGATCAAGGAAAACGTGGGGGTGAATTACGTGGTTAGGACAGCGTTGGCATAGACTGTGGGAAGAACCGGACCGTTAACAAGGTGTCATTCTCCACGAAGAAGAAAAATCGGACTTTTACTCGTTGATAGATGAAAGATCAGCCAGATGAAAGTAGAAGGCAAGGCAAGGTACTTTAGCAGGCGATGAGTATCCGGGGGAATTGTTATAAAATGGACTGCAGACGGACAGTAACCAATGTCGCGCCTTGTATGACACTGGAAAAGAGATAGTTGTGAAATTCGCAGTGTCATCGATCCATGCGGCGTCCTGCTCACGTTGTAATAATTCCTCGAGTGATCATGAATCTCATCAGGCCGTTGATCAAGCTATCTGTGCTGTCATAGGGGTCAACAAAGTCAGAAAGGTCCGTGATTATTTGGCTCACCTCTTGAAGCCACTGCGGTGACGTTCGAGGATCACACACAAGGCGATCGTGATGAACACGTCAAGCACGGTGGCGAAGACGATATTAGCTATCATAAGTTCCTTCGTAATGGTCAACAAAGTGATTAGTGGTACTGATGTATTTGGAGACTGGTGTGCCGCAACGTACCTGCAGCCTTTCTGTCTCGAGAGTGAGCCACAGAGGGTTCAAAAAGCTGTTCGATGATACAGTGAATAAAGCAAATTGTAGGTGAGGTGTACTTTGAGAGCGCACAGGATTATAGACAGTACTATGTAGAAAGGCGTTAGTGAGCTGGAAGACGGACAATGGTGAGTGAAATACCGAGGCTTGTCACAAATGCCACTACTGCAAGGAGCGTCTGGGATGCGAAAGAGAGCCTCTTAACTTGGTGACGAATGCATCAGAAAGCCATGTATAACGTACCAAGGAGGAGAACAGCCAAGGCGCAAATGTGGAATCTGGGTAAAGTCCTCGATGTACTAGGATGAGCTGCTTCAGCAGACGTCGAGGACATCCCCATGTCAATCGAGTGTGACTGCCACGTACACTTGCGGATTCGGATCACAAAAAACCTGGAGCGCCTGTGATTAGCTATATTCGCTGTGGACTACGTGTTTGTACTCTCACATTTGGCACAAAAACGTCACGACGCCCTGCAACATAAATATGGTCAGCAGTATTAACGACAGTAAGCCGAAGGAATCGTCTCAACTGTGAACACGCTTTCAAGCTGGGGAGGTCCTTCAATTAAGAGAATTGATGCTTCCAAGACGATGAGTACTCACATGGAAGCTCCTGTAATATAAAAAATAAATTGAGCATTGATCAAATGATCTGACGAGCGCGATAGACTCTACCATGTCATTATTTGCCCTTCAAGCGCCGACGCATCACCAAACGCCACGACAAAGTAATGATACGCAGCATGGAAGTGCAAGACCATAACGATGGTGTCGATGAGCCTTCAAAGTTCAAGGTTAGTGCCAGGTCGTTCTCGCACTGGAAACCTCGAATATAGACACACAGTAGTACCGAGACCTTGATATTCCGCGATTCGGGTGCTCCATGTTCAACGTCTGTAGATTTCTTCGAGAGTATCTTGATTACCCACCAGTGTTTTCATTTTCCACTGATCTCTATCAGCGTAGCCATTGAAATAGTGAATGCTCTGCAGCGATGTGATGCCATAGAATCTATCAACGGCGAATGGGTCAGCATACGATTTTGGACGAACGAAGAAACTTGTCAAGGACTTACATTCCAGATAGAATTGTTCCAATGAGTAAAGATCCATAAGTGGCTCCCATACCCGATCCGTCATTTGTCGCAGCCATGAAGATTGAGTCCTGTGTAGAAGAAGAGGATGCTCGGGGCCTTGCTCTCCCCACAGCGAGTTCTTATCTAGATCGTCTGTGGGAAGCTGCGATCTTTAAAGAAAGAAGCTCCGTAGTAGTTCCGCACACATAAAAGTAAGCTGCGAGTTTTTTTTGCTACCACAGCTCTGCGGGCGACACCTAATCCCATAATCGCCATAATGGCTCCCACAGACCCACATATACATCACGCAACAGCCCTCTATTATGCGATGTAGGAGCTACCGCTATTCCGTATCTTCAAGAAGCGGATCAAACTGTCAGCGTATGGCCAGGCAAGTTCAGAAGTGCTGCGGAGCTGTTGGTCAAGACTAAGCTCCCGAAACATATCTGCAAGAGGAGTATACTAAGGAGTCTACGTACACCTGATGAGAAGCTTTCGAGAGCTGTGGATTTTCGAAGACTCACCCCATTCCCAAGGGGCACAGAACAGCCTATTTTAAGGTTTGTCTAGACGTTGATCACATCACAGCATTCGGAAATCGAAAGGACCGGATCTTCATGGAGAGTTCACAGGTTTCTGGGGTATGCTCGACAGGATGAGGATCAATGGCCCACAATTGATTTCATTAAGCAGATGATGGAGATTTGATAGTTTCAGGATAGCATTTGCTTGTGGAACTCGTTAGATTCTTGCCAAGGTCAGCGTCCACATGAAGGACACAATAGGGGACACCTTAGATCTGTAATGTTCCATGCGACATGAGGCGAAAGGAGTTCCATGCAAGCTATAAACGCTTCAGTCTTGGCCAATTCAAAGATGGATCAGAGCGTGATATGCAGAATTACTCTGGTACTCACGTCGGAATCACCGGAACAGGCCATGGGATGATGAGTATCCTGAGCTTACGGAAAGAGGTATATTGAGATGTCCATCGAGTAATGCAAACATGAGACGTAGAGCTAAATCTTTCGCTGAGGCCGAGAAAGGGATAGCCAACCTCATGAAAAGCAGAAGCAGCAGTGCCCGGGCCCCGCCGAGATAGCCAGCGGGACACACGCATATTCCCTCCCACAATACATCCCCTCAAGCACTCAGGGCGCTCTAGCCCTAACGTCAAGAGGGGTGATTTGATCATGAAGACTGCAGGCTGAGATGGAAACCGACGGGAGAACAAGTTGGTCGATGTGAAGGAGAACTCAAAATTCACTATCACCGTCGTGGCGCCGCGGGACACTGCCACAGTGCTACAGCACGTTCAACTCCGCTGTGCCGAGAAAAACATCGGAGTCCCAACAGACATATTCATCAATGAAACACAATGTTTGGATCATAGACAAAGGTCACAGAATAAAATTGAAACACAAAATCAGTAATCACTGGCTCTCTGGAATCTCACAAGAATAGAGTGACATTGGGTTATTTTTTCTATAACCTCACTATACACACCACCATACATGGCTCTTATCTGTGATGGCTGTTGTGCTGCTCTACGGGAATGAACACATATGTCAATATTTTCTGAGTGGCTCTAAGCTTCAAGAACTTACCCTAACCTAGGGCTGGATTGTGAAGGATGTGACTGGTTCTATTGTGTGGGAACTGTTGCCATGATATTTCCATATATCACTGGAGATCTCAGTGTTTGACTTGTCCACAGCTCTTGTAGGCATCTGTGAGTTAAACCTGTCCAAACAAGGGCATCAGTATTTTTTTTAGTAGAGAAAATAAGGAAAACTAATACATAGTTAGAATAGCATTGGCATAGACTATGGAAGAATTGTCAATTATAAGACTCAATCTGTGGAGACAAAAGGGAGACAAACTCTTGCTTGTGATAAGATAAAAAGCCATCCAAATAGGATTGTTAGGCATGGAGAGGTATTGAAAGAAGATAATGAGTGCCAAGAAAAGGTTGCATCATAATGAACTGACTGTAACAAGTAGTGCACTTTGTAGGATTCTGTGAAGAAGTAACCTCAGCCATCTTAATTATACAGTTGCATTAATACAAAGCTCATATACTGACAATTTCTTAGATGATTATAAATTTCATAAGTTATTTGATCAAGTTGTTTATGCTACCAATGTGGGTCAATCTAGAAAGGATTAGTTGAGAACATGATACATTACTCACTTGTTGATATTGCCACATTTACAATGAAGGATAATGTATAGGCAACCATCTAGAAAAACCTCCTCTCTTAATTAGATCTAATTATTCAAAATGCTAATCTAAGCTAATCAGAATATATCATCCATAATCAACTTTATAATCAAATCTGCAAGTAAAGGTGGCATTGTCTATACTACTACAGTCCTATTGGAATCTACAACCCAATTATAATTTTACATATTCCAAATCCAAATTGTATAAGTGCTATAATCTTGTTTTTACTATATTCTTTATTTTTAATTGGTTTACTATATTATTATCTAGTGTCCAAATTCAAATATCAAAAGCCCTGATTTTTAGAGTATTTACTGACTTCTTTATATATAGAATAGATAAAAGATAAATATATAAGAAAATCAGAAATGTTGAGATTGCCTTATTTATATCAATATATTTGGGTTACCAGGTAAATAATTTAGATCTTGTGGCTTAGTAGTTTAGACCACTAGTCTAGATTATGTAAGTATAAGGTTATTGATTTAACTCTGGTAATAGACAAGTTTATTATAAGGTATGACTTTAGTTTGATTAGTAAGCTCTGTATTATGATCACAACTTATTAGGCCTTAATGGCAGTCTATTCCGATATAATCATCACAATTACCAGGTAGCCTTATACCTTAAGGAGTACATGAAGGTACAGATATTATTTTTGGTCATCCACTCCCAATGGACCATCTGTCACTGGTTGAGTATCACGAGCCTGTTGTAGTGGGCATCCTTTCCTGCCTTACAAATGACTCACATATGGGCATGGAGCTCCTTGTCCTCTTGGTCAGAAAGAGACAAGCAAAGAAGCAAGAGCAGTCGTTCTGAGAGGGAAATAACCTAGAGAATACCTATGGATACATATATGGTATTCTCACGCCCTTTTCTAAAGTAGTATAAAAGGCCCACATCTGGAAAAACATCCCCTTGTATTAGCTCCGGATTATATCTTATAGTGTCTAAAAGTATCTAAAAGTGTTAATAGTATCTAAAAGTGTCTAATTTCATAATTGGGAGCAACACATTGTGAGCATTGGATTGGTTTCTAATTTCATGATATTAGCACTAATTCTATACTAAGAAGTCTTTAATTATCAGTAGGAAATAGTAAATACTACTGCTCTATCAGTGAGAAGGTAAAGATGTGGCACATTCTATACTATTTCAGCATATTACTCTCCTTCATATATGCCTATACCATAATCTTGTAGCTCTTTTGCTGACTTTCCAGCTGCTTTTATAAGGGATATAGAAAGAGAGAAATGTGCATTGATGCCCCCAGCCACTTTGTTGGTAGCTTGGCAGCTGCTACAGAAGGCTATAAAGACCTAGGTACCTTGTCCTTGCACACAAGATCATTAAGGTTGTCATTGTTACCCAATGCCTGCTACTGGTCATTATAGGACACAATATGTGGGTTGGACTTAGGAATATGCTACATGCAGCCTTATAGACCTTGTCTATTAGTACAGTGGTCAATACTATCTTGCAAAGCACACAATTGTCATCACTATTAATACTATAATTTTTAGCACTATTTATATTGTTCATTGCCTTGTTATATAGAAGATGCTCAAACTTGGTGTTTTCCTCTAGCTATTAGGCTGTGGAAAAGATAGTCATGTTGGTATGTAGTGCCAAAATGATATATTTGCCTCCTATATAGGAAATATGTGCACTAAGCATATTAAGATCATGTCCAACAATCTTGTGCTTATTTATATATAGGCATGCCATATATATACCCTTGTCCCCACCCTCTACCTCACTAGTGGCTATTCAGAAAACCCCTCTCTCTTATTGGATCTTGATTATTCATAATCATGTTTTTGATCAAATTTGAAAATTCAGGTAGCATTGTCTATATTAGTAGAGTCCCATTGAATATTACACTCAATCATAGTTTTACACATTCTAAATCCAAATTGTGTAAGTGCCATAATTTGTGTTTACCCTATATAAAGTGTATTATTGATTTTCCATTGGTTTATTATCTTCTTAGCTAGTGTTTAAACTAACTTATGAAAGACCTGACTTTTTGGGTATTTATTGACCTGTTTATTTATTAGATAGAGGAAAGATAAATGTTGAATAAAATTTGAGGTGTTGAGGTTGCCTATATTATGTCTACTTATTTAGATTACCAAGTTCATATATTAGACCTTGTGGCTTAGTGGCTTAGAGCATCTGTCCCAGGTGCTTGCATACATGAGGTTGTTGGCTCAACTCTGGCAAAAGGCAAGTTTGTTATAAGGTATATTCTGTGTTTAGGTATTGAACTAGTGCTCTAATAGACATGACTCTATAAGAAGGCTATGAGAACTGTAATGCTTGATTTATTATTATTTTTCCGAAACTCCAAGTTATAATCAATCCTAATAATTCCTATTTTAGGAAAATTATGTCTAATTAGAACAGGTTTAGAAGGGGGGGTAAGCTAAAAATGTCTAATCCTAATCTTTCATAATTTAGTATAATAGAGTGTTAATTATAGCTAATTAGAGCTTAATACAATGGGGTGGTTTTCCAGATGTGTTGGTCAAACAATATATGCTTTGCAGCAATGTCATTATGTATAGCATTGTATCTGTGACATGTTCTCTATTAACATCTTAGATAGTACAAGTGAAAAACATGAAGACTCACATGCCATATAATAACCTCAAGGACAGAGAATCCTATATCTCACAATGACTGCCATGCCTTTTGAACAAATATAAACTATACATACATTATACAACTTTGCCATTGGAGATATTGTAATAGTTTTTATATGAAGCTACCTTCTCTTAAAATTCTATGCACTGCCTGATACAATAGAAATATAAGTGCAAATCTATTGGTACCTCATATAGGCACTAAAATGAGGAATGATGGCATGTCACTTCTTGCACCTATACCATTACCTTTCTAATTTGGACACTGCTAGCTCATTACCTGTCCTGAGTTTTTCCTCTCCTCACTTTTTCCTATTGCAGGTGCTACACTCCTTTATTACTCTTTGACATTCCTATATCTGGAAAAACCTCCTCCCTTAATTAGATCTAATTATTCAAAATACTAATCTAAGCTCATTAGAATATATTATCCATAATCAAATAGTTTAGACCTTGTGGCTTAGTGGTTTAGAGCACTAGTCTGGAGTCTGCAGGCATAAGGTTGTTGGTTTAATTCTAGTAATGGGCAAGTTTATAATAAGGTGTGACTTTAAATTGATTAGTAATCTCTATACATACTCTATGATTGGAGGTGTAGTAGTAGTAGAGAAACCATAGAACTGGGTTGGTTGATATTTTTCCAAAAATCCATATAATAAATTAGCTTTAATTAGCTCTAATTAGATCTTATAATTTTAGGATTAGAGGGGGGGTAAGCTAAAAATCCTTAATGGTAATTAGTAAAAATATAGCTATATTTATGCTTAACTATGGTTAATTTAATATGGAGCTTTTCCCTAATGACTAGGGGCTAGCTTTCCTATTAACACTCCATATTTCTAGGGAGTCACTTGGGGGTGGGATTGTGGTTGCATCCCCTTGTGGGACCCTGCCCTTCCCTCTCTCAGACCAAAAAGTCATTAAACTACTTGTATGGTAATAAGTGCACAGGTAGTCAAGCACCCCAAACAATCACACATCCTCCTAGTGGTGCCTGTGGCACCTTATACTCCACCTAGGGTGCTATGTGTGCCCTCAACCCCCTTGCTGGTATGGTGAGTGTCTGCCCCTCATAACCACCTTCCTGCTATCCACATCCATGCAAAACCAATGCCCAGGTGGGGTGTACTGCATTATCAAAGGTACTAGAGAGTTGTAACAAGCTAGGTGATGAGTGCACAGGTGGTAAAGGCACCCTGAACAATCGCACCACCCACAATGCTACTGCAAAACCTATATCTGGCGGGGCTCATGCACTGACACCCGGTCCATGATTGGAAGTGGCATATGCTGGAGGGACCAGGGGTTTAGCAGATACTATGTCCTGATATCATGAACCTGACTGCTTTCTCCAATTGCCTGCCTTAGCTAGGCTGATAATCTGGGCCTAAACTGAGCCCTTAACTTGCTACGTAGTATACGGGGCTACACTCTTTTGTATTTTCTGCCGCCACTAGTGTTACGCCACGCAGGATATAAATGCTTTAAATTAAAAAAATAGATATAAATAAAAAAATAAAAAAAGAGGAACGATGGCGCTTTCGATGTTCTCCAGGCTCTCAGGAGATAGACTGCTAGGGACAGGGTATCAGCGTATCACAAGTGCGCGAAGTTCCCGGAACTACGACGAAACGGACAACCTACGACGAACCAAGCTCTTTTAGAAGTAGTACACACTCATCTCATATCACAGTACCATAGCGATACTTGACAGGATCACCGCAGCTTCATAGATATCTCCAATGAAAACCAAATCAATAGCAGGTTCCCATGTTGCTCTCAAATTATCCTCGACGATGAGGGGCTGATTAATTGATACATGCGAGCACATACAGTCATAAGAATATCGACACGAGCAATACAACCCGTGAGCAATGAGGCCATAGGACGCCCCATCGTCAGGGTGATTGAGAGATTGATTCAGTTGATGGTCGAGCTTGAACCTATCCGCGTCTGCGGTCAGGATTCCCTTGAGGATGGGAGGAGCTGAGCGACGCTTTCGCAATTCTACTCCATGAAGTAAGGACGAGGCGCAATCAAACGATGCGGCCGAGGATCTGTGCATCTGCCTCGTGACCCTCAATGCCCAATCACGTCCTGGCTGTTGTCTAGCGTGGGCGTCGTGCTGCTCTGCAAACGCAGGAACATCAAGAATAAAGTTAAAGGATCGTTGGATCACTCAAGGCTGGGGAACTCACAATCAAGTCGGGTAGAATTTGGAAAGCGACAGTCATCGATGTCGCAGGCGCGTTTGGGTCGGGTTCGTGCCAGGAACTGCCAAGAGCGGGCTGATCACGACCCTTTCTGTCCGCGCCTCTTCGCGGCGTGCGTGAGTTTAACCTGTGCCGCAGTTAGAGGTGCCTGATAGAGTGGAATGGGGGTGCTTAGACCGTACGTGGCTAGGACAGCATTAGCATAGACTAGATTCAGCGACTGCATTAGAAACAGGTCTTTGAATAAACGGGAATCACGAACCCTTGCTCGCTGATAGATGGAACACTATCCAGATTAAGCTGGAAGGAAAAGCAAGATACTAGAAAGAGGCGATGAGTGTTGTATTCAATAGATATAGCAATAACCTAACAGTGATTAAAGTAAGTCCTTGTATGATACTGGAAGATAGACACATCATCAGACTGGTCATAGAATGGCTAGATATGAGTCACTCACGTCGTAACGATTCCACGCGTGATCATGAATGTCATCAATCGATTAATCAAGCTGTCCGTGCTATGACAGAAGTGTGAGCCCATCAATTGAGCGAAATTGCGATAGACATGCCACGAACCTCTTCAGGCCACTGCGATGTCGATCCAGAATGGTGCAGAGAACGATAGTGATAAGCACATCGAGTACAGCACCGTTAACGACGTTGCCGATCGTAAGAGACTAGGTAGGCAATGAGGACGGTTAGAGTCTACTCATTCGCGACATGGCAATGAGAATTACCTGCATCCTTTTGCTATTTTGTGTGATCCAAACAGGGCTCAAGAAGCTAGTTTCCGATATTTCAACAAAGTGAGAAGTACACGCCGATACGCGAGAACGTACATAATCACGGTGATGGCTACAAAGCAAACTCTGGTGAGGTATATTGAGCTGAGAGGGAATTCAAGGCTCACTAAGGCTGGTCACGAATGCCACTACCGCGAGAAGAGACTGTCAAAGAAATGCCAACCTTTCAGTTCGTTCATAAGCATGCTGGAGGTGAGCGACAAACCAGGAAATAGAATGTCCATATAGCGACTACAGAATCTGGATGCAGTCCTCGATGAACTAAAGGCTGAGCAATTCAGTATGCGTGGAAAAGAGGCCACCATAACACATCACATACACCTTCGAATGCGGATCACAAAGAACCTGGAGTCGTTTCATTCAGCTATAGTCCCATCGCAGAATGCATAGTTTCACTCTCACATCTGACACAAGAATATCACAGAGCCCTGCATCGAGACGAACCCTCAGCATGCTGAACGTAATCAGTGAACGGGAGTCTCTCAACTGCGCATATGCTCTCGAGCTGTGTGATATGGGTCCTTAAGCAGATCTCAGCGATCCCTTATCGGCAAGCACTCACGTCAAGGCTCCATATCGGTCTGTGAAGAGCTGTCGAGTCGTTGAATGATATGACGAAATAATGCCATGCGGCATGGAAGTTCAAGACCATGATCAACGTGTCCATCGTCCTTGAGAGCAGCATTACACAGTTGCCATCGCGCAGAACTAGAGAACGCACCATAGCACGGAAACCTGATACACCGCATTCGTAAGAATGTCTATCAACCTCAACAAGGTCTCAGCAACCCACCAGTACTTTCAATGTACGTCGATCCCTGCTCCCGTACTGCGTGAAGTAATGTATACTCTGCAGAGATGTGACGCCATAGAGCCTTGAGTAGATCCAACCATTCCGTGAACATCCCATGCCAAGAAGAGCGAAGACTTACATCCCAGAAAAGATCGTCCCCACCAGCAATGACCCATATGTGCTCCCCAAGTTCGCCCCTTCCTCCGCACGGCCAGTCAAGGAGGTGGTTGCGGACATGAGTTTGATTCCCCAGATCGAGGAAGAGGAGGGCGTCTTCTCCTCGTTGCGAGTATATATGCAGCTGATTGATAGGATGAGTCTTTTTTGGGGATCAGACGTCCGTGCTGACCGCCCGACTAGCTCGACATCACGTACCGTGGAGTACATAAACAATTTCAACTCTCTCCATGCTCTCAAGATCGCTGCGCCGATCAATCTGGTATCTCTGCATAACGCAGACGAGCTGGAGACGGTGACTGCATGGAGAACTATGGAGAGGCATTCATATGTAGGTCCATTTATATCATCGCCAATGTCGTGATGGTGAAATTCTGGCCCAGATACGCGAAGAAATTTGGAAGGGACTGGTTCGATGAATTGCTGCGTATTGCCATTTGTCCATTTGTCGAGATGAATAGGCTACTGATGGATGGCAAATTTTAACAGTCCGCGACGGTTCCTGGACAACGGAATACAGTGGGGCCTGTGGAAAATCCAGGAGAAACTGCTGAATGAGTACTGGGACGAGATTTCGACCAGGCGCCTCCGGAGTCTGCTCGCTATCTAAAAATATCGAAATGGTTGGCATTGCACGCACAAGCTTCAAGCCGCAAAGGCCGGCCTCAGGCTGACTTCTAACTCCTATGGTATGGCATCCGTGAAGATACGCCCAAGTTCTCAACATAAAATCAATCCCTGAAATTATACATACGGGAATTCACGGTAGGCCTTGGGAGATATCGGGAAACGTAGCATCCGCTTCCGACGATCGACCGAGTAGACTTAGCTGCTTGACTGCAATGAACGCTGAAAAGGACACAATCACGAAAAGGCCAGTACAATAAACGTCGATATGCTTGTGAGAGACAGAGCGACACAGTACAAAAATAATTGAAGACAGCATCAATGCAGTATATCAAGTGCAACGAAAGATTATTGGACATTCCCATTGTTAAATCCTCCGCCGCTATATGAGCATATGCAACGTTCATATCCATCGCAGCACAGATACGCTTCTGTATTAATAGACAAGAGATTAAAGGGATCGTATCAGACGCTTGGCATAGAAGCCCGGCGTGCTTCATTGGGACACCTCGCAAGTCCGACCTGGTCCCACGAGCCAGATCGTGTCATCCACGCAGTTCATTTAGAACTTTCGAACTATAGCACATTCTACTCATACATACATTGCAACGAATTGTCTCAAGGATATCGTGCCGCCATCATTCTGTTCGTCTCCCACGTCTGAGCTTCGCAAGTCCAGAGGGGCCTATTTCTTCCCAGACTTCTTCGCGGCCGTTCTGGCCCTGGTTATCTGCTTCTTCCATCCGTAACATTGATTGCAAGCTAGGTAGCGATGCCAGCATCAGTGCTCAAAACCGAGGGAGCGAAGTCGGGAGGCAAGATGGAAGTAAGCGGAGCAGGCATGTGGATGATTGCTTACAGAGAGAGCCATGCTTTTTGCATTGGTAGGCACCACCCTTGTTGACAGTGGCAGCAGGAGCCTCGATACCTTCACGGTCGATAGGATCAAACTAGGTCGACCAGAGTCGTGTGAGACACATGCTAGTCACAGATAGGGGTACAACTGACCCCGAAGAAAGTGTCATTCTCCTCTCTGAAATCGGCGCTGCACTCGCCGCACTTCGAGAGCATGAATCAGCGAGCGCTCATATAACGAGAGGGCATATTCGCCCTGTGGCTGAAACATATTACTCACAACCTCCTTGTAGTGTTGACAGAAGATAGCGTCGTTGATCTCGATCTGAGAAGCGGCGGGTACAACGTCGGCCATGTCTGAAGGAGGATGGGCGAGAAACAAGGTCAAAGCGAGACGAGGAAGACTACGATGGTAGAGAGAGGATGATAATCGGGGAGGGGTGGGAGGTGGGAGCAGGTGATGTTTGGATGTTTATATATGGGTCCCAGAAGGGAAGGACCACGTAATGCGGGGTAGGGCTGCCCACCGGACACCGTTGCGGGGTAACGATCCTGTTGGGCCTCGGTGCACCGCGACACTGCCGCGACATGGTCTGGTCAACGTCTTGCGCCGAATACGAGTCTAGGGTTTGTCAAGGTTCTTTGCGTTACCCGTCGCTATACTGAGGGTACACATCGAGGTCCCGCCAGCCAAGCTCGGCAGCCGGGCGGCGATTGTCTAGAGAAAGAAATTGCGGAAGGAACCTTCTCCGGGCTGCACTGGCCAGGTGATGATGTTCGTAGTCAACTGATGATCACAATGGCATATGTCATGTGGTCTAGTACACTTGAGCGCAGATCCAGAAGGAAAAACATATATTAAATGAGTCAAATTCTGTCATGAAGAAATGTCAATGAGCATATGGCAAACTTGGAGACCAATGAGCCATTTAACGCACGGTGTTCACACAACTCTGTATAAACATATTTGGTTTTCAGAAGACCTGAAATCTCTGAAGAGTGTCTGGCAGCTCGTGAGGACTGAGATCTGAGAGCTCTGAAGACTCTGACCAGTTTCTTGAAGCCTGGCTGCTCTGATGCCCTGTAGTTTCTTATTTCAGACCTTGTAGGTATATTCAGGGTGTCAGAAGAAGGACATTTTGCCGACGACTCACCAGTGACTCACCAGTGGATGATGCACGGGGTCCAAAAAGTCTGCGGACGGAAAGGCCCAAAAAAGGCAATTTGGGACTGGACAAGCCGGGGCGCTGCCTCCTCTCTCTTGCTCTCACCGCCGCCCACTTCCTCTGCCCGCCGCCCAGAATCCGTCGTTCTCAACAGCGACAACGTCGTCGACTCTGAGAAATCTTGCGGCGACATTCCCTTCCAACATCGCCTCTATCTCTAGCTAGGGTAGCTCCATTCCGAACAGGAACACTCGGATCAATCGACTCAGTCTCTTCAAGAGCGCGAGGACCAGCTCATCTTGTACACGGCTCGTCTTTTCTTGCCACCGCCATCCACCTCTGCCCGCGCTCGTCCAAGTCGATTGCGGGCCGACATGTCTCCCTACCGCCCCTCACCCGACTGCACTCGTACAAGACGAGCGCCGCCGAGCGTCTCGTCTCGTCTCGTCATCGCCACCACCGCCTACATCCTTCCCGTGCTCATACAAGACGAGCGCGTCCGAGTATTGTCTTGTCTCGTTGCTGCTGCTGCCTACCACCACCTCTGCCCGTGCTCGTACAAGACGAGCACGGGGCTGTCTTACTCTCGTCATCGCCCCTCCTCCGACCGCGCTCGTGCTAAACAAGCACGACCTCGTCTCTCATCCCGCCGCCGTCGCTGCCGCCTCTCATTCTGCTGCCGTCGCTGCCGTCATTCGCCATCTCTTCCTGCGCTCGTACAAGACGAGCGCGGCCTCGTCTCGTCTTGCCGCCGCCGTCTATCACCGTCTCTGCCCGCACTCATCCAATTTGAGCGCAGGCTCATCCTTCCCGACCGTCTCCGCCCGCGCTTGTACCAAACGAGCGCGACCTCGTCTCTACCACAAGTGCGAGGTACCTGCCCTTCGGACACGACCCCTTTATATACAATACAGACTCCTAAAGCAGAAAGGCGTGACTGGGATATCCTGGTCCTAATAATACCGTCCAGTTGTATGGAGATTCCTTGACTTTTGTGAAGTGAATTGTTTGAGCGCTTATGTGACAACCCTCCCTTGTTCGTATATATGCTGTAGAGAATTATCTGGTCGTGAGCGACATGGATACCGTAAGCATCAAAAGCGATTCATGCCAGGATACGTGTGCTTATTCGAACATGCGGAGTTAGAATACGCTAGTGTTCGCAACTATTCTCAGAGGCTATATTCAGCTCTTACCTCGTTCGAACCATAAGAACGTCTCAGCATCAGTGTTCAATATCACGAATGCACCTGATGGTCTTCAAAACTGAACACAGTCTATCTCGGCCTTCACATCATATCGCTGGCCTTCCGCACCCGCTGCTGTTGATAATCAGATTGCTCAAACAGATCAATACAAGTCCGGGGAAAGATCCAGTATGCAAATCTCCCAAACGAGCTGGTCGTTCTCATCTTGAGGGAGAATGGCCCTTCGCTGCGAGGTCCGCCGGGTCCGGCCTCGAGGGATAGAGGCGCTCATGGACAGTCCTCGTGAGCTGTGATGGTCTATTCTAGTGCTGACAAAAGCGCTAATGGAGCATTTACCAAATGCCTTTCTCCATGTGGGCCTGTTGCACCGCCGCAGCTTTTCAGGCCGCAAAAGTAAGACGCAAAATTTTGCCAACTTAGGACAAGGCTGGCGTACATAACCAGGTGTTGATTAACATCAAGGCGCCCTCCTACAACACAAAGTCCGTACTCCCGATTCATCTCATCCATGTCAAGCACAATCACAATGACGCCTTTAAATTTTATTGCCTCGCCAGAGGCGCAAGAGACGCTATATGACATGTACGCCATGTCCTTCATGAGGCTATGAACGCTCATGCGAAGAAACTGATGTGTCTGTTCCAGACGTCTTGGGAAGGTAGGCAAGAAGTTTATATCACCTTTCTCTACTGAACATATCTTGCATTTTAGTATCTCTTCCTTGTAGCGTTCGTCGTTGCCGTATATGATCACGCTTGTACACTACCAGAGGAGGTAGGCTGATTTGCATACAGACAGTAGGCTATGGACTTAGCATATGCACTGCAAGATAGAGACCGTCTGGAAAAAGAAACGAAAGACATTCTGTGAGTCGCTTATATCACTTTATTTCATGTACCGATTCTCATTTGTAACATTGACTTTAGTTTTATACCTATTCATCTTCGTATGTTCAGTCAAGCCGTCTTGTGTCGGTCTAACCATATCGTTTCTCGTTTAGGTCCGATATTACACTCCACTTGTGCTATGTGTAGTCACATTCGGTATTAGGACTTGTGAGCATAGATGGAGCGTAGACTGACTTACCATACTACCCTAGGATTTTTCTCTACGTGGATGAATCATGAACGGTGGGTATAATTTCCCATTTTTCCGAGTGTAAAAGGGGGCCCATTCTGTATCTGGCGTAGCTGCTCGCACTGGATGTACTTCATGCCCCTCGGAGTGACCTTGCCGCTCATGCTCTTACCTGGTATTCTCATGGCCATTCGGTGCGTTTGTCTCGTAGGCAACCTGACCTTGACTAATCATTTACTATTGCAGAGTATACGCACTGTGGAACAAGAACATCCTTATACTTTCTGGGCTTCTACTATACCTAGCAACGCAAATCTCTATAGGCATATGGGTGACTCTGTTGCCAGGCGCGAAACGTGAGATTCTTCTTCTTTTAGTGGTAATGTTCTCATCAAACCATCTCTCAGCCCTACCGGTTCCAGTGCAAAACTACGAGTTCCATTGTGAATTTAATTCCCTTATCTCTCTACTGTAGAGCTGACATTTCTGTAGATTGTATATATGCGGCTCCTCTCTTGAAAAAGTGCAGCCTGGATCCCGTTTCTCCGAAAGCATAGCAACTGACCACCATCTAGCGGCTTGCCGTCGTCGTCGCTCTATGTCTTCATGGACCTGGGATACGACACCATGATTTTTTCTCTCACCATCGCACGTACGATCTACATGAGTCGCAAGATTCATAGGCATGGTGCGTTGGGCATTGGCCTCATGCGCAGCCTTGCCAGAGATGGTGCGCTATATTTCGGGTAATGCAATCTCATCAGATTGTATGATGGATTACTCAACAGATCTTATACACAGGGGGATTTTCGCGATGAATTTCACGTGGGTGCTCATAATCGTGCTGGGCTCCCCGGGTATACGCGGTCTTATCGCCATGTAAGATTCGATCAACGTTGTCCAGATCAATCTTGACTGACATGAACGCTGATTCCATGCTATATGATAAGGCCATCTAGCAGGTAAATCGATGCCCTCGGACTATATCATTCTGATGCTGACGAAATCCACAGTTTGACTGTTGCGCTCGTCAGTCATATCACTCTGAACCTTCGTATGATGGTCTATGGTCCTGCTCGTGTTGATGAGCGTACCGTTGACGGCATTCCGCTTGCTACACTCGGTACACCAGATCGACGGCGTCCCACGCAGACGCAATACATCGATAGTAACATAAGCGAAGCGTCTTTCTGAATATCGAGTTATGAGGGGCTAAGTTCTGGAGTCCTGATCTATGCGTTTTTCTGTCGATTCTGAATCAATACTTGATTATACTATGAATTTTATTTAATCAAATTCCTACCTCATACGTTGTCATCTTAAGAGGCAGCTTGGCAGAACATACCACTTAACAGACGTTCAGCAAATGATTCGACAAGGCGCTAGCGTAAAAACGTCCTTCAAAACTCTTTGAGAAACATTCACGATAAAGATCTCAAATCAATATAGTATAGTGAGAGAAACATACAATTGAAACACAAGCGGGAACAGGATACGAATGATTTCAATATTGCCTTTACAAGGTAAATTCAAAAAGCGGGTGTCGATCCCCCAGCCTGCTTCGTACTTCATCCGAATTCCACCCGCCGGGCTGAGTGCCCTTGCCCTCTTCCCGAAGTAAGCGGGCTACTCTAGCTCGCTTAGAAACATTCATCCTACGAAGGTATAGCACGATCCCAGCACAAGATACGGTCGTACCAATTGCAAAAATCAGGTTAACGACAGAAGCTTTATGGAACCTTGGGGGGCCAGTGAAAAGCCAGGTCGACACAATACCTTGTTGACGGAACAAAATTATAGATCAATTGAATAATAACAAAAAACAAAAGGAGCGAACGCACCCCCAGCGTTTGTGAACATGAAGCCTATAGCGACGCCGGTCGCTCGGCGGTAATGTGGCTGCACATTGTTCGCGTTCCAGGTCCCCAAACACGGAGGGACACAATACACGCCGACGATTTGCAGGAACAGTGCTCCGTAGTTTGCATGCTTGTTTGCGGTACCTGCTCGACATGAAGTTAAAAAGTGGCACAACAACGAGAGTAAACTCACCGAGGAAGATGGCGTATCCTGGAATGGCGATGAGACTGGACAGGACGGCGGTCAAGCCGCGTTGCTTGTACTTATCCGAGAGATAGGCACAACAAATGCTTATGAAGAACGAGCAGGCATAAGGAGGAACCTACGTGACATGTCATGACGATGAGCAAGCTGGATTGGAAACATGAGTCTTACAGTCAATAATTGCGTGCGCGCCAGAGGGTAGCCGAAAGCGTTGACGATGGTTGGTGTGCTACATACCACTTCTGTATCAGTGCATGAAGGTGATATTAAATGTGACCCACAAGTTTGCAAGGCCAAAAAGCTGATTCAGGAGGAGTCTAGTCAATCAGCGTAGAAGCGGTATGATGCTACCATAACGCACCGTGGCGCCATTGAAGAATAGCGGTATGGACACTAGGAACACATGCGGCGCATCCACAAAAACGCTCCCGACTTCTGACCAACTGAAAGTCTCGGCGACATCGTCCCCATCTCCGCTCCAGCTCGCTTGAAGGCCGCCAATGTATGCCGCTTTCTCTTCCAGAGTCAAGAATGGCATAGCTGCGGGCTTCGCGGGGGTGATGAGAAAACTAAGCAGGCCGAATACAGTTGTGAAGACGCCTTCCTGTAATGTCAGAATCGAATCTCAGGAGTCATTTTGCATATTGAAGGAACATTGAAGTACCCACCAGAACAAAAATCCATGACCAGCCCGGTAAGCCCCTCACGCCGTTCATATTCTGGATAGCTGCAGCAAGAAGGCCGGAAAAAGCGCCAGCAAGTGACGTGACACTAAACATCATTGCGAAACGCAGCTGAAGAGCATGCCTCTTGTAAAAGGAAGTCAGATAAAGTACGATCCCAGGGAAAAGGCCACCTAAATGCACAATAAAAACACTCATTAAAATTTGAGAATCGATTTCGAGAAAAAATTGCACACCCTCCAACGCGCCAAGGAAGAACCGGCAAGCGAGGAGACCGCCGTACGTCTTCACTGCACCTGGAAGGGTGGTTTTTAGAGTGGTTGAAGACAATAATGATAGTTTCAGTTTCGCTTACCTTGACACGCGCATACCATTCCCCAGAGAGTAACCATCAACGGAAGAGTCACATTAGGTCCCAAACGCTTCATCAGCAAGTTCATGGGGATTTCCATAAGTATGTAAGGTACACTGGACGAAAAATCATCAGTCTCAAAGGACAAGAGGGTCTCAGACAGCGATCGACGAACTATGTGATGGTGAGAGCTACCGAGAACTGGTGGTCAGTCATCTTGAGGTCACGCTCGAGACCAGCTATACGAGCGTTTCCAATGTTTCTGCGTAAACAGTCAATTCTCTCACAGGTGTGAAGGGGCTGTCTACACTCACGCACGATCCTATGGATGGCAGGATAGCATGACAGTCAACGGTGATGGACGAGGTTTCCGGTTTTTTGAAGAGCCTACCAGAAATCCCAGCAGATCTAAGCACAAGAACGATGAGCTTCCAATTGGTTTCTTGCAGGCGGTGAACGTACAGAACATCCCCATAAGTGGGATCACAAGAAGGTCAACTTTCAGAGTCGCGGCACGTTCAGCACGAGCGTCTATATTCTTTGCAACGCCTTGGAACCCCACATATATGTAAGACTCCGAACCAGTATGCTTGAGAGCTTCGACGCTATTCGATTCGAGCGTATGGTCGTGGTCTGCTGGCAATTCTGCTGGAGACGACATCGCCTATGGGAGTATGAATGATGGGTGAAGAGGGGAGCAGATCCATGATCGCATTGCGGTCATAGGTGGTTCAACGACCGCACTTGGAGTGCAGTGCGTGGACGGTCCCAAGTTGAACCTGCTGAGTCTCTGCGGCTGACGAGGCTCTAATTCCAAGTCCGCGAACTCAGAGAACGCCTCGTTGATATCCCAAATTTCGAGTCCCCATGACCGTGATCACGGCGCTCATACCATTCGTTTTCCCCGCAGGCAAAGAGCCAGGCACAGCAAACCATGTGGGGCTGGAGTATATTTAGAGAACCCTGTATTCACTGTCGATTGGAGCTGGGTTCATCAGCTTCTAATGGCGCGAGATGGCCTTCCCAATTCAGACGAATTAGACCAGCTTCAACCCATCAGAAGTCTTGCATGACCCAAAGTCTCACCTTTCCTATCATTCCGATAGAGCTCTGCAACCATTCAATGGCAGCGTTGACCTTACCTCAGAGTCCCGTCTTTGCCGGTTGAAGATTTGAGAGTTATTCTCATTGGCTCTTGAGTTGAGACATGTTATGGCTCATGAGATTGGACTTCGCGGCATATGGTAGCATATGGTTATTTATAACAGCATAGATGGATTGAAAATAATTGGATCTTCGAGTATATTGTGCTGCTATTCCTTCAACAAAACAATTCGGCAATGACGGCTTCAATCTTGCCATCCAAGATTGCCTGGAAGGGTGCACGTCAACTGGGAGATTCGACAGGAAAGATGAACACGTGCATACTTCATGAATCAAGGACACATTTTGTCCAATCGTGACATCCGTCGTGCCCAATCCATGGGCGAATAGCTCGTCGTTCTCCTTTCCGTGCATCGCGATGCCCAGCGTGACACGGACAAATTCGTACACTGGCTTTGTCCTCTTGAGCATCTTGCTTGCGGGCGCGGGTCCACGACTACCGCCTAGGTATTCCTCGCGGAGAGATACTATGAACGATGTGGCACGAGAGGCCACTCTGTCACAGAAGTCCGGGAAGACCGCCAGTGCTGATGTACTATCGACTGATGTAGCGAAGACATCTAGGAAGACTGACGAAGATGACGAAACGACCCTTTTCATGCGGGGTGCGGTGTCCATGGTGGTTGTCACGTCCAGCGTTTGGTACATGATGGAAATGGTCTTCTGCAACAGCGATGTTGGTTCGAGCGCTGACAGATGCCGATCGAATCGGGCGTGTAGTTCTTCTTCTACTATAGTAGCAAGGCCTAGGCGGAATTCGGCATCCATGGTGCGAAGGTCAAGGGCTACAATGAGCTTCATTGGTTAGTCTTTTACGGCGTCTGGATGAGACGTGGGACGAGCCTTGACAAAGAGCATATAAATGCGTCGCCATCAACAGGGATAGCACTTGGACAGCGCTGATGGTCATGCGACCTGAGATGAGAGCCAATGAACTTGGTGATAACTCAGTCAGATGTTTACCCGTGACAAAGGATTTGTTACTTACTTTACAGCTTGATTGTGCATCTCCGCGGACTGGATATGGGTTGACACAGGGCTAGCAAGGTGTCCGAGTTCACTGACATATGCGGCCATAGCAATGTCCAGGCCCTTGGTGTGGTAGTTGAGAGACGGATCGGTCGCAGCGAGCGACGGTGGAAGCCCGCGGTTCATACTAGGGTTCATCAGCTCTGTTGCCTGAGTGAAGAGGAGCCTGCCGATGTGATGCAACGCCAATCTGGTCTTCTCCATCGCATTGGTCACCGCCATAGCTTGGAAGTTGCCTCCATGGTGCACCTTGCCGGCCTCGCCGTCGAATAAAGGGTTGTCCGTGGCTAGAGCGCCCCTATGTTAGCGCCAGGGTGAATAGAGTTACTGAAGGATGACTAAACTAGAGTTGCACTCCAAAGTGACAACGGTGATTGCCGACAGTATATCTTCTATTTGTGGCCCGAGATACTGAGGCGCCGTGCGCAGAGGATAGCGGTCCTGGCGCAGTTCACCATCATCTTCGTGAATAGAAGTCTCGCAATTTACATCTTTCGCCAGGCGACTGCCCTCGAGGAGCGCCCAGATAGTGCCAGCGGCCTCCATCTTGGAAATCAAGGGTCAGATGAAGAAGTAATGGATCAGATGCCTCAATTGATAAGGGTACCAACACGCGCACCTGTCCGGGGTGGGGCCGTGCAGTGTTGTGTATAAACGGATCGTAGTTCCCCCTGGACCCGATAAGTGCCTCTGTGCACATAGCAGTGGATATCAGTGCAAGCATTGTGAGAGTAACTGTCGTGTTCATTGATAGTGCAGCCACGGACGCCGAGAACGCAGTCCCGTTCAGGAGCCCAAGGTGTTCCTTTGCCGCTAACGATATGGGCTCAAGGTGGTGGTTATCGAGCGCCTCGCGAGACGATATTATTCGACGCGTGCCGGAGGTCGCGAGGCCGTCGAAAACCCTGATAGAAGAGTTTCCCATAAGTGTCCCGGCGACATAAGACAGAGGCGAAAGATCTATTGGTTCAAAATTCACAAAATTCACCAATGAGACCGTTGACCATGTCAGGTGTCGTGAGAGAGATGCTTACCGCCGGAAGCAGAGATGCTGCTACGAAGCGGGACGAGAGGAACGACATTCTCGCGTAGGAGGTCATTCATTCTCTCCAAAAGTTCCCATCGCACACCAGAGTGGCCGCGAATGAGCGAGTTGATGCGTATGGCGATGGCACCTCGCACCCATGACTCAGGCATACTGGTGAAGGCGAGAGGATCGAGCAAAGGGAGGACCGACGAGGAGACTGTTGGGAATGTAGGGAGTACTCCGACATGGAGATGTTGTAAGAGTGCATGTCCAAGAGCAATAGGATCGTTCGTGCGAGTATCGGCTGCATACACAATGATCAGATTGTGATGAAATATTTGCAAAAAGAAAGTTTTATACCGCTTCCTCCGAATCCCGTGCTCACGCCGTATACACTCTTCTCTTCCTCCACTATACTAACTACAAGGCTACGGGACTTTTCAAACCGTTCCCTGATTTCAAACCTGCTGCTGAGCACCAAAGGCACAATATGTCGCGCTATTGCTACGATAGCCACGATAGACAGAGACTGTCCGTCAACAGTGATGGCTTCACCATTTCTGAAGCAAACTCGATGCATGAGCCAGCATGTACGACGAAGCTCAGAGTGTGCACCTACCTGTAGTTTTTGAGTTCATTATATGACTTAATGAATCGGGAACGAAGGCACAGATCGCCATGATGTTCCATGAAGAGTCCAGCGTCCTCCCGCAAGTTGATATCGTCATTAAATTTAGCGGTAGAAATAACCATGGCAGAGGAGGGACAGCTGAGACGAGAGTCTGAGAAGACAATGATGTCCCCAGCTATGATCTTGCGGGTATCTTATACGCGTGTCCGTCAGTCTTCAAATATCTATGAAAATTATGAAAATAGGAAACCATGAAGATACAAAAGCCGTTAATCCTCCTCAAAAAGGTATGGAATACAGAGTCCTTTGACGTGACAGGACTTTGAGCATTCAATGAGGCATTCTCACAGCGCTCTATGATCCTGTGCCATGGTGGTGTTAGAGGCGTAACATGAGGGTCCGGACTTCGCGGTGTTAATGCTCGTACCTTAGTCTGAGTTCTTTTAAGGGATTAGTCTGAACCTCAAGCTCATGCAACTCCTTACATAGATCGGTAATTTTCTTGTTGGGAATTCTATCAATAAGAGCGACGGATAAAGGCCTTCATAAAGTATATGCCGCAAACCCTGAGCAAGGACACTTGATATCTCTCTAGGGGAGGCGCCGGGACCGATGTGGAACAAGAACGACTTCGTGCCTCACGTAATGTTGTTCCGTGGATGAGATTTCAACTTTGAAACTCCGACGATCCGGGTCCGACCCACGAGCTCCCACGAGCCGTTTTCCTGACGGATTCCGAAGGGCTGGAGACACACCGGCTTCCTTTTTGTTTCCTTAGGTTCGGACGTTTGGTGATGGAGAGTAATACACTCGCGCCTTATTCTCATTTCGCTGATTCGAACTGCCACAGAGTCTCCATTCATGACATATGGCATGCATGGAACGTCGTGGCGGCGCTATCCCTCATTCGAGCTTGAGGCGATAGAGAGCCTGACTTAAAACCTCGTAAACCTATTCTCACTGGTCTTCAGCGTTCATCCATAATGTCCGATTCCTCTGTCCCAGACAGTACTCCTCAGGGTATGAATTGCCCAGCGTTCAATCCCCCCCCTCTCGACGGAAGCTATACAGTCCCGGAATTATTCGGCTACAATGCGAAGCGCAATCCTGAACACCCGCTTTTCGTGTTTGCTGATGGTGAGAGAAAGACTAGGACGATATGCTTCGCCGAGGCCTGGAGAATGATCCGACGTACTGCACGCAATATTCAAGGCCATTACAAGGACCTGCAAAACTCCAACGATGTTCAAAAGATCAATAAACCCTTAGGACAAGGATGCATAATTGGCATTCTTGCTGTTGGAGGTTTGTGTGTCGCCACCAGTGGCAATTGATACTCACTCGCTTTTAGATACCATCAGCTACTTCTGCACAATCGTGGGTATCATGCGCCTCGGCCTTGTCCCTTTCCCAATATCAATACGCAACTCTGCCGTTGCTGTAGCACACCTTGTCAAGGAATCAAATATTACTCAGCTGCTCGTGAGCCCCGATCCTGCCATGCAGCATCTCGCCTCCGACGCCATAGCGATTCTTCGACGAGATGAAATCTATCTGGAGACGCTCCCAATGACTCAGTTTGTCGATATCGCGGACGAAAGTCACCTAAACCCGGAGGTGGAACTTAATTTCGAGAAACTGAATCTGGACGGGGTTGCATGCCTGTTGCATTCTTCAGGTCTGTATTGGTGATATTACCCTTTAGACAAATCATTCGACCTTTCACGGCTAGGGTCAACCTCATTTCCCAAGATCATCACTGTCACAAACCGCACAGTCTTACAGTGGGCAGCGCTTCCCTGTAGGTCGAATCTCAAACATGATTTTTATTCTAGAATCTAACCTTCGAAGGTTATGGTCAGGTTGACTTATGTGGGATGATCATGGGTGTGCACGTCGTTCCTCTTTTTCGTGAGTCTGTATTTTTTATGGTCCAAGCGCAAGTGATGATTTCGGTTGTCTTCAGATGTGATGGGAATTGACAATATATTTAGAGCTGTGAGCGTTCTCCTCCCAAAATCTATGTCATGCTCACACGAAATTGAGGTATACAGGTAGCCACAGGCATGGTTCTCGGTGTATATAAACCATCATCCCCTCCGGTCATTCCAACACCAGAGTCTTATTTGGAGGAAGCGCTTGCCACCAATAGTAGTATAATATACTGTGTACCCTCCTTTGTTGAGGTTCGTTGGATGATCATTCAGAACACCGTATCTGCTAAATCCGATTTGTCGTAGGCCTGGTTTCGCGAGCCCAGTAACATACCAGCCATAAAGTCTTTTCGAGCTATAGTACGTTTTTCCCTTTCACGCTGTCTCGTTTGTTTTGATAATGCTTCTTCGGTGCTAAGTCGTTTGGTGGTGCACCACTGAACAAAGCTATTGGAGATCAACTTGCGAACATGGGTGTTGCGCTATTCCCGTTCTACGGCTCGTGAGTTTCTCGAATTGACTGGCCTCAGTCGTAACCTAATCTACTGGATCGTTTACTAGTTCTGAGACTGGTTGCATCAGCATGTTCATGCCCTCAGACGTGCCTAGCACCGACGAGTGGGAATATTTCAAAATCTCGCCTCGTCTTGTAGTCGAGATGTTGCCTCAGGAAGGCATGACCGACGTGTTCGAAATCGCTATCATAGTGCGTACATGACAATCAGCTTTCTGCGAAATCAATCCTCATGTTTCTGCTCAGCACACCCCGCATTCGAAGCCAAATGTTATAAATTCGTCAACAGGCGATGGGCGAGGCGCCTACCGGACGAATGATTTGCTCCAGCGGCACCCACAAAACCCTTTATTGTGGAAAGTGTTCGGACGCGCAGACGAACAGTTGATGTTGTCCAATGGCGAAAAGGTGGGTTCAAACCCTGTAGTTTTGCAATACACCGCCACTCACTCACTTTGCAGACGAATCCTGTTCCACTAGGTAAAGATCAGTCACGATTATCTCCGTGGTAGGAATCTGACTTTTTGGGATCGCAGAGGCGATCTTGGTGCGAGACACCCGCGTCGCATCTGCCATCATGTTCGGTCGGGGTCGGTTCCAGAACGGTGTTTTGATTGAACCGAAGAAAGAGTTTGCTTTCGACCCACGAGATGAAGTGAAACTGGCAGAGTTTAGGAATATAATATGGTGAGTCTTGGTATGTTGTTTGTTGAGGTTATTGGAAGTTTACAGGCGGTGACGTAGGCCATCGGTGGAGAAGCTGAATCAATTTGCACCAGCACATTCAAGGTTGTTCAAAGAGGTACGTCGATCGACTCATCCAAACTACAACTTGTTGAAATCATTACTAGATGATCATTGTCAGCAGCCCATCCAAGCCGTTCGAATACACCCTCAAAGGAACGCCGAGACGTCCAATAGTAATCAAGGCATATGAACAAGAGATCAACGATTTATACAATTCAATAGTCGACTCATCTCAAACCGATCTGCCGACTCCGCTGAAATGGACAGAGAACGAGACGCTCGACTTCATCCGTCTCGTAGTCAGAAATGTGATCAAGTCCAAACCAGACGACAATATCGATATCTTTCAGGAAGGATGTGACAGGTTTGTGCGTGGATTTAGTTCTGCGCATCCGAAATTGACCTTGGGTGGTATATCTGTAGTCTTCAAGCGACATATATCCGAAATTCGGTCGTCCATGCCCTCAGGCGGTCGACGACCATCTCAGTCTCCGGTATCGCAAACAATTTCGTGTACATCAATCCCACAATTGCGTCTATGAGCGCGTTCGTCTCGAGGATGCTCAATCCCAAAGGTGAACAATCTCTACCACGACCTCAATTTCAAACAAAGACCCAGGAGATGAAGCAGCTGCTGAGAAAATATACAAACGCGTTCCCTGTTCACATTCCGGCTCTCGGTGAAAACGATCAAGCACAGGTCAGCGATGCCGTTCTCCTAACGGGTTCGACTGGCCGCGTGGGGTGCCACTTGTTGGCCCAACTCATCTCGAACGGATCGGTCACGAAAGTGTATGCCTTGAATCGGAAAGGACGTTCTGATGTGAAAAGGCGCCAGAGGGAGGCATTCCGCATGTGGGGATTGGATGTTGAGCTTGCGGACTTCGCCAAGGTGATGTTTTTGGAAGGAGATCTGTCGAAAGCAGATCTAGGTCTTGGGCAACAGATATATGGAGAAGTAAGTCTCCGATTTCGAAATGGACCATTATCGACTCGGCTCAATTATGGCTTCCACGTGTCTGACCAGATCAAGCAAACGATTACCGGCATTATCCACAATGGTATGTTGCATCCCACTTACCTATACGGTGTCAGCTAACGCTCACGATTAGCCTGGCATGTGGATTTTAACTTGGCATTGTCCTCATTCGAACCGCTTATCTCGAGCGTTCACAAGATGGTCTCTCTTTCCCTCGGCTCGTCACATCTGACACCCCCTCATATCTTATTCGTCAGTTCGATCGCAGTTTTTGCAAGTGAGTCTTATATTTTGTTGCACACCACGGGTGACACAAAACTAAGTGGATATCCTGTAGACCATACTTCCGCCGCTGCGGAAGAAGTACCAATCGACGACCCAACTGTATCTGTCGGGACTGGGTATGGTGAGAGCAAGTGGGTGGCAGAGAGTATTCTGCTGCACGCGATGAAGGAGAGAGGCGTTCGAATCAACATCGTGCGCGTCGGTCAGTTGTGTGGAGATTCCCTCGTTGGAAGATGGAATCAGAAGGAGTGGGTGGCTTCAATGTTCCGCGGCTCTCAAGTCATAGGCGCCGTACCACAGAGAGATGAGGTCGGTGTCAGTTTCGGATGTGCAACGAAGGAGACTCATGTGACAGCACAGGCGATCTCGTGGCTTCACACGGATGTCGCAGCTTCTGCTGTGTTGGACATTCTGGGCTCCGACCGGCTTGTTCTCCACCTCGTGCACCCGAAGCCTGTCGACTGGAGCCTGATATCAACTACTGCATCAGCGCTCTTGAAGGTTCCGTCCATCCCCTACCTTGAATGGCTGTCCAAATTAGAGCGAGCGCACAAGGACTCTATATCTGACCCTGACGCGCTCGAGAAGAATCCAGCCTTGAAACTGATCGACTTCTTCTCGGGGATGAAGAATTCGGTTGTCCTTCGTACTGATCAGGCTGTAGAGGTTTCATCTCGTTTGAAGGCAGCCAAGGCTCTCAAAGGGGATGACGTAGAGAAATGGGTCGCTTACTGGCAAAGTCTCGGGTTTCTCGCTGCATAAGTAGCCATGTGTCTTGTGTCTCGCTGCGTGAGTAGTCATCTATTTCTCTTGTGGAGCAGTTAATCCGTCTGTACCAATTATGGGAGCAATCATGATGGAACTCCCTATAATTCCCGCTGTGATCATACATTTGTAGCTTGCACAACCCTGAGGCGTTACGGCTGCTTGTAAAGCTGTGAATACAATTTTGAAATCTCCTTAAGATCCTTCGTTTCTTTTTGGAGTGGGACAAACAAGTCTGAAAGCAAAGGGGATGCCAATGTCCCGTACCGATTTCCAACGCACTTACCGCCAGTACACGCGTCAATTACCACTACCGCCCATCGGAGGCCGGACGTTGGTATTTCCTTTGCGCCCAAGCCTGTTCAGGCTCGTTTATCCCACTCCAAAAGTAAATAGGGATCAGATCCGAATGTCTATGGATTTGCAAGTAGCTGTGAGATCACACAGCAGGATTGTGGGCAGTGTGATGTAGACACGTACGACTGTACCATGTTGACTCGTGTGTCACAGCATGTCGGAATTTCGGTAAGTGTCAATCGAATTGGTTCAGAAGCTCCCATTTCATCATTCAGGTCAGGGTACAATGTATACACTTGTATACACAGCAATCACGGCAGTAATCGTACACATCGACTGGGGCGAGGTCAAGGCACCGAGGGAGACGGGTCACATATCAGCTTCAAATTCAACGAGGCCCGTTTCCAGGAAGTCCCATACTTGGACGAAGCGCAGTCCGGCTCGCGCTCTGTGTTAGAGAGGACATGATGGGTCAGAGTTGATGCCACAAGGCAGATGATGAACGCACCCGATGTCCTTGAACTCGTTCAGGGTCCTTTCGCCCGCGTTTAGCAAGATAAGCATGTTGACGTCTTGGAGATACGTCCTGGCGCTCCCGTAGCCGTAGTTCGGCAATAAGGGTTCAGGCGCCTGGACCGCGGACATCGAGGTGAGATGCGAGTCGACAAATGGCACAAATCACTCACTGTTTCCATTCCTGACTCAGGCTCAAGGTCGACGTTAGACGGCACAATGTACTCATCTAGAGATGATTGAGATAAACAGAAAAGAGTGAAAGGCGATCACAAGAACATACGAATGAGGACGCGACTGCCGGGTTTCAAGGCCGCACGTATATTCTTCAATATCCTGATACAATCGTCGACCGGCCAATCGTGAATGATTTGTCGTACCTTTATATATCTCGTCGTCAGTTTCTACAGCCTCAGCAGGCAAGAAAGACAAAATTACATAGTAGATATCCTGATCCTTGACCGGTGGTCCCTTGAAGAAATCAAAGGGAGTGAAATCGACGCGGTGTTCAATAGCAGCAGCAGGATACTCGTTCTTCCAGAGCTATGAAAGATTTCATGATTAGAAAAGTAGAGCAAGTTTGATCATGAAAAGAGCTTTTGCTCACGGTTCGCGCCTGTTCCATGATGTGAGGAAGGTCTTGCAGGGTGAGATGCAGGTTGGGGTACTTCCTTGCCAGCTCAATAGAGACCATGCCTACACCACTACCCACGTCACAGACGGTCGTACCGGTAGGAAGATCATTCCAAGGAAATTCTGCGAACAGTGAGATGGTAATTGTCGATGATTGTTTAGAAGAGACAGGTCAAGTGCAAAGCATACGGTTGATTACGCCTTCCAGGCCAGTGATCTTAGCCAGGCCTCCCATAGCACGTTGGAATTGCTACGACGCCAATCGCGATTAGCGGGGATTGTATCAGCTATCGTTGCCTTACCGCGTTTGTATCGGGCTGTAAGGGCCATCTTTAACAGATATCGTCCAGAAGGAACATTAAAGCGTACATGTGCATGGAAATAGTCGAACATCGTGCCGTTGGGAATCTCATGTCGAATGCCCCATGCCCAAGCCGATCGTCGCGCCTCAAGCGAGTGACTGTATTCCGGATCGATCAATGCGTCGTAGAAGTTGGACACGGCGCATTTGTTGGTCTCATTTGACCTCATTTGAACGAGCGAGCTAACGGTATTTTCCTTCAAAAGTGTCAAAGACAGAGGGTTATTGGCGAAAATGTTGGGCTTCGCTACGAACAAAATGTCATCAGTCCTGCACTGCGTAGATTCTCGAAAGATAGCATACTTTCACGAAAACAATGCGTTGCTGCGAGGCAACGCATAATCCTCAGCAGTTTCCCGGAGTGAAGGTTTGTTTTCTCGGCTATTTCATCAACGTGCATTCCTTCCGGACGAGTAGTTAAGACATCGGCGACTCTCGAGTTGACGACCACACGGAGGCAGGCTACGTCATTTGTGGCTAAAGCACGCTGCCAGATATCCTATTTAGTAGACATAGGACAGCCACAGCCATGAGCCTACGCACAGTAAACATGGTCAGAGCTGGAGGGGTGAGCGTGATGGAAACCTGACGACATGCGCCTTCAAACACTCGAAGGGCTTTCTTCAAGGCAATTGTATCTTGAGGCAGCTGAGGCTCAACCCTTGCATCGATGGACGGGACTTCGCATCCGGCAAGTTCATACTGCTGAATGGCATCCTCGGCAGCTGAATTGATGAGGACCAACAAAGCACGAATCGTGTCTTTAGGGCCCATCGTTGCACAAGTCTCGGGAGATGAGGGCGTAATCAACGTGCTGAGGTGAGATTCGGGAACGGAGCAGGGAGGCGCCGTTCACTTAGATACATCATATACATCCGCCCCATAATCTTATTGAAGGAAGCGTATTTCATCGAAGCTGCGATGCTGAAAGGGAAAAGTAAAGGAAAGATCCGGCCAGCGCCATGCTCGGATTGGCCATGATCATGCCGAACTGTGTCGCGACCTAATTTGGAAAATTGCAAACTTGGTCCACACCACCTAGCTGTGTTTAGGAGAGACCAACCCATGACTCTTGAATCAGTCTGCTGAGACTACCATTTTACGTAGCGCTCCCAAGTATGGAGCCATCGGCGAATACTCGCGTTCCCAAGCCTCCTTGGTTCTAAGGAACTTTCCCATTCTGGGCCGCTCAGGGTTGCCGCAGCGTCGAAAGATATGGAAACTCTAATTCCATCGGCCGTACTACACCCTTCGATGCCATACGGCACCCCCCATGCATGGATTTGGAAGGATTGTCAATTGTGAGACGCTCCTGCTTATCTGAAAACATCTCATTGTACATGCTCTCATCCCGAGAGGCACGCGCGAAATTCGGAACATGAATACAGAGGACAGCCTCTAGTGATGCGTACCCATCGTTTCAGTATGGTATTAAAGGCATTCAGCCATTTTCGAGTCCAACAACCCCATCGAATCCCATGAACTCCTTAACTCATCCTGTTGTTCGTATAAGCCATCTCATCGCATGTCATATTCAAACTGAAAAACAAATCAGTCTCTGACGACACAGATCCTAGTAATAGGAGGTGGTCCTGCAGGCTCATATGCCGCTACACTTCTTGCCAGAGGTGTGGGCAATATTTCTTTGGTTGAATGTGCTGGCTTACTCTATTTTGCGCCGCCCAGAGGGGTTTGGCGTAACCCTACTTGAGCGGGATGTGTTTCCGAGGTGAACATCTACAGTGCTGCATTGCATTTGGCGTGCTCATCATCTCTAGGTATCACATTGGGGAGACGCTTCTTCCCTCGTCAGGTCCATTTCTCTCATTGATAGACGCACTGGGACTCATCAAATCGCATGGATTCACCCCGAAGGTGATGATTTCGTAGATTTCTCGTACCCAATCATCTTCTGATAATCTTTATAGAATGGTGCTGCCGTCAAACTCAACCAATATAGTCGTGAAGGGTGTTCGTCCACATTCAGAGTCTATTAGAATCAACATCACCGACATGAGATTTACAGATACCGACTTCGTCTTGCTGAACCCTGAGAATGAATCTTGGAACGTCGTGAGTATCTTTCTGACTTCCAATCTTCATCTATAATTCAGCAGTGTGCCATGACAGATTCGATCCGAGTTCGATCATCTTCTGTTGAAACACGCGGCCAGCAACGGTGTACAAGTCTCAGAGGCCATCAAGGTCGTCAAGATCCATTTCGACCAGGACAAGACAACCGGACGTCCCGTCGCTGCTGACTGGGAAGACAAGAGTGGAAAAAAAGGAACTATACGATTCGACTGGCTTGTGGATGCCTCTGGGAGAGCGGGGATCATGTCCACACAATACCTGCACAACCGCAACTTTAAGCAGAGCTTGAATAATATTGCGTGCTGGGGCTATTGGACTGGGGGTGCAGCCTATGCTCCTGGAACCTCAAGGGAGAACGCGCCGTGGTTCGAGGCTCTCACCGGTTCGTTGTTCCTCTTTTGATGGGTTAGTCCAATGGAAAAACAAAACATTCATACTTACCGCAATCGGCATGTCTGTAATATAGATCAGTCAGGTTGGAGCTGGTACATACCTCTTCATGACGGTACCGTCTCCGTGGGATTTGTTATATCTCAGGAGTACAGTATTTCCAAGAAGAAGGCTACTCGGGAACGATGCCAAGGCACCGAGGCATCCATTCTCACTGAACACTATCTAGAACAATTGCAGTTCACGCCCGGAATGGCAAAGCTGCTCGAGCATGCGAAGCTAGCGAGCGGAGTAAAGTCTGCCAGCGATTGGAGCTACTCAGCATCGACCTTCTCCGGCGACCATTTCAGACTCGTGGGGGATGCTGCAGGTAAGGAACTGCTATGAGTGATTCAGTCGATCTCAGAACAGACCACTGAACACGAAAATGATAGCTTTTATTGATCCTTTCTTCTCTTCCGGTGTTCACCTGGCTTTCACGAGTGGGTTGTCTGCTGCATGCACCATCGCAGCTTCCATTCGTGGCCATTGCAGCGAGCAAGAAGCTAATACCTTCCATGACCTTAAATTCGGGACGGCTTATACTCGGTGAGCAGTTACCCACGTCGTTTCTCGTCAACTGACCCTAGACCCAAAAAAAAACTACCTAGTTTCTTGCTGATCGTCATTGATGTGTATAAACAAGTGAGGGCGCAGAACGTCCCTGTTCTTCAAGATGTCGACGAGCGCAACTTTGATCGTGCGTTCACATCTCTCAGACCAAGTAAGCAATTCCGTCTCTGCTCAGAGAGTCGGTGGCTCATACCACGCTCAGTTTTCCAGGGTGCTGGGGAAGTTGGAAAAGAGCTCACGGAAGATGAGGTGCAATCAGCCCTTGAATTTTGCGCTAACCTCTTCGCACCCGCTGATCCCGAGATGCACGCGGACGTCGCGAAACGTCTCGATCGCGGGCTCACGGCTGCTGATGGGCCACTCATGACACCCAAGGCTGTTGTCGAGAGATTCGGAAAGGACGACGAGGAAGCAGTCCAAGTCTTGCATCAGATCAACGCGCGGAGGCAGATCCATCCCATGTTCGACGTTCATAAGCATTTCAGTCGCGAGGCGTTCGAGGGTTTGATCACGATATGCACTAGGGGGAACCTAGGGTTGGAAAGGGTGCAGACATGAATCGGGGTGAAGCGCGAAGAGTTGATCCTGCAGTGTTTCCGGACTTCGTTGTTTCATTTGATCAGAGAAGTCATCGTGTATGTAATTTTACAATCTGGCAATGAAATATTTCTTGGACCCAGGAGGGAACCCAACCAAATTTTCAGACATGCCATGCTGCACGATAGAGGAGAATCACATAGGTTTGCCTTCATTTGATTTCGAGACTGGACAAAACACAGTTATTTTACAATAATCACGAAACGTCGATCCACGGTAAGTCGTAACTTGAATGCATGCGATACAAGGACTGGAGACATCAGGGTCATACTCTCAGTAGAAGCCTGGCACAAGTTTATACCTGACCTTCCTGCTCCATGCCTGCCACTCTGTCCCGAACCTATCTTCCAACATCTTATCTTCCTGACCGGTCCTCCAGACCATGCCTAGAGCGAGGTGAACATACCAAACGAAGTAAAACAAGGAAAACGTTTTCCCTGCCCTAGTCTCGAGCCAACCACTCTCTCTCATCCAAGAACCCTCTCCAAATGCGCATAAAACGGATCCTATGTATCCAAGAATCATGGCCGTGTAACCTGGGTGGCGGACCCAAGCGTAGGGTCCGGTCTTCACAAGCTCGTGCTTGGGCCGGATAGTGAGCTCGAAGGTAAAAAAGCGGCCGAGGGCGCGATAACAGAGAATTCGGATTGATACGCAGGTGATCAGAAGGATCATGCTACCAAGGAATGAAGGAGTGATTCTGATCGCTGTGGACTGGATTGGCCTTTTGAGAAGGTATAAGAGCAACTGATGAGCGGTAGGACTGCTATGCTCCATATTGCGGGCATATATTGTCAGTGCTTCGCAGAGGCACACGATCCACGATAAAGCCTAAGATGAAGGCGTCAGGAGTGCGGTAGCACAACGAGCAAAGGATATGACCTTGGTTAAAACTGGGCCCCAAGCCACCCACGACTGTGACCATAGATCTTTGTAACTCGATGACTCTGATCTGGGTGGAGGGGGATTGGGAGGAGTAATGCTGCGATGGAAGCAGATCCCAGCAGCGAGGAGTACAGGGAGCTTGATCCAGACCATACTCTCCGAAATGACGGAAGAATAGTTCCAGCGACCTTTATAAACGTGAGCTCAAGATGCTAGAATGAGAACACCAAGGTTCCAGAACATGACGGAACATTCAGAGTATGTAATAAATGAGTATCATTGAACTATGAATTGAGAGTTCTATCTGTGCTGTATCACCTCGGGCTCCAGGGGCCGAATTGTACGAGAAGACTCTGCGTGCCTTAGGGTTTGATATGGAAAGGGTGATAGTCATCACCATATAAAGGCTGCGCCTTACGAGTGCCCGCAGGTCAAGTTCATTCAATAATATGGCAATGGGACCAACACAACTCTGTAAAGATAAGGAACTTAAGGCTTTAGTACGGCCAGTAGCTTGATTCTACGCTGAGGTGGGTGTTCCGTTTAGGGGATACAACCGTCCGATGAATGCAACTGAGAATGATGGAGTGATCCCCGGACGAGCCTCACTGATACGTCCAATCCCTTACCTTTGTTTACCTTCAGTGTAGATTAGATTCTTGGAGGAACTGTTTTATAATTCAATCTGGAAGGATGCATTCGACCCCGACCATGTCAGAATAAATCTGGCAATACGGGGGATTGAACCTATGGCTGTGATGAAAATTGCGTGACGATGGTCGTGGTCAACTGACGATCACAATGGTATATGTCATGTGTGGTGTAGTACACTCGAGTGCGGATCTAGAAGGAAAATATATATATAACAAGGGTCAAATTCTGTTAGAAGAAACATCGATGAGCGCATGGCAAACTTGGAGACCGGAAAGCCATTCAACGCACCCGGAAAATATGCTATGAAAAACCATCACCACCGCATAGGCGGTGGAGGAAATATCATGGGTTCCTGCCTCCCTAGCGTCATCTTCCTGCACTCCTCCAGGAGAAGCTTTAGCTCTGATACATTCGAAGGCTGCACTGTCTCGTCCTCCTCGTCCTCGCTGTCACTCTCCTCCTCTTCATAATCAGGCAGATCTCCCAGCAGCGCCCCAGTACAATCCTCGAGCCTGACGCCTTCCCTCCGACACTGCTCATCCCATCTCCGCCACCGGTCAAAACAGCCATTTTTGTGCTCGGGTCCGTCGCTCTTTTCCAGCTCACGAAGTAGCGTGCGGTTGAGCACACGGATCACCTTGAGCGAGGGCAAGAACCGCCGTGTGAGCTGGGTGAACGTGAGGTCGTTCGTGCGCTGAATGAGATACGTTGCTACGGGACTGAGGATCGGCACCATGCCACGTGGTACTGAAGGCGTAAACGCGTGCAGGAGTTGATGCAGCCCTATGTGCGTAATGTGTGCGTGCGGCGTGCGCAGAAGCGTCGGTTGAGGCGCGTTGGGATTCGCGCTGTTGGCCTCCGCGTGAAAAGGAAGACGCCAGTCCGGATTGAAGCAGAACGTCGTCAGGACGGGGCAGAGATCGAGAACAGAAGAAAGATCAAAAGCGGGGATGGTATTCAGGTCGAGAAAGGTGAGGCCGGAGCCATGCTGTTTGAGGAATCCGATGATGTCGGGGAGAACATGACGCTGAGCGACGAAATCGAGTGAGAAGGATTCCAGTACAGGGAGCGTCCAACCAATGAGTTGTTCCAAAAAGTCGGTGGATACACCACGGAGGTCGAGTTGCTTGAGAGATGGCATTGTAATTGCCAGGCCACCAGCCGACCCAAGGAGCAAGGTCTTATCGTCAGCATCGCCAACGAGTGTAGACTGGGGTGGGGGATCCAAATTGATAAAGGCTGACACCAACGAGGGCAAGGAGTCCAGCGCCCAGATAAGCCTCGGAAGCGCAGCTGGAGTGAGAGACCAGTGTATAGAGCGGAGTGATTTCGTCGAAAACGTGCATAGCGCGTCAGCGATAGGGAAGAATGAAGGCGCTATAGGCCAATCCACTGTAAATGACTCGAGATTGGGACACTGGTGTATGATCGAAACGACCATAACTTCAAGCTCTGAGAGTGTACTCCGACGCGTAGCATAGAAACGATAAATATGCAGGCGCCTAACATACCACCCGAGCGAGGAATTGCGATCAAGAGCAAAACAGAGGGAGGGTAGTTTCGAGGGCTCCACGACGAATAAGAACCGAAAGAGAAGATGATAGCCAACGCGATACCATTGTCGACAGGTGTACAGTAATGCCTTGCCAACGGTGTGAGCAGTGTCAGAAGTGGCATTGGACTTACACACACCTTGATCGCAGCATATGTCCTCTGCTGCTTCCTATGCAATGCGTTCACAGGGCTGATGAGCGTCCATTGATCTTCGTACCGATCCAGCTCCCAACAAGATTCTGACATGACGGTGGGAAGGGTATGGTTGAACAGGCCATCGTCATCGATAGCGAGCTCGAAGATTTGGACCAAAATCTCGGCAGGAACTGAGAAATGGCTCATGGCTCCTCTACCAACCAAAGGGCGGGAATTTCAGGTCGAGCAAACGCCAGTTATATCAATCGGGAGAAATCGGCTGGCGGATGGTACGAGCGAAGGTGGACAGGTATTGAAACTTTGTTTAAGGAAGCCACACAACGAGTAAGCATGTCGCCCTCGCAGGAATCATCTCATAGAGAAATCACTGTGCAGGAACACTCACTGAATTACGAGACACCGGGTCTCAAGCACTCTGGCCTTAGTGATTATCCACCAAGAGGCCTTATTTCTACAGTGAAAGTTTCACGAAAAAAGGGAGAGCCGTTCAGTGCATAAGGGGGTGACTTTCCGTGCTTACTAGGACTGTCGATGAGTGGGCTGGTAGTGGTGAGGATTTGGTATGAAATTACGATTGTCATCATGAACGTTGCTGTCATGAACAAACAGTAATCTCACGGACGGACCTACAAAGACAAACAAATCGTTTCCAAATATGGTGAATTGTGGCGCGGATCCGACTTGATCTCAAAAATTGACTGCACCGACACAGCCGACACCGACGACACCGACAACAAAAATGCCATCCGCGTGCGCTGCGCCGATTTCTGCTTAATATATCGCAGACTAACTTCTCTCTATCAGAGTACCCAAAACCTCCTGGGCCGACGACGTCGATGAGCTCGGTCAGTCCGTATCCTCTACCCCCGAATTCTCATATCTGATGGCAGCCACACAGAGCAACCCAAGATCGAGGACAGCATCGACGAGAACGGTGTTAGAACGACGGTTGAATACGCAGTGAATGATGATGGGAAGAAAGTGAAGGTGCGCCTTCTCTGCCTTGCTTGGTCGCTTCGTCCCCATGATTGTAATACTTCTGGCAGATCACACGGCGGATCAAGCGCACACTTCAAAAATCGCTCGTCGAGCACGCAGTCGCAGAGCGCAAGACGTGGGCCAAATTCGGGATTGAGAAAGGAAACAAGCCAGGGCCTGACCGTGCGACGACGACAGTGGGGGAGAACGTTACGCTGAAGCTCAGCGCCGGAAACAAAGTACGTCTCTAATTCTCTAACCATTTTATTCGCAGAACTTATAGATCAAATTGGCTTGTCGCAGTCCACTGAGCCGGAACCTTCCGCAGAGCAGACAATGAAGGCGACTCTGGCCAAGTCTGGCGCTGGAAAGGTCGTCTGTCGACTGTGTAAGGGTGATCACTTCACCGCCAAGTGCCCCTACAAAGATACCCTCGCTGGTCTAGATGGTACGGGTTGGCGTCTCTCCCGCGCAGGAGCCCTTGTTGACGCCTCAGATATTATGCCTCGTTCACTTAGAAACACCCCCGATGGCCAACGATGACGACGGCGACACCCCCGCTCCTTCTGGCGCAGCAGCTTCCGCGCCCTCCGCAGGTGGCCCGAGTAAATACGTCCCACCATCCATGCGCAACCGCGGGCCAGGCGAGTCTATGGGGCGCCCTGGCGGCTCGCGCGACGACCTGCCCACGCTGCGCGTTACCAATATCTCCGAAGATACCCAGGAGAACGACCTGCGGGACCTCTTCGGCACGTTTGGCCGCGTCGCGCGGGTTTACGTCGGGCGGGACCGCGAGACTGGTATCGGGAAGGGCTTCGCGTTCATCAGCTTTGAGGACAAGTCGACAGCGCAGAAGGCTATGGACAAGATGCACGGACGCGGGTACGACAGCTTGATTTTGAACGTCCAGTGGTCTCGTACGTGTCTTCCGTTCGAGAAATTAAGACGCCATCTCTCTAATCTTCCATTTTATGGCATGCAGAACCAAGGGAGCAGAGATAGATGTGCAGCGCATAGCGCTACGTTCGTTCTTATTCTTTTCTGTGTATTGCAACAGGTCTCAATCATGTGGTTGTCGGATTGACTGAATATCGAATGCTTGTGCGGACAAACATTGCCCACCGTCCCATGCCTTCGACTCGCTGACATGTTCAGATGCTCAAACGGGCTCCTACACATATGAACACCTGGTGACAACCCATATGTTGTTCGCGTATGACTTTGAGTATCGAATACGGGCAAGTCAGGCGGTACAGCGCAGGTGGTGCAATAGAATGTAAGTAAACGAAGCGGTGAATATTTGATAGCGTCTGCAGGAGTTCCTGTCGGTCAGGATGTCGCATGTACAGCATACGGACCTAATGAAACATTTGCATTCACAGTGATCACTAGGAAAAAACGCTAGAGGACGTACGATATCACGTTCTGATAGCTCGCGATGGAGTACCCACATGTGACTAGGCTTCATTTCAATCTGTACACACATGAGGAAAATTCCATGGGGATGTGTCCCAAAAGGACTGGGCGCCGGGCTTCAATCCAGTCTCGATGTTCCGCGGAACTCACCCGGAGCCTGCGAGTTATAGTCTGCTGTAGTTGCTCAAGCGGTGGGATTGTCCGGGACTGTCCCGCGGAACGCCGGAAATAAATATGCATTTGCAGCCAGGGCTGGCTGAGATGGATTTAGAGTTCAAAGGACCTACCAGTACATGTGCCGGCGTCTCGGTAATAGACGCAATCAGAGCAAGCGGAAGTCTGCGCAAGTGTCGTGGCAATCGTCGAAGGCGGCCAGTAAGCGGTCGTGATACGTTAGTGATACGTTGTCTTGGTCGATGTCGTTGCCCGAATAGACACGGTGAGCAGATGACGAGCGATGGCGCGATCGCTCGAGAACGCATGGGTACAAACGTGCGAGCGCCAGAGCGTTTCATTTAGTTCCAAGGGTACATATGTGTGTGAAGCCCGCTGCCCGAGAAATGGATCATCTCGCTCAATTCAGCCTGGAAGAATTGGGTTATGAATCGTCCAAGCCAGATGGGACTTTCCGATGAGCGGTCGAGGAGAATTTCGGAGCGAGCGAGGTCACTAATACATACGCGTGGACATGAGAGGAAAACAGGTCGAAGTTGGTCATGCTGCCGAGACGCTGACCCATGCAGTTTGAGGTGTAAGTTCCGCGCCGATGAGAGGAGCGCTATGCATCGTGCTTAGTCATACCCCTCGCTCGCGTCATTATGTCGAAAAATCTCCAAGGCGGCCATCGACTTTATAAACCAGCGTCCAAGTTTTTGCTATGCATCACCGTCTATCCCGACACCGCCCACCTTCCCGCCCCCATTCCCGCCCCTTTATTTTTTCGAAAGCATGACACCCGTTGCACTCTCTAGCGAGCACATACACACCAATGGATACCATGCGAAGAAACTTCACCAGGAGGACCTCGACGGGTTCGGCACCCGCGCCATCCATGTCGGTGCAGAGCCAGACGCTGAGACTGGCGCAGTCATCCCTTCTATTTCGTTAAGCACGACGTACAAGCAGGACGGTGTGGGAATCCATAAGGTGAGCACGATTTGTTTGGTGAGAGGTCGATAGGCAAAGCTTTGGAGCAACATCATATCTGCTCTCTGTGCATATGACTAGAGATTTACCACCTGTGAACATGGCTTTCGTCTATGGTGTTCAGACATGATCATCACCGGAGCCTGCCGCCGTGATAGATCGATGGTTCAACGAGGAATTGCCATGTTCGATAGGGTCTTGTGATGCTGTTGGCATCAAGATCTCCTCCATAGCTTTACGTCGTACAAATCCGCCAGTCACCGATGACTCATATGTTTTTCTTGGACAGGGCTTCGAATACTCACGATCGGGAAATCCCAATCGCAATGCCCTAGAGCGCACTCTGGCCTCGCTTGAATCTGGAGGCGCACATGCACTTGCATTCGCATCTGGCTCGGCAACGACCGCAACGGTCATATCCTCCCTGGGCCCCAACGCGCACATCGTGAGCGTAAACGATGTTTACGGAGGCACGTTCCGATACATGGCCCGCGTCGCAAAAGAGAACCAGGGTCTCGAAACGACATTCGTCGACTTGGAAAACGCAGATGAAGTCAAGGTCCGGTCTGCACTCCAGGAAAATACCAAAGTCAGTTACACATTTACAAGCGTTTGATGATATCATAAGCTGACTTGGCTTTTTAACTAGCTTATCTGGATAGAATCGCCAACAAACCCCACTTTGCGTCTGATTGACATACCCCGCATTGTCTCCATCGCCCGCTCACATCCATCGAACCCCCTCGTCCTCGTCGACAACACTTTCCTCTCTCCCTTCTACTCCTCCCCTCTCCTCCAAGGCGCCGACATCGTCCTCCATTCCCTAACTAAATATGTCAACGGTCACTCTGATGTCGTCATGGGCGCACTGATTCTCCCCGCCCACCGCGCCGCGACGCACGAACGCCTGGCCTTCCTTCAGAATGCTATCGGGGCGGTCCCGAGCCCCCACGACTGCTGGCTCGCCCAGCGCGGCGCCAAGACGCTCCACCTGCGCATGAAGGAGCACGGCCGGAACGCCCTCGCGGTCGCGCGCGCGTTGGCCGCGAGCCCGCACGTCACGGGCGTCATCTACCCCGGACTCTCCTCGCACCCGCGCAACGCGCTCGCGCGCCGCTCGCTCTCGCCACACGCCGCCCGCTTCGTCGACGCGTTCCTGGCGTCTCCCCCCGACGTCGACGCTGCACCACACGACGGCTCGTTTCCATACGGTGGGATGGTGTCGTTCCGCATCCGCGGCGGAGGCGAGGCGGCGCATCGCTTCCTGCGCTCAACGCGTTTGTTTGCGCTCGCGGAGAGCTTGGGCGGAGTCGAGAGTCTTGCCGAACTACCGGCTCTCATGACGCACGGGAGCATCCCGCCGAAGGAGCGGGAGGAGCTTGGGATTGGAGAGGACCTGATCCGGCTGTCGGTTGGTGTTGAGGAGGGAGAGGATCTTGTGCGCGATGTGTTGCAGGCGCTGGAGTCTGCTGTTCGCGATGGGCAGGCATGAAGGGAAGCCGTCTGACGGCGGTGACGTTCATCGGGGTTTGAGGGGGTAGATGAAGCAGCTTATTACACTAGAGAGTTGTGTCCGAGCATCCTATTGTTATTATTTCTTGTTTATTCTATATATCCCCACGCATGGATATACGTCGATGTAATGTTTGAGTTGCACAATTGAAGAGCAGGCTATTGTCGCAGAAAATGTGAACATAGCTTTGATGCTAATTCGATAAGGACTTAGATATCTGTTGTGAATTGCGCTATCTCCGCTGACATTGGCTCATATCATGTTGCCGTCATGACGGAGCTCCGAAGACCTATTTCTGTAACCGACTTTCTCTTCTGCGTGTCTATACCCTGGCCTTTGCCGTCTTGAATACCTAGGCCTTGGAGATTATCTGTAGTTGACACTCCTTAGGTGATTTGAAGGTGCGAGCCTGCCTTGACCTGCAGTTATGTCGGACGAAACTACACCCTTGCTTGCTGGGGATGGCCCGGACGCGTCCCTGAAGCCTTCACACGACGATCGTCATTCAGAGGAGAACCTGGGAGAGCAGCAAGATGGGAGTAGCCAGAGCACTGATAGTACAAAGACTTTTGGCTCGCTTGCAACCACTGTGAGTACATGGATTCTCGAGCTTTCGTGTATCGTATTGCGGCATGCGGAGAGCTGCCTGTGTCACCCTGTATCCTTCCTGTTTTCTTGCAAGCTGACAGGGTCATCCTGTATGCTTTCAGATCCTCCCTATGGTCATAGGGACGTTCCTGGCAGCCATGGACGGCACGATTGTCGCGTCCTCGTACGCGTCTATCGGGAGCGAGCTGCATCAGCTCCAAAATACAAGCTGGATCGCGACAGGATACATGCTAACACTTGCCAGCTTCCAGTGCGTGACTTTCTTATCTTTGTGACTCGTAGTGTAAATAATTATCTCTATTTTACGCTGCGCAGACCACTCTACGGTAAATTAAGCGATATCTTCGGGCGCAAGCCGTGTTTGATATTCGCGTATGTTGTGTTTGCGTTGGGATGCACTATGTGTGGACTGGCCAGAAATATGACGGAGTTGATTGTTGCTCGAGCCATCGCTGGTATCGGAGGCGGCGGAATGACGACGTGAGTCTGGCAGTTCTGGAAGCACTGATTCCTTATGCAGAAACATAACTCTCGTTTAGTATAGTTTCTATCATCATGTCTGATATTGTCCCACTTCGCTCGAGAGGTACTTGGCAAGGTATGGTTTCGGACCTGTTTCGGTACGACTGCGCGTGCTGAGCCACGAAACAGGTTTGGTGAATATCGTTTTCGCCACGGGGTCCGCAGCAGGAGCGCCCTTAGGCGGAATCCTTGCAGATAGCATCGGCTGGAGATGGTACGTCACGAATTCTCTACAATCGTGTGCTGAATTGAATCCGTCTCATCGCTGCATAGGGCTTTCTTGGTCCAAGTACCTGCGACTATTGCTGCGATCATCTCGGTCTCCATCGCTTTAAAGCTCCCGAATCGCGAAGACTCACACCTGCGCGAAAAGCTCAAGCGTGTCGACTTTGGTGGGGCTTTTGTCCTAGTGCTGGCCATTCTCGCCTTGCTGCTTGGTTTGGATCGCGGCGGCAACATCTCCTGGGATGACACGATCACCATTGCGTCTCTCACAGCCTTCGCCGGACTCTCCGCTCTGTTTGTTCTGATCGAGACGCGACTCGCGAGCGAGCCGTTCGCGCCGAAGCGCATCGTGGTGGATCCCGCACTCCTCGCGAGCTACCTGTGCAACTTTTTCTGCGTCGCATCGAGCATGACTATCATCTTCTATGTGTCGTTGTATGTTCAGGCCGTGCAGAACAGGAGCGCAGCCAACGCAGGTGTAGCGCTTATACCCTCCATCGTGGGCGGTGTGCTTGGAAGCTTGATTGGAGGCCTTGTGATGCAAGCTACGGGCAAGTATTATGTTTATACGGTCGGCAATTACGCTTGCATGGTAATCGGGACCGTGGTTGTCACCTTTACAACTGGGGCCATCGTTCACTCGTTCGCTGGAATGGAGATCGGTCAGTATCTTGCATTTTGGGATTTCGAAATACGCTCATCATACAATTGAAACAGGCCTTGTCCTGATGAGCATCGGCAACGGTGAGTCAGAAAGCCCTAATCCCCAAGTCAATACTCATCATGAAGTCTAGGAAGCGGAATCACGACAACCCTCATCGCTCTCATCGCGAATGCGGGTGCAGGAGACCAAGCAGTTGCCACGGCAGGTGAGGGCTTCTACTCCCTTTGTGCTCAGGATCGGACTCAAACATGACTCCTATCATTGTAGTGTCCTACCTCTTCCGCTCGTTGGGATCTGTCGTCGGCCTCTCCGTAGGCAGCACACTCTTTCAAAATACCCTCCGAAAATACCTTCACGAGCGATTGCTCGGACAAGACGTCGATGAGGCGCGTGTGCCGCATTTCCTTTCCTCGCCTTTACTAAAGTGCTCGCACGTGCTCGTGCTCCAGATCGTCCATCGCGTGCGCGAGTCTCTCAACTACGTGGACCAGCTTGAGCCTGCCGTTCGCGCGATTGTGAGGACGTCATACGAGGAGGCGTTGCAGGCGACATTCTGGTTTGCGGTCGTGCTCTCCGTTTTGGCTTTGGTTTCGTCATTCTTCATCAAAGAAAAGCCGCTGCTGCACTCTGGGAGAGACTGATAACCTCATTTATTTACCATAGATTAAGTAGAGAATCTGTACTTTTCTTTTTCGTTTATTTCTTGCGAATGTCCTCGATGCTTCTTGTCTACAGAAGTGATTGGAGATGTGCCAGATGCTTTCGCAGCGATTTGGAGCAACTCACCTTCAATCTCGGCTAATGCCGGCCGGAACATACCCTCAAAAAGGATATGCACATACCGCATTCGGAAGTTTTCTATGCGCCTCAAAGACGAGCCCATCGACGTCACTCTCCCGACCTCGTCTAATGCACCCGTGCTGACACCGGAAGACGAAGCGGCGCTCTCCAAGGCGCGCAGTGACGCCGTGAAAGTTCGCTGCCGCACGGCGTGGTCGCTCAATCGATGGCCGCTGGATTTCCAGAGAAGAATCATGTCGGCGCGCACGCGGGTGCACCTGCCGCGGGAGTTTAAGGGCGTCGGAGGCCAGGATGTGAAAGTGATATACGAGGGCCAGGAGCTCAACGGGTTCATTCACGAATGGTACAGCGTAGCGGAGGGATCGGAGGACAAGGGCAATGAGCAGGAGGCGAAGGACGAGGCGAAGCGGAAACGACGGAACAAGGTCAATTATGTCACTGCCGATGATATAAGTGCTAGAAGGTACGTGCGTCGTCGCTACTTATCCCCTGCCCCGCATTCATCAAGCTGCGCTAACCGCTTATGGGCACAAGACACGAGTTCCTAGGTCCTGACCCGCGGGTGGCAGGATATTGGCTCGACGACGCAGGTGAGGTGCATATCTGTTGGTTTGACGGATTTCTACAAGAAGAATGGATGGACAACGGGCGATGGAGAGGAATGGAGGTTGAGAAAAATGTAGATGGGAAGTGGGTGGAAAAAGGGCAGCAGTGGTGAAGGGCGCGGAATTCATTCGGGAAGTAATGTATGAATCAATCATTGGAGACTATGGGGTCTCTTCGATACTGAGCCTCCCACACTGCGAGAAGCTCCGTCAATATCTCCATACTCACGTCCTTCCACTTGCCCTCTTTCTCAGCCTCCTTGAACTCACTCTCGCGCACAACGTCGAATCGATCTCCGGCCCACGCGCCGCGATGGAAGTCTCCTTCATACCGTAGCGAGTGATCAGAGGACCAGGCTGTCCGCATAACGACAATATGGCCTAATCCGACATGTACGAAATCGTGCGCGATTGGTGAACCGCAGTGTTGCTTACTGTATTGGTATGTGAACTCATTGACGGTCTTCTCGTGCACGCACTCGTTCCGCGATAGATTGCAAAGTACTAGGCGATGAAGATAAAATGGGCCGCAATCCTCACGATAGCGATCGTAAGTCAAGGCGAGGAACAACTCGTAGGCGTCCGTTTTCGTTCGAATATCAGGAAGGCCGGGCCTAGGACGGAGCTATCCAACTACTTTCAAAACATCCACCGAGGAGCGGAATCGATCCACAAGGTCGAACAGGGTCGAACACTCTGTGTCTTCAAAGTCGTCATCGTCATCGTCACTCCAAAATCCCTCGGTAACATCTCTTCTTGTTCGGCCTTCGCGCAGCTCGGTCTCCTCTGCGGATGTCAGTTCTAGGCCGGGAGGCACATCGTTACCCCAGCATGAGTCTCCGACGCAGATGATGCGGTCACCGGCCCAAGTCGTCAATGCAAGGACACGCGATCTGATGTGAGGCCGACCGATCTGCCAGTGCCGGCGCGAAGTCAGGGCAAAGAAGATGACTGAGATATGGCCAGGGAGGTAGGTGTAGATGATATCAACGAGCTCGGTGGGAAGCAAAGTGAAGTAGCGGATGGGGGTCTGTGAGACTTTAATGCCAAGCCCTTCGAGGAAACGTCGTGTTCGTGGTCAGCAGCGGCTGCGACAGCCATAGTTGTCTTACTTCGCTTGGAGGGATATGACCCCTCATGATCGCGCGCATCAAGGGAGTCAAAGGTTTTGTGGCTGACCCTAGGAACAGAAGAAACAGTTTGATCTCTGTGGCCTACTTCTGAGTGAGAGACAGTTGAGCAAAAGACTGGGAGCATGACTTGCGGGTTATTATCTCGATCCAAGTCGACGAGGTACATTGATTGGCGATGGAGGCGCTCGGTGATAAAGTGGAGGCCACCGCTGAAGAGTCATTCACCAAGCTTGCCTAGCTCCTCTTTCTGGCGCCTGTCGAGGCTCGCGATGTCCCCATATTGACCCATGTTAACGGTGGACCGTGGACAGAGTATTAGCGTACAGGTAGTGTGCGCTGAGCGCTGAGCAGCAAAGAAGACACAAATGGGACGCGTCTGCCACGTTGGCTTCCAGGAGTCTTCCAGGAGTCTTCCAGGCTTCCAATCCTTCAGACGACCATGAGTCATGACTCATCTGCCAATTCTCCCACGCGGCAGTCGACACTTTTATTTACCATACATCGAGTATTCTGTCTATTTCTCGCGAACTATTATAAGGAGACTCACTACGTTTGTTTCAAGACCCGTTTCAAGACGTGCTAGCGGACACATCATTTCCTCGCAACGACTCACTTTCGATTGTGCGGGCCAATACCAGGAAAGAACCGACCCCCAAAAAGGCTATACATCCACCGCATTCGGATACTTTCAAGTCTAATATGCGCCTCGAAGCCGAGTGCGTTGATGTCGCTTTTAATCCTCCTGGCGTCATTGGGCGCGCTCACGATAACGTTAAAGACGAAGCAGCGCGCTGCAGGACGCGCAAAGACCTCGTGAAGGTCTGCTTTACGACGGGGCGAAGGAGTGGTGAAAACGGCCTCGTACGCTCCTAGTCTTCACGATATCCCAATGTGCAACACTGCATAAGTCTTGCTCATCTCTGCCATCGCCTTGCAACCTCCCAGTATCTGTTATTGGTCAGTCTTCGCGCAGCTCAGCTTTCTCTGCAGCCGTGAGGTGCGAGGTGCGAGGCCGGCATTCGTTTTCAACACGTATGATGCGATTACCAGCTCAACTTTTGTAGGGATGAACAACTCGGCGCAGGGTCAATGCATAAGAGAGATAAAGATATGGCCAGGGAGGTAGACGTACCTGATATCAACGAGCTCTGTGGGAAGCGTGCAAAGCACAAGACGGGGATCTCCATAGTATCTAGACTCTCCGAAAGGGCATTATGAGCCTTTGGTTCATCATCTGCAAGAAATACCACTCTCCTCAATCGTCCCTAGTCTAGAAACTATGGGATGGCTGTCGATTATATAATTAGCACGGCTGACCTTGGCCCCGGTATGTGTCCTGCGAAAAATGGACTATATTGAACAAGCTGATGATGCAGAGCACTGCAGAGCACTACGCACAAGAACTGTCGGATGCACGGCGAACTTAGAGTACGTGATTCCAATTCATGAGGCTGCCCAGGTCGGCTGACAGATGCACGGTGCTGCCTCAGTTCATAACTCGCCGACCGTTATTATGGTACGGAGCAAGGAGAGTAGCTGAGATACGTGTCGGCGATCGATGACAGTCCCGAGCACAGTGCACAGCTTTTGTACAGATGAAGCTGAAGCGCGACAAAGATGAACCCGAACAAGTAGCCGAAGATGGCGCTGACATCCCAAGTGTGTGCGGATGACTGATGGCGGCGCGGCTAAAGCCTTATTATCCAACCGCAATGACCTTTTAGACCTCGAAAGATCAAGAAGATTCGAGCGTTCTGAGACAGGACGAGCGCACCGGGCCTGTTATATAAGTCCTGTAATCGATCGACGCGTGCGTTCAGCTTCCAGCCGCACAGTCGTCATCCTTTCTAGATAGATCGCCGGGAGAATACCAGCTACCCGTTGGAATGAAAACACCGCAAGGCATCAGGCCTTCAGGCAGGGAGTGTAGGAGGCATGAGGAGCTCTGGTCCAGTGTGATTCCTGAAGCTGATTAATGTGCTTCAATGTGGCCCCGCAAGAGCAAACGACAACCGGCTATACATCGATCGAAAGGATCCCGAAACCCGATAGAGATCATACGAGGGCTGTCATACTACCGTGTATGAGCTTGTCCAAAAAGAAGCTCCGAGAGCTGACCTACGTCGAGCGCTGACCCCTGTTGAGCGCTGACCTCATAGAATCGAAGTCCCAGCAGCCGGGAGGGATCGATCATGGATCTTTCTTCCGGAGGACCTCAGTGCAGCAGGTTGCAGCCATCGCCAAAAATTGACCCCCTGAAACTGCTCAGGCAACGAGAAATAGGTCACTGGGAGATGCCGCCGGGAAAGCTCTAATGTGCTTTATTGTCCTGGACGGCCATTGGCAAGATCTCGGACGTCCGAGATTTTGCAATTGGCTCCGATCGACGGGCACAGTAGAGCCCCTTACACAGGTTGCTTAGAGATCACATTTTACGACGCGTCGAAAAGCCGAGAATATGAGACAAGTTGACTCACTGAGATGATGAGGAGCACTTCGAACGAGCCTATCCTGAGAGGTCCGCCTGTTGCTGTCAGCAAGCTAGAAGATGATGCTAGAGTCATCATATGAGGGCTGTGAGATCAGTACGGTGCTGTGAAGAGGTGGAAGTTGCGACGCTGCCGGCGAGGACGCGTAAAACAGCCATTGCCTTTTTGGGATGCCGAGGCTGAGCGGGTTTGGTTCCGGTCTGTCCGTTTGGATCGTCCTGGAGACGATCGGGGACGATTTTCGTACGAAATAAAACGCAAAAAAACAAACATGCCCATGGATCGACAAATGACAGGCTGTTCCTCGAGGGCAAGGAGGAGAGGAGGGAATTGTAGGCGTCGGGGAGAGCGGCTTATGTACTCGCGCGGAGTAGGATGGTGAGAGCGTGTTCCGCATGCTGACCAACAAGCTTCACTACACGAGACGTCCTCGAAGGCTTTTCTCAGTGGTCCGCCATCGCATCACTTCATTCTCCGGTCCGCACGGCACAACATGTCTTTCAATAAAACCCCTGCCACAGGACATCCAGTCGTCTTTGAACCGACCCTACGACTCCGTTTAACTTAACTTCCTTAAGGTGTTAGTGGTTCCTCCACACCATAGTCATGTCGTCCCCAGAAGACGCCTCGGCCTTCATCCTGCCAGTGCAGTCCAAAGCACGCAAATTCTCCCTGTTGGCGCTTTTCTGTATCGCACAATTCATCGATACGTTCAGTATCTCGTCACTCATCACGGCCATTCCAAAAATCTCTGAGGACCTGGGGTTGAGCACAGCTCAGGCTACATGGTTGCTTTCTGGTTTCAGCTTGACATTTGCGTCATTTCTGCTCGTGGTGAGTCCTAGAATTTCCTCGATTTTTGGCGATTTTTGACAGAATTTGTGGCGGCTGAAAAGAGCGGAAGGGTCAGTGATGTGTACAGTCCAAGTGAGTTTATCTATTGTTTGAAGCTCGCATTTTTTTGCTGACTATATTGTGCAGAGGTCGTGTTCGTGGGCGGTATCGGCGCCCTCGGTTTCATCTCGCTAGGCGCTGGTTTCCTCAAGAGCAAAATCCCACTCATCGTCCTTCGTGCACTTGGTGGCATAGGTAACTCTCGTTTTCTACCTGCCAATCCTTGCCGAAACCCTTTTCATACGACGTGCACCATATTCTCAATAAATTATATATGCATAGTTTTCTTACTCATCTCAAAAACTTTCCAGCTGGTTCGATGACTATCCCATCTGCCTTGGCACTCATTGTCGCTATGTTCCCTCAACCACTGGAACAATCGCGTGCGATCTCCCTCTTCGGAGGCTGTGGCGCTGTTGGAAATGGTCAGTTCCCTCTTCTTGTTTCTTCCGTTTGTTCACTTACCGAGCTATGGTGAACAGTCGCTGGTCTGATCATTGGTGGTGTCTTCACTCAATTCGCGACCTGGCACTGGGTTTTCTGGTTTGTGACCATCGTCGCGGTGCCCATCTCTTTCGCTTGCATCTTCCTCATCCCAGCACAACCGAAATCGGGTGAGCCACGGATGCAGAGTCTTAAGCGACTCGATGCGCTCGGTGTCTCCATCCTTACAGGTTCATCATATTTTCGTTCCCCCGTGTGTCACGTCTAACAATCATCACCACTAGTCGCGCTCGTCCTCCTGATTTTTGCCATGACTCAGGGCTCGTCATCAGGCTGGGGAACTGGAGGCGTCATTGCTCCGCTCATCATCTCCATCTTCATGATCGCTGGATTCTTCTATTACGAGACGCTCATCCCTACCGATATGGCTGCTATGTGAGCTCTTTCCTGTCCCGTTTTATGAGTTGAGCTCACGATCTCTCAGTCCCCCAGCGACCTGGTTCATCCCCAACTTCGCCGCTCTCTTCGGCGCCTCTCTTCTCCCGTACTTCTTCTGGACCACACAGTCTACGCTCTTCACCGAGCTCTGGCAAGGAGTCTACCACCGCTCTGCCATTTCAGCTGCCGTTCACACGTACGTTGACCGGGTTCATCCGACACCGACCAATGTGCTCACCTATCGCTTGCGAACAGAATCCCAAGCAGTGTCGTTGCTTTCGCCCTCAACTTCACGGGTCCTCTCCAACACCGCATCAGCCCTAAATGGCTCATCATGTCAGGCCAGATCCTCATGGCGCTGGCGGGGATCCTCGGCACGTTTGCGGACGGCGCGAACAAGTACTGGCGATTCGATTTCCTCGTCTTCATCTTCGGATCCGCTGGCGCCCAGTTGATCTTCACCCACGACAAGTGCGTACCTCTCAGTCCATGCTCATGGTCATCTGTGCTAACGAGGTGTCGCCCATCAGCGTTGCTATCTTCCGTGCGACGCCCCCACACATGGCGGGTACGGTCGGTGCCATCTTCAACGGTGGCCTCCAGCTAGGCTCCGCCGTGGGTCTCGCTATCGCGACGTCCATACAGGCCAGCGTCTCGCAGAAGCACGGAAGCCCAGACGACTACTCTGGCCGCGCAGCGGCATATTGGTTCATTTTCGCCGCCGCCATCCTCGGCGCGGTCGCGATGTTCTTTTTCTACCACACCGACGGCGATACTGCGCCACCAAGCGCCGGCAATACAGTCACCGGCGAGGAGCAGGAGAAGGTCTCGGACTCGGGCAAGTCGGACGTGGAGGCGCGCGCGTCGCGGTGACCTCCGTAGCATCCGTCTTGTGCCTCGTGTTTTGTATTTTCTCTGCTCGCATTGTTTCTCTTCGCCTGATGACTTGCTTTACGCTTTGCATATTTTTACCCATTCCCCGCACGGAAGATATCTATTTAGACGCACACGCCAGACTGAGTGGATCGAAGTTGGTCGATTGACGGCGATGTCCTCCCTAATGCATTTCCCCTCCTTCCGCATGTCGATAGTAATGTAGCGATACCTACATATGATTCTTGGACGCTGTTCAGGCTAGTCTGTGGCTTAATGCTCATGCTGATGATCATGACACCACCATCGCCACGTGTTGACGTTGGTCGTGATGAACGTACGACATACTTGCGCTCATTCACAGAAAAGAAAGTCGATGTCTGTTCTGGGCGAGTATCGTCGGGGCGTAGATGTCACCGTCGTGGCGTAACCGTGGATGGAAAGCACCTAGCCTTGGTCCGGTCGGATCCTGGTCAGGGCCTCATGTGGCACGATAAGGAGGAGGTAGCTGGTCCAGTGGTTGAAATGATCAGATCATCACGGCCCTCGCTCCAATCCGTGAGGCGAGAACGCGAGACGACATTGCGGTGAATTTGACAAGAATAGCAACCTAGTAAGAAAGCATGAGAGTCTCATTTACTATGCGACAAGCTAACCAATCGTCTCTGAGGGCCTGGCATACAAAAACGTGTATGCATTTATTGTAGATCTCGTTGTTATTATATCGTAAAAGATATTGTTCTGCATAGACAATGCCAATATGGAAAGCATTCACTTGGCGATGACGGTGTGGGGCCTCGCTGTGCTCTCGAGTCTGGCTGCAGTCAGACATGGCTAGAGTTCTTTGAAAGGTCCATCATCATAAAATCTGAGCTGCTTGGTCGTATGGCCAAGACCTGATAGAATTAGTGTCAGCATAATAAACGTGCCACTTTCAATCACGATGACCTTGTCGCGAGTTTCGCTGTCCCTAGGTTCTATTGACTGGGATTCATTTGGGCGCGAAAACTCGATGTGTCGAGAGACATGGACAAGAGGGCCGGTAGGAGTGCTGGCTGCAAAAGATTCGATGAATGGGTCACTCGTTTTGGATGCTAAGGCGCGACGCGAGTTCAATGATGCTAGGACCGAATTAGTGTACAGCTGCTTTCCTTCAGCGTCTAAACAATATAGTGAGAGCGATCAGGACAAATATCTCACCTTAGAGGTGGTCATAGCCCTAAGGGTGGATTCAACTGGATCAAAGGATGCTGAGAAGCGAAGGCACAGAAATTCACGCACGTCAAGGTGTAAAGGTTCGTGTTCGGGGCGCTGTAGTACAAACCAATGTGAATGACCATCGCGAATGCAGTGATGGCCCCGCTAGCCACCGTGAAACGAATCAGACGGTTGAGCATATTTTCGGTCGCGCGAGGGACCCTGATGGCACGATCAAGACCCTTTGCTGATACAAGCTGTGATGATGTCAGGAGCTTTTTATGGCAACGGAAAAGACAATAAGATGATGACGATTACCAAGTATACCATGCTGACAGCTATCAGGATGTCGCATATGGCGCTGCCGCCGAACCAGATCTAGCAAACAACAGTCTAAGTAGTGAAGTAAGACATATTGAAGTGACTCACACCACTGGGAAGAGATAGCAAATGATTCTGTGTTATTGAAATGTGGAAGAACTAGATTGTCGACTGACCCTTTAGCAACGCACTTCGCTGTATCTAATCTACAATGATGTTTGCTTACCTTGACACCAATATATATTGCGGTAACAGACTGGGTCAGAGAAATCTGTGTCACATACAATCAGCCGCGAAAGTCAACATCGGATGAAAATAACATGCCGCCGTGATGAAGCTGACTATGATCTTCCACACAAGAAGCCCTTTCCCAAGAGCATAGATGCGCCATGTATAGAATGACTGCACCCACAGAGAAACTTTGTCCCTTGTTCAGTATGAAAGAGACGACAAGCATGGTTGATAGTGACCTACCGACGGCGGTCGTGATTGGAATGAAATTATATGCCCAGCCGGGCTCTACCAATGCTACTTGTCTCCCCCAGCCAGCCACCATCCATTTCCAAGCCATCTGGACGACTATACCGGACTGAAAGGTTTCGACGAGGAATAAGCCATAGACTATGGGAAAGTTTCCTGAGTCTCGTATGAATCGGCGCTGGACGTGATGGAGACAAACCAGTGATCTTGATGAGGATTCTATCTCGCGTATATGTGATATAGTAGAGATCTAGCAGATGGTTTTAGTCTGTCTGAGTATGCTAGAAACAATCTAAATCGAAGACACAGACATATCTGAACAATCAGGATTCCATACAGCAGCCAACTGAAGAAACCGCCAATGAGCTGCCAATGAGCCAGGGAAAATCAGCGATGGTGCAGCAGGTAACATAGATAAAAAGCTGCATTTAGACGACATACCACAGGACCTATGCTAGCACGGCCAGAACAGACAAAGTTCATATGAGACAACATGGATGTCGAAATGAAGCAACTGAAGCCTTACAGAAGAAGTACACCACTAGGGACAGGCGCGTCGATCGAGGTGGAAGAGTTTCCTGCTGCAACCATGAGGCCGTGGGATCAAGGAATGGAAGGGTCGATGGGATGAAGTGAATGTAATGATGAGACGTCGGGAGACTAAGTAATCTATGCAGGGCGTTTAAGGATTGCGGAGTTTGCATCAACACATGTCAGAATTGACAAAAAAAGGATTGACTAGACAGTGTTCTGTTTTAGAACCATCGGATATCCAACGTAAGGATCTGATGATGGTGACGAGACTGCAGAGGGAGATGACAATGATGACGAGGGGTTGGCAGAGCACGCAGGGGAACAGACAGCAGAAGAAGAGGTAGATGAGGAGGTTGACGCCATCGCGGGGGTTTCAGATGATCACGCTGTGCACGACGATGATATCCTCGCACAGCACAACTATAGCACATTGTAAATTTACCACGCTGTATTAAATTTTATTCACAGTGATAGCTTGTACTCCAAGACTCACGCGCCGTCACCTGAATATCCGCCGTCGCTTAGTGGTCGACGGCCCGTCTGAACATGCCAAATGAGCCGGACTGCTGTCTGCGACAACCTCTGCCGCTCCTAATTTCTTGGTCCATTAGGACCCCCAGGCATCATCATTAGGGTAATTCCCACCCCTAGTGTCCTGCGCTGACTAGGCAGGATATGGCTTGGGCACGTCACCTCTGAGTTCCACAATCACCACCTCCAGCGCGCAGTCGTACATGATATTCATCCCTGTTAGATGGGCCCGTCTCTGATATGTCAGCAATGGTGGTGGGGTCTGGGGAGGTTGAAAGAGGGGTCGATACGACGATGTCGCCGGGACCAGCTATCAGAGGCCATATGAGTACTCACGAGAAGATGGAGGGCGAGGAGGACTCACCAACGGTTGCCGACTCGGACTCTGTGGCGCGCAAGCGGCAGGACATCCTGGCGGTGTCTCCAAGGAGCTCCAAGGCTACATTGTGACCTGTAAAAGCCCGGTTCAGAGGCTGTAGCATAGCGAGACACTTCTGTAAGACATTACACACCTTTTAGTGAAGACACCTCGCCATACTGAGCGCGGGCTGGTGGTACGCCGCCTCAGATTGGACTCAAGTCAGTAGCTCATCCCGATTCTCACGGCGCGCGAATGGCTCGTGAGCGCTCGTCATGGCTTGAAGGTCGTGCAATGGCTGACATACCTTCAAGGCTATCCCCACCCCTGGCGAGAGAATGGGAGCAGGAATGGCCCCTGGTGAGCAGTGGTCATACTCCTCAATCCATGGCGATACGTGGTCACATCTCAGCGTGCCACAACCTGCGCCCACTTTCGGACACTTTTGCTGATGTCAAGACTTTGCTTATGGCTTGCGAATTCTCCCACAAAGACCCTTCACGGCGACCAGGACGACCACGACGATGGCTTCACACTCTCTCTTGAGCGCTTTCAAAGCTAATAAACCCGCTTTCGGCGTCTGGTGCATGCTCCCTGGCGCTTTCAGTGCGCGTCTTGCAGCACAGTCGAGCCCGCATCTGTCATGGGTTCTGATAGATTGCGAGCACGGAATGACCCCGCTTCAGCCTGGCGCAGCAGAGTCTGTGCAGGCCATCTCTGGGATCGGCGCCGATGCGCCAAGTCCACTTGTGAGGGTTCCAGCGACGGGCGCCCACACGGGGACAGGATGGCAAATCAAGTACGCATTGGATGCCGGCGCGCGAGGGATAATTGTTCCGATGGTATTGGACCCTTTTCATGACGTCCATGTTTGTGCTATAAATCACTGAATGGCAGGTTGGGACAGCTGAAAAAGCTAAGGAGGTGGTAGCAGATAGTCGATTTCCCCCTCTGGGTAGGAGGGGGTTTGGAAGCCCAATCTGTTCTAGCATCTGGGGCATGGGCGCTACCGAATACTTCACAGCCGCGAACGACAGCATCTTGGTGATCGTCCAAATCGAGACACCTGAAGGTGTGCAGAACGTGGAGTCCATCGCCGCAGTTGACGGAATCGGTGCGTCATTTTCACCGCGCATTTTCTGGACTATGACTAAGAATATCTCAATCAGATGTCCTATTTATTGGGCCTTTTGACCTGTCCTTGTCTCTCGGCTATCCTGCTCCTTCCCCGGACCCTCATCCAGAGGTTGAGAAGATCATTCAGAACGTTCTCAAAGTCTCGCATAGCGCTGGCAAGAAATGGTAAGCTGTTTTAGGTCTATCAGATCACGACGGATGATCTGATCTTCTCGATCATATGCAGTGCCATCTATTGTACGTCCGGTCCGCAGGCAGCACAGCGCGCCGCTCAAGGGTTCGACATGGTAGGCTTTTGTGCCGGTCCAGTTAGTTGCGTGAGACTTATCGCTGCGGATTTGTTTTTGTAGATCAACGTGACAGCCGACTTTCAAGCCATGACACAGAGTCTGGCTAGCAGCTTGGCTGCGGCTGCTATTCGATGAAGATGACCTGGTATCAGAATCAGATTGATGCCTACGTATAGCGTATGCCAGAATTGTAACAGTCGACAAGAGGAATGTGCATTACCACCTTGCATCTGACACTTGGTTGGCCATCTTCGCAAGGAGATGTGCAGCTTGAAGTCCTCTGACAATAGGTGTTCATCAAGAAGAGGAGTAGGAATCATCATTCCACTCTTCACATGCGCACACTGGGCATGATGTATATATATCTAGCTCCACATCTCGCTGGGTCATTCACAGCATGGACTCCTCTGCATCAGACAGCGTCCACCACTGTACTATTCTGGGATGCTCCCTCTATAGCACGATCATCGCGGTGTTGTGAGCATTCTTGCCTCTGTCCGCTGTCGATTCATCCTGAGCTCGTCATCCTCACCAGCTTGTATGGGATTACATCTATCCAGACAGTGTATTACTTCGATCATTTCCCTAAGGATCGAAATAAATCGAAAGCCCTCGTAAGATCGCAATGTTGCTTAAATGAAATACGTCTGATAATTTGTGCTTTAGGTTGCTGGCCTGTGGTATGATTCACTAATTCATCGAATTTCTCAAAGACACCTCTCTGACTACTGCTATCATGAGGCTATTCGTCACCGCGGCTGTTGTGCTGAATGGTCATGTGTTGCACATGTATTTCATTATACACTATGGTGATTTCGATGCAGTTGGCCCTAACCTTTGATTCGTCACGGAAAATCGTTTCTTCAAACGTCTCTGACATATGTGACAACAGGTCTGCTTCTGTGAGTTAGTCTCAAGCCTGTGGATGCCCTCATTCTCAGACTTCGAATATCGCATGCATAGCTTGAAGGAACTCTCACAGTTGAGCGTGCCTATCTGACGAACAATGCAGTGCCGCTCATTACACCGCTCAGAGTATCAACATATCTATAGTGCAGCTATAAGTGGAGTGATATAATCGACAGGTCAGACTTGATAGGTAGATCGTTCCCACAGGTTTTTTATCAACAGTATCTGGAAAAGTAAGTGTTTCGTACACAAATATCCTCCTTGAGCTTGAATTCTTATAAGGTGTGTGCGATTGTTTACTTATAAAGTGTATCGTGGCCTCCACCCGCCATCGAGGTGGATGTACTTGGCATTGGTCTCATTCGTCAGTGTTTGCCGCCGACTACTCCCTGTCTTAGACACCACCTTTCAACAATTTTTAGATCATTATTGTGCTATTGTCCCTTGCAGGAATTCATAAGTCTTTCAGTATTTGTCCATCAACAACTGTTGCTTGACGCTGGCCGCTCTTAGCCATCGCCTCTATATTGTTTGCCCATCAGTCTTGTGCTTTCGTGACTTACGAGGTGACACTCAATCAATATAGAAGATCCAAATCTCTACAGACGAAGACAGTTTCGATTTTGCTGAAGTAGCTATATCTATCTCGCCCGGAATCGTAAGCGGGCTCATGTCTTGACAGACCCTGACCACGCTTTCCATCGTTGGGGCGACAGCCTTGGATTGTTTCATTACAATCGGACTATTGTATGTCATGATTCAACCGCAGAAAGCAATCAGCTCTACCAGGTCTAAAATATTAACAATGACTGCAGTAACTCGACGCTGACTGTATGAACAGAACTGGTCAGGTTATGCGAAAACTCATGTTGTTCTTGCTCACTCGCGGCATTGTCATGGTGTGAGTTCCATTACATTCTTCACGGTATTGGATATATCATATCTGAATTACACTTTCGTTTAGCGTTGTGCAGGCTGCCCTTATGGTAGCAGTATGTTCTGAATCTATTGGACGATCTATTGGACTTCATTTTACTCCCCATCACCAGTATCTAATGTGGCAACACATCCTTGTCGGAGTCTTCTTTCATTCCATCATGAGCAACAGTACGTTTTACGGTCTTCCCATATAGGACTCCTGTTGATCAGCACGTTCATAGTCTACGCCAGTTCCTTGCTTGTCACGTAAGACTCAATATCTGTGGTCTGCAGATTCTCAGATTTTGAGCTTTTTTTCATGCAGTTTGAATAACCGCCATCGGATTCAAGAGGCCGATGCAAGGATAACATAGGCTGTTGTGATCAACAGCCCACTGGGTTTTGTTATGTCTAATCTGACTAACGTTCTGAGTCGTATAGAATCCATTGTATCTAGGCACTTTCGAGGTTTTTCATTTCACGAAACTGAAGGCTTTTAAAGAACGGTCTGGTTGGTATGGTTCACAGTCCACCTTCGTTCTAGATTTTAGGCGAGTATAAAGACGGACCAGGATGGTTGTATCTTCGGGAACATGTTTTCAGAAACTGTAGGCAGCTACGTATCGAACTGCTGTTGTCATGTAAAACGAGCACAAGGATTCTTCGCGACAAACAGGATGGGCTTGTAGAGAACAAAGAAGGCTAGAGGTAAAAGATTGCGCTCTGAGACTTCGAGACTGATGGAAGCGAACACTCAAACGTCCCTCGTTTCAGCTTTTGGGAGAGCGCGGCTTTACCGGGCTTCCGTGAACAAATGTGTCAAGAGACATTTGAGTGACTTTCGAAAAATATGAAAAAGGGCGACTTCGCATTACAGATCTTGTGATGAACGCCAACGATATTGAAGCATAAAAGGCATGATGAAACGACGTGGGGATGATGAAGGAGTGCCCACGCCGCTCTTGAGGTGTCAATCTCCCTTGAGAATTTATCGTAAACCCCTTCAAAGGTAGGAAAGAAGACATAAATGACGGTAGCGTGCGAAGGTGTATTCTCAAGAAAGGTACCCAGACAATGCTGACGCGAATGCTTCGTCGATCTCTGACTTGGTGCCGTTAGCTTCGCCAGACAGGTCGGTCTAAGTTTCCTCCTCATCACTGTTCGCGCTATAGGGGAACCTTTGGGATGAACTCACCGGAGCCTTGGCAATTAACGCATTCTCGAATGCGGACGCGTCGCTTGCCAGGCCTTGAAGGTCTTGCTTGATAAGCGCAGAGGCGCCGCCTATTGGCAAAGACGCAAAGGCCGCTTTCTTGTCGACGAGATCCTGGAGGGTTGCGACGATATTGGGTGCCAGTGCCTGAGCCTGAGCCAAGATGGTTTGGCCATCAATCTCGGAAAATGGATCTGTATTCTATACTCGTGTCGGTTTGGCATGAATGTACTGGCATAGTAGTGATACACAAGATCTCTGTGTCTGAAGTGGCAGTCCTGATGGCGTGCGCCAAATTTGAGGCATCCCTGTGGATCGTCTGCAATACGGTGTCCATTAGTGATAATACGTTTTGATAATTTGACTCAGCGCGTAAAACCTACTAGAGCACTAGCTAGGCTTCCCCCTGAGATAGGTAATGCTTGAACGGCCGAACGCAATGCGGTAACACGGTTACCGAGTTCTGTGATGTCGGTCTCGACTTGAACAACAGCACGTTTCGCAAGGGGAACAGCAAGGCAGCCCAAGACAAAGGGAAAGATGAATACGGCTCTGATAATGTGGATCATTGTGAGCACTTGAGAGTTAAAGATAATGTGCGGTGCTCTGGGAGGGCAGGTAGAAAAGAGACAGAGGCCTTTTAAACCTTCGGAAGGGCTAGCATTCTCAAGCCCCCGAAACAGCATGCTCCGAGCAGTGGCGTTCACAGGCTTCTTGAATGTAAGAGATCCACGTCTTGCGCCTTCTCAAAGCATCCTATAACGGTCCATTGACATGCACATATCTTATGGTGGGAAGTGTTCAGACGCACTACAGGTTCCGTGGAACTTTCTGTGATGTAGTGACGGCGTAGCAATGGTCTTGCGGTCTTGAACTTCTAGTTTCTCCAAAGCATTGCTGAAGTTTAGATCGATGCGGTTCGTCTCTCTAATAAACATGCGATGAGAAGTTATCATATATTGCAACTCTTTCTGAAGTTTGTATACTGCTTCACAATTACTTGAACCCAGTGGCTCATGATCATGGCGAATGACGTGCCCTGAACCTTCAGGAACTGTAAGCGGAAATTGCGGACGAGAATGCGGCGTTAATATCTGATTTGATAGTATTGGCTTGATCAACTAAATCCGCCTAGTGTATGTCAGTTATGAGAGAATCCAAGAAGTAGAGAGGGTGATAAACTCACTGGTGACTTGGCAATTAAAGCATCCGCAAACGCCGAGGTATCATTGGCCAGAGTCTGGAGGTCTTGTTCAACGAGCGTGGTAACCCCACCAACAGGTAAGGACGTGAAGCCTGATTTCTTCGCGATCAGGTTCTGGAGGGTAGTAATAATGTTGGGCTCGAGGGCCTGAACTTGGGCTAGGATGGTCTGGCCATCATCCTCCGAGAAGGCGTCAGTAGCCTATAAGCATGTTTAGTACCAGCGAAGTGCTATTGTAAGCCAAGAAGAGCAGACCTGAGTATCGGAGGTGGCGGTGGTGACGGCGCTTGCTAAGTTGGTAGCATCGGTGTGGATTCCCTGAGTCGATGAATCGTCAAGCGCGATCAATTGGAAGGGAAAATATGTTAAACGCACCAGCGCGTCCACCAAGTTTCCACCAGAAGTAGGGAATGCTTGAATAGCGGTGTTCAGAGCGTCGACTTGGGTGCTGATGCCTGTGATATCGGATTCGACTTGCGCGACGGTACGCCTGAGAAGTGGGCTTGCAAGACTGCCGAAGATGAAAGGAAGCACGAGAAGGGCACTGGAAATGCGGACCATGATGGACTGCTTATAAGACGTGACTGGAAGTAGTGCTTGAGCTGAGGACGATGCAGCAAGTCGAGGTGCTTTTAAAGGGACACAAAGATCAGATGTTTTGAATTTCACCGGATACTCAACATGTTTTTGCCCAGAGCATTCCGTAAAGCCAGAGGGTCGTTGGTTCGGAGTTGGCGCTCAAATGTAACAATCGCAACCAATGGAAGCGCAAGTTTGCGCAACATTGGTCCTATGACAGCGTAGAGGAATGTATCCACATGCGCGCATCTTGATTGCGGAAAGCACCCAGAAGAAGCTCGGAGTCTGCGGAAACCATCACGGGCCCAGTCGTGGTTCACCAAATGGTCATGGGAGCACAAAATTGTTTCCATGTGAATCAGTGGTAGAGTGGAACGAGAGTGTGATAAACCTAGAAAGTAAGCTTCCAGTCGCTTGCGACATAGACAAGAGAAAATCAACATATGTCTAGCTGAACATTCCACGCTCATTTTGAGCACAAAATACTCGAGGTGTATAACTGGGAAGCTTTGATCTATGAAAGTCGAATTTCATTCAAGCGCCTAACTTGCTACAAAGAGGACGGCTTACGCACAAAGACACTGTAAGCGCACACGCACTAATTTCCTAGATAGCATCGCAGACAAGGACTTCGCCCTATTGAATGCCCCTTTCGTCACGGTAGTGAGATCTAAAAAGTGAGCGTTTGAGTCACTGGGTACAGTTGGCAGCCCGTCGTCCGATCCTGAACTCCTGTAGGAACCCTCAATTAGGTCTAGATGTGTGCATATTACTTCTAGTCCATTCGGTGGAAGAGATGCGAACACACTGACCGGTGCCTGTATTTGAATCGTTCCATGCAGTACCCTGCCGAGGGGCGGTCACACACCCCTTTGATATTGATCAGAAGAAAGGTGACCACTGGCATGGAATGTCGATTTTGATCACGGGTCAAGCGAGCAGATACACTCAAATTGAAAGGCGTCGCCCAAAGTGAAGGATGGGCACAGCCAATTGTAGTATTTTCGCATCACGGGAGCCTGAAACAGTGAGCTCGCACGGAGGATAGTTGTTGGCATCGCTGTCAGCACGTATGAGCGGGAGCAGAGGTCGACGAGAGGTTCAAAAATGTACTTGCATATTATATGGACATGTGATGGACGGCCCCGCACATTCCGCCGGTTGCAAAATGTGTCCACCTGCAAATAACACGAGCCAGATGGTTGCCATAACTTTCAGGTGTAAAATTACCCATCGAGCGCGCCGAAGAACGCGCCTAAGCGCTCTTCTGTCTGTTACTACCGAGTGCTTCTCATAGTATTGTTGGAACGTGTGAAAGGCATAAGGACAGACTTGTATTATCCCTGATCATCCTCGTAATTATTGTTAGGGGTGTAGGATCCAGGATCTGGGGTGAAGCTATGATTCATTCTACGCTCCCTCCTTTTCAAAGCGCTCAAATATAGGCTGGACAGCAAGAAATTCGCGTCGAATACTGGTTGCGTGTGCTTCGCTCCGTGCGCGGATGCTACATTTGAAGGGATTGGGAGCAGTGGAAATGCCCTTGCAAAGGGGAGCCATATGATTATGGGCGCTCTGAAAGTAAAAGGATAGAGCACCTTAGAGTAATTGTTGACGTCGACTGGGATAGGCCTTTTGGTAATGGGATCGACGGCTTCCTCGAATTCGAAACCCCAGAGTAGATTCATGGCGTTGAGCATCTGCATCGGGGATGAGTTCAGCAAGATAAAGCCAGGGCCAAAACTGCGTGTACAACACATACCAATGAGTTGTTTGCCAAGTTCATACCTACGCATATACGCTGATAACGATGACATAAATTGGGCGAACATGGACGTTCTCACAGCGCTATTTTAACGTACCCTTCCCCCGCCAAAATGGAGGTCATGTCGACGGCCGCCGTTGTCTGCGCCAGATTTTGTGCCGAACTCAGATGCCAAAAATCGTTCCGGTATGAACTCATCGGGATTGTCATATGCATCCGGATCATGGAACATTGCCCCTAAAGAGTGATCAGCCTGAGAACGTACGACTCACAGGACGGACACTTACATTGATTGATGAATATTGTGCATCCTTTAGGGATTAGGAAACCGCCCACCTACATTTTCGTGAGATCAATAAGCCGAGAAATTCAGTCGAGAGAGGCGGACAGTTTCGTCGCCAGATGTATAATGTGGCACACCAACAGGGGCAATGGGTCGAAATCGCAATACCTTAGGTGAGTCCAACACATTTAGGTTCAAAGAAATATAGCATGAGGAGAGACGGCACTTCGTACCTCCTTGACAACAGCCCGGACATAGGGAAGATTATCGTAGTCCTCCGGAGATGGAACCCGGTAGGAACCAATAACAACGTCAATTTCTTCCCGTGCTTTCCTCTGCACTTCTGGGAAGGCGACAAGCATCAAGACAAAGCTGCGCAAGAACAGCGAGGTAGTATCTGCTCCACCCTCCATCAAGCCACCAACTATGCCTCTGAAATTGATATCATCAGAGTAGGGGTCAAAGGTTTGACCAAATAGATGCAAGTAAGCAACACACCTCATAAATCCTCTATATTCGTCGACTTGATCTTGTTTGTCGAGTACGCTCTCAAGAGCACAGCCGATTCGCAGACCTTGAGAGACTCGACGCTCGCACACTGCGGTAATTCTATCGTAGACTCTCACTTGTAACGATCGAACTTCGCGACATATGCGCTTCCAGTCTGCCCATCTTTCAGGAACCAGCTTGAATATCGGAAGAAGATCGACAGGGGTGTGTGAGCCGGGTTCGAGGAGCGATATCCATTTCTCCTCGACGTCAAAGAAGTCGACGACAGACGGGCTTGTATAATGTGGTGATCGCATTCCTGCCAAAATTGACGTTAAGACGGAACTGGAATACCGCCTGAAGTGGCCCACAAATTCCTAGTGAGAAAATAATATATAACATGATGCCAATATACTGGAAGAGCATTAATATGGCCGCTCCGTACCTCTGGTTCGTTCAAAAGGTCGTACATCAATTGTGTGGCCTCGGCTTGTTGAATAGGCAGATATGTCACACATGCCTCCTTCGTAAACATAGTCTGCGCAAGACGCCGACAACGCCGCCAAAATTGTGCTAGAGCGTGGAAGCCGTGAGCATATGAATGCCATGATCTCCGTATCACATGTCTGTCTCACAGTATCTCGCCAAACCCATATTTTTGCCATGGGTGATCAGATCTACAAAGTGACTAGGAGGGCGATCAGAGGTGTTGACACTTTTCTGGTCAATGAGCTCCCTAGCGATACGAGGGTCAGAGAGTAAAATGATGGTCTCGGATCCAATTTTGAGCTAAGCGGGCGCTAAGTACCGAGTGCAAGAGGATCTGAAGTATAGCTCACGGATATGATACCGCCGTACTTCCGAGCCCATGCTGTGAATCTATCCGGAATATCATTCAAGAGACTTTGTGCACCGTTAATGAAAGACTCACTGCAAGTAAGGGCTCTGAGTGGGGAAGATGTGCAAGTTGCCGAGGATAGGAATAGTAGGAGGGCCGGGCGGCAGTCCGTCTTCCCTTCGTCCAGATCTGACGATACGGATGAATAGGACAGCGAAAAGAGCGATTAGTGCGTGGATTGTAGACAATGATTCCATCCTGGGCTAGCTTATTGGAGAAGGAAATGCGTAGGTGTGATGATTGAAACGTTCAACGACGGACGTGTCAACTTCATCAAATTTCAAGGCGCGCTCCTCGCTGCCGCCCTTCTAGCGCCCTGCATTATTTTACGGTTTTAGGGACAACGATAGTTTGATACTGGCGCGGGAAGAACACAGCGAATGCACAGTCAAAGGATGGTGAAGGGTATGAATTGTCATTGCGTCGGTCAAGTCAGAATTCTCTCAAGGCAGCATGTCTCAGCAGGAGTTTTCTGTGGAAAATCCGCGTAAAACGCCCTACAAAAGGCTAAAATACTTACAATAAATAACGTTTTTGTCCTGAGAGTTATCGCAAAACGATGACATAGGGCAGAATGTTTGTCCTTTTCTAGAGGCTCTACGGGGCAGACATGTTCGCAATCCAATTTATGTGTTCTACTGGTCGATGAATTTTCCCTGCTCGCTTGCTCGAACAGCAAACAGCAAATATCAAGTCCTTCAATTGATGATTGAGTAGTTTCAAGAAAACGCTCTGGACCGGCGGTCTCTCTAGTAGGTTTTACTACATGCATACGACACCGACTCGCAGTCGATCAGCTACTCCACTGATCCAAACTGCGAACCTAGAGTGCATCCTCCTCGCATAAGTCGTGCTCGAACTGCTGGAATATGGGCCGTGCAGCCTTGAAGGCCTCATCATCAACTTGGAAAGAAGGTGAACATTCGCAAAAGGCTGCTATATAGTCACAATTATACCAGCAACAAGTATCCACATGAGAAATCGAATAAGGCCCGTTCTGAGATCAAGTTCTTATAGGTAGATATCAACCCGAAATTAATTGTACGACCACCACGCACCACGTCCGAGAAACCGAGAAACTCAAGTAACAGTCTCTTTTCGAGAGCCTAGGCTCAGAAAGGCAACGTGATCAGGTTGCCGAACGAATCGTACGGGAACTCGAGCATCAATGGACCAGCGACCGTCGAGCTGTCCGAAACCCCATTGGCATCGCTGGTCAGGAGCAAGTACACGGTGCCACGCAACTCGCTGGGGACTGATACGCTTCCGTCCGCGCCTACTGGGACAATGAGGGCATTCTGTCCGCTGAGGAACGCACCGTAGAGCTTGGTAGAAGCGTCGGCGGGGCGGGCGAAGTCGAGCTTGAAGCTCTTGCCGGGGGCGGCAGTTGCTCCTGATGCGGCTTTGAGGGCTGGGAACGCCTTGACTGGAAGGGGAGGGTTGGAGGAGGGGCAAGACGTGATGAAGCCAGAGGCGATGCTGAACACTTGGTTCATGTCAAGAGGAGTCTATGACGAAGCTATCAACTGATGTCCTGAGCATTTACGCAAGAGGGAGCATCCTACCTCAAACGGTCCACTCCAAGCGCTGCTCTTGCGCACAGCAGAGTCAATCCATGCAGATTGCCTCGCTTCAGTGGTGAGGATGGTGGCTGCGGCGAGAAGGTAGTCCTGGTGTTCAACGTGTCAGCTGAAAATGTCAGGGGGTAGAAGGTAACTAGGACTTGCCTTGTTCTGGATGAATTTCGATGCGCCAACGTAGGCAGAAGTACCTGGGGGGCGATCAGCACAGTGTGGGGGGTTAAAGTCGAATAGCGCACCAACGGTCTCCAAGGAACGACTGATAGTGACAAAGGACTTCGGATCGGTTATGGGGCTGTGGAGAATGTCAGCGGGACGAAACCCGCACGATGAACATCTTGTAACTCACAAGGAATACGTGCAAGGCTTGGTCGCATTTTCGCCAAGGGCAGTCGTGAGGAAGTCGACGTGAGTTTTCTCGTGCCTCATGATCTCCAAGAACCGCCCATAGGCAAAGTCGGGGAGCCCGGCGTCTTTGAAATTCTGTCTGGAAAACTTGGAGAGCGCCTCGGCGTAGAACGCATTCTCAAGGTGCTCCAAAGTGAGCGCATAGTTCAAAACTTGCGTGTCTAGAGTGACGATCATTCGTCCGATGATAAGACAAGGCGGCATAGATGATGAATAGAACGGCGGACGTACCAGTTGGGACATCTGCGGTTGCGCGGGCAAGGGGACGAGCGGTCACGCTGCCTGCGAGAATCGCGAGGGATACAAATATGGCACTGAACATCATGTCCGTGATAATATATTGGTGTGGAAAGAATGGAAAGGTTGGGAAGGTGTAGGGTAGCGGCGGGATGTGAGGGGAGGACGTGGCAGTCGAGGACAGCCGAAGAAACCATCCATGCTGGTAAAGTTGAATTTATACGAGACGAGCAGACGGGCGGCTGAGCTGAGGATTGGACCTCCGAACGACGACGACGATGTTTAGAACCTTCATTTGGACGTCCGCTCAAAGACATACAGCCGCCAGACGCTGTCGGGCATCTCGGTCGACCCGTGGTTTGGACGGGCGCAGGCGGAAGCATCACTGACGCCCATATTCGGCAGCTTCATAGCCACATATGGGTGACATCGAACCAATGAAGGGCCAAATCGACGACTAGCGTCACAATTTCGATTGAGCCCCAGCAACATCACTTGCCCAGAAAAATTGGAGAAAATAACGTACCATTCGCCAGTCGCAAGACCCGCCGCAAATACGAGGCTCGAGGTGAGGCCTGTGAGGAGTTGATCTCATTTCATATAGATTTTCTAGAAAAAGTCTCCTGAAAAACGATACAGCTTCAAATCCCACCCGAGCTGGCCGAGAAGACGTGGAGCAAGATATGAGGGGCGGGCGGCCTGTCATCGTCGTAACCTCCTGTTCATTTAGCATGCAGCGAAAGTCGTACGACGAGACATGACATCAGAAGTGAGCACAGCCCGTGAAGACAGCAGAGTCGGAGGGCTCAAGGACTTACATCCAGCGCTGAATGTAAGTACCTGTACGAGCAGTTAGTGGTGACTATACTTGACTGATTCGTACATCGGTGATTGGGTTTGGACACGACAGGGTCCATATATTCCGCGGAAGCAGAGTAGCTAGACAGGCGCTCGAGTTTCGGACAGTTGGCAGGAGATTTTACATCCCATGGGAGTCGGACTACGATGAGCCAACGACAGTCAAAGTAGATCCAGATAATAGTACGAAACGCTGCTCTGGGTTCGGGCGGCAACGACAACAGTGAAGGACGGTGTCGGGAATCCACGGATGCCTCTTGTCCGATTTTCCAAAGCCGAGAGAGGCCGAAAGCTGTAGAGGGGAAGGCTGACTCATCAGGAACATTTCCCTTCTCGGACGCTGACTGTGAACTTCTCCATTATCCTTGTCCATCTTTCTCTGTATTTCGTCGAGCATTTCATGCTCATTCTTCAGGAACACCGCGCCATGTCGAATGGCTGGGCTCGGATCTTCATCGTAATACCATGTCGAAACCACACCATGCCATCCAAGCCCATCCAAGCCCTTCATCATTGTTTTTGAGGCCCTCTAATCCGAAAGCTCATCGGTTCTTTAGATGGCGTCATCTCCTCCGGCCTCCAAAAAAAATGTTTCGACGCAGTCGCGAAGTTTGCTCTTCTCTTACTCACCGTCAAGGAATCCACTCCTTTCAAAGGCGAGCGCGCGTTCTTCGCGTCGTCGTCAAGCTCTTCGGTATGCCTCACTGCTTCTATTCATTGAAGTGCTGTCATAACATATACTATGTACAAAATCAGGTGGCCTGAATCACGGATCATACTTCCGTGATAGACATGGGAATACAAGGCATAGACGTCGATGGAAAGCTCGACCGCACACGTAGTGCATCGAGTATAAGCGTTGTGCCGCATGATCCGATAGAAGGGGCGGCGTTGAACAGGAATGATGTCCACTGTGAGTCCTCTTCACCGCACATATCATCCAACATCTAGATGACGCACATCATCAGCCCGCGATGGAGAGTCTTTCGATGATGTTCCCGCAGCGAAACGGACTATCGGCCTCGTCTCCGCCATCTTCCTCATTTTCAACCGCATCATCGGCACAGGGATCTTTGCGACGCCTTCGTCTATATTGGCAAGTACGGGCTCGGTTGGGTTGGCCTTGTTTATGTGGGTCATCGGCGCGATCATCGCGAGCACCGGCTTGGCGGTGTACATCGAGTTTGGCACAGGTCTTCCTCGCTCGGGCGGCGAGCTCACATACCTTAGCTATATCTTCACCAAGCCCAAATATCTCGCGATTGCAGCGTACGCAGCGTATGCCGTGAGCATGCCCTGGCCGGCGGGAAACTCGACCGTATTCGGCGAATGTATGTCGTCCATGCCTCGTTTTTCCATGCCTCGTGTATTGAATCCCTCCATTATTCTCAGATATTCTTCTCGCAGCGGGGAAGGAGGTGACGCAGTGGAACCAGCGCGGGATCGGCATCGCTTGCGTCACATTTGCGCTCATCATGCACAGCGTGTTCCTCAAGTGGGGACTTCGGCTGCAAAACGCGCTTGGCACGTTCAAGATTATCATATTGCTCCTCATCGCGTTCTCGGGCTTTGGCGCTCTTGCGGGGCATGTCAAGCTTCCTCAAGACGAGAAGCCGCACAACTTCAGGAACGCGTTCGAGGGCACGTCCAGCAATGCTAACGCGTTCGTCACCGGTCTTTACAATGTCATCTGGTAGGGGATATCGTTGTATAGAAGTTAGCAAGTGAAACTGATCACGATTCAGGTCGTTCATTGGCTACTCAAATGTCAACTACGCATTATCGGAGGTCCGGAACCCAGTTCGGACTCTTAAGATTGCCGGCCCGTTGGCGATTGGCTCGGTGACCATCGTCTACATGCTCGTCAACGTCGCGTACTTTGCGGCCGTCCCTAAAGCCGACATCCTCACATCGGGACGAACTGTCGCGTACGTTGTCTTCTAACTCCCGTCTTTCGATTACTGTATGCTTACTGAAGCCGTCATCTTTCAGGGCACTCTACTTCCGTAACATGTTCGGCACGCAAGCGGAAAAGGCCCTGAGCGTGTTCGTCGCACTCAGTGCGCTCGGCAACGTCATGTCTGTTCTGTTCTCACAAGGACGCAGTGAGTGCATTGGCTTCATGCGCATGTCAATACGAGTTGCTGATGTCGTGCGCAAGTCAACCAGGAGCTCGGGCGTATCGGAGTCCTGCCCTTCTCTAAGTTCTGGGCATCGAACAAGCCGTTCAATGCTCCTGCCGCCGGCCTCGCGCTGCAATGGCTGGTTTCAGTCATCGTCATCCTCGCACCTCCTCCGGGTGATGCTTTCAACTTCGTCTTGAATTGTTCGTCATTCACCAATATTCTCTATACCCTCGTACTGATGCGCATCGATAAAAACGCAGTGGTTTCCTATCCGTTGGCCATCATCAACGCCTTCATCTCCGCCGGCCTTCTCTTCCTCTACACCCCTTACTCTAAGCGCGCAGGCTTCGATTGGGCCCCGCCCTTCCGCGCCTCGTGGCCCGTTGTCCTCTTCTTCTTCCTTTCCAACGTCTTCCTCTCCATCGCGCCGCTCGTCCCGCCAGCGCCAGGCATGAGTCCTTACATCAGTCTGCCGTACTGGCTGCACGTTGTAGTGTCGCTCGGCGTGTTCGCCGTCGGGGGTATATATTGGGTGGTCTGGGCCCGCGTGCTGCCGCATGTGGGCAAGTACCGCTTGGAGCGGCACATAGAGATTCAGGACGATGGAGTGTCGAGGAGCGTGTTCACAAAGGTAAAGGAAGACTAGGCGTGCGTGCGGGTGCGGTCTGGAGATCCGGTCAGTATATGGACAGGAGGTGTAATTGTCGTTTCGAGACGTGGCATACGCGCGTCTCTCTGCGGATCAAACAAAATTATTCACTATCATTTATGGTTCACCATTCATCAATACACATGCCAGCCACGGTTTACGGGCGGTTCGATCCTTTTCTGAAAACTTCTTCGACAGCGCCACTTGACGGCGCTTGATCTCTTCAGCAAGGGGCTCTCTGGAGTTCTGCACTGATTCAGCCTCTGGTATCCGATAGGTACCCGGGCAGGTACCCGCATGCGACTTTGAGGATCTCGTAGGATACCGAGGGATGCCGACAGAGACGAGACACGGCAGGACACGGCTCCAGCTGGCTCCCAGCCAGGGTGCACCAGCGTGTAGGCGCCCAGGGCCGTCGCCAACGCGCGGGCCGTTCGCAGAGCTACGTTAGACGCCCGTCAACTTCCTGTTTGTCTCCTGCTCCGACAGCCCACGAACCGTTTGCAACTTGCAAAATTCACTTGACTCTGACTGGTCTTACTCGTCTGAGACTCCCGAAGGCGGTATCAACTTCACGGACTATTCATGCAGTTACGGGACGCGCACTCGTTCTGCCCTTCGGACCTAGACCGTCCGGGATACGCGTTCGTCTATTCTGCACAAAAGCCATCATGTGCATCGCGATTTTGATGATCCACGGAAGGACTTCGATTCCGTAACATGATGCCATGGATGTACAAAAACCCATCATCACAGAACGAATCTCGTCTTTTCGTACCCACTGCCGCCCACAGTCAAGATCACCGTTCTCTCCGACCGGCGTTTTGTGCACGTCGGCGGAAATAGCCTCGGTGCGCAATTTTTTGGTCCCCCTTGAGAAAATAAACGCTCATCATGGTGTATTAGGCTTTCATATAGACTGCTCGAGCTGGCCATTTACGACCGATTCACGAACAAGCTCAAAAGTATGGATCATGAAAAATCTGACGATGGCTCCAAGCTCGACAGTCCCCGTGTTCTGGCTTACGATCCTATTGAGGGATTGGCATTGAACACATATGATAATCACTGTGCGTCCTCACGCTCTTTACTGCCAAGATTGTCCTTGACATACGTCGATCGCCAGCCCGTGATGGAGAGTCATTCGATGACGTGCCCTCCTCCAAACGAACTATTGGCCTTTCCTCGGCAATCTTCCTCATCGTCAACCGCATCATTGGAACAGGGTGAGGAATACCCTCTCATGATCCTGATGTCTACTCGTAGCTCATGCTGATGACCCCACAGGATTTTCGCGACTCCGTCTTCCATCCTCGCCAGCACCGGTTCGGTTGGTCTAGCCTTGTTCATGTGGATCATAGGCGCGCTTATTGCAAGCGCCGGCCTAGCCGTGTATATCGAATTCGGCACAGGCTTGCCCCGCTCTGGCGGCGAGCTGACATACCTCAGCTACCTCTTCACGAAGCCGAAATACCTCGCCATTGCAGCGTTTGCGGCCTATGCGGTGAGCATGCCATGGCCTGCGGGCAACTCGACCGTGTTCGGCGAATGTGAGTGGTCTTCGCAATTTCTGTGCCGTGCCGTTCCGTGTCTGATGGAAGCCTTCTGACCCTCGTGCTTCGTTCGTTTGTCAGATATCCTTCTCGCGGCTGGGAAGGAAGTGACGCAGTGGAATCAGCGCGCGATCGGCGTTGCATGCATCACGTTCGCGTTCATTATGCACAGCATGTTCATGAAGTGGGGCCTTCGGCTGCAGAACGCGCTCGGCACGTTCAAGGTCGTCATTCTGCTCCTCATCGCGTTCTCAGGATTCGGTGCCCTTGCCGGGCATATCAAGCTGCCTGAAGATGAGAAGCCGCATAACTTCTCCAACGCGTTCGAGGGCACGTCGAGTAATGCGAATGCTTTCGTCGTGGGGCTGTACAACGTCATTTGGTAAGTGACAGGGCTGTGATCGGAACTTCGTATCAACGGAGCTGACGATCTGCGTAGGTCATTCATTGGGTATTCCAATGTCAACTACGCCCTGTCGGAAGTACGGAACCCGGTGCGGACGCTGAAGATTGCAGGCCCGCTGGCGATCAGCACGATCACCGTGGTCTACATGCTTGTCAACATCGCATATTTCGCGGCGGTACCAAAGGCAGATATTCTATCGTCAGGTCAAACAGTCGCGTGAGCCATTCATTTATATAACGTTGGACCGGCTGAAGTTGACGGCATGCACGGCAGGGCGCTTTACTTCCGGAATATGTTCGGAGTGAAGGCCGAAAAAGCATTGAGCGTATTTGTAGCACTCAGTGCGCTCGGAAACGTGATGTCATGCTTGTTTTCCCAAGGCCGCAGTACGTCCCTTGACCTCGATTTGTAGAGACACGATTTGCTTATGCTTGTACAGTCAATCAAGAGCTCGGAAGGATCGGGGTCCTACCGTTCTCAAAGTTCTGGGCATCGAATAAACCATTCAACGCTCCGGCAGCAGGACTTGCCCTGCACTGGTTCGTCTCCGTCGTGGCCATCCTCGCACCCCCTCCCGGCGACGCCTTTAACTTTATTCTGAACCGTTCGTCTCAGTCTCTTTTAAATTCATCCATTGGCTGATCAGTGCGTGGGCTGTGTAGTTGTATCTTATCCTTTGGCGATCATCAACGCCTTCATCTCCGCCGGCCTCCTCTTTCTCTATACCCCTTACTCCAAGCGCGGAGGCTTCAACTGGGCTCCACCCTTCCGCGCCTCGTGGCCTGTCGTCCTCTTCTTCTTCCTCTCCAACGTCTTCCTCTCTATCGCACCGCTCGTCCCACCCGCGCCAGGCATGAAGCCGTACAAGAATTTGCCGTACTGGCTGCATGTCGTAGTCGCGCTTGGCGTGTTCGCGCTCGGCGGCGTCTATTGGGTGTTTTGGGCCCGCATACTTCCCCGCTTGGGACGGTATCGCTTGGAGCGTCATACGGAGATTCAAGATGACGGGGTGTCGAGGAGTGTGTTCAAGAAAGTGCATGTACAGTAAGAGTAATGATAAGGCGTCTGAGGAATGTCTTTTGTAACATCTATACCTTGGCTATGGACATATGTTGCAGATCGGAGAAGCTGTGTCTTTTTGTGTCAATAATACGAATTCTACAGACAATATACATCATATATGAGTAGCCTCAAGAGAACTCCTGCTCAGTTATGACGGAAAAAGCTACAGCAAAGGGCATATTGTGAAATCGGTGATACTCCAAAGAGGTGCGTTCACAAAGCAAAACAAATACAGTATATCTTACAATCATGCCTATCATCACATATCACTTGAAGCTCCTGGATCAATTTATCCCTAGGACGTATGGAGCACTTGAAGGGCAGCGGACGATTTTTTCACCAATAAAACATCATTGTGATCAAGTTTGCTCATTTGATATAATTTTAACACGCTCACCTAGTCAGACCATCAGTATTATCAACGTGGATAGGGATCTCCGCCCTGCTTCATCCTTCGCCGGCTCGATGTCGAACAACGCCAGTGTGCATGTGACCATGATCCATATTGATGCTCTAGCAAGGTGTTGTCCCGGGCAAGCCCTACCGACTGGCATTCATTGTCGTCATTTGTGTCACCATCTTAAATCGTACTTACCGTCTGCCAAATCCGAACACAGCTTCAACATGATCGTCGTTCAAGGTTCCGTCTTCTCCGAAGAACCGTTCCGGCTTGAACGACTCAGGATCCGGATATTTCACAGGATCGTGCAATATAGCCCTAGAGCAACAGCATCAATTTGCGCTGCAGTAAAAGCTTGATTACCAGCCCACCATGAGTTGAACAATATTTCGGCCCCTAGATATCGCCACGGTCAGCACGAAAGGCTCACAGGCGGATAACCAAATCAGTCTGTCACACCTTTCGGAATGTGCCAACCTCTGTACACATCATCCTCGTAGGCGGCATGCGCTACGCCTAGCGGTCCAACAACCCCCCAACGCGAGGCCTCACGGCATACAGCATCGACGTATGGGAGTAAGTCTTCGAAATTTGGGAGACGCTCACGACCGACCACATTGTCGATTTGGGCTTGTACATGCCGCTGCACTTCAGGGTTCAGAGCGAGTGCGAGAAGTAAGAAGTTGATTGATGCTGCTGTCTAGGACCGACTTGTAATGAGCGTCGATGGATTAAGTAGTGATGATATAGAGCAAGACGAACCGTGTCCGTTCCGACTATAGAGAGAAAGAAAAAAGTAGGAAGATTGCCCTTGGAGCAGGTGATATTCTCAACTTACCGGCATGTACCGCTGCTGCTGCATCCATGATAGCCACTGCTTCAGCTTCATCGCCTCCCTTTGCTTCATGCATCTCCAGCAAGCTCGCTGTCATCGAGGGCCGAGCTGTGCCATCAACCTTTGAACAAGCGATAAGATTATATTTAACCACAAAATATGTATTCTTGATGCCTCACCATGCTCCGTTTCACAGCCTCAAAGGGGACGTATCTCATTTCCCGTGTCAACAAAGCACACTTCTCTGCGTACGTCTTGAATCCTGCACCCGGAAACCATTTCGGGAGATGTTTCACTACATTTCCGCATCCTCAGGACGAGCGCGGATATGGTCAGACAATGATCACGCACATATGGGCAGCGCATTGACAATTACTGCGCCCGGAAACACGGCACCTGATAGCATCTTGGATGCTCTCTCTGAGATGTTCACCGTTCGGTCTTCCGACTGAGATAACTCGTGCGCATAAGCCATTGACATCATGATGGACTCTACGAAACTGGTCGGTCCCCATTCCAAAGGTATCAACACCTGAGTAATGAAAAATGATACAATGCTCACTGTCTCGCGTGGTCCATGAAGCTTTCAGGGCTCGTGTGTAGCAGCTTTATGAGTTTGACTGCACACTTCTTCTGCAGTGAACGATACTGCACTGCGGCTCCAGAGTGGAGAAATTGCTGAAGCATTTTACGCCTCATGCGCCATCCATCCGAGTAAGGCATCAGCCCAAGGTTGAAGTCCCACTTCATCCTTCCAAGTCGGCACTCATCATTTAATTGCATATACGCGCAATGAAACAATCTGTACACACATGCTGATCATAGGGATCCAAGGACGGTCGGAGTAAATGGCCGAGCGACGCTCAAACATCTCTTTGGCCGCCTCGAGTGTATTGACGACAAGGGTCAGATGGCCAAGGGTGTGAACAGACACTACGTCGGCTATGCACATAGATTGATGGGATACAAGGTCAGTGCATCCAGTAGCAACAACAGACATCGTAGGGAGGGAAATCACTCACTCTTATACTTGTGAGCCCACGAGGCATATGTCACCCATGGTCTGCGCGACGGAATAGAGAGGATATTTCCGAGAATAGGCAGGGGCTTTGGACCAGGCGGGATCGAGCGGCGAGTGTTATAAAAGATGCACAAGTATACGCAGAGACAGGTGAGGGGCACAAGCATAGTTGGAAATCCGAACATCTCCAACATGTTTTCAATACAGAGGGTTCACAGAGAGCACACAATTTGAGGATCAACAAGGAACTGAGTGGCAGTTCACTGAGAGGATTGCGAGCAAACCACCCGTATACGTAGGCTTTTCACCTCCACACGAGCGTTCTACTGGAGCCGAAGAAACACGGCCACGCAATCACCCCACGCGCGGCGAGGAGGGTGAACCAGAGCTATCAATTTTGCAACGCCATCTGATTGAAGCAAGGTTGACATGAGGAAATAAGAGGACCGTGCCACCTCATAGATGGCGTCCCAGAAGAGTATATCGAGATACAAAATATGGGGAGCATCGCTCACATAAGATGGATGCTCAAACGCACCTCCCTTGATCGCCTGTTCTCTTAACAATCGTCTGAAGCTCTGGTTTGCATGAGCGGTTCTAGCCATGGCGTCATGTATAGGAAGCAAGTTCAACTCGACTGATCTGCAAAACGCCGTAAATCAGGACCCCACCATATCCTATCAGAGGTCCGATCCTAATGCGTGCAAACGCCAGTTTCTGGAATATACGAAGCCTATAGCCGCTGCGAGTCACTGCGAGCTTCGACATGTTCCATGGCATTGCAGTGCAATCGAGAAGCAGAACCCACCGAGAATAAGCCATACCCAGTGCACGAAGTAGTCATATGTCCCACACGAAAGAGCGATTAAGACTTCACGGTCCTCGATAGATAGATCCAGACGGACATTGGGCGATAGCGTCACAGGGCCTCGCTGTACACGAATTCCTCGTTTGTGTCTAGGGGAAATAGTTGAATTTGGTAGTCCACTTTTGAGGATTTGGTCCATGTCAGTCGTCCTACATCAGGATGCCGGCGCCTCCACCAGGGGAGGAGGCATCGTGATAAGTCAGTCAGTCGTGGGGCAGCAAACGCTACCGTGCCCTTATGAAACCGCAGCCAAGCGCGGACAAATATGCGTGTGGGAAAGACCAGCCTCCGTGATCAGCCCAGTGAGCAATATGGCCATACTCTGGATATAGACGGAGAGAGGTGTCACGAGAGCGAGCTGAACATACTTGCGATGCCGATGCTGCAATGCCGACTCGATGCTGGGCCCACGCGAGCAGCGCGAGCCGTCGGACTTCTAATCAGCAAGCGTGACTCAGACACTGCCGGCCCCAGGTTGCAACAGATACATAAGCAAGCCGAACGACACTTCAAGCTACATCAAGCCGGTCGAGGTGGGCCTGCATGACGTCGCGAGCACAAGTTTAGGTCGGAGAGAGTGCTCACCCTGGAAGACAATTCGATGCCCATCCTGATATGTTCGCCACTACCTTCCAGGTGCAACGCGCTCAGGGATGTTGCACCAGATGCATCCGGCGCTGACCCGCTATCCCCGGCACACGTTTGAACAGATGTGGATTGTATCTAGCTGACTGAATACCTACGTAGAGAATCATGGATCAGCATCAAAATTGATTCGTGGGATACGTGCGCTTATCTTAGGATGCGGAGTCCGAAAAGGCACGACGCTAGTGTTTTCCCAAGTATCTTCAGAAAGTATCTTTAGCTACTATCTGATTTGAATCATAGGTATTTCCAGGCGTCAGTGTTCGGTATCATGAATGCATCTGATCATCTTTGAGACTCAACAGAGTCCACTATTTCGGGCCTTCACATCACATTGCTGACCTTGCCGCACCCACTGACGTCGCCAACCAGACTGCTCACCCAGATCGAGATGGTTTGAGAAAAGGATCCGGGATTCCCTTTGCTGCGAGCTCCGCCGAGTCCGGATTCAAGGGATAGACGCTCTCATGGGATAGCGGCCATGAACTATAATTGCCTCTACTAACAGCGCTAACGGTGCATCGCCGAATGTCTGCCGTGTGGGCTATTGCACCGCCGCAGCTTTGTATGCCACAAGAGGGGCCGCAAAATGTTGCCGATTTAGGACGAGGCTGGTGTACGAGTACATAACCAGGCCTTCATCAACATGAAGGCACCCTTCTACACAAGAAAGTCCGTGCTTCCAATTCATCTCACTCATGTCAAGCACAGACGGAATCACAGTGCCGCCCTCCAATTTTGTCGCCACGCCAGACGTGCAAGAGGCGCTATATGATATGTATGTTGTACTATCATTCATAAGGCCTGTTAATTCGAACAAATCGATGTGTCTTTTTCAGTCGCCTTGCGAAGGTGGGCAAGTGGTTTATATCGCATTTATTTACTGAACTTATCTTTCACCTCAGTATCTCTTCCTTGTAGCTTTCATCGTTGCTGTATATGATCACGCTTGTACACTGCCAGAGGAGGTAGGCTGATTTTCATATAGACAGAATGCTGTAGACTTAGCATATGCACTGCAAGATAGAGACCGTGTGGAAAAAGAAACGAAAGACATTCTGTGAGTTGCACATATAATTTGATTTCCTACGGTGACGATTCTCATTGTAACGTTGTCTCCAGTTTTATACCTATTCATTTTCGTATGTCCAGCCAGACCGTCCTGTGTCGATCGCGCCACTTATCGATTTGCATTCAGGTCAGATATTATACTCCTATTGCATTGAGTGTGGGCGCATTCGGTATCACTATTCAAGAGCATAGCTGAAGCGTGAACTGATCCGTCATATTGGTCCAGTGTTTTTCTCTACGTGGGTGACCCATGAACGGTGCGTTAATTATCCCATTTTGCCAAGTATAGAAGGGAGCCTAATCTCAAGGTTTTTTTTGTGGCTACAAAACATGATCTGTTTCAATTATACCCGGAATTCGACGTAGCTGCTTGCATTGGATGTACTTCATGCCCATAGGAGTGACCTTATCACTCATGCTCTTACCTGGTATCCTCATGGCTATTCGGTGCGTTCATCTCGCTGAAACATGGCATTTACCATTCATTTACCTGTGCGCATTTCAGAGTATACGCACTGTGGAACAAGAACATGCTCATACTCTCTGTGCTTCTAATTTACTTGATAACGCAAATCGCCATAGGCGTATGGATGGCTCTGTTGCCAGGCGGGAAACGTAAGGTCCTTCCTGTTTCAGCGGTATCGCTCTCATCAAACCATCCCTCAGCCCTGTCAGTTCCACTGCAAAACTACGAGTTCCACTGTGAATTTCTCCAATTACCTATCTGTCTACCGTAGAGCTGACATCTCTATAGATTGCGTATATATAGCTCCCCTCTTGAAAAGGTGCAGCTCGAGAACCCCATTTCTATGAAAATCATTGTGACTCAACGCCATTTTAACTAGTGGTTTGCCGTCGTCCTCGGTCTATATCTTCATGGACCTGGGATACGGCACCATGATCTTTTCTCTCACCATCTCACGTACGATCTACATGAGTCGCAAAGTTAATGGGTATGGTGGAAGGAATACCAGTCTCGCGCGCAACCTTGCCAGAGATGGCGCGCTTTATTTCGGGTAATGCAATCTCATCGGTTTGTATCATGGTGCCATTTGACTTAACTTTCGCCCAGGGGGATTTGCGTAATGAACCTTACGTGGGTGCTCATGATTGTGCTAGGCTCCTCGCACATACACGCTCTTGTTGCCATGTAAGATTCAATTCACACTCTCCGGACCAGTGTTGACTAACATAAACACCGATTCTATACGACAAGGCCAACCAGCAGGTCAGTTGATTCTCGGGCTATATCATCTTCATACTGACGATATCGACAGCTTCACTGTTATGCTCATCAGTCGTATCACTCTAAACCTTCGTATGATGGTCTATGGTCCTGCTAATGTTGATGAGCGTACATTTGACGGCATTCCGCTTGCTACACTTGGTCCACCAAATCGACGGCGTCCCACGCGGATTCATGATATTGGTAGCGATGCAGCCGAAGTACCTTCTTGAATGCTGAATGTTGAGCTACGAGGGTACAAATAGAAGAGTCTTTACCCACTCTTTTTTTGCCGATTCCAGATCAATACTCGAGATATACTGTACTTTATTTCCGGTCGAATTTTCACCTCCTAACATTCAAGATATGATGAGCAGACTCTTCAACAAGGCGCTCGCGTAACAAAAAACCTCCCCTGAACTCCTTGGAAACCGACTGCACATCCACGATAAAGACCACAGATATGTATAGTATAGTGAGAGAGACACACAATCAAAACTGAAGCAGGAGCAGAATGTGAATTATCTCAAGATTGCCTTTACAAAGTAAATTCAAAAAGCGGGTGTCGGTCGCCCAGCCTGCTTCGTACTTCATCCGAATTCCACCCGCCGGGCTGAGTACCCTCACCCTCTTCCCGAAGCAAGCGAGCTACTTCTGCGCGCTTCGCAATATTCTTCTTATGAAGGTAAAGCACGATGCCCGCACACGAAACAGATGTACCGATAGCGAAAATCAAGTTAACAACAGAAGCCTTGTGAAACCTTGGGGGGCCAGTAAAAAGCCAGGTCGACACGATGCCTTGTTGACAACAAATAATCGTCGATCATTTGAACAAGGTCAAAAAAAAGGAGTGAACACACCCCCGGCGTTCGTGAACATGAAGCCTATAGCGACGCCGGTCGCTCGGCGGTAATGTGGCTGCACGTTATTTGCGTTCCAGGTCCCCAAACACGGAGGGACACAATACACGCCGACGATCTGTAGGAACAGTGCTCCGTAGTTTGCATGCTTGTTTGCGGTACCTGCTCGACATGAGTTAACAAGTGGCGCAACAATGAGGGCAGACTAACCGAGGAAGATGGCGTATCCTGGAATGGCGATGAGACTGGACAGGACGGCGGTCGCGCCGCGTTGCTTGTACTTATCCGAGAGGTAGGCACAACAAATGCTTATGAAGAACGAGCAGGCATAAGGAGGAACCTACGTGACATGTCATGACGATGAGCAAGCTGGATTGGAAACATGAGTCTTACAGTCAACAATTGCGTGCGCGCCAGAGGGTAGCCGAAAGCGTTGACGATGGTTGGTGTGCTACATACCACTTCTGTATCAGTGCATGAAGGTGATATTAAATATGACCGACAAGTTTGCAAGGCCAAAAAGCTGATTCAGGAGGAGTCTAGTCAATCAGCGTAGAAGTGGTATGATGCTACCATAACGCACCGTGGCGCCATTGAAGAATAGCGGTATGGACACCAGGAACACATGCGGCGCATCCACAAAAACGCTCCCGACTTCTGACCAACTGAAAGTCTCGGCGACATCGTCCCCATCTCCGCTCCAGCTCGCTTGAAGGCCGCCAATGTATGCCGCCTTCTCTTCCAGAGTCAAGAATGGCATAGCTGCGGGCTTCGCGGGGGTGATAACAAAACTAAGCAGGCCGAATACAGTTGTGAAGACGCCTTCCTGTAATGTCAGAATCGAATCAGAATAGTCGTATTACATATTGAAGAGGACATTTCAGGTGCTCACCAGAACAAAAATCCATGACCAGCCCGGTAAGCCTCTCACGCCGTTCATATTCTGGATAGCTGCAGCAAGAAGGCCAGAAAAAGCGCCAGCAAGTGACGTGACACTAAACATCATTGCGAAACGCAGCTGAAGAGCATGGCTCTTGTAAAATGAGGTCAGATAAAGCACGATCCCAGGGAAAAGGCCACCTGATCGCACGTTAGAAACACTGACTACTTTTGAGTATCAATTTCAAAACAAAAGTGCACACCCTCCAACGCGCCAAGGAAGAACCGACAAGCGAGGAGACCGCCGTACGTCTTCACTGCACCTGGAAGGTTAGTTTGTAAAGTGAGTTCAAGACGGTTGAAAGTATGCTTTTTTCTTACCTTGGCACGCGCATACCATACCCCAAAGAGTAACCATCAACGGAAGGGTCACATTGGGGCCCAAGCGCTTCATCAGCAAGTTCATGGGAATTTCCATGAGTATGTAAGGTACACTGGACGAAAAAATCATCAGTATTGAAGGAGAAGAGGACCCAGACAGCATTCGACGAACTATGTGATGGTGAGAGCTACCGAGAACTGGTGGTCAGTCATCCTGAGATCTCGCTCGAGGCCAGCTATACGAGCATTTCCAATGTTTCTGCGCCAACTGTCAATTCTCTCATAGGTCTCAAGGAGCTGTCTACACTCACGCACGATCCTATCGATTACAGGATAAGTTTAAAATCAATGGTGATGGACGAGGTTTCCAATTTTTTGAGGAGCCTACCAGAAATCCTAGTAGATCTAAGCACAATAACGATGAGCTTCAAATGTTTCTTTTTGCAGGTGGTGAACGTACAGAACATCCCCATGAGTGGGATCACAAGAAGGTCAACTTTGAGAGTCGCGACGCGTTCAGCACGAGCGTCTATTTCATTGGTAGCGCCTTGGGACCCCACATGTCCGTAAGACTCAGAACCAGTGTGCTTGAGAGTTTCGACGCTATGAGATTCGGGTGTACGGTCGTGGTCTGCTGGCAATGCTGCCGGAGATGACATCGCCTATGGGAGTATGAATGATGGGTGAAGAAGAGAGCAGACCCATGACTGCACTGCGATCATGGGTGGTCCCGACCGCAGTTGGAATGCAGTGCAGAGAGCCCAAGGCTGAACGTGCCGAGTCTCTGCAGCTGACTCTGCTCTGTTTACAAGTCCGCGAACTCAGAAAAACGCCTCGTCGATATTTCAAATTTCGAATCCCCATGATGCATGACCGTGATCACGGCGCTCACCACCATTCGTTTCTCCAAAAGACAAAGAGCCAGGCACAGCAGACCATGTGGGGCTGGAGTATTGGAGCTAGGTTCATCAGCTTCTAATGGCGCGAGATGGCCTTCCCAATTCAGACGAATTAGACCAGCTTCAACCCATCAGAAGTCTTGCATGACCCAAAGTCTCACCTTTCCTATCATTCCGATATAGCTCTGCAACCATTCAATTGCAGCGTTGACCTTACCTCAGAGTCCCGTCTTTACCGGTTGAAGATTTGAGAGTTATTCTCATTGGTTCTTGAATTTAGACATGTTATGACTCATGAGATTGGACTTCGTGGCATATGGTTATTTATAACAGCATAGATGGATTAAAAATGATTGGATCCTCGATTAAATTGTGCTGCTATTCCTTCAACAAAACAATTTGGCAATGACGGCTTCAATCTTGCCATCCAAGATTGCCTGGAAGGGTGCACGTCAACTGGGAGATTCGACAGAAAAGATGAACACGTGCATACTTCATGAATCAAGGACACATTTTGTCCAATCGTGACATCCGTCGTGCCCAATCCATGGGCGAATAGCTCGTCGTTCTCCTTTCCGTGCATCGCGATGCCCAGCGTGACACGGACAAATTCGTACACTGGCTTTGTCCTCTTGAGCATCTTGCTTGCGGGCGCGGGTCCACGACTACCGCCTAGGTATTCCTCGCGGAGAGATACTATGAACGATGTGGCACGAGAGGCCACTCTGTCACAGAAGTCCGGGAAGACCGCCAGTGCTGATGTACTATCGACTGATGTAGCGAAGACATCTAGGAAGACTGACGAAGATGACGAAACGACCCTTTTCATGCGGGGTGCGGTGTCCATGGTGGTTGTCACGTCCAGCGTTTGGTACATGATGGAAATGGTCTTCTGCAACAGCGATGTTGGTTCGAGCGCTGACAGATGCCGATCGAATCGGGCATGTAATTCTTCTTCTACTATAGTAGCAAGGCCTAGGCGGAATTCGGCATCCATGGTGCGAAGGTCAAGGGCTACAAGCGGTATCATTAGTTAATATCTGACGGCGTCTGTATGAGACGTGAGACGCGCCTTGACAAAGAGCATACAAATACGTCGCCGTCAGCATGGATAGCACTTGGACAGCACTGACGGTCATGCGACCTGAGATGAGGGCCAAAGAACTTGGACACAAATCAGTCAAATGTTGTTCAGCGACGAAAGAATTGTTACTCACTTGACAGCTTGGTTATGCATCTCCGCGGACTGGATATGGGTTGACACAGGGCTAGCAAGGTGTCCGAGCTCACTGACATATGCGGCCATAGCAATGTCCAGGCCCTTGGTGTGGTAGTTGAGAGACGGATCGGTCGCAGCGAGCGACGGTGGAAGCCCGCGGTTCATACTAGGGTTCATCAGCTCTGTTGCCTGAGTAAAGAGGAGCCTGCCGATGTGATGCAACGCCAATCTGGTCTTCTCCATCGCATTGGTCACCGCCATAGCTTGGAAGTTGCCTCCATGATGCACTTTTCCGGTCTCGCCGTCAAATAAAGGGTTGTCCGTGGCTAGAGCGCTGATATATTAGCTCCAATATTTATAGATTTAAGGGATAACTCACTAGAGTTACACTCCAGAGTGACGGCGGTGAATGCCGAGAGTACATCTTCAATTTGTGGTCCAAGAAACTGTGGCGCCGTGCGCAGAGGGTAGCGGTCTTGACGCAGCTCACCGTCATCTTCGTCAATAGTAGTCTCGCTATTTACATCTTTCGCGAGGCGACTGCCCTCTAGGAGCGCCCAGATGGTACCAGCGGCCTCCACCTTGAAGATAAACGGTCAAATGAAGAAGTCACGAATCAGAAGCGTCAATGTGCAAGGGTACCAGCACGCGCACCTGTCCGGGGTGGGGCCGTGCAGTGTTGTGTATAAACGGGTCGTAGCTCCCCCGGGACCCGATAAGTGCCTCTGTGCACATGGCAGTGGATATCAGTGCGAGCATCGTGAGAGTAACTGTCGTGTTCATGGCTAGTGCAGCCACGGACGCCGAGAACGCAGTCCCGTTCAGGAGCCCAAGGTGTTCCTTTGCCGCTAACGATATGGGCTCAAGGTGATGGTTCTCAAGCGCCTCATGAGACGATATCATTCGACGCGTACCAGAGGTCGCGAGGCCGTCAAATACCCTGATCGAAGGGTTTCCCATGAGTGTCCCGGCGACGTAAGAGAGAGGCGAAAGATCTATTGGTTCAAAAATCACAAAGAATCACCAATGAGACCGTTGACCATGTCAGGTGTCGTGAGAGAGATGCTTACCGCCGGAAGCAGAGATGCTGCTACGAAGCGGGACGAGAGGAACGACATTCTCGCGTAGGAGGTCATTCATTCTCTCCAAAAGTTCCCATCGCACACCAGAATGGCCGCGAATGAGCGAGTTGATGCGTATGGCGATGGCACCCCGTACCCATGACTCAGGCATACTAGTGAAGGCGAGAGGATCGAGCAAAGGGAGGACCGACGAGGAGACTGTTGGGAATGTAGGGAGTACGCCGACATGGAGATGCTGTAAGAGTGCATGTCCAAGAGCAATAGGATCGTTTGTGCGAGTATCGGCTACATACGCAATGGTCAAATTTTGATTAAATATTTGCAAAGAGGAAATATTGTACCGCTTCCACCGAATCCGGTGCTCACGCCATATACACTCTTCTCTTCCTCCACTGTACTGACTACAAGGCTGCGGGATTGTTCAAACCGTTCTCTGATTTCGGATTTGCTGCTGAGCATCAAAGGCACGACATGCCGTGCTGTTGCCACGATAGCTATGATAGACAGAGAATGTCCGTCGACGGTGATGGATTGACCGTTTCTGAGGCAAAATTGATGCATCAATGAGCATGTACGACAAAATTCAGAATGAGCACCTACCTGTAGTTTGTGAGTTCATTATACGACTTAATGAACCGTGAACGAAGGCCCAGTCCGCCGTGGTATTCCATGTAGGGTCCAGCTTCCACTCGCAAGCTGATATCGCCGTTGAGTTCAGCGGTAGAAAGGACCATGGCAGAGGAGGGATAGCTGGGACGACGATGATGTCCTCAGCTATGGTCTGGCGATGATTTTATACGTGTGTCAGTCAGTATTCAGATCCATGAAGATATGAAAATAGGAAACCGCGAAGATCCACAAACGAATACCATGCTGTAATCCCCCTCGGAAAGACTTGGAATACAGGGTCTTTTGACGTGATATGGCTTTGAGCATTCAAAAAGGCATCTTCACAGCGCTCAAGGATCTTGTTCAATGGTGGTCTTAGAGGCTGAACATGAGGGTCCGGACTTCGCGGCGTTGATGCTCGCCATACCTTAGTCCGGGTTCCTTTGGGGGATTAGTCTGAACTTCACATGTAACTCCTTACACAGATTGAGAAGTTCTTCTTAGTACGTGTATCGTTAAGAACGATAGTTAGAATGGCCTCGCGCACTGGTGTATATCGCAAACCCTGAGCAAGACTCCTTGATACCTCTCGCAACTCTCTAGATCGCTAAAAGGGGCATCGGGACAAACATGGAAGAAGAACGGCTTTATGGCTCATGTGATGTTGTGTCATTGGATAAGGTTTCGTTTTTGACACTCCGACGGGATCCGAGTCTGACCCGAGCCGATTTCCTGACATATTCCGAAGAGCTGGAGACGCTCCGGCTTCCTTCTGCTTCCTTCAACTCAAATGGAGGTAGATGGAGGTACGGGTATTTGATCGTGGCGAGTCATACACTCACTCTTCGTTCTCATTCAGCTGATTCGGACTGCCATAGAGTCTCCCTTCTTGACTCGTGGCATGCATGGAACATCGTGGGGCGCTAGCCAAGTAGCACCTCACTCGAGCTTGAGGCGATAGAGAGCCTGACCTAAAACCCTCGCCGTAAACCTACCCTCTCTCGTCTTCAGCCCTCACCTTTGATGTCTGACTCTTCTGTTCCTGACAGCACCCCGCAGGGCACGAATTGCCCCACGTTCAATCCTCCCCCTCTCGACGGAAGCTATACGGTTCCGGAATTATTCGACTACAATGCGAAGCGCAATCCTGAACACCCGCTTTTCGTGTTTGCTGATGGTGAGAGAAAGACTAGGACGATATGCTTCGCCGAGGCCTGGAGAATGATCCGACGTACTGCACGCAATATTCAAGGCCATTACAAGGACCAAGAGATCAACAAATCCTTAGGACATGGACGAGTCATTGGCATTCTTGCTGTTGGAGGTTTGTGTGTCGCCACAGGCTGCAATTGATACTCACTCGCTTTTAGATACCATCAGCTACTTCTGCACAATCGTGGGTATCATGCGCCTGGGCCTTGTCCCTTTCCCAATATCTATACGCAACTCTGCCGTTGCTGTAGCACACCTTGTCAAGGAGTCAAATATTACTCAGCTCCTCGTGAGCCCCGATCCTGCCATGCAGCATCTCGCCTCCGACGCCATAGCAATTCTTCGACGGGATGAAATCTATCTGGAGACACTTCCGATGACTCAGTTTGTCGATATCGCGGACGAAAGTCACCTAAACCCGGAGGTGGAACTTAATTTCGAGAAACTGAATCTGGACGGGGTTGCATGCCTGCTGCATTCTTCAGGTCTGTATTGGTGATATTACCCCTTAGACAAATCAATCGACCTTTCACGGCTAGGGTCAACCTCATTTCCCAAGATCATCACCGTCACAAACCGCACAGTCTTACAGTGGGCAGCGCTTCCCTGTAGGTCGAATCTCAAACATGATTTTTTTTCTAGAATCTAACCTTCGAAGGTTATGGTCAGGTTGACTTATGTGGGATGATCATGGGTGTGCACGTCGTTCCTCTTTTTCGTGAGTCTGTATTTTTTAAGGTCCAAGCGCAAGTGATGATTTCGGTTGTCTTCAGATGTGATGGGAATTGACAATATATTCAGAGCTGTGAGTGTTCTCCTCCCAAAAGCCATGTCATGCTCACACGAAATCGAGGTATACAGGTAGCCACAGGCATGGTTCTCGGTGTATATAAACCATCATCCCCTCCGGCTATTCCAACACCAGAGTCTTATTTGGAGGAAGCGCTTGCCATCAATAGTAGTATAATATACTGTGTACCCTCCTTTGTTGAGGTTCGTTGGATGATCATTCAGAACACCGTATCTGCTAAATCCGATTTGTCGTAGGCCTGGTTTCGCGAGCCCAGTAACATACCAGCCATAAAGTCTTTTCGCGCTATAGTACGTTCCTCCTTTTCATACCGTCTTGTCTTTTTCCATGACGCTTCTCCGATGCCAAGTCGTTTGGTGGTGCGCCATTGAACAAAGGTATTGGAGATCAACTTGCGAACATGGGTGTTGCGCTATTCCCGTTCTACGGCTCGTGAGTTTCTCGAATTGACTCGCCTCAGTCGTAACCTAATCTACTGGATCGTTTACTAGTTCTGAGACTGGTTGCATCAGCATGTTCATGCCCTCAGACGTGCCTAGCACCGACGAGTGGGAATATTTCAAAATCTCGCCTCGTCTTGTAGTCGAGATGTTGCCTCAGGAAGGCATGACTGACGTGTTCGAAATCGCTATCATAGTGCGTACATGACAATCAGCTTTCTGCGAAATCAATCCTCATATTTCTGCTCAGCACACCCCGCATTCGAAGCCAAATGTTATAAATTCGTCAACAGGCGATGGGCGAGGCGCCTACCGGACGAATGATTTGCTCCAGCGACACCCACAAAACCCTTTATTGTGGAAAGTGTTCGGACGCGCAGACGAACAGTTGATGTTGTCCAATGGCGAAAAGGTGGGTTCAAACCCTGTAGTTTTGCAATACACCGCCACTCACTCACTTTGCAGACGAATCCTGTTCCACTAGGTAAAGATCAGTCACGATTATCTTCGTGGTAGGAATCTGACTTTTTGGGGTCGCAGAGGCGATCTTGGTGCGAGACACCCACGTCGCATCTGCCATCATGTTCGGTCGGGGTCGGTTCCAGAATGGTGTTTTGATTGAACCGAAGAAAGAGTTTGCTTTCGACCCACGAGATGAAGTGAAACTGGCAGAGTTTAGGAATATAATTTGGTGAGTCTTGGTATGTTGTTTGTTGAGGTTATTGGAAGTTTACAGGCGGTGACGTAGGCCATCGGTGGAGAAGCTGAATCAATTTGCACCAGCACATTCAAGGTTGTTCAAAGAGGTACGTCGATCGACTCATCCAAACTACAATTTGTTGAAATCATTGTTAGATGATCATTGTCAGCAGTCCATCAAAGCCGTTCGAATACACCCTCAAAGGAACGCCGAGACGTCCAATAGTAATCAAGGCATATGAACAAGAGATCAACGATCTATACAATTCAATAGTCGACTCATCTCAAACCGATCTGCCGACTCCGCTGAAATGGACAGAGAACGAGACGCTCGACTTCATCCGTCTCGTAGTCAGAAATGTGGTCAAGTCCAAACCAGACGACAATGTGGATATCTTTCAGGAAGGATGTGACAGGTTTGTGCGTGGATTTAGTTCTGCGTATCCGAAATTGACCTTGGGTGGTATATCTGTAGTCTTCAAGCGACATATATCCGAAATTCGGTCGTCCATGCCCTCAGGCGGTCGACAACCATCTCAGTCTCCGGTATCGCAAACAATTTCGTGTACAGTAATCCAACAATTGCGTCTATGAGCGCGTTCGTCTCGAGGATGCTCAATCCCAAAGGTGAACAATCTCTACCACGACCTCAATTTCAAACAAAGACCCAGGAGATGAAGCAGCTGCTGAGAAAATATACAAACGCGTTCCCTGTTCACATTCCGGCTCTCGGTGAAAACGATCAAGCACAGGTCAGCGATGCCGTTCTCCTAACGGGTTCGACTGGCCGCGTGGGGTGCCACTTGTTGGCCCAACTCATCTCGAACGGATCAGTCACGAAAGTGTACGCCTTGAATCGGAAAGGACGTTCTGATGTGAAAAGGCGCCAGAGGGAGGCATTCCGCATGTGGGGATTGGATGTTGAGCTTGCGGACTTCGCCAAGGTGATGTTTTTGGAAGGAGATCTGTCGAAAGCAGATCTAGGTCTTGGGGAACAGATATATGAAGAAGTAAGTCTCCGATTTCGAAATGGACCATTATCGACTCGGCTCAATTATGGCTTCCACGTGTCTGACCAGATCAAACAAACGGTTACCAGCATTATTCACAATGGTATGTTGCATCCCACTACCTATATGGTGTCAGCTAACGCTCACGATTAGCCTGGCATGTGGATTTTAACTTGGCATTGTCCTCATTCGAACCGCTTATCTCGAGCGTTCACAAGATGGTCTCTCTTTCCCTCGGCTCGTCACATCTGACGCCCCCTCATATCTTATTCGTCAGTTCGATCGCAGTTTTTACAAGTGAGTCTTATATTTTGTTGCGCACTACGGGTGACGCAAAACTAAGTGTATATCCTGTAGACCATACTTCCGCTGCTGCGGAAGAAGTACCAATCGACGACCCAATTGTATCTGTCGGGACTGGGTATGGTGAGAGCAAGTGGGTGGCAGAGAGTATTCTGCTGCACGCGATGAAGGAGAGAGGCGTTCGAATCAACATTGTCCGCGTCGGTCAGCTGTGTGGAGATTCCCTCGTTGGAAGATGGAATCAGAAGGAGTGGGTGGCTTCAATGTTCCGCGGCTCTCAAGTCATAGGCGCCGTACCACAGAGAGATGAGGTCGGTGTCAGTTTCGGATGTGCAACGAAGGAGACTCATGTAACAGCACAGGCGATCTCGTGGCTTCACACGGATGTCGCAGCTTCTGCTGTGTTGGACATGCTAGGCTCCGACCGGCCTGTTCTCCACCTCGTGCACCCGAAGCCTGTCGACTGGAGCCTGATATCAAATACTGCATCAGCGCTCCTGAAGGTTCCATCCATCCCCTACCTTGAATGGCTCTCCAAATTAGAACGAGCGCACAAGGACTCTATGCCTGACCCTGACGCGCTCGAGAAGAATCCAGCCTTGAAACTGATCGACTTCTTCTTGGGGATGAAGAATTCGGTTGTCCTTCGTACTGATCAGGCTGTAGAGGTTTCATCTCGTCTGAAGGCAGCCAAGGCTCTCAAAGGGGATGACGTAGAGAAATGGGTAGCTTACTGGCAAAGTCTCGGGTTTCTCGCTGCATGAGTAGCCATGTGTCTTGTGTCTCGCTGCGTGAGTAGTCATCTATTTCTCTTGTGGGGCAGTTAATCCGTCTGTACCAATTATGGGAGGAATCATGATGGAACTCCTTATAATCCCTGCTGTGATCATACATTTGTAGCTTGCACAACCCTGAGGCGTTACAGCTGCTTGTAAAACTGTAAATACAATTTTGAAATCTCCTTAAAATTCTTCGTTTCTTTTTGGAGTGGGACAAACAAGTCTGAAAGCAAAGGGGATGCCAATGTCCCGTACCGATTTCCAACGCACTTACCGCCAGTACACGCGTCAATTACCACTACCGCCGTTGGCATTTCCTTTGCGCCCAAGCCTGTTCAGGCTCGTTTATCCCACTCCAAATGTAAACAGGGATCAGATCCGAATGTCTACGGCTTTGCAAGTAGCTGTAGGATCACACACCAGGATTGCGGGCATTGTGATGTAGGTACGTAAGACTGTACTATGTTGACTCGTGTATCACAGCATGTCGGAATTTCGGGAAGTGTCAATCGGATTGGTTTAGAAGCTCCCATTTCATCATTCAGGTCAGGGTACAATGTATACACTTGTATACACAGCAATCACGGCAGTAATCGTACACATCGACTGGGGCGAGGTCAAGGCACCGAGGGAGACGGGTCACATATCAGCTTCAAATTCAACGAGGCCCGTTTCCAGGAAGTCCCATACTTGGACGAAGCGCAGTCCGGCTCGCGCTCTGTGTTAGAGAGGACATGATGGGTCAGATTTGATACCACAAGGCAGATGATGAACGCACCCGACGTCCTTGAACTCGTTCAGGGTCCTTTCACCCCCATTCAGCAAGATAAGCATGTTGACGTCTTGGAGATACGTCCTGGCGCTCCCATAACCATAGTTCGGTAACAAGGGTTTGGGCGCCTGGACGGCAGACATCGAGATGAGATAAAATAAAAATAAACTAACTTTTTTACAAGTCGACCAGCGGCACACGTCACTCACTCTTTCCATTCCTGACTCAGGCTCAAGGTCCACGTTACACGGAACGATGTATTCATCTAGAAGTGGTTCAGAAAGAGGGAAGAGGGGAAGGTGGTCACGAGAACATACGAATGAGGACGCGGCTGCCGGGTTTCAGGGCCGCACGTATATTCTTCAATATCTTGACGCAATCGTCGACTGGCCAATCATGTATGATTTGTCGCACCTTTGTATATCTCATCGTTAATTTCTCTAGCCTCCGCAGACCGGAAGGACAGACATACATAGTAGATATCCTGATCCTTGACCGGTGGTCCCTTGAAGAAATCAAATGGAGTAAAATCTACGCGATGTTCAATGGCAGCGGTAGGATACTCGTTCTGCCAGAGCTAGAAACGATTTTATTATAAAGAAAGCAGAGGAAGCGTGATTGCAAATGGAGCTTCTGCTCACGTGCTGCGCTTGTTCTATGATATTAGGAAGGTCTTGCAGAGTGAGATGCAGGTTGGGGTACTTCTTTGCCAGCTCGATAGACACCATTCCCAGACCGCTCCCCACGTCACAGACGGTCGTGCCGTCAGGTAAATCTTTCCAAGGAAACTCTGAAAACAGTGAGATGGGAATTGTCGGTGATTGTTTAGGAGACCGATCTCAAGTGCAAAGCCTACGGTTGATGACGCCTTCGAGACCGGTGATCTTGGACAGGCCCCCCATAGCACGTTGGAATTGCTACGACGCCAACTACGATTAGCGGGGATTGTATCATGTGTTGCTGTCTTACCGCGTTTGTGTTTGGCTATAAGGACCAGTTTTAACAGGTATCGGCCAGCACAACAATTTTGAAGCTTACATGTGCATGCAGATAGTCGAACATCGTGCCGTTGGGGATCTCATGTCGGATGCCCCATGCCCAAGCCGATCTTCGCGCATCAAGCGAGTGACTGTATTCCGGATCGATCAATGCGTCGTAGAAGTTGGACACGGCGCATTTGTTGGTCTCATTTGACCTCATTTGAATGAGCGAGCTGACAGTATTTTCCTTTAGAAGTGTCAAAGACAGGGGATTATTGACGAAAATGTTGGGCTTCGCTACGAACAAAGTGCCATCAGCAATGCGCTCCGCAGACTCGCAGACTCGAAAGATGTCCTACTTTCACGAAAGCAATGCGTTGCTGCGAGGCAGCGCATGATCCTCAGCAGTTTTCCGGAGTGAAGGTTAGCTTTCTCGGCTATTTCATCAACGTGCATTCCTTCTGGACGAGTAGTTATGACATCAGCGATTCTTGAGTTAACAACCACACGAAGGCAGGCTACGTCGTTTGTGGCCAAAGTGCGCTGCCAGATATGAAATCGATTATTGAACAGAAATTAAACAGTGACTGCCTTGAACCTACGCACGGTGAAAATGGTCAGAGCCGGAGGGGTGAGCGTGGTAGAAACCTGACGACATGCGCCTTCAAACACTCGAAGGGCTTTCTTCAAGGCAGTCGTATCTTGAGGCAACTGAGGTTCAACCTGTGCGTCGATGGACGGTATGTCGCATCCGGCGAGTTCGTACTGCTGAATGGCATCCTCGGCAGCTGAATTGATGAGGACCAACAAAGCACGAAGTGTATCTTTAGGACTCGTCATTGCCCAAGTCTCGGATGATGATGGCGTAGTCAAATATGCTGGGGAGGGAGCGGAGCAGGGAGACGCTGTTCCCTTAGGTCCTCCATATAGATATACCTATACAGTAATCCTATTGAAGGAAGCGTATTTCATCGAAACTGTAGCGCTGAGAGGGAAAAGGAAAGGAAAGACCCGGCCAGCGCTGTGCTCGGATTGGACAAGACCATGCCGAAGGGCGCCGCGCCCTAAGCTAGAAAATTATAAATCGGCCCACACTCCCGTCGCTTAGCTGTATTTAGGAGAGAACCGTCGAGTGGTCACAACAGGTCACAACCCTTGATCAGTCCTACAGTGGCGCTCACAAGTATGGTGTCAGGCCAATACTTAATTTCCAGAGCCTCCTCGGTTCTAAGGAACTTCCGACGCTGCGGCAACCCTGTACAGCCCAGAATGGCCAAAATATGGAAGCTCGAATTCCATCGGTCGGTCTAAGTACGCCCTTATGGCATCCAGCATCCTCATTTCGACATTTTGCAATCGTGAGACACTTTCGCTCATCATACGACATCTCATTGTACACGCCCTAATCCCGAGAGGACACGTGCAGCAGTTCGATCCATGAATCCAGAGGACAGCGTATAATCATGCGTGCCCATCGTTTCCGTGTGGTATTTAAGGCCTCCACTGGCCATCTCCCTGTCGAACATCACCTCCAAATCCCATGAATCCCTCAACTCATCCTGTTGTTCGTATCAGCCGTCTCGTCGCGTGTCATATTCTAATCGAGAGAAACACATTTATAGCCTCTGACGACACAAATCCTAGTTATAGGAGGTGGTCCTGCAGGCTCATATGCCGCTACACTTCTTGCCAGAGGTGTGGAATTTTTTCTTTTGGTCGAATGTGCTGGCTTACTCTATTCTGCGGTGCCCAGAGGGGTTTGGTGTAACCTTACTTGAGCGGGATGTGTTCCCGAGGTGAACATCTATAATGTGGCGTGGCATTTGCCGTGCTCATCGTCTCTAGGTATCACATTGGGGAGACGCTTCTTCCCTCATCGAGCCCATTTCTCTCATTGATAGACGCTCTGGGACTCATCAAATCGCATGGATTCACCCCGAAGGTGACGACTTCATACATCCCTCGCACTCAATCATCTTCTGATGATGTTCATAGCCTGGTGCTGCCGTCAAGCTCAACCAATATAGTCGTGAAGGGTGTCAGTCCACGTTCACAGTCTCCATAATATTATCACCGACATGGAGTCTTACAGATACTGACTTCGTCTTGCTGAACCCCGAGAATGAATCTTGGAACGTCGTGAGTATCTTTCTGACTTCCAATCTTCATCTATAATTCAGCAGTGTGCCATGACAGATTCGATCCGAGTTCGATCATCTTCTGTTGAAACACGCGGCCAGCAACGGTGTACAAGTCTCAGAGGCCATCAAGGTCGTCAAGATCCATTTCGACCAGGACAAGACAACCGGACGTCCCGTCGCTGCTGACTGGGAAGACAAGAGTGGAAAAAAAGGAACTATACGATTCGACTGGCTTGTGGATGCCTCTGGGAGAGCGGGGATCATGTCCACACAATACCTGCACAACCGCAACTTTAAGCAGAGCTTGAATAATATTGCGTGCTGGGGCTATTGGACTGGGGGTGCAGCCTATGCTCCTGGAACCTCAAGGGAGAACGCGCCGTGGTTCGAAGCTCTCACCGGTTCGTTGTTCCTCTTTTGATGGGTTAGTCCAATGGAAAAACAAAACATTCATACTTACCGCAATCGGCATGTCTGTAATATAGATCAGTCAGGTTGGAGCTGGTACATACCTCTCCATGACGGTACCGTCTCCGCGGGATTTGTTATCTCTCAAGAGTCCAGCATCTCCAAGAAGAAGGCTACTCGGGAACGATGCCAAGACACCGAGGCATCGATTCTCACTGAACACTATCTGGAACAATTGCAGTTCACGCCCGGAATGGCGAAGCTGCTCGAGCATGCGAAGCTAGCGAGCGGAGTAAAGTCTGCCAGCGATTGGAGCTACTCAGCATCGACCTTCTCCGGCGACCATTTCAGACTCGTGGGGGATGCTGCAGGTAAGGAACTGCTATGAGTGATTCGGTCGATCTCAGTACAGACCACTGAACACGAAAATAATAGCTTTTATTGATCCTTTCTTCTCTTCCGGTGTTCACCTGGCTTTCACGAGTGGGTTGTCTGCTGCATGCACCATCGCAGCTTCCATTCGTGGCCATTGCAGCGAGCAAGAAGCTAATACCTTCCATGACCTTAAATTCGGGACGGCTTATACTCGGTGAGCAGTTACCCACGTCGTTTCTCGTCAACTGACCCTAGACCCAAAAAAATTCATTTAGTTTCCTGCTCGTCGTCATCGGTGTGTATAAACAAGTGAGGGCGCAGAACGTCCCTGTTCTTCAAGATGTTGACGAGCGCAACTTTGATCGTGCGTTCACATCTCTCAGACCAAGTAAGCAATTCCGTCTCTGCTCAGAGAGTCGGTGGCTCATACCACGCTCAGTTTTCCAGGGTGCTGGGGAAGTTGGAAAAGAGCTCACGGAAGATGAGGTGCAATCAGCCCTTGAATTTTGCGCTAACCTCTTCGCACCCGCTGATCCCGAGATGCACGCGGACGTCGCGAAACGTCTCGATCGCGGCCTCATGGCTGCCGATGGGCCACTCATGACACCCAAGGCTGTTGTCGAGAGATTCGGAAAGGGCGACGAGGAAGCAGTCCAAGTCTTGCATCAGATCAACGCGCGGAGGCAGATCCATCCCATGTTCGACGTTCATAAGCATTTTAGCCGCGAGGCGTTCGAGGGTTTGATCACGATATGCACTAGGGGGAACCTAGGGTTGGAAAGGGTGCAGACATGAATCGGGGTGAAGCGCGAAGAGTTGATTCTGCAGTGTTTCCGGACTTCGTTGTTTCATTTGATCAAAGAAGTCATCGTGTATGTAATTTTACAATTTGGCAATGAAATATTTCTTGGACTCAGGAGGGAACTCAACCAAATTTTTAGGCATGCTATGCTGCACGATAGAGGAGAAGCACATAGGTTTGCCTTGGGATCATGCAGCGCATAGACTCGATCCAGATTACTCGATATACCAGCACAGTACGTACATACATAGAACCTCGTTTAGGCATGCACTACGCCGCCATTAGACGTTAATATACGAATTAAACAAAAAGTCTGCCTTCATTTGATTTTGAAACCGACTGGACAAAACACAGTTATTTTACAATAATCACGAAATCCAATCCACTGTAAGTCGTAACTTGAATGCATGCAATACAAGGACTAGAGACATCAGGGTCATACTCTCAGTAGAAGCCTGGCACAAGTTTATACCAGCGTAGGGTCTGGTCTTCACAAGCTCGTGCTTGGGCCGGATAGTGAGCTCGAAGGTAAAAAAGCGGCCGAGGGCGCGGTGGCAGAGAATTCGGATTGATGCCCAGGTGATCAGAAAGATCATGCTACCAAGGAATGAAGGAGTGATTCTGATCGCTGTGGACTGGATTGGCCTTTTGAGAAGGTATAAGAGCAACTGATGAGCGGTAGGACTGCTATGCTCCATATTTTGCGGGCATATATCGTCAGTGCTTCGCAGAGGCACACGATCCACAACAAAGCCTGAGATGGTGTCGGAAGTGTAGTAATGGCGCAACAGGCAAAGGATGTGACCTTGGTTAAACATGGACCCCAAAGCCACCCACGACTGTGAGCATAGATCTTTGTAACTCGATGACTCTGATCTGGGTGGAGGGGGATTGGGAGGAGTGATACTGGGATGGAAGTAAATCCCAGCAGCGAGGAGTACAGGGAGCTTAATCCAGACCATACTCTCCGAAGCGATGGAAGAACAGTTCCAGCGACCTCTGCATCAACGTGAGCTCAAAACGCAAGAACTAGAACGCCAAGGTTAGAGAAGATGATGCACTCAGGGTATGTAACAAATGGGCGCCAGTGGAGTATGAATTAAGAGTTATATCGCCTCGAACTCAAGGGGCTGGTTTGTACGAGAAGACTCTGCCTGACTTAGGGTTTGGTATGGAAAGGGTGATAGCCATTGGCGTATCAAGGCAGCGCACTTAGAGCGCCCGTACGACGATTTCATTCAATAGATACATATTTCAACAGGACCAACACGGCTCTAGAAAGATAAGGAAGTAAAGACTTCAGTATAGCCAGTAGCTTCTATGCTGAGAAGGTTTGAAGCTGATCTTCGAACATGGTAGTCTATCACTCTGGGATGAGGATACTAGGTAAGACTATCAAAATATTCGTGTGTGTCGGAACTCTTCGCCTACGCACTTCCCTCCTGAGCCCAAATTTGTGGGTGGGCTCAGAGCGCCTTGTCCACATCAACTTGTACAATGCTACCTGATTCGAATGCCGTCTCCTGAAGCGTTGAGACAGGTCCCCTGAACCAACTCCTCCCACCGTATCTGGGAAAGTAATAATACACCAGAGAGATCGCGATAGTGCCTCCCCAGATGGCCACTGTGTAATTCATCTCGGCTGCAGTTGGCGCGGGTGTAGTCGGAAAGATGATGATGACCAGATTAAACACTAGCCACAAAACAGCGACGATGGCGACCGGTAAGCTCTGCAGACCGTGATCAGCCAAAACTAATCAAGGATATCAGAAAAACGACCCGACAAAGACTCCCAGGTGAAATACTCCTCGCTTGAATTCATTGCGTCCCAAAAACCGGGCGCTGATTGGGATTACGTATGCAGTACATTGTCCTGCGATCGCGAGCGAAAATACGGTGCCAATAGCAGCTGGCCCTACGAAAGCGAGAAGCCCAAGCACAAGGGAGACGATGACAACGAACCAAACTGAATAGATAGGCGTGCACGTATACGTATTGACGCGTCGAAGGATGTGCGAGAAGGGAAGGGCACCGTCCCGTGAGAAGGCAAATATTTGACGGGAGCCGACTGTGATCTAACAGTCCAATTTAGAGACTAGAAGATACGAGGCATGATATAAAGAGAGAGCTCACAACACTTATCCCAACCATGAATCTGTGGAAGGAGATCAATAAGCGTAATTCGAGAGGAAGCTAGAGAAGTTAAAAAAATGGTGGCGCACTGTACTACCACAGCGATCGCCCAGACAGCAAGCGTGCCTCGGTTTCCGAAGCTATTGAATAAGATCTACACAATACTTTGCGTCGGAGAGGGAGCGTAGGAAATATGACACATGATAACTACCGCAGCCATCGGTTGACCGACAGGACTGTTGAGGATTGACTCCATATCAGTGCCCATATTAAAAGCCAATGCCACATTTATCCCTATTTGAGTGCGTTAGCTTGGGGTTCAGAAAACAAAAACCGAGGCAAGCGGTGACGAACCCCAGCCAATAACGTTTGCTATCGTCACAGAGGCTATGATAGCCCAAGGCACCGCCACATTGGCATTGGACGCTTCTTCGCTGAGATGTATACTTGCTTCCAAGCCACCTCAAATAATGCGAATCAGCACTGAAAATTCTTTCAAAGATGGTTTGTGCTGGCCCACCCACTGTCCAGAGTGGAGCTAGGAAGCTCAAGATAAAAGCATACCCATTTGGCCAGTTGTAGACTGCAGATTTACATCAAGTCGTAGAATATACGTTCGGGTGCTAAGTGCAAGGCGACATACAATTTTGAAAGTCTCCAAACGCGAAGCTAGCAGTATTCTTCAGTTCTGTCGGAGTCGCCGCTGGCAAGCCTATGATGATGGCAAGACAGAGACTAGGACCTTGGTCAGTTATGTGCCTTCATATCGGATATGTTCGATACATACACCACGTTTAGTATAACGTATACGGTCTGTAGGCGCGCGATATACTTAACGGCAACACTGCAGATGACCCCTTGAAAGAGTAAAACTGCAGCGTAAACACCACTGTGTATGGTCAATGTACGATCAATGGGCAATTTTCAATGTTTAAAATGTGAGTACGAACTCACAAATTCTGGGCAGTAGTTGGTACGAATGTCATATCGGACCCAATGCTCACAGCCGCCATTATCTGTAGGGCCAATCCCCAGCCACAAGAGGCACCCCCAGCAACGATTTCAACAGAGTTCGAATCTTCAATTAAGCAAAACATATCAGTACGAAATTTAGAAGATAGAAAAGAGAAGGTGCTTACAGCCCACCACCCAGGACAGGACATTTTTGTATGATGGTGACGAAAATGTATGGGTCCAGTAATAGAGCCCACCGGACGTCGGCGCCGCAGATCCAAGTTCCGCAAGCGCGAGGGCTACGCAGGTTAGAAAGGGGACGCAGGCCGCCCACTAGGATGATGAATTCGTGCAATTTTGAGTGCAGGCCCAGCCCCTCATGAAAACCATCAATATACGTACACCCCAGACCATGGCTACGGGCCCTCCATTGGGGATAGCGTAGACAAGGACAGATCTGCGGATGCGGATAGCGATCTTCAGTCCAAGTTTCGTTTCACTGCTTTGGCAACAGTCGCCATTCCAAAGCTGGTGTGACGACAACAAAGTGAACGTACGCAATAGAAGGGAAAAGCCCGATAAAACTAAAGGCAATTCCAAACAGTTCCCACGGAGAGAAAGATCGCTTGAGCTCTTGCTTGTACCCTAAACTTGCCAAGAGATCTTCATCCCTGGTACGACCTGGCAAGGCTTCGGATGTGTGCGGCTCTGGGCCGATAGGAGACTTCTCCTCGACCAGTGACATCGTCTATACGTCCACAGAGCCAAGGAAAGTCAGAGTAGCAAACAGAAAGGGCGATTGTGAAGGGAACGAGAGGAAGATGAACGACAAACACGACGGGGTGCAGTTTATCGACTGGCTCTTATCTGGAGATACGAGCCCGCCGATTGTACCGTTCAATCTACGTGGGGTTGAGCAAGCCCCATAGAAGTCGTGTTGGTCTCCGTTAGGTAAATGAAGAGTCTGTCACATGAGGAACCTCTGATTACGACAAACGCATACTCGTAGTCTCTTCGACCTTAATTTTTGCGAGGTCCAGTGCTGTCAGATGATCGTGAAGCTGCACACTGTGCGCTAACTTGCACCACCAGCCCCCCATACTTCTGACCTACCATGATGTCACTGGATTTCTCGACCGTATTCATGTTTCTAAGTTGGGACTTCAATCAACGTCCGAGCGGCAATAGCGGCCAACAATGGTAATCAATTCGCTTGTTTTTTCCTCCTTTAGGCTATAGCATTGAGTATGAGCGCTGCACATTCGACGTTAGACAGTTCACATGTTCATTACCAGGATCATCTGACCTTTCCAAAATTTGAATGCAAGGGACTGCGATCACATATGCGTTTTGCAGTAAGAAGCCGTCTTGTGGCCAAAAGAATTCGTAGGCTCATCATACGAAGCAGACCTCTTCTGCAAGGCCCTTAGAAGGTGAAAAGAGTCGAGACAAAGAAAAGACTTACAAAATATGTGATTGTTCTGTGCTCCATTCCTCCTCATCCTCACTATCGGACACGTGCAGAATATGAAAACCTACGAGGACAAAGTGCGGCAGTTGCTTGATAAATGGAAGGAGCTTGGAGATCTCTATTTCTGTAAACTGTGCGCCTGATCCTATAGCCTGTGCGCCTATTACAACAGCGAGATAAGGTGGGAATGAAGAATAAGTCCTCCGCTGCGCAGTTATCCCCGGCCTTCTCAAGCAAACATCAGCTCATACAGATATATCGCATGTCCAGAGCACTCACTGCGTGCTGTCCGTTCTTGAAAGGTCTGCAGCTCATAACCCTCGTAGTGAGGCCCAGTCGTCGCCACTTCAAAATTACTGTGATCGCGAGAGGGGATCGAGTGCAGCGCGGATCCCTCGATCTTTGTGTAGTACAGCTTGCGTATAGAGATCATAAGCCGATTGGCAAGGATGGTGGAGACAGAGAAGGAGAACCCCGTTGCAACCTCGTTGAGTGTGAGCTGTTCGGGGCACAGACACATGAATGAGAGTCTGGAACTGGCACAAACATCGCATGAAACGTACGATATTGATACACCAGATGATCTGGTTTGCAAGGTATATCCAAAAGATGCTGTTGATACCCCGGTAAGTATAGTGATATCGAAGGGGAAAAAAAGACTCACACAGCAAAATAGTACACCGAATCTCGGGTGAGTATTCTCATCAATCTTCCACCCGTGCCAAATCTATGATCATACCATGCGCGCAACAAGCTCAGACCGAGGAAGGCGAGCTCCGTTACGAGGATACTGGTGTAGTAAAATGTTGCCCATGGGCGCCCCGGCTTGTCGCCATCCGCGCAAATAAAGACGCCTTGTGCAGGATTATTTGTCGCTGAGTATATATCAATTGAGCGCAAACATGCGAAAGAAGGAACGAAGACGAACCAACAGTCTTTGTAGTCATACCGAAGACCACGCCGATGACCGTGCTTTCGACAGCTATCAAAGAGATCAGTAATGCTACTATATATTTATTGTTCTTCCACATCGCGTAGAGACGCATCGTGAGGACAACTGCGGTATTAAAGATGTTTAGATGGGTGTTGTGAGATTGCGGGGGAGGTGATTTACGGTGTGTCGATATCACCTGGATAGCGGCACCAGCATTTTGCCAGTGGAAGAATGTTAGACCTGGCGAAGATCTCGGGGTGAGTGTAGCGAATGGCAGTCGAGAGGTACTGCCATACAACTGAAGTTCCAAGAATCAGCCTCCATGAAAAAGGATGAGTTTCATTAGATCGAGGCTCACTACTGTTTACGATTGAGGGGATCATTGAATCAACACGCGGGAGAAGGAACAGGGTAGGTTTACCTCAAGGGATGGATCGTCTCTCATGAAGACTGTTTTCATTATTCAGACCATGCGACGAGAGGATCTTACGAAAAGAACGCGCCGACAGCATTTCCACTGGTAAAGATAAAATATTTGTCTTGCTTTTGCCACGGAGAATATGGCTTGAGACTCACACCATAAAGCCCATGCCATAGTAACGACTCTACCCTCAACACGATCAACCAGCACCCTTCAGATGGAATTTTGACCGTTGACGTACGAAGAGAAATACAGCCTTCCCAAAGGACCATTTCTTTTTCTGTGCAGCGGTTAAGTGGGTTTCTGCTCTCAATCATGGAAGAGAGCTTGACGTACCCAGAAAAATTCGACCTAAAATTCGACTAAGCACATAGAGATAGTTCAACCATTTTCAAAGACGCACCTCGTTACTCAATTGTAGGACTACCACGCCAAAAGCGTTCAGTCAAGCAAGGCTAATGTAATATATATTCCGGATACTCACAATGTTCATAGACGATGAGAGTCGCAGCAGCCACTGCGGAAACCCCGCGGTTATCGCAGAAATACGAGCAGAGTGAAGACGCAGCGCACGCTGACAATTCCGTTCCCACTGTGCATGACGCCATGCAGTCAGGTCAATCGACATGTATGAGAGTGACGACGACCCCCGTTGAGGGCAATGACAATTCGCGGTGGGCACTATTCGGGCTGCCTGTGATGAATGAGAGAAGGAATGTGAGTGAGATAAGGGGTGGAGAACAGAAAGGATACATTTCTTGTAAAGCGAATACAGTATATGAGGGGGATATGGGAGGCACCTGGTTGATAGGCAATTTCTGCTATGAGCTCGTCGAATAAGTTTCCAGGGCAGGGCTAGACCATCCGGAGTCTTCGCCTGATTTAGGATTCGAAATTGCAAGATAAGTCGCATGCAACAGCATGCAACGAACCTGCTCGGCCGCCGTTGGAGCGATTTCGAGTGTATAGTTTTCAACATTCTAAACGCAGGACTAATTTCCGAGCCATGGCTAGGATCAAATGGGCCTTGAGACTGCCTTGAGGGGCTCTGACAAGCGGACATAGGGCTAGATGCGTAGAATCTCGATAGAAGAAGTACTGCATGTTCCTCGACTAGTCTCATTTCGCTACCTTTTGAGCTCAAGTCGAGGCTAGTTGAGGGGCAAGTTAAGTTCATTGATTGGTTGTGGTGTGGTGTTTCAGACTTATAAATTGACTTATCTGTCCGATTATCCTTTGAAATCCACGGATGTGCAAATACCTGCAAACACCTTGTCCTGGAGACCTGTATTTTCTCAGCTTTGGGAGTGGTGAGAATAAAGAACAATTGACATCTGTCTATTAAGCCATCAAGACAGAGAACGCGCAGCATGTACCAACCTCTTTACTTGGCTGACCTCTGTCGAAACCGTACATGTGTGACCACAACTCGACGACTTGACTCGACTTCCGTTCAGCTTGAGAACTTTGACAGCCTACCTCGAGCTATCGGAGGCTACGTCAAAAGCTGGCAGGCAGTGGGATGTCTCGCACCCAGCTAAGTTATCTCTGAGTCCATCTTCACACACCAGCGATAATCGCGTAGAAACAAGCGCGATTATAACGCGAGTAGAACACACCTCTCCACGTCTCTCATTGAACCTCCTTGATCTGCATCGATGACAGCGTCACCTAGTAACACCTTCGGCATATCCTACACTCCATCTTCCGTCTCGACCTTCTTGCCAAAGCTCGGCGAGCATTCTATCGCTTCCCTTCACGCGAGGGGCATTCGTTATATTCGTTTTCAATGGCACGATTATACCAACGTCACTCGCTATCGCGTCGTTCCGCTCTCTGCTTTTGCTGCTCTCCTCGCCTCCTCGCGTCCAGGAATTGGAATCACCAAAGCTGCGCTCGGCCTTATTGGGATCTCACTCGCGCCCGGGTTCACGGGCTCGGGTGAGTACCTGTACACGCCTGATCTCAGCTCCATGCGCACGTGTGGCTACGCACCAGGGCACGCCAGCATTCTCGGTTGGTTTGAAGAGAAGGAACAGGTGAAAGGGAAAGATGGGAGGAGCACATTTGAGACGTCGGATTGTCCGCGCACCATATTGAAGCGCATTGTGGAGTACGTGATTGTTACCATCATCGTCGTGGAACCGATCCGTTGATTGCTATCTCCTGTTTGAAGGGATGCCCGCATGGCTGGTGTCGAGTTCCTGGTCGGAATTGAGACCGAATTTATCCTTCTCAAATCGACAGATCCGATCGAGGCTGTGAACGATCATTCATGGTCCGTCTCCGCTGCGCTACCTACGGGCTCGGTGGAGTTTGTTGTTATGGAGGAGATCGCGGATGCGCTTGAGACATCAGGGATTGAACTTCTCATGTATCATGCTGAGGCGGCTCCAGGCCAGGTAAGCACCTTGCAGTTTCCAAGTTTGTGTGCGCTTCCCCCATGATCAACCTTCTACTATCTTGGTACCTCTTAAAGAAGATCCATTCTATGAACACCGGAGATACTCCTACGATCTTGCAAAAAATAGCTGTCCTCCATATCATTGCTATTTTCGTATGGGAATCCCAAAGTGTATGCTGACTATTTGTGTTGGCAACACAGTATGAAGTCGTCACAGGGCCGCTGCCGCCACTTCAAGCCGCCGATGCTTTGATTACTACGCGCGAGACCATTTTCAATATTGCAGCTAAACACGGTCTACGCGCTACTATGGCTCCTCGCGTATATTCCGATAATTGTGAGTAGCTTCTCATAATCCACGCCACTCTTCCACATGTCGTGTGTGATCTGTGGAAAGTGTCGAAGCCCTCTCCCAGGGTATTGAACTCATCAATAGGGTTCGTGGCATCTTATGGTAGATCCTGATGGATTCGACAGTTGGCACTCATTTGCGCTGTTCTCGATCTCCTTCGAACTCTTTCGCTGACGCGACACTGAATATTGGCAGGTGGTAGCGCAGCTCACGCACACATATCTGTCCACCCCACTGCTGACCGCGCCACGAAACCTCCGCTCCCAAATCCTGATACAAACAAATCAACGACGATGACGCCTCTCGAGCGTTCCTTCGTCCAGTCTCTCCTTGAACATCTTCCAACGCTTGCGCCCTTCACACTCCCTACGCAGGCTTCGTACGCACGAGTACAAGATGGTGTCTGGTCCGGTGGAACCTATGCCTGCTGGGGCCGCGAGAACCGCGAGGCTCTCGTGCGTCTCACAGGCCCCCAAGGCTCGCATCATCTCGAAGTCAGGTCGCTAGACGGCACCGCTACCCCTCACATAGCGCTGGCGGCGCTTCTCGCTGCTGGGATGTTGGGTGTCACAAGCGGACGGGAGCTCGAAATTGCGGAATGCGAGGGGATGGCGCGCGATTTATCGGAGTCACAGAGGAAGAGAATGGGTATTGTCGGGAGGATGCCGAGGAGTTTGAAGGAAGCGCGGGAAATGTTGAGGAACGATAAGATCATTTGGGACGCTCTGGGAATAGAATTCGTTGAGAAGTATCTGGCGGTGAATGAGGTAAGTTGCCGTCGTAATAATTCATTATATCCCGTTGACTCGATTCCTTTGCAGACATTAGAGAAATTCCTAGACGCGGGATCTCCTGCGGCCGATATGAAGCGCCTCATAGAGCTCTACTGAGCGGAGCCTTTACCGTGAAGGTCTCATGAGGCGAGTGCTTCTTGATAGACATAAATTTAGGCAAATTCATCTGTAATTCCTAATGACTTGCAACGACTGTCCTCTTGCAATGAACGGACAGGAATGAGGGTTTGCGGACTTTTGTGGCTTCTTACGCTCCGCAGTTTCTCCGGGCGGTCTAATTGGAGATAGACATCACTGTTAGATGGAGAAAGGTATGACAATCTCTACCTTGGACTGGTCCTTGTTCGACACCACCGTTGATGGACCGCACAAAGATCCCGAGGTCCCGACTGACTTCGCGTCTGACGTTGGCGATAATACGCCGAGATCACTTACACTCCCCATGCTCCGGTGCTTCAGACCATGAGTGAACAAACGCTGCCAGCAGATCTTTCTTACTTCTCGTTCCTGCTCACGCGTACCACGATCCGTACTGCATACTCTATTCTTTTGCAGCAGCAAAAATAGACGTCTTGTGATATGATCACTCAAATGTTTTCAAAATATGTCCCCACTCAATGACCGCCCGGAGGAATCTATTGCCTCGTGGGAGCATTAAGCTTCTTGCATTTCGCTGAAGGTCATTGCATCTTCATTTACAATGCCTTGCATCAACTCATATCTCCATCAGGTGACATCCTTGCGTCTGTTTGCATCTTGGCGACGTTTTCCCAGAGGCCTCACGTCGCGTCGGCGACACATGGAGCGCCTCTTCGAGTTCCAATAAATATCCGAGACCTTCAAGCATTCCGCTTCCACCTGCTTTCCTCGCTCCTGTTCGCCTAGGGCCTTTCCGTTATCACATATCTAATCGTTTCCCAGTTGTCGAAACGATGTTGATCGCCGCATTTGTCATGGTCGCTGCATTTGTGGGGTCTGCGAACGCTGCTGCTTGGGTGAGTGCTTCCTTGAACTTTCGAGCCCTACAACGAGCCCGATTGCTGATCACTTCATGCTCTACTACTCAGCCTTTCGATGTCACCACTATATCGGCTCCTGATGGTTCGATCACGGCCAAGTTTGTCTCCTTTGGTGCGACTATGACCGAGCTATGGGTCAAGGACAAGCATGGAGAAGCCCTTGACATCATTCCCGGGTACGACGACAATGTACGTAGTATCATCGCCTCTCCTTACGATGAACAAGAGTAACAAACGGGATACGTAGTCCAAGCTACTGACCGACCCTGCGCATCCTGTGTTTAACCCGATTGTCGGACGGTATGCCATGATTTTTTCCCCTTATTCACGACATTTCAATATTTCTACTCCAGCTATGCCAACCGCATCAAGAATGGTTTGCTCCCGCCCTGCTTCCTTTCATAAATTCAATCAAGAATCTTAGCACACCCCGAATTATAGGAACCTTCTCTATCCCTATCTCACGCGACCCTCCTGCAAATGGGACTGGCGTATATCATATCCCCACGAATGATCATGATGGTACCCTGCGTCAACAGATGTCTCATGCCGATTGGTGTTGACAAGTCTTCTTCCCTAATCAGGGCAAGACACTCTCCACGGCGGAATCTACGGATGGGATCGTCGCAACTGGACAATTGTTTCTCAATCACCTACTAGCGTGACCTACCACCACCTTGATGCCGCTGATGAAGGCTTCCCCGGAAATGTGACTGCTTTTGTGAGTTGTATTGTGTCCCGCATCATTTTATCAAACGAAGTATATGCCTTGTATGGCGCCTGCGTCTATCTGTTCTCTCGAGATTTGCACTACTGATTTGTGTGTGGATGAAAATTCGTTTTCTTCAGGTGACGCACTCGGTCGAATCTGGAACGCTCAAGACGCAGGTTTACGCAACTGCAACTCGGGAAACTCCCATCATGCTCACTCAGCATATCTACTGGTATTGATACCAACTCTTCGTATCTTCTTCCTTGAAGTGAATATCTATGGTTGACTTCTCTAGGAACCTTGACGCTTTCCGCACAAACACGTCCAACTGGAATACGTCCAATGTTCTGGACCACAATTTGCAGGTCACCGGCTCTCACTACATTGTCACAGATTCCAATGGTCTCCCTACTGGACCCATCCCTACCGTCGAAGGTACGCCTCTGGATTTCCGGACTTCGCAAGCAATTGGCTCTAGATGGAATGAGACCGTTGGCGTATGTGGCCCCGGTACGTCTTCAAGTTCTCAGTGTAGGGTAAAGTCAAACAGACAATCGACTGTGAACGCTAGGATGCCAGGGATATGATAACTGTTGGATCTATGATGGTTCGGCAGAGAACACTCCCGGAACAACACTTTGGAGCGACTTCTCCGGTATCAAGTATGTTGCTTCGTATGTACATCGGGCCGGCTTTTGATGATTCGTTTCGAAGAGTCGAAATCACGACCAATCAGCCAGCCGTGCAAGTATATACGGGAAACTATCTGGATACACCTCGCAAAGCCGTCCACGGCGGCCCGACTTTGCTGTATAGTCCTCACTCAGCAGTTGCCATTGAGCAGGAAGGTTACATCGCCGCGATCAACAATCCCGAATGGAATATCGATCAGATTTGTGAGTTCGTCCATGCATCTTCTTGGTCGCCAGATGACATATAGCTTCTTCAGACGCACCTGGAAAGGACTTCACGTGGAGTACAGTGTACAAATTCTCTATCGTGCACTGAGCGACGATGTGGTCGAACGATGTGAACGTGACAATACGGTGTTATCGATTGCTTGCAAATTCCGTGTCAGGATACTTCAAAGGAAACGCACAAGAGCCGTAGTGAGCATTTCATTACGATTGTCCAGCATGGCCTGCCTGGATTCTGCGAAGCCGGCCAACAAAAGGTGTTAACAAGCTCCAACTGTATTCGGTCCAATATGAGGGAAGCCGAGTCATACCTTTCCAGAAACTGCAGTGCCGCTTCTGCTCGTCCTTTGGCATCCGCTAACTGCCGTATATGTGCCTGTTGTTTAGTCTTCATCTCCCGTCCGTTCGTGCATTCGATAGCGCGATCAAGCTGAACCACTAGTTCATCTCGATTGGCTATTACCCAAGATGGATTCAACCTTGAAAGCATCTCTCCCATGGCTTTAATCGAGGTCGCTTGAAATGTGAAAGCCCCGATCCACTCTGCCCATGGAAGCGTGAGTTTGGGTTGCACCAAGTCGTTCGCAGCCTTCAATGCCTGAAGCAGCGCTTCGCCCGTCTCTGGACCCCGCAAACCCTTCTGAGTATCCGCTATGCAACATAGGAATATCGCGAGGCCTTGAGTCAATGCATATTTTGCAAAGCTAAACATTCACTACGTACCGTAGCTGGCTAGTCGTTTCAAGCATGCAAGCGCGAGCGCACCAATCGCAAATACTTCCTCGCTCTTGTCTCCTTCAAAATCGGATACCGCACAACATACAGTCTGGATGAATCCCGGTAAACCCTCCACGACGAGCTCTTTCACAAAGTTCTGCCGATTTTCCTCTAAAGGGAGACGGTCATTGTTTTTCATCATCAGAGGACGCAACCCACAGACCATGATTGCTGGCAAAATATATATTTCGCAATATGATTGCCATCTTGTGATTCGGATCCTGAAGGTTCTCGGGCGTCACTTTGCGAGGCAGCTTGCTCCTGTAGTCCTCAGCGTGGATGATAACCTCTAGCGAAATGGGATGGTGATTTCGACGGGCAAGAGGAATATGTACGCACCTTCCTCCTCGACAAGGATGACTACTGCAGCTATTACTCTGGGGGTTGCAGTAGTCAGGTGCTTGAGATTATTACGATGTTCCCAGTGAGCCATTGAAGTGGCGGCGACAAGGTTGACTCGTGTTGAAAACGGGACTTTCTTCAATAGAGACTCGTCCCGGACCCATCGAAGTTCCTCCATCTGAACCATCGTGTTCCGAATACGCGCTATACAGTGAACATCAGTTGTGCGCGCGACTCGATACAAAATAGCCACTTACGATGAAAAAGCAGAAACGATACGATCCGCAAGCAATCAAGCTCGATTTTCTCACCAGTGTGAGGATCCATGGCGCTCCCGTGTGTCAGTCGCTGTAGAGCGATTAATACAGTCCTGAGCTTATCGCTGAGCGAACATCTGTCGGCCGATAATCCAGGCTGAGATCTCAAGCAGACTATCGGAGGACGTCAAATAACGTTGGAACTTGCAAAAAAAAAAAAAAAAAAAAAAAAAAACGTACCATTGTATATCAATTGAGCGAGTAGGCCAATGATGATAACCTTTGCCTTCGGACGAATTGCCCGTTTACAGGTTCTTCTCTCAACGAGCTCCTCGAATTTCTCGTAGTGATTGTACAACTCTTCGAAACCGGAAGCTACACCCATGCAATCAGCAACTGAGAGTGCCCGACAAGACTGATGATATATACCTGTGGATGCCATGATTCTTAGTGCCTCTGCCACTAACAAGAGCAAGTCGTCGTCTTTCTGCTTTTCCTCCGCGGTCTTTGATCGGTGGTCATCCATCCACTTCCAGAATCCTTTCAATAAACTAGAGCGATATCGATCTAGCCATCTGAGCTCCCAGTAGTTGTCCTCAGACGTCGGAATACCAAAGGTGTAAACCCTTGTAAGATGGGCGAAGAGATTAGGATTTCCTTTAAGAGCCTTGGGTAACTCAGTGTGCGTGCGATACCAGAGCTTCACTGATATGTGGATCTTTTGAGAGGGCAAAACCCGACGACTCTGACCTCGATGGGGAGCGCTAGAAATATATTAGTCGTGAAGTCCGTGGAGAGTTAGAAGGCTTACACGGTAGTTATAGCCTTCCAGTGACTAGATATAATGCGATAGTCCTGCCACGCCGATATCGGAAGGTATTCCAACGGCCGCCAGAACCCCTTGACCGAGCTCCGCACTGATCCTTGTCGCAGAAAATGAAGAGGAAATAATTCCTCAGGATTCCAACCGTACTCATGAGCGTGAAACCGAAGTCCAGCTGCTTCAGCCTCCTGGATCATCCAGTCGACACTGAACGCTGGAAGATGTACACCTGTTTCATTACCGCCACCACTGAGAGTGATGAGATAAATTTGATGAAACCATCGCCGAAACAAGATAAAGAAACATACACGTCGCTGTGAGTCCCAACGAACCAGACTTCCTTGACATCTGGCTTCGATTGTTTGCTTGCAGCCTCTGGTTGGACTTTGTCATCTAGATATTCTGCTAGGAACTTAACACGACGTTCATCGAGGGCGAGCGCATGCCGATAGTACTTGACGTTCTGAGATAGCGACGCCAAAGGCAACGACATGTGGCGGAATGGTCCAATCGATGAAACGGTATCCCTGATAAAAGAGTAAGCGTTGAGTACATTATAACAAGATAGTCTCTTACCAAACCCCGACGAACTGAATCTTGACGGGCCGAAACATGACTTTATTGAAATCTTCATCCTTTCGGATCGCTTGTTCGTATGCACTGGCACAATGAATCAGAAAGAATATGAGGGCAATGAAACTGATAGCAATACAATGGAATCTGCTCCACATTCCCAGCGTAGATCAGGCCAACCTTATAGATAAAAGAGGGAAGTTAAGAGGTACTGAAGCGTGTTCAAAGGTATTTCAGCTCACCTTGTTGATCATTCCTGCTAAAGTTCGCACTTGGTAGGCTCCACGTGAAAATCCTTAACGACGACGTTGTGAGCTGGCATGCGAGCAAGTGATAGAACAATTCCTCACCGAAAAGATATATATCATCATCAGGTTCATAATTATTGGACAGCCATTGATATGCCTTCATGACCATTACCTCAAAATGCCTTGGGAAATGTAGGTCAAAGCGCGCTCGAAATCAAAACGTGACTTACCATGCGAAAGCGAGATCAACCATCGATCTGAACTTCTGCATCAAGTATGCAATCGGGAGCTTGAAAGTTTGGGTCGCGGCGTAGGTGCCGATTCCGCTGCTATAGTACGTCATTTGCTTCCTCGGACAGCACTTCCCTCTTTTTGGATCCACGACGGGGTCGAATTTCACACCCCAATCCTTCTCGATGTGGTCGCATAATTGTACGACGAATGTATTCTGCGCGAAGACATTGAGTATTGTATTGTAGATTATGAGTGACTGACGCACCTTAGCTCCAATCTTGTTCGACGTGCCATCAAGACAAACGATGAGACTTCGAGAGCCCAGTCGTCGTTTGCATGTATCGCACACAGTCGTATGCGCTGTCTGAATCTCTCGGTCAACATACGAGGGCATAGTTAGCGAGGATGCGGCGAGTTTAGGTGGTGTGATGTGCATGTAGCAATGGCGTTTATTCGACGCCCCGTCATTTATATCCCTCGTCTAGGAGGTATAGGCGACGGATTGTAACAACCATGCGTTGCAGACGTGCCGCATCCTCACCTTCCACAAAATTGCACCCCAGAAGGTGTGTGTGATAATCAGTATTCACCTAGCGTGGTTAAATGTTGCATTCATTCGTCAGATAAGCAGGACTAAGGAGATGCCTTATCCCTTTTTAGATCCGAGACAAACTCGGCTCCATCGATCATCCGACAGTGCACGCGGCCAAGGTCACACGCCGATAGCGTAAAGGTCTGGCGTGAGCATGATCGGAGGTTATGCTGCGAGAACGAAGGTGACAAGATGAGGCTTTTGGTAAGCCGTTGTCGGGATATGACCTACCTGACTTGGAACGGACTTCAAAGAGGTCAAGCTGTGGCCTCGAGGAACGTCAAAAACGGGGCCGGAATAACTTTCGATCAATGTACCCCCGAAGTCGAGGTCAGCATACTTCTAGGCTACCTGGATTGCTGTTTTCAAACAAGATCACTAGCCATCGCGAGGTTCGATCCGACCCACCCTCGTGGTCGGCTGATGGCAACACGTGTGTTGGCAGACAGACGCCTGCCATTCGAGGGCGCGCATATATGCCGCCTGGACCTGCTGAGTAAATACACACACTTAAGGAGAAATGAAAGACAAGCTCTGACCAAAAACATGGTCTGAATCCTGAATGAGCATTAATCTATATATACGCCTTTTTATTGTCAGTTTGGAATCAGACCGCAACATGCATGAAAGTCGTGCGGCTGAAAATAAGCTCCAATAGACATGTCAGCGTCTCGGTTCTTGACAACACGCGTCTTTTCATCTCCTAGTAATTGGACGAAAGCACTCACTTGTTCTAAACAGACAAAAGCTTGCTGTCTAATCCACCCTGCAGGTCTTGGATATTTTTCACACACCCATAAGGGTTCTCCTATTGGAGGCCGTCATCTACTTGCCTGTGAATGTTGGACGTTGAATGCGCGATGCAATGTACCCCGCTTGATCTTGTTGGTGAGAGGATGCCACGAACATTCTGCGGACCGTGGGAATCACTCCTAGATGATGCGTGTTTGGCCAGGCTTGGCCGCGTCTCACGCAGTCGTCTGACAAATGAGCATCCATCGACCCGGCAACCAGTCACGATGTCATTCTCCTTCATCCGCGCTGCCTCCGTAACTTGGCGCAGCCCTCAGCCGTCTGACATCGAGTCCAAGTTCAGTCCCACTGGGAGCTTGTTCGGATCACAGGGACATACACCATCACCCCTTTTCCCCCCTCACCCGCGCACTCACCATCATCCCTGAGCGCCCCGCAAAGCCCCCTCTTCCATCTTCTGACGCGTTCGACGACTTCTTCGGTGCAGCACGCACTACCTGCACTTCAGACAGCCGTCACCATGAACACCCTATTCCCTCATCCCCTCCGATGGGGACAGCTCTCCCACCCGCATACGCGTATCCACCCCCTGCGCCGATCCATGCAGACCCTGCGTTTGACGAGAGTGAGCTCCCGAGCTACGCCCAGCTCGAGGCTGTACATGCGCGTCAACCCATCTCTGCTGAGCTAGAGTCTATCACTCTTGCGCCATATTTCTTCAAATTTGATATCAATGCGTCTTTTTTTTTCCATCGTGTCTTCATTTTTCTCACAGGATATTGATTGGTATCGTTTAATTGTGTAGTCTTCCCACCATTGTGGTTCCTTTCAGTCTTTATCCTCTTCTCTCCCCTCAGCGCGCCCGCTGATTGGGAGATGACGAAGACCCCTGCCAAACGCAACGCGCTTTTCGACACCATGCGCAAGGCCGAGTACAAGTGGGCGCGGAGAGGCATCGCCGCGGCTGCACTCCTGAGCGTGATGATCACCGCCATAGTGATCATCGCGGTCTCACTCTCTCACACATGAACACTTCCCATCTCCTCTCGCCTTCGTCCTGGTCGACTTCCATCACATCATTCGGTTTTCAAAACCCTGACCATCACGAAACTTGTTCTCTCCATTCTTGACTTATACTGCACTCATCTGTCTCCCCATGTTTATTAACTATCTTGTATCGACTTGCGCCTTGTATACTTAGCTTACCGCCTCGCTCTTTAGCTTATAATTCAAATGCCACAATACCCAGATAGACATTCCGTATACCAACCTCTACGCTTACAAGGCGAATCTCCGTAATCAGGGCAGTAATCCCATGAATAGTGGTCCCAATATCCCTTTGGCGTGTAGAGATATAAATAACAGGCGCTGTAGTGTGTTCGCAAGAAACAGATGTAAAATCAACGAAGCACAGCTCAACCGCGCAAACAAGACGATGCAAAATTAGAATGTGTCGTGGTACCCTCGAGCCAACCAAAATGATCATGAACACGTCCCTCCTTATGTACCCTTTTTGCGAGTCGAGAAAGATAAGGTCGAATCACGCGTGCCCTACTCCTTCACTCCTTCCCTTCTCCTTACAGGCATCAAGCTTTATCTCGCTCCTCGTCCTGTTCAACGCAAGGCGCCAATATTTTCCATCTGAAATGGTTGCCGACCCGAAAGCTGTAGTTGACAGATCCATTCATCCTCGCCAGGCTCTTCTCTCTTGGATTTAGGCCCTATAGGCAGCGCCCGTCTGATGAGATTTCAAAGAATTCTGATATACACTCACACAAGCATCGTTCTTAGCCGGTGATAATGCACGCCGTGTCCCGCGGCCATTCGTGCACAACATCGTCCGCTCGCGGTCGCCCAAAGTTCGACAGCTCAATGCCGTGAGCTTCGCCATGGACCTGCTCATTTCTCTCAATGTCACCCTCATCTTCCTGACCGATCTCGGGATGCATCACGGTTCCTCGCATCGTGGCAAAAGCGATCGACCTCGTTGTTTCGGTGATCGTAGACGGCAACAACGACGAAGCATTGTGGAGGTTGAGAATGAGTCGCGACATCATCGTGATCGAGATACTGTGGTTGGCGTCATATTAGATTGATGAGTCGAGTTCATCCACGTCTTACCAGCTAGCAAACGTAGAGAGTCCACCACGCAATGGACCTGACGCAAACTAGAACGCACGTCAGTCAAGATGAGGAGGTCACAAGGCTCAAAACGGATGTCTGTACATAAAAAGTCAACACATTTGCCAAATTGGCTAGAGCCATGACGCTAATGCGTTGAGGGTGATCAGCAATCCGTGCAAAGCTCACTGCGAGACGCGTACCCAAAGTACATCGCGCCTAGCAGCACAAATTTGGTGAGCCTAGATGCATTGCAAAAAAACTATCCATACATGCCGTCTCGGGCAATCAAGTCTATTAGATCCATCGTGTTCGTGCGGTTTTCATTCAACCTGGGGAACCACAGGCGCATGTCCTGTCGATGCCTGTATGATTTGACGATGGTGAGGACAAATACTGTCATATCGAACACTATCTGTGCCTCCCATGGGGTCGCGATGCCTGTTGAAACGATGTGGCGTTAGCCACAATAAAAAACAACATCTCTCGAATCACTTACGCTTTGCACTGTATGATTGAGGTAGGGCGAGGATATTTTTAGCAACATAACATGCGTCCAAGCAATGTGCCTCCAGTACTACCTGCTGGGAGATAGGCTGCTGTGGCAGCCATAGATCTGATCGCCACTAAAGACGGTACTTTGTGATGTGACTAACATCCACTGTGTGTCCCCGAGATCAATGTAGTCGATGCGTATTTAGGTCAGCGTTAGTGTAGCATTTCAACATTGCGACGTACACATGCAAGAACGATTGCGCCAAAGATGATCAGCGACAGCGCTGAAAGTATACGGCGCGACTTTTCGTAAAACGCATATGTGCGCAGCGTGAGCAGGACTATGTATTTTATTATGTTATGCTTCACTTGAGAATAGTAGAGAGCATACTGCCGACCACTGTTTGGTTGAATACGAGCAACAACCGGTGAAATAGGGTATACTCTCGACAGCTGCAGTGTGATACATCAAGGCCGACGACTATCTGAGAATGATTGAGGACGCACCTCTGTAGTTGGAGGATTAATCTCGATGTATTACGACGTATGCGCAACGAACTAAAACTGACCTTGGGACTTAGAGTAAAATCTCCGAGCGTATAAACCAGAACAGCAACATACCCGATAAGCGGTACACCACGATGCACAAAAAACCACAGAGAGGCTTTGGCACGTGGGCGGGACCATATGCGTGAAACTTCCGTGGACAGAGTTATCAGGTGGTCGTAGTACAAGATGACTGCGGAGTGTGCGGTGAGATCACCTAGGACTCCGCGCTCCGAAGCTGTAGTAGATAGGCCATACCAACTGCAACGAGCTGCAACTCGTTATATAACCTACTGCGAAGGCAGTCGTCATTCGAATCAGCTTCGACAAAGATGTCGATGTGGATTCACGAATTCGGACTTACATAGAACGCATGTCTGTGGCTGAGGACATGGTGGAGCAAGTAAGCGTGCTGGCGGTGGGAAAGGAAGCAGTCAAGGAGAGCCCTTTTCAACCGTGTAACGTCCATCGAATACTGTGGTTGATGGCTTTGGATGAGGATGCTACGTTCCTATACTTGACAGACTATATTAGTAAAACATCGTCCTTCAATCAATATCAGCACATTCTGAATCACGCTGTCAAATTGTTTGGGAGCCAAATACGGCCGCTCAGGACCACTCCCGTGAGTAGGAAGTGAACACATACACCTCTTTCCATCCTCAACTAGACTTCGAGAGGAAATTCTGGTGAAATAATGTCATACAAGCACGTACTAGGAATCTGCGCTCCACGAGCAGATCCAAGGATAATAGGACGCGTACGGAAACGCCAACCCACGTCAATCAATGGGTTGCATCTTGGAAACCAACTTGTTTTTATCAGTCCTTCGTCTCTAGTTTGGGAAGTTTCAAAGCTCAGCGCGAGAATTCGTGCTCGGCAGTTGGATTGGTCATATCAGATGATTGAGACTCACCAGGCATACACAAACCATCTTGGGATGTTGTCATGTGCGCCCGAGGTCATGTGCGTACTTGCCCTCAGTGCTTCCATTCCAAGAGCCGAGTAATTAATGGAACGCCAGGGCACCAGTGTGTAGAACAACGATTGCTAGCGGATCTAAGCCAGAATCAGTATGTCAGATTGGATCATGTCCAACAATGCGCACCTGCAGGTTACTCGCCAAGCCCATTGAATATGGCCCCCGTCTCGGTTGACTTTCATGGGCTGTTGAGGTTCTGCACGACAGGACAGCATCTTGGGGCGGCCGAGAGCCGCCGAGTTGAGTGTGACTTCGCTCCTGCCAAGGATAACTTCCTTAAAACAGCCAATCAATCAAGCGCTACTTCCTATATTCCGCGCGTCTGTTACACGAAGGCCCCGCAAGTATAGAGGGTATAATGATTCCCTGGTGGAGGTCAACGAGGAATTCAACACAAGATTCGCTTTGAAACACGCCCGGACGACAGTACCACCATGCTCCTTCCCATGATTTCTTCATCATATCTGAACATGTTCATTCGCTGATTGTGGCCGCTCAATCCGACTCAGCTCAATCGCACGAGTCGCGCTGTCCTGAGTTTCTGCGTCAGAGTGGTTACTTGGTAGCATTTCCGTCCCATCTGAAATTGACTTTCTCGCATCGCGCATAGAAGCAAAGGTCATCGAGGATGTTGTAGGGTGTTGAGATGGCAGTAGCAACGAAGCATCGTGCAGATTTAGCACGAGGCGCGACATCATCGTGATAGAGACACTGTGGATACATGAATGACAGTCAGGGAATATATACAACGAACAACCCCATGAGCAAACGCACCAGCTGGCGAATGTTGAAAGTGAACCACGCAATGGATCCTGAACATGAATGGTTTTTGAATTCAGTGGCCCTTGTATCACGACTGGTGGGCGCACCGACGTCAACTAGGACCATGCCTGTCAGTTTCATCATCGCATAACGAGAAACAGCGCAGGCCGCACGTACATAAAATGTTAGAACATTTGCCAAATTGACCAACGCCATCACTCTGTCAAAGTCAACATGGTCAGCCAGATGCCTGTGTAAAAGACGTCGAATATCTACCCAAAATATACTGCGCCTGTATACATCTGAACCGGTGAACATGACACAGGGAACGGGCAAATCTTACCATCTCGAAACAGCAACTCTACTAGTTCCAGCGTACCCGAACGCTCCATTTGTAACCCTCGAAACCATCGGAGATTTTCCCTATGCTTATAGGATTGAACGAGAGTAAGGCCGAACACAGTGATATCGAACAGCATCTGAGCCTCCCAAGGGGTTGCGAGATCTTTCAGGCAGATCTCATGAGTTATACCAGCATACCACAGGAACCAGGCAACCACTCACGGACTCCGCTAATGTTCCAATGGAGAGATGGGGGTGGCCAGGAACACATCAGGAACTTGAAATGCTCTCAATAAATTACGTACGTGTCAAATGAGAGGCTGCTGTGACAACCGTGTACTCGCGCGCCAGATATCATGACACTATGCTGCGTAACTGCGTTCCACTTACCCATGCGATCCAAAGACATATAAATCAGCGTAGATTCGAGTAACTCTCTCAAGGATGGAACGTACACATGCGAGTAGTACCGCTACAACGAAGAGAAGACAGAGGACGGCAAGAACGCGACGCGATTTTTCAAAAAATGCGTAAGTGCGCAGTACCAGTAGGACTAGGAACCAGGGTTTGTCACTATCATCTTGAGTGGAACTTTAGAAACTCGCTACTTACCGGCCACCATCGCTTGGTTGAACGCGAGTAAGAACTGATGAAATAAGATATATGCTTGACAGCTATGACAAGATACATCATGTCCCGAATTTAAGTTTTGCGTGATAGAGGTCGTACCTCTTCGAAGAGAAAAAGGAATCAGAAGCGTCGGTTTGAATATATCGTAAGGACATTTCGGGACCTGAAGACCCACCTTCTCGCCTGGAACAAGATTTCCAAGTGCATAAATTAGAACAGCAATGTGGCCAATGAATGGCACATAACGGTGCAGAAAAAACAACATGGACGGCTTGGAGAAAGGACAGGACCACATATGGGAGATCTCGGTGGAGAGTGTTATAAGATGATCATAGTATAATATAACTACAAAGGGCAGCGAGGTCAGCAACTGTACAATTCCAATCGTATATGTTTTACCAATAGGAGCGAGTTCAAGATAGTCGCTGAGCACGCTGCGAATTGAGGCATGTGAATTGATACTGAAAAGAAGAGTAGCTTCGGAGGCTGTTCTCACATTGCTTGTGTATCTGTGTTCGAGGGCATGGCCTAAGTGATGATAAGACACCAGTAGGAGTTGTATTTATACGAGCTAAGCGGCAGCAAATGATGGCGGTGGATGCAGATCCAAGATTAGGAGATAAATCCGTACTCACTGATATTTTCGTACGCGCACCCGCGACGGCCTCGCAGAATCCGTGATACGCGGCTTGTTTACTCAAGCTCTGGGATCCGTAATCGCCCAACTCCAGTCTAGAAACATCACACCTCAGGCCTCATCTTCCAAAGTGACTCCGAAAAACGAACGATTTGCAGATATGTCCTGTTTTATCGCAGCTGCAGGCACACGTTACGGGATTTGCGACGTTTACATCTTTATGAGCGCGATCTCTCGGCGGCTTTTAAGAGTTACTGGGGGTTTGCTCGTGTTCTGGAGATGGAGGTTGATAATATCAAGTCTCATTCTGCGAATATCGATTGATCAATAAACCGGTGAAGGTTGGAATGGCAAAAATCTTGTTGCTGAACTCGCGGACAGCGCACTACAGAAGACTACAGAGCATGTGTTGCGTTCCAGGTCCACAGGCAAAATATTGCATCTATCAAACAGATCAGAATTGACAGATTGACAGCATGTGATGAGCCTCGTACACTGTAAAGCGGTGTCAACGCCTGATGTACAGTCGAAAGCGTCATACCTCATACTCCATAGCAACAGGACTGCCAGTAGAACGAGTTGCATGGGGCTCACAATGTATTGACCGATAGCAGCACATCTCACATGTTATCCAGCTCTTCAGTTGCTGCTGTGCAGTCGGTGCACAGGTTGCAGACGGTGGGTTGAAACCCGAGGAAATCATTCATGATCTCATCTCACAGGAAAAAGAACCCCCCGTGAGAACATCGTGGGAACGAGAAACCAGGGTCGGGCCGGATAATCCTAACCTTGGTCTAGGTCTTACCATCACGTCTTGTAAGACCCTCACACACTGTACTCTCGCATCGTTTTTTGAGCTCCAGTGATCTTTCGCCATTCCTCTCCTCATATTCTGTATATAAACTCTAGCGGACTCGGAACACGAACCAAGCATCTGTCTCGCGCCCGATACGCCCGCCCCCCTCTTCCAAACCCTCTCCAAACCAGGTTTGTGAAACCACCTAACATCTCCTGGACAGAGTGATTTCTAGCCGATTCTTCAAGAGAGCTGTTATGAAATTCGCGTCCTTCCCAAATATCTTCACTACTCGGGGAGGCGCCCAGTCGCGTGTTGAAGACATTGAATCGCGGGTGCCAACACGCCTTACGACTGATCCCATGGACGACTTCTTCGGTGCCCACAAAGGCATTTCCAAGTCTGGCAATCACCAAGGCAGACATGTAACGCCCTCAACCCCTACAAAGGACATCGCGCTACCGCCGCCCGCATACGCGTACTCGCTTCCAAACAGTTGCCGCAATGACACTCTGGTAGATGCCCGTGAACCACCGAGCTACACGCAGCAGAGGATCTCATATGAACCGGTCACCTTAGCTCAATATATGTTCAAATTTGGTTTCAGTATGTCTTCCCGCGCGCGCATTCGATTGTCGGAGAATAACAAGGCTTCATCTACGCAGTTTTTCCACCACTGTGGTTTCTGTCGATTTTCATACTCATAATGCCCCTCACTGCGCCTCCTGACTGGGAGCTGAACAAGACAATTGCGGAGCGTCAAGCACTGCTCGATGCGATGCGCAACGCCGAGCGCAAATGGGCATGGAGGAGCGTCACTGTAGCTAGTTTGTTGAGCGCGGTAATCATCATCATCGTTGTTATTGTCGTCTCGGTCGCACGTTAACGAGCTTTCTCTCTGAGTTTCATCTTATCATCATCAATCCCTCCATGACATCATAGACCTTCCTCATACCAATATCGGCACGCTCTCGTTCGCGAAGCTATCATTACGTGCATGATCCCCCACTTCATCGTTTTTTGCTCTTGTACTGCCTCGATTTGTCGTCCTAGTGTACTCTCTATCCCGTTGTATCTTTCGTTGATTAAAATCTTGTATGACTAGCTTTCGATATCATCTATTGGTGCTTCGTTTTGCATTCCAGCAGCTTACTTCGAGATATTCCGTAACGCACCAGGAGGTTCAACAAGCCATTCATTTTGCTCCTGAACTATAGGCCTTGCCTGGCAGGGCGTAGGCAGCTTTTCACATGGGCAGCCAATTGCCTGTGGCAGTCCCAGACAGCACTGATGGTGTCGGTAGTGGAGGAAAAGCTCGGAAGTCCGCGGTGTCGGCATCCTAGGGAATTGCACGTGCGATCGAGGGCTTATTCCATTCTCGGACCGGATCCCTTATGGCCGCTGCCTCGACTGCCTCGACTTTCCACCGTGGCCCGAGACTCAAGACACGACCCTGTCAAGAAAAAACACGGAAAATCTTGTCTATACTTGGGAAATCGATCAAAAATGGCACCTGAAACGATTCACAGCCGACAATAGCTACGACGACGTCACAAGCTGAATCGGTTCGTCGACTTGTCGCCTTGTTCCTCGCTCTGTTACCCTGTGCGCCTACGATACACTGACACAGAAGCACACTCCACCTAACCGACGTAGTCAGGCAGTGCAATGGCTATTCCATTGTCCATCTAATTGCTGCTCAGGGCTCTTGTCGAGGACTGCGCGAGCCTGGATTGTCTCAAGTCTGCAACCTTGACGTAGGCTATAGACTATTGGTGAGTGATCAGTAGCCTTGTAGAGATGATTTTGATGCTTTTTGAACTATCGCCTCGTCGGCAGGGGATGGCAGGTCGGCGAGACACAATCTATCCTGGGGACGATGCGCAGATCTCCGGATTATGTACTACAGGTTTCCCCCAACGCTTATTTGAAAACAATGGATCGATCAGGACCTGGGTTATAACACAGGTATGCCAGGCTTGAGCACGCTGCATTTCTATATCTCAGTCGCTCTGTTGCTTCACTACACAGCTTCAATTCCTACTATGTCTTTGTCTCTCGAAGGAAAATTCGGCGGGAATGTGCACATTCAACCTGTGCTAGGCTTCTGGGACCTGTGCATCTGGCCAAGCACTGTCGATATCTTGTTCACAATTGCTGTGAAGTCACCGTCAATTCCTCAAGTGGTGCCGCACGGTGGAGACCGATCAGCCTCCGATCAAGTATGTGCGCAATCGTAAGGTTTCTACGGCTCAGGATAGGCTTAGAGAGCCCTACACAGAACTTTATCTTCCAACAGATCAATTTCGTTTATGCTAGGGGGGACGAGCATGGAACACGTAAGTCTCATTGCTTGGGGTACAAAAGGTGCGTTTGTCAATGCTTTTACAGGTCAACGTCTCCACTTATACGTCCCTCACACTCCACCGCAACTTTTACGAGGCTGCTCTCCGTATAACTCATTCCTCATCTTCCAACCAAGTACATGTCTTCGTTGCTACAACATCTCCTGCACAGGTGGCGTCGTTCGCGACGCTCAGTTTCCACGCGTGAACATCATGATAGCGTCGGGCTAGATGTAGTTGCGGTGCAAATCACCTCAGAGACTGACCGTGAGCACCTCGATTCCTCCCAATTCTCATAAGCTGACTACTGGATTGCTGCAGATTCTCAGGGAGTTTTGCAGGATGGGCCATCACCCTGCCCTACGATCACTTCTCCGGTTCCACCACCCCCTGCCTACATCAGGGATTCCCTACAGGTAGACTCACCAGGATTTTTAGAGCTGGAAAACAGCAGCAGATTTCATACGTCGACACAAGGACACCGTGCACAGCGCACCGTAACTGCCGTCCTCTCGATCCTCATTCTAGTTGCTTTGATTGGATCAATCGTTGCCATTACTTTATTAGTCTCGAAGATCTAACTATTTCTAGGACTCCATACGTTAACCATCACCTGCTGTACAATCATTTTTCTCTTTCCGTCATTTCGACCCTTGTTCTCACTATACCTGCACTTTCATGTAGCTAACAATCCACATCATTTCATGTACAATGATCTCTATGAATGGGCCACTGTTCCCGCGGATAATACACAATTTCACTCTGTTAGTGCTTCGAGCCTACTCTGTACCTCGCACCAGTGACATTTACAAGACGGGGATTCAAACGGCGTACTAAGCCATATGTTGTTTGTTACTTTCCCGACTGCGATGAAGCCAAGGTTGGCGAGCCAAGAGAATGACCCCGACACACGTGAGCCACGTGGTTTGCCTCCGACTCCGACAGACATCTCTGCTCTCTAGTCTGGTCACTCAGTGGCGACTGAGCTACAATCCGTTTTTCTCAAACTCCAAAGTCCTCAGTGTCTCACAAATTCTCCATTGCATCGTTCATTCCTCAAACATTCCGACGAATCGGACCGGCATGCCGCAAATTCGAGGAACGACCTCTCCGCCATTGTCCAGCGGACTCTGGCCTTGATCGAGCCAGTAAGTGTATTGTTCTTTGCGAAATATCGCCAATTTGACCACTATCATTTAAGTGGACACCGCTTTGGTGTACAGGGCTAGTATTTGATTGCTCCACAGGGAGGACACCGCCACCAACATCGAGCTTCGACGCTAATATGAATTATTGTTGTCCACCTCGACAGATGCGCTCACTATGGAAGATGATCTAAGATCTGATACAGAAAGGTGCCCAAACGTGTATCTGATACGATCCGGTGCGGTGCTCCAGTGGCATCTCTTTGTTGTGACCTGAACAATTACTCAGTACGTTCCTTTTACCGTTGTGCGGTCGCTTCAAGTCCAAGCTGTGTCTTCCATTTTGCTCGTCCAAATTCTCGACATCTGACATGCCCATTGAATCATCCCCTCCCTTTGTCTGCCTTGATATAGATCGGCACGAACGACATCCAAGGAAACACAAAGCAATCGATCATAATGTGCTTACCTTCTTGAATATTAACCACGTCTGGAGTTTCACCCCGCTCGTTCGATCTTCTTTCAGACATTGTTCTATGGAGTGTATGCTCATAGAACGCCACGCAATGTACGGGCGTGACGCTGTGAAATCATAGCATATGAATTATAAGCAGGTGCGCATTCGTCACTACACCTTCACTATCTTACACTTCCACGTTCTCTTCACAGCCTGACTTCTGACTCAGGTTCGTGGCCGATCGGCTACCACATAGTACAATAGCAAGGATGTCGCAACCTCACAAAGGGACAGATCCATGCCACAGCGGTTCCTTGCGGTGCGTAGTTTGTACCTTTTATCCCTACATCCATTTCAAGCTCGTCTAAGTATATAAAAGAAGAGCGGCTTCTGAGAGCACTGAGGATCACTTTCCACCCACATTTCTTCGCCCTTCCACCTATTCGTCTTTCCACTTGCAGCACTCTTTCTGACGCTAGACCAAGCGATGTTGGCACCACTTCTTAATATCGTGCGACGTCTCTGGGCACCGATGCGCCCGTCCTGCAACGGTGTCGAATTGCAAATGAACGATGATATGGAGACGACGATAAGCCTGTTATATCTTCCCCGGGATGAATCACAAGGGCCTCCGCCATTGGCGATCCCATCCTTGTCCGCTCGAAACATGGCAGCATCCGCCCAAGTTGGCACGTCTGCAATCGTTGTTCATGGTCGCTTTCTTGTATAGCAAACTAGCGCGCCTCTGCATACATCCCATCACTCATCATTCTTTCCCTATCGTACAGTATCCTGCACAGGCTTTGTATATCGATAGCACTACCGTATAGTTTCTATACTCGTTCAGCTCTCTACATTTCTGTTGTTCAATGCGCGATTACATCATGTTATTCAAATGACCCATAAGACAATGCTCAAGACATGGTGAACAAAAATATGATCTTATCTCGTCACAGACCGAGCTTTCCACTCACGACAATCGAAAGCTTACGCACCGCGCTTGGCGCGCTATGACGCGCCCCGCGATAAAGTGGACACGTCGTGTCACATCACGTGCCCATCCCTCCAAGTGTCACCAAGAAAAAGGCAGACATGACCTTGAGGCCAATATGCGTACACTGCAGGCGGGCTTGATCAGGTCAGACTCTATTCATTCTAAGATAATCGAAACTAGAATCTACAGGTTTATGGGTGCTAAGTGGAAATGAAAAATACGGGCATGATATGAAGTGTAGATCTAAGGAAGGAAACCAATACTCTTCCAGTACTCAACCCACAATTTGACATCTCCGATGTCGAGTCTGGGCAATCCGGCATCAGCCAGCGCCCGAGATGCGGCCAAGGCATTGGTCAAATCAAACTTCGGGAAGCCCATTGCATCCGTGCAAGGACCATCATTGTCGTGAGCGAATGCGGAGTGGTACCAATCGAGGAGCCGCAACCCAGGGTTGCGTCGAAGGTTGTCGACATCGGATGCTCCACCTGCATCTTCGGCGCTCTGGTCAAGGCGTGCTAGCCATTCCGAGTGTGGGACGACGGGAATATCAAGCACGGAGGCAAAGGAGGAGGAGATTGTAGACCACGTGGCGGGGCGGGGATGGACAAGGTTTACGAGGCTGTATTCCGAGTGGCAGAAGTCAACGATGGCAGTAGCAGCAGTGTGCACGGGAATCCATGAGATATCCTGAATACATTTTTATTAGCATTTGACTGGAGATTCATGCTCAATACTCACCCCTTCGCAATCTGGCAAGGCCTTTAGGTGAACAGCAGATCGGATGAGGGACGGGAGCCACTCCGCTGTCGTCCATGCTCCGTTGACTCCTCCGCTCAACTGTCCTACGCGGATGCTGGTTGCGCGTAGTGTGGTCTGCCTCGAAGCCTCAGCTAGGATCATCTCTCCAACCCACTTGGACTCCCCATAGCCATTGCTGACCGCCACACTAGCATCGATAGGGACCTCCTTGATCGGTTCGAGCCGTGAAGTGATATCTGTTGTTGATTTGAATAAGATCAGGCTGCATTTCAGGATAGTGTAGGGGCTCACTGATAAACATGCCGATAGAGGCTGTAAACAGCACACGCGCAGGCGACGGTAGAGGAGAGGATAGAGAAAGGTCAATAAGGTGGCGAAGACCTCTGATTTGAGATTCGAACGACTCCAAGGACAAGTTGAAGTTGACAGGCCAGGCTGTCAAACGGATTGTTTGAGCTCTGAAGAACAAATATCGATAATTCGGACTAACCATTGTGTATAATGTGTGTGACCGATGAACGAATCTTCGGAGGAAAAATAAATTAGAAAGAGTTGCGACCCTCCATGGTTGACTTACCTCAGAATACAACTCTGCAGGGATACCCAGCCCTTCCTCAGACGCGTTCCCTTCAACGAGCACGACTTTCTTCGAGATTACAAGTGAGAGGTCTAAGCCTCGTTCTCGAAAAGCCGTCTTTTGCCTTTCGAGAAGTGGAGTGGTACCACTGGATGCCCTATTGAAAGCGTAGATACGGGTCACAAGGGGAGAAGCGACTAGTTGCGCTAGAATGTTTGATCCCAGAGCCCCCGTAGTGCCCGTCAGAAGTATCGTGTCATTTGTCGGTAGAGGGGCAGAGGAAACGTGCGTCGAGAAGTTCTTCGAGTATTTTTCAACCATTTTCCTCATTTCTTGGGCCTTGTCCGTGCCTGAGTTGCCGTCTTTTTGTCCCGAAGCGACAGAGGAAACAAATGACGCAAGGCTAGCGATGTGGGGATGCTGGTAGACAAAGCTGCTGGCGATATCCCGCGTATTCACACGGCCAGAATCTTTGAGACTACGTAGGATTGTGTTTCGGATCCATGTTGCTTGCAGACTGTAACAAGCAAACGTCAATGAACCTTCGGCAACATCAAGATGTCTTTTACAAACCTATCGCATCCATGTTGGAAGAGATCCCCCTCGTCCGAGATTTCTTTCTTCATCACCTTATGAACGACGGCACGTACAAAGACCAAGGACCCTGAAAAATCCCATACGATCGGAGAAGGGACATCAGCTCTCCCGGTTTCGTCAACGGCGGTATAGAGCGCCTTGATCTCCTCGTCATATTCCCGAATGATGGCTTGACGCCTAACGCTGTTCTTAGCCGTGAAAGTGAACGGTTTGGAAGCAGAAGATACGATAATCATCTAGGAAGAAAGTATTTTGGTATCCATTTGCATTTGGTACGAACGCAGACCATACCTCCTTGAAAACTCGAGAGTGCTGAGGTGCGAATGCATTCATTTTCTCTATTGAAGGCCTAACATAATCCACAAGCGCACGTCAATTATTCAGAAACAGTGATCTCGCACAGACCACCTTGACGTACCATATCACATTCCTAAACTCAGCCAGCTTCTGGTTATCTGTGGGGTTGAAACGATATTCAGGCATCGGATCAACGAGTATTCCAGCTTGAAATTGTCCGCGACCGAACATCAGGGAAGCTCGAACGTGAGAATCATGGTTAAATATCGCCTCTAGAATACCGTGTGATCAGTAATCAGATACTTGACCAAGCTATCAAACAACCTACCTAGTGGACCAGGATTGGTCTGGAGGCGGAACGAAGTGGTCAGCATCGGGTTCATCCCAAAATATGATCACACTGACTTTTTCTCCAGTGCTATGCATGATCTGATCGTCTGTACGACCGTAAATTTTCCAGTATCCAGGTTTCGTTGGATGAGGCTCAAAAAGATCGGAAGTGGCATACGCTGGAACTCCTTCATACTCATGATTGAAGACGCTCGGCATGTTCGCGTCACTCGGCTATTGGAGGGTTGTCAATTGTCAGCGAGCGAAATTGAGAAGTTTTGTGGACTCACCACGACGACGAGCTCTGATTTACTCTCCTCCCTTGGGACAAAAACGACGTTGGCGAAAGCAGATATCCTGATATAATCCCATTCGGGGTTGAAGCCCGCTGTCATAGAAGAAGCATAGTAAGATCAATTCGTACACCAAGTAGAGCAGATCGTAAGCACCTGGAACAATATAGCTCAGGACTCCAGCCTCCGTGCTGTGAAATGATAGTTATAAAAGTACAAGGAAGAGATAAAACGACTGCCCACCTTCCGTATAAGTTGAACAAGGTCACATTCTGAGAAACCAAAAAATCGCCGACTTCCTTGTTGAGAGGTCCACCGCCGAACATCTACTAGGTTTTAGCTGTTTGTTGGATAAAATTGTCCAAGGAACACTTACAACGCCGTCAATATCGACCAACTTCTTGACATAGGCCGGGTTCTTAGACCATGCCTAGCAAGGCCATACATTTAGTAACCATTTAAATTGTATCAAATGCCGATACGGACCTCTACGAAGCTTGGAACGGTGAAGATAATGTCGCTGCGAGACTCCAAGCTGGCTGCAAATGCGTCTTCAACGGTGGGTTTCTGTGCCGGGGATTGAGGTCGGAACACTGTCATCACGATGCCGGAAGATGCCTAGGGATGACATGACATTAAATATTAGGAGAGAGAATCAGATAATTTGTACAAAAACCTCACCGCCCATATTGTAAGTAGGTATCCCATTGCATGATACATAGGCATTGAATGACAAGCTATGCGTTTGCCGCACAAGTCCCGCTCGCCATACCACGGGATAGTCGACAGCTGAATGACACGCTCGTGTGTCCACATGATTGGTTTGGGAAACGCGGTGGATCCTTTATTGTCTATGAGCCGAATAGAACAGCTGATATGTCATAATACATACCAGAAGAGTGAATTATGATGCCGTTGGACCCCCAGGCAGGCTTCTCGAGCGCAATGTTGACCTCCTGTGTAACGCTGGAAGGCAGGTAAAGATCCTCAAAGACAGGTGCTGCAGACGTTGTCGGAACAGAGGCGGAATTAGATTTCAATAACGTCAACGCGTCTTCAGCTGAATCACGACAGGCATCTTCGACGATGAGATGAGCGACGGACGCCTTGGCCACAAGGTGAGCGATTGCTGCAGAAGAGTTGCGAGGCGAAATCGGGAAGGGGGTGAAGCCTGCGTATTGGATGCTAGCGATGAGCGTAGAATACGTGACGGAGTCTGATTGGAACCAGTGACAATGAGTACATGCAACACTTAGGGGAGTTTCGATGAATTGATTGAAAAGAAATCACCTAAGGCAGTCAAAATACCAACCACAGGTTTTCCCGCTTTCAATTCGGGCACTCCATCAGGAAGGAAACCCAGCTCTTTTCGCATCATTCGTGCAGTACGTTGGACAGCGCGCACGGCCTCGGCCCATGTTATGGTCCGAGTCGAGCCATCAACTTCGATGTACGAGTAAAGAGGATGATTCGGGGAGTGCTTCAGGTGCCAGTCATAGACCTCGGGCATAGTCAGCGATCCCAAAGGGGGGACACTGAAGGTTTTGGCGTTGCGCGCCTGAGTTGGCGGCGGAGTGGGTAGGGGACGACGAATATGGGTAGAAATAGAAGACATTGGGCTCGTGTTTCTTCGCAGTGAGATGGAGAGGCTCAGGAGGGTGTTATCGTATGGAAGAAAGTGGCCGGCTTTTAAAGGATGCCTTATGAGTGGGTGGGACGTGTCGTCATGGATCCACACCGTCGAAGGCGCATGCGGATCACTGATGACCCTGCCGGACCATTGTCGACGGAACTTCAAAGCGACAGTCGAGTGCTGTTCTGCCGGTGATCTGCTCGCAGTGGTGGGGAACGCCGACACCGTCGGATAGAGTATACCTGTGAGCTGATAAATACAAGGAATGAACAGTATAGTCTCCGAGAAAAAGTGACTTGCCTCGCGAAGTTTAAGCAAGATACTCTATTGCTGAGATTTCACTATAACAGGTAAGCGTGAAACCGCAGTGGAGCTGTTATATCCACGGGCGCATTGGTGGACAATTTCATTACTTAGGCTTCTTCGTGACCTTGAAGCAACTGACTCGTTGTATGTCCCTTGCCGCACTGTTCAATTGGAGTGTTCGGGAATCGGGATATGGCATCGGCAAGGATCCAGTTGCCGTTGACGTCAAGATTCTATTCTTGAAACGTGTGGAGAGAAGTTCGGGTCACGCCAGAACAGGAATCCTAAAAACTTGAGTCTTAGTTCCTCAACACACGCCCAACGCTGATCTGTTTGTCTTGTGAATTGAATTAGGCTATCACAGTGGAACCCATCTCAAACATCCCCAGCTTCAGTACTTCATTACATGAGGAATGCTGTCTTGGCTTACCTAGATGAGACTCTGTTCGACTCATCTAAACAAAATCCAGTGTGAAACGTCACCCGAGGAGACGCTGGTAAGCAACATTTTCTACTTTCCTAATGAGATTGCAACTGATGAGTCACAGAAACGCGCGCTCAAAATGCAGAGCCGTCGGACTTACCGCATCAGATCTTCAAAGTATAGACGGCCGGCATGCGCGCACTGGCTTCTCTTGTACTCGTCGTACTCTCCGAACTTGCCGCCGATTATTTTCTCGCGGCCTACAACTATTTAAACTCCGACCGGCTGAGGCCGTGCGCCGCTCATCCTTGATCACCTTTTTTGCCGTGCGCACTGCGCTTTCGGTTCTCCTTGTGCAAAGTCTGTGCAAAGCCGACTCATCTTCTATACCTCTGCATGATATCTGACAAGACTTCAAAAACCTGGTATTTTTCCCAAGATTGTCGTTGTCTTTCGTCGGGCTTGATGGCCCTTCAGGCGTCTCTTTGCTGCGCCGTGATGGATTTGATAGACTGCAATATTCGTCGCAGTGGATATGCGACAAATGTCTTATACATGGTCTTGTTATGGCATAGAACGAGATCATGGGAAGGGGAGTAGCTTTATAAGGTACGTATGAAGTCCACGCCTCGGCCGCATTGTAAGCGCTCTAAGTATATCACGTCATGTGGTTGCCTTGAGCGTTTCTTTTCGCCTCACCTTACGCATTAACCTCTTATTTCCTACAAAATAGCAACGCGAGATGAAACCTGAGACTCCCAACCATCCTCACCCCAGTGGCTTTTCTGATCCTCCAGATGTGCTTACAGGTCGATGGTACCGCTCTCCATGGCAAAGCCTCGTCGAATCTTTCCTCGCAACATCGTTGTACCGATGCTGGTTCATCCTCCTTTGCCTAGCCGGGTGGTCCATTGTAATCTCGTGCATCAACGGGCTCACAACGCATCAACTCGTATTTCAGCCTACTCTTTTAACTGTGTGAGTCATCCTTGCCTCCCCATGTCTCATGTGAAACGATAAGTGGTGGTCAATAAGTAAGAAACAGCCATGTAGAAGCGACTCAAAGCTACATGCCTGTGTCATTGGTAAACGAGCTTCTAATCATACTTCCAGGCTCGGTACTGTCCTTGGTTTCGTCATCTCCTATCGCACGACCGCCAGCTTCGAGCGTTACAACGAAGGCCGGCGCTACTGGGCCCAAATCATTCTCGCGAGCCGTACCTTCGCCCGCACGGTATGGTTTCACGTACCTGGTGAGCCAATATCCTTTCAACTCATCTCCGTCTCGGTGTCGTTACTCCAGCCTCATATCCTTCGTACTCGAGACTCTGCTCCAGACAACAGTCAAGAGAAAAGGACTGTAATCAGCCTAATCGACACGTTTGGCATTTGCGCGAAACATTACCTGCGCCGGGATGTGAAATTCAAACCGGGCGACCTCCACGCCCTCATGAATAATCTCACATCACAAGGGCTCCATTCGGGTCCACCTTCCAAGGATGGAGATGGAGATAGTGAGCATAAGCCCTCAACATCACCGACAATTCAACCTCAGTCGCTAGAGGGCGGAAGCGTTGGCACACGTCGCACGCTCACCTCTCTTACCAACGTCGAAGACTTTGATTCTGGTAGGCCATCGCGGTCTAAAACACACCATACGAGCTCTAGCGACAAAGCAGAAGGCGCTCATGTGAAAGCTGTTCCTCCAAAATCGTCCACTCTCCCAGCGGAGAGGGCTTCTTACCATTCGCGTTTCTTTTCGTCTCGCTTTTTCTTGAACCTATTCCCAGTTCAGCGCCACCCAGAACACATTGATGCATACAATATACCATTGGAGATCTCATTGCACCTCGTAAGCCCGCTATCTCACAGTCCTTGTTACTTTATAATCATCGAGTGTGATCATGGTCTGTTGTATGGCGTAGAGCTCATACGTATCTGCATTACAAGCCCGTAAATCTGTGGATGCGCCTACAATCTGTGAGTCGCTAGGCGCATGGCGTTCCCATCGGCGACTGATGGCTTTGTGTCTACCCACAGCCATCCTCTTAGCTACTCTCAATCAACTAGTTGATGCATTGGCTGGGCTAGAAAGGATCTTGACGACGCCGATTCCGCATTCGTGAATTCTTCCCTTATTTTATTGGTTTCATCGAGGAGTTACAGCAGTCTCCAGGTACTATGTTCATCTCTGGACTGTTACGGTCGTATACTGCCTGACATTGGTGAGTGGTCATCTCTTTTTCTGCTATTCCTGCATCGAATGGGGGTATTTGAGTGAATCGAGTCGGATCGAAGATTCATGTACGATTGAACCTTTATAGCCATTCCAGCTCTGGAACCCTCTGGGCTGGGTCACAATCCCAGGGACGACGATTGTGGTATGTTCATTTTTCTCTTTCAAGACGACAAACGCCGACCTGAGCGTTGGCGTTTCAATTGACGATCGAATTTCGACAGAGCTTCATATTTTTTGGGTTCCTGGTCGCAGGCGAGGAAATAGAAAGTGCATAAGGACTTCATCTTCTCTTCTTCCTGTGCTTTGGGCATATAATTGGCAACTTACCACTGTTGACGCCTGGTCGGTTTGGCCACCTTTTACAGACCCGTTCGGTAAGCGCATTCGTGCGCGTGAAATTAATGATTCACGGCTTACGACTTCGCCTGTACACCTTGGCATTTGTGCGCGGCTGCCACTATTTCCCTACAGGTCACGACAAGAATGATCTCGTGAGTCCCAACTTCTAATGAAAAAGAGAGCCAGCTTTGCTCATTGTGACACATTTCCGCTTCAAAATTAATTTAAACACTTTTACCTGTCAAGGACATGGACGAATTCGGTGACATCATACGTGCGTCTCGCCAACTCACCTTATCCCCACATGCTTACCTATTCTTTGTTGCGCGCACTCGATATCGGCACACACTTGCGTCGTCGATACAGACGCCGAACTCTCCGCCTTGGTTGCATCTCCGCAGTCTTTTCGTTTTGCTGTGGAACAGCCGTATGAGGCTCCGCCTGTACCAGATGACGGAAAGAAACAGGCGGACGCACGAAATGAAGAGGAGCCAAAAGCTACTGATCCTAAGTCGTAGAGATGGGAGAAGCTGCAGCTGTATAAGATGTAAAGTTCTATTCGTCAACTACCACTGTAAGGCGATCTGGTGCTGGAGATGATTGGTGAGGTGTTTGACTTGTTGTAGATATGTACCTGTCATAATTTATGAAATGCGCTTCTATGAGCTAGTCTCGGAATGCTATGAGGGTGGGCGCGTCAGGTCAGGCAACATTCTCAGAGAGTAAACTAGGCAAGATGACTGGAAATTCTATTTTAATCATAGAGGTTCCACGAAAATGGCAAACTGTATGTTGTTTGCCTGGTCAGTACGGTCAGTGCCCGCACTGCGCAGCATCCCGTGCCGAGATCCCGCGAACAATTTGTAAGTCAGCGATAGGCCTCTGTATATGGCTGCCATATCCGACCTCGTCTCATTCTAGTCCTTCCAACTGTCTTGACCGTAATCGCATAGAACAAGCCCATCGACAATGATCATCCCTGATAAGAGCAGCAACGGTGGAGCTGGCGATAAAAGCGGCTTTGACCACTACAGCAGTAAAGCAGATCCTCCCGCAGACACGACGCGACCCGTCACTGCAAACCACGATGAACAGGTATGTCGCATGGCATATCGGTACCTCCCGTCTTATATCGCCACCCAGCTTCCACCGCCATATACTCCGCCCCCATTCCCTGCATCTGTGTCTGCCCCCATCCCGTCCTCCTCCTCTGCGGCCCAACCTCCACCCGCGCCCCCTACACTTCAACCAACCAACAATCTGCACATAATACGCACAAACTCTGCCGTTCGTGAATCTATCCTCCTCGACCTCTCGCTATCCCCTGTGCCTGGATACACCAGCGACAACCATAATCTCGCTTTCGAGTCGCGTAACGGCTCTGTCAGGGCCGAGGTATGGGTCCGCGAAGGCCGCGCAAGTGATACGATAGGCGGCCCTGCCCCCGATCGCGCGCGCATGCGCTTCACGAGCCAGAACGGCGCTGTGTCTGCTCAAATCGTCAGTCTTGGTCTCCCACTTACCTCTGCGCGTTTCCTTGTTACTCACGTCTCACTCCCTCTCCAGCATCAAACTGACTCTACCGATCTGCGCCCCCGCCTCTCCCTCCACCTCAACTCTCAGAACGGCTCCGCGACTCTCGCCCTCCCCCGCACGTTCCGCGGCACGCTCACGCTCGCCTCCGTTCACGGCTCTATCCGCCTCTCCGACGCCCTCTCAAGCCACACTGCACTCCTCCACGAGGAGCAGGGTGTGCGCGTCGTATTCGTCGGCGAGCGTCGTCAAGCTGGGGCCGGCGACATGAAAGACGAGACGGACGACGCGTACGTTGGCACGAGGAACGGCGCTGTTCGAGTCTCATTTGACGACGAACATGCGGGCGGGTTGAGGGGAGAGAGCGTAGGTGCGAGCATTTCAGGCGCGTGGAGCTCCTTCATGAAGGCGTTTACTGGGTGAGATCGACCATAGGTGAGTCATGACCATCTACAATGTATACCTTTTTTTTGTTTTACCTGTCTACTGTGCGACGCGCATAAATCTTTAGTGAGGGGAATTGCCTGCGCGAAGTATGCAACGTTGGGTAGGGCGCTGTGTAGAACTCCGCAGGGCTTTTTAACCGGTTATTAACCAGGAGGTATTAATAACGCGTTAATAACCAGTGTTAATAACTACATATTGTGAGCGTGGGAAAATGAAAGTAAAATCGAGAAAATGGGCAAACAAAATGATGGCTCATAGCTCACTCAGTGTTATACATTCTGTAAAATAAGCCTAAATGAATTTGAGAGGCTTAGATGGCTGGAGCATAGACAGGATGATTTGAGCAAGCGGTTGTGGAGTTGGGTGTCTTAGCCTAACCTCCCCTTGTGGCGGAACTAGGGAAGCCACCATGATGCAAGTTGGACATCATTCAAGCTCCTATATTCTGTAAATAATACACCACAACCTGATCAGGTTCAGGCACTATCCATAAAATCCAAAAAATCATTCATATGCCTCCAGAATTCAGCCAACTAACAATACTTTACTCATGTGTCATGTGTCAGCTATCTACAACAAGAACAATGCTGGGACAATGACAACGGAACTGTATGCCCTCTTTTCTGCACCTACCACCTTGGAGGCCTCCTCTGGACAAGGAGGTGAGTTTGACAATCACTCAGAAACGGAGATTGCACTGAATAACAGCAAATTTGAGATGTATTGCTATTTTGGGAAACTAGTTATTAACCTTAAAAACCAAGGGGTCCAATACATGCCTGTTAATAACATGTTAATAACGCGTTATTAACACCTGTTATTAACCTGGTTAAAAATTAGGAGTTCTACACAGCACCCTAATATTGGAAAAGGAAGAGATCCATGTCTTTCACACTTTAGTCATGAGATTCTGTATGCTCATCCAATAGACCATTATCCTTGTAGTTTGCTCTTGTAGAAGTGAGAGGCAATGAGAATTCACAGCAATATATTGGCATAGAGCACATAATGGTGTAGGAATCAGTTGGGATCTATTTTCATGATGTGTGTTCACATAGTTTACATGAGTGACTTCAATTGCCTTCAGACAACAATGTGTTCAATATGTAACCTCATTGGAAAATGTATGTTGCTCATTCTCTTGCACTTCTTTTCCTTCATTTAAGACAAGTGTATTATATACCAGCATCTTAGAGATGCATGTCTTTTCTACCATTATAAAGGTTGATGAGGAGCTGTGAAGCTTGGCTAGGTCAGCCTTCTATTTAAGTCAAAGATTAATCTGCTATAAGTTTCCATCTTTGACATGCATCTAGCATGCCCATCTATGGCTGATCAAGTATAATGGCTATGCTGAAAATAACATATATTCATCTTCTTGTTTGCTATCTTATTGTCACAGATAGCTCTATAGAGCTTATATACACATTTTTCTAAATGGTCTCCATCAATCCCTAGTACCACTGTAAGCCTGCACAAAAAGAGTATGTACTCAATTGTATGTTGTTCAGAGTAAGGGGTTTGGGATTTTTATTATTATCACACTTTATTTTACAGACTTCCCAGACAATATCTGATCTTCTATTATTAAGCCTGGGCCTTTAAAATGCTAACCATCCTATCACCATAGTTCTCCAAATCAACATCCTTTCTAAAGATGCTTGATTATGCCTTTGGAGACAGACATATTGTTATAAACTGCTTGTTTGGTAACCCCAAGAGTAGGAGGTTCTTCCCTAGGTCACCTATGGAGGAAGAGTGGAACAATGGTCTTGACTGTACACGTAGCACAGGAGCCAGATATGTATTGCAGTATAAGCAATGGAACAAAGACTGTGGTAGAAAGACAATAGTAGAATGGTAGACAGTATGAGGACTGCCCAATAACAAGAAAGAATAGACAAAAGAATGTTAGCCTATTCTATGGGCCTTTTATACTACTTTAGGAAAAGGGCATGAGAATCCTGTATATGTACTCATAGGTATTCTCTAAGTTGTTTCCCTCTCTTGCTTCTGTTATGATCACGTTCTGTCGGGCCTTAACGGCGGTCTATTCCGACACGATCATCACAAATATCAAGTGGCCTCACAAGAGAGGCGTACAAACAAGGTACAGATAGTAACCTTGGTCATCCACTCCCAACGGATCACCTTATCGTTGGTCGAGTATCACGGGCCTATTGCGTAGCGGGCACGGAACGCCGCCTTACAAACTACTCACACATCGGGCATTGAGCTCCTAGTCTTTCCTGGCCGGAAGGAGACTAACGGAGAAGCACAAGAGTAGTCGTTATTGAGAGAGAACGACTTAGAGTATACCTACGGATACATATATGGTATTCTCATGCCCTACTTCCTAAAGTAGTATAAAAGGCCCATAGAGTAGGCTGAGGTTCTTCAGTCTATTCTCTTTGTTCAAAGTACTGTCTTCCTACAGTACTCCTTCGTTCTACTGTAGTCTTCGTACTGCAGTCTTCGTTGCTATATCGCAATACACTTCTGGCTCCTGTGCTACACGTACAGTCAAGACCACCGTTCCACACATCCTCCACGAGTGACCTAGGGAAGAACCTCCTACTCTTGGGGTTACCGACGAGCAGTCGTAACACTAGAATAGACTCTTCTGCCCCTACCTTGCTCGCACTAGCTTGCTGCCACACTCTCTCTCAAAACCTTGCTCAGTGGGGATATAGACCCCCATCGAGAAAGTGTTACTGTACACACTCTAGAGCAAGACCTAGGCCAGGAATACCCACCCAGCACTAGACGTATCAATAACCAACTCCGTCACAACAATCGCCCTATCCGGCGCGAAGGGGACTTCTGGATCTACGAAGACAACAACAGATACGCCCCTCCGAATTACGATAACTGCTCATACCGAAACGGGCGTTATTACTTCACCCTTGAAGACGGAACAGAAGAAGAGGATATTTGGAACGAAACAGAAGCACAGTGGGAACTAGCCCCACAATACAGGGAACCGGCGCCGGTAATCCCCGAAGACTCGGAGCAAGAGGAAACGACCTCGGAATCAGACTCCGACTCACCAGACCAAACACCGATCAACACCCGAAACGAATCGCTCGCCGACATGTCGGGACAAGCTTCGACTTCTACAGACCCCCCTTCCGCGACAGTACAACCCGGAAGAGGAAAGGTCAAACTCCCAGACAACTATATAGGCAACCGCATTGAATCCCAGAAATTCATGCTCCAATGCCTCCTTCTTTTCGCAGCAGAATCCGATCGGTACAAGACTGATCAAGACAAGATATCCTTGGTACTCTCATGCATGAGATATGGCACGGCAGGAGCTTGGGCCGAGAACTTCCTCCTCAAATCAGTAGGAGCGGACCCTCCCACTGATCTAGGAACCTGGAGGGACTTTTTAACAAAGTTCAAGCTCCAATTTAGGGAGACGGGCAAGACAGACAAAGCGCGAAGCGCACTCATGGCCTTCTCCCAAGGACGAATGACGGTTGACGAATACTCCAACCAATTCATTCTCATCGCCGCCGATGCCGACATCTCCGACAAGGAACAAGTCCCTTACTTCCAACGCGGGTTAGACCCGCGTGTCATGGACAAAATATATGACAAAGAAGTACAGCCAAAGGACAACATTCAGGATTGGATAAACACAGCCTGCGAAATAGACGGACGACTCAGAGCTAGATCTGCTCAAAAAGCCATCCTCGCAAACTCCACCTCCTTCCGCAGCGACTATCTAAACCGTTTCCACTCCCAACCCGTTATCCGCTATAACTCCACAAACGCTCCTCGAAAGATGAATAATCAGGTGGTTGATATGGACATCGACGCTACCAGGAAGCGTAACGCCCAAAGTCAAAAGAGAAAATTTGACGGCAAGCGAACCACCTCTTGTTCAAACTGTGGAAAGATAGGACACTCTGGCGCTAACTGCTGGTCGGCCCGCAGAGGCGTTCCACCAGTTCGAGGAAACTCGAAGAGACGCTTGGGTACGACAGGGAGAGGAAACCGCGCAGTTGATCTTGAGGGAGAAGACGACGCACCCGCTATGGGAGACCAAGCGGGAATATATCGAGGAATGGAGACAGAGGATGTTCATCGCAACAACCAGCGGGTACCACAACCTGGTCCTTCGATGGAACGTCCTCACTCTGCCCCATCCGGACGACCCCAAACGAACCATGGGCAACGCGCTATGTTACCTAACGGATGACGGGGAGACGGAAGCGTCAGTCATTCTGCTCGAATCGGAGCAGTGCTCGGAGAACTAGGGGAAGATGAAGCAAGAGAAGTAATCTTGGGACATGCGGAGCGTTTTTCCTGACCTCTCCCTCACCAGCGAGGGAGAGAGGTCAAGAACGACCCGAGTTTGATGCCCGCACTTGTATTCGTATCGGAGCAATGAATGACCGTATCATCACTCCCCTACGCCTGAACGTGAAAGTATCAAACAGGAGTCAATATGCTGGAGCAAAGGCAACCATCGACTCGGCATGTGAAGGGGTTATAGTAAATGAAACTTGGGTCAGGAGACATCGTTTTCCCACCTACACACTCAACAACCCCATTCGCGTCCGGAACGTCGATGACACCCTTAATAAAGCAGGTCTCATCCGATCAGCCTTGGATGTGAACCTCACCATTCGGGACATCAGGGGACGAACGCATACTGAGCGCGTCCAGATGTTTATCTCCAATCTAGGGAAAGACGACCTTATCCTAGGAACAGATTGGTTGAAATACCACGATCCCTCCATAGAGTGGAGGCGACGTGAAGTGCACTTTGATCGGTGCCCCCAAAAATGCCAGCAACCACATGGGTTCACTAGGGCAAGGGAAGAACCGCAAAACAATAGGCGGTTATCAGACGTGGAGCCACGGCACAAACCACGCATTAACGAGCGCGAAAAACAGTGCCTAGAGCACCTCCGAAGACTATCGGAAGATGTAGGACTCCGCGATCACAGCGGAACGTTTGGTGTCCAACTACGAGCATACCTCAAAAGGAAATGGCTCCTACAGGACATAAGGAAATACTCAGAAGAGAAACGGAAGGCTCAAGCCAAACCATCTCTTTCACCAAACGGGGGAGAACCTGATCTCCCACATGAAAACTCAGGAAAACAGGCCATAGAGGAACCAGTTATTCGGAAACTGGCTCCCGAACCGTCAGGATTTGCCAGCTTCGACCAGGACTTGGAAGACGAAATCATCGTCACCAATCTAAAGGAAAGAGTCCCCAAGGCACATCACGAATTTTTGGACATTTTCAGCGAACGAAAGTCGCAGCGACTCCCAGAGCACACTTATTGGGATCACGCCATAGATCTGAAACCGACCTTCAAACCTCAAGTACCAAAAATCTATGCCTTGAGCCCAGAGAAACACGACGAATTAGGAAAATTCATCAAGGAACACCTCACTCGGGGGACCATCCGTCGATCCACCTCACAAACGGCAGCCCCATTTTTCTTTATAGGAAAGAAAGATGGAAAACTGTGCCCGGTACAGGACTATCGCCATTTGAACTCGTACACCATCCCAAATGTGTGCCCCCTTCCACTAATCCAAGAACTATTGGACGTGATCAAAGGGGCCACCATTTTCAGCAAGTTGGATGTACGGTGGGGATACAACAATATACGAATCAAGAAGGGTGATGAGTGGAAGGCAGCTTTCATCACTCCGCTGGGCTCTTACAAACCCACGGTGATGTTCTTCGGCCTTACCAACTCACCAGCCACCTTCCAAGCCATGATGAACATGATCTTCAGAGAGCTCATCACGGCCCGGAAAATAACCGTATATATGGACGACATCCTCATCTTTTCCAAAAACATGGTGGAACACATCCAGGTCCTGAACCAAGTTTTCCAGATCTTGCGCGACAACGACCTCTATCTGAAGCCAGAAAAGTGCGAGTTTTATAAAGAAAAACTCCAATATCTGGGATACACAATTTCAAAAGACCACGTCGCAATGGAAGACTCAAAAGTGGACGCTATACAAGATTGGCCAGTCCCACGCACCGTCCGAGACATTCGCTCCTTTTTAGGTCTAGGAAACTTTTACAGGCGTTTCATCGATAAGTTCTCCCTTATCGCACGACCTCTGCACGACCTCACCAAGAAGGATGCAAAATGGAACTGGACTTCGAAGTGCCAGGAAGCCTTCGAACGATTAAAAAGGGCATTTATCAGCAAACCCGTTCTGAATTACCTGGACCCCATGCATCCATATCGACTAGTAACGGACGCCTCACTAATCGCTTATGGAGCCACCCTCCTGCAAGAAGGAAAAGATGGCGACTGGCACCCAGTCGCATTCCTTTCCGGGTCATTTTCACCAGCAGAACGGAACTACGACGTCCACGATCGCGAACTCCTGGCCATCATAAAAGCGTTGGAACACTGGAATCACTACCTCGAAGGTGCACGACACCCATTCGAAATCTGGACAGATCACAAGAATCTGGAACACTTCCAAACGGCACGAGATCTCTCACGACGACACGCCCGTTGGAGCCTTTATTTGAGCAGATTCGACTTCACGCTCAGCTATAAAGCGGGATCAACAAATCATTCCGATGCTCTGTCCAGGCGTCCAGATCTAAGTGAGGGGGTGGAATCTGACAACAAAGCTCAAATTTTGCTCCCGGCCAACCTTTTTAACAAATCCGACGAAACACTGGTAGAACCGTCCCCGACACGACATATCAAGTCCACAGAAATTGCATCCTCGGACCTCATCTCCCTCATCCGACACTCAAAATCGGAACATGATGCCCTGACAAGGGTAGCCCTCACCAAACTTTTGCAAGTAGGGCCACAAGGAATGAGAGGATTACTGGGACACTGGACACACGAAGACGGAATCACCAGACGAAACGGCCACATATGCGTCCCAAAAGACGATGCCATACGAAGACTTATTGTCAAAACGCATCACGACACTCCCGCGGTAGGACATCCGGGGAGAACAAAAACGTTGGAAATGGTACAACGACACTATTGGTGGCAAAACATGACAAAGCTCATCCATGAATACGTGGACGGATGCGCGGTATGCCAATCAACCAAGAATCTGACACACAAGACGCACCCTCCTATCCACCCTTTAGAAACCACCAACGTCCCCTGGCGCTTCATCTCGACAGATTTCGTCACGGACCTACCCAAAAGCAAGGGTTTCGACTCAATCAACGTGGTAGTGGACCAAGGTCTGTCCAAAGGCATAGTCATCACCCCATGCAAGAAAATGATCACGGCAGAAGAAACAACCGTGCTTTTCCAGAACAACGTTTTCAGTCGACATGGGTTGCCGACCAAAATAGTATCTGATCGCGGCCCTCAATTTGCGGCCAAGTTCACCCGAGAACTCTGGAAACGGCTAGGAATCACCGCTGCTCTCAGCACGGCTTATCATCCCCAGACGGACGGAGAAACAGAATGAGTAAACCAGGAGATTGAACAATTCCTGAGAACGTTCTGCAATTACCACCAAGATAACTGGGTGGACCTTTTGCCGTTTGCCGAATTCTCGCACAACACGCGGAAACATTCAGCTACCGGAAAATCTCCTTTCGAAGTGCTATACGGGTTCAATCCCCCTTATTCAGCCGACACTGCGCTGGAGACAAAGGTACCCGCGGTAGCTGAACGCATTAAGGTGATCACAGAAGTCCAGGAAGAAGCCGCAGCCAGCCTACAAATAGCCAGCAATTACGCCAAAGACCGGGATCTCCACAGGAAACTCCCTCAGTGGAAAGAAGGAGACCAAGTATGGCTAGAAGGAACCCATATCTGGACGACCCATCCAAAGTTCAAGCTCGCTCCTAGGAGATATAGACCCTTCAAAATATTGGCGAAAGTAGGAACCCTGGCATACAGACTTCAAATTCCCCAACACTGGAGGATCCACCCGGTGTTCCACGCCGCAACGCTAACCAAGTATAGGGAAACCGAGGCACACGGAGAAAACTTCGCAAGACCATTGCCGGAGGTATTAAACGATGAAGAACATTACGAAGTAGAAATGATCGTGGACTCAAAGAAACAAGGACGGGGAACCAAATATTTGGTCAAGTGGATGGGATATCCCGAGGCAGATAACACCTGGGAACCCTACACTCTCCTAAAAGGGACAGCGGAAGAAGCTATGAAGGAGTTCCATGACCAATACCCCGATAAACCTCGCCCGGGAGCACCCTGAAAGGCGGAAGGAAAAGTCTATAAAAAAGCGTCCAGAGAGCTCTAAACAGACCATCCTCCCACATCTTCTCCCATTTTTCTCTCGAGCTCCCTCTCCTTCACTCAAATGCTCCTTCACGAAGACCACAATGCTTCATCACCATCCAGAAACTCCTCCCCCGATGTCGTCCTTATGGTGTCCAATCCAGACATCGGACGAGTGGATAGAGGAACCAGTCCTCACCCAAGCAATGCTGGACGAATTGATAGAGGAACCAGCCCTCACCATCCAGAGCCCGCCGTCGTCACCCTCACTCCACACCTCAATAACTTCTCAGATGACGACGCCGAGGACTACGCCAAGTTCAAAGAAAGGGAAAGAACTCACCGACCGTCATCCCAGGGGCCCCCACGAGATGCATCATGGAATGAAAACCCTGATAACAGAAACCCACCGGGCTCTGACGAAGTACCAATGGGAGTTCCACATCCTGCTACAATCACGGCGAACGTTGGAGTTGCAGGTCCCTCGGGACTACAAGCAAGAACAGCAGCTCAACTCCTAAGCCATGGAGAAATTAACTCGATACCAGTTATACAGGGAGCTACACCTCCGCCAGTACCAACTGGTGGACAGATTCCCCGCTCCGTGGGAAGAACTACCCTTGGTACAAATCCTCACACCGGAGAATTGGAGCGACACACGGACGCGCTCCTCCAGCGAAGCACTATCTCCGCGGTAATACAAATGGCCACAGCCATGGCCCTACAACGACTCGCTAACTTCGCTGCAGGGCAACCCGGGAATGAGCATAGCGACATACCTCGACGACTGGCTAGTGCCAGTCTCCAGATCAGAGGACTCGCCCTCCAAACAGACCCTGACACCGCCTCTTGGTATGAACATAACGACGGACGACCACGAGCTCTCCTCATCCATTCCGACGAATTCTCCCAGTATGTCAACAGAGAGCTCCTTCCAGCTCTCCTCTTCACCGGAGAACTGGGCGCCGTCCAACCAAGTAGGACCGACCCTTTCCGCGTTGTCGTCTGGAATGTACCACGTCCCGGAGAATGTCCCACGGCTGTACCAAATCAAAGAAGGGCTCCGCGCACGGTCGTGGAACGCCCTCCACCGAGGCCACGGGAAAGTCGCCCAACACATAGCAATCCCACGACGTCCCCCTCTCACCGGGTACGAAATCTTCCCTTATCCCATGGGGGCACCGACGAGGAGGAACCGCCCGTCTATCGAAGAAACGAGGGAAGAAGAAGTCGAGGAACCCCGGCAACCCTCCGCCGCGGAACAACTACTGGCGGGAGTGTTCGACACCGGCCTGGAACGCCTCCTCCTAGTGCTCGATTTCGTGCAGACGAGGGACAGAATAACCGAAGTAGCCGCAGAACTCGCCGTGCTGATTCGGAGGCTAGAAGAAATCGCTCTTGGACTCGATCCGAGCTCGATGCATAGGATGCTTTAGATGACCCGGGAAATTACGACGACGCCGATCCGTATTATCGGCCTGATGAAGGAGGCGATGGGTACCAAGGACCCTATGACTACTAGAGAAGGGCCGTCGCGGAGCGAGAAAAGGGGGTAAGGAAGTTGAGGAACTCCTACCCCTACTAGGGTCCGAAATGACCTTAAACTATCGATTGTCCGCAACGACATAAAACTAGGATCGTCCCTCAAGACGTTAAACTGTACGACCTCGTCCGAAAGAGACGTTAAACTACCCCACGTCCGGAATGACGTCTAAACTATCGGACCTGCATGTCTTAAAACTGTGAAAAGATAAGAAGGCAGGGGAAGTACCTGACCATTTAGTCCTAGGTTCAAATGATGGTACGAATCAAGGACAACAGCGGGCATAATTCCACGTACGACCTACGGCGGAACCTTTCACATCCTCGCTGTCAAGGAGTTAATCTGACAGATGCATCGAGCGTCCCATTTGGATCCTCAGTTTTACAGGGTTTTTTCCGCATTAGGGAACCCTCTACATGACATATACTCTGCTCGTAGGTGTCGACAAGCCGGCTCTTCGCCTTGGTACAGCGAAGTGCCCATACATAACCGGTTGCAAGTCCGAGTCAAGAAATTATGATGCACAACTCGTTAAGTGAACCCTCACAGTCAAGGTCTGACTGGTGTTTTGGGACGTCCCACTTTGGATCTCCCGTTTTACAGGATCGTTTCCGCATTAGGGGATCCTACAGCTGGCGCATGAGATGATGTAGAGAGCGGGCCGCCTTTACTTCACAAGTCTTCCTATAATGATGCGAGGCCATAAAATACATCCGGAACGATGTAAAACTACCAAAGGCTTGGTCCGCAATGACTATAAACTACTAGGGTCCGCAATGACGTTAAACTAGTCTTCGTCCAAAATGACGAAAAACTATCCTCGTCCGAGATGATGTAAAACTACCATTGACCCAAGGAGCGTGGTTGCATTCTGGTGAAGCGCGGATTTTGGGAGAATTACCGCGTCGCAGAACCCTGCCTATAAGAGGTCGAAGCGCTTCCGATATTCACTCGCTTTTCGGTAAAAGAATATCGGGTCGTCTTGGTTCAAATCCAAGCGAGGGGTCTGGGGACATGGAAGAGCAAGCATCTCTTCATGGAGCGCTCAGTCTAGTCCTGGAGTCGAAGTACAAGAAATTCCGCTCCAAGACCTAGTCAGGAGGCAACTAGGACACGTGCCTCGAGTCGAAGATCTAGTAGGAAGGGACTAGGTCGTGCGACTCTCGTCTGGCCCACATAGCGGAAGAACGGCAAGAGGGGGCCACTCATAAGTCTATTCCGCCACCGTTCGTCCGCAACGACGATAAACTACGAAGCGTCCGCGATGACGTTAAACTATTGTCCCTTTCCACATAGGGATTGTTCGAGGCCAATGGCATCGACGTCCGCAACGACGGTAAACTACGGGCATCCGAAACGATGTAAAACTACTGTCCCTTCGTTCTAGGGATCTTAGGATGTGTCTCAATATTGGGATGTCTCCTAGTCCGAAAAGACGATAAACTATTTGTCCCTTTAAGCATAGGGATCGTGCGTGGTGGAAATCAAGGTTATCCCCACGCGTCCGAAACGATGCTAAACTACTTGTCCCTTCAAGTATAGGGATTGTGCGTGGCGATCTTGACAAGATACCGCGCGTCCGCGACGACGTTAAACTAGTGCCCCTGGACCTAGGGGTTGTCATTGATGTCTAATCCCCTGGACACCAATGCGTCCACAATGACGGAAAACTATTTGCTCCTTACCGAATAGGAGTTGTGGATTGACCGCCATGCTGTCAATCGGTCCGCAATGACATTAAACTACGATGCTCCTTACCGAATAGGAGTTGTGGTTGTTGACCAAGACCGTGGTCATCAACCGTCCGAGAAGACGTTAAACTACTCGTCCCTTTTAGTATAGGGATCATCATCAACGTCGTCCTTGACGAGAACGACGCTGATAATGTCCGAAATGACATTAAACTACCCTCATCCTCGGAGGAAAAGCCTATCGTGACTCGAGGGACATAGTCAGACGATAGCCCGCCTACCGCACGGCGTTAAACTGCGAGGATGCCTACCTCACGGCATTAAACTGAGCGGTCTCCTAATATTGAGACGTATAAGTTATCCGGTTTGATATAGTATAAACCGTTCCCATCATGCCTCAGTGGAAACCTGCGGGATAAAGTCTGGTCTAGGGCCCTATGCACACAACCGATGGAAATTCCGGCGTGCAGAAACATCTTTTTCCCACAGATATTCCATGTTGATGATGAAGAAGGTCCGCAAATGACCTAGAAGTAAACTACAAGGCAGCGCAGGGCGCCTTAATACATCCGAAACGATGTAAAACTACTGTCGTCCGCAACGACGATAAACTACGGAACGTCCGGCAAGATGTTTAAACTGCTAGTCGTGGATATATCTCGCAACCCGACCAATATATCAGCTGTGGTCTTGATGTCCATTCGTGCAAGCGAGCGGGCCGATCCGGAGAAGGAGTCAGACTCCTCCTTACTCCTCACGGCACCCTTCAAGTCTAATTCTCTTCACATCCTTGCCTCAAACCCAATACGCATAGTGAATCAAACAAACTCTGGACGTCGAACTAACTCACCGGAGATGAGCCCACCGTATGGGGGCGATACTGCTTGGGATTTATGGCTGCAACCTCACCGGAGATGAGCTCACCGTATGGGAGCGATACTGCTTGGGACGTTAAGATGGTAGTCTGGGGAAGTAGGCCTAAGCCTTTGTAAAGCGATCAACCTACTTGCCCGTGGACGCCATCCTCTGAACGCCAAGAGGAACAACAAAATCACGAGGATAACGACTATCCTGGAAACACTGAGGTTTGGCCCTCGGAGAAGGAAGAAGAAGAACCTGATGACACGAAATGGAACCCACATGCTAGAGTTTCTACTCATCCATGCACCACTCGCATTCATACGCCTTTCTTGATGCTGTTCCAGAGGAGGCTGGAAGTAAGACCGCGATGGATTTACCGCGGCAGAATCAATCCTTACGGGTGAAGGGAGAACATCCTAGTGGCCCAGGGCTTGGATACCCCTGCGTTATGGCCGAGAAACAAACAGCTCAACGGAGATGGAAAACTCCTAGAGGATCAAACGACGTAAGTCGGTCTTCCTCCCAGAAAACGAAGTCACGTCCCGGAAGTCGCATCCGGAGACCGTTTTGGATCAAGAAAGCAAATCGTATATGGAGCGGTGATGAAGCGCAGAAAGCGTTGTCCTACCAGGCGAATAGGACGTAGAAAGGGGGTATTGTTATGATCACGTTCTGTCGGGCCTTAACGGCGGTCTATTCTGACACGATCATCACAAATATCAAGCGGCCTCACAAGAGAGGCGTACAAACAAGGTACAGATAGTAACCTTGGTCATCCACTCCCAACGGATCACCTTATCGTTGGTCGAGTATCACGGGCCTATTGCGTAGTGGGCACGGAACGCCGCCTTACAAACTACTCACACATCGGGCATTGAGCTCCTAGTCTTTCCTGGCCGGAAGGAGACTAACGGAGAAGCACAAGAGTAGTCGTTATTGAGAGAGAACGACTTAGAGTATACCTACGGATACATATATGGTATTCTCATGCCCTACTTCCTAAAGTAGTATAAAAGGCCCATAGAGTAGGCTGAGGTTCTTCAGTCTATTCTCTTTGTTCAAAGTACTGTCTTCCTACAGTACTCCTTCGTTCTACTGTAGTCTTCGTACTGCAGTCTTCGTTGCTATATCGCAATACACTTCTGGCTCCTGTGCTACACGTACAGTCGAGACCACCGTTCCACACATCCTCCACGAGTGACCTAGGGAAGAACCTCCTACTCTTGGGGTTACCGATGAGCAGTCATAACAGCTTCCCTGCTTGTCTCCTTCTGACCAGGAGGACAAGGAGCTCTATGCCCATGTGTGAGTAGTTTATAAGGCAGGGAAGGATGCCCACTGCAACAGGCTCATGATACTCAACCAGCAACAGATGGTCCCCTGGGAGTGGATGACCAAAGATTATATCTGTACCTTTGTGTACACCTTAGGATATGAGGCCACCTAGTAGTTGTGATGATCATATCGGAATAGACTGCCATAACGGCCCAATAAGTCATGATTATAACAACAAGAATGCCTGGTGCATGGCTGTGGTTGAGGTGACATGGTCTATAGAAACACCATCCTTTTCTTATGAGACATGTTGTATCTCAGGGAGTTCTTGGATGCAATCAAAGCTGGGGACTCTGGGTGCATTGTCAATATTCTAAAGGTATGGGCCCTCTCATTCCATGGCAATGTACGATCCAAATATGCATATAAGATCTTACACCTTGTCTATAACCTCACACATGTATGGCCAATTGGCCTTCAGTGCATCATATCATCTCCTTATTTGTGCAACCTTTTGTGATGATCATATAGTGACATTGTTCTCCAAAACTGGCTAGTGAATCCCACAAGGCATGAAAATACATGGCACAAAGTCAACCTGCTATAGGAACACTTGAATTTCTGGATTAAAGTGAGCATCCCTATTCTTATCCTCAGCCTCAGCACCAGCTTCATTGGCAATAAGGACTATTACCAGGCCCATAGAAGTGGAGCTTTGTGAGAGTGGCTCAAGACGATAGTGCCTTGTGTTCAAATCCTTTGGTGCCTGGCTACAGATGTTCACAGAACCCTTGGAGCCAAGCAAGGAAACTGCCACACAATCCTAGACGTCACTAATGACACCGAGGAGCTCATGGGGAGCCTTGCCCACCATGCAGTGTACACTGAACAGCAAGGCTGTCACCTCAATGAGGATGAGGATGGCCTAGTACCTGACATCATTTCTGAAGGCTATATGTCCTTGTCATGGGGTGGTGTTACCCCTCTAAAGGAATTCAACACCATGCTTACAACCTTACAGCACTGCTGCCATGTCAAGCCATTAGTTGGTGCACACAATGGATTGACATTGCCCATGCCCAACAGTATAGCGGCCGAGTGCATCTCTAGTATGTTCAAACCTGATACACTGTGATCTCACTCAATCAATCTCCTCCTCTGAAGATGACAACACCCCTGCCAAGGACAACACAACTGCTGATGACACAGCAGCGATCAGCGACAACAATGATGATCACTACAGCATTGATGTCAAGGACACAGGTGGTCATGCCAGTGTTTAGACAGACCTAGACTTGATTAGCTTTGAGGACATCAACCTTGACATGGACTCCTATTCAGATGTAGAGTATGAGGAACCCGAGTTTGAGAATTTTGAAGGTCAGGACTTGTCAGAAAACCTATCAGATTGATGATCATAAATACAATGTGTATACAAGTGGAATGTCAGAGAAATATAGAGGCATGGTAAGGCAAAGAGGGAGGGGAATAGCAATCTAAGTGTGGAAGTGGCTGAAAGATAGCTGAAATTTCACCAAGTCGAATCTCACCTTTGGCGGGGCCCGCCAAAACCGCCACCAGTGTGCCCAGCCGGTCTCCAATGGAGCCCTTGACGGAGCATAGCGGAGCAGCGGAATTTGGAAAGATCGGCTGTGTCCGAGCCTAACAGATCCCCACTACAGAGAACACCACCGTCGCATACCTAAACCTCCCGCCCCGCCGAACACGCTTGAACACGCTCAAACGCGCTTGAACGCACTTGAACACTCTGCCACGCGAGTCCTCGACCAAAGGAGAAAAGGCCAAGAAGTGCCCTCCTCCTCCACAACGATGGCCATCTTGCCCTACGGGCGTTACGCGGTTCATCATCTACAGCTCTACAGCGCTGCCGTCGATCGCATCCAAGTGCATTTCCCTCACCCCATTTAATGCCTCCCGCCCTCGGTCCCCTGATAACATTGCACCAGCCCTGACCTTACGTCTTCCCTTTTGTCTTCTCGCAACAACAATAATAAACCCACCACACTAGCGCATTCATCCTTCGACCCGAACACACATGGCGCTCTCCGCCCTTTTATTGTCTTGAACTCCACGGGAAGAGAGTGACAAGGAGACGTGCGGAGGACTGTTCTTGGGCTCGTCTCAGACACTGGGTCTTACGCTTAGTGAGATGACCTTGGGATAGGTGAGGACATGAGGCGGTCCTCAAATTGCAAAACTACCGTTTGGCGTCGCGCACGCACCTGGATGGCTCAACAGTCTGGTACTATACTCGTACATATATGTATAATGATAGACTGACCCTGCGCACGGCCAACGGGCCTGCGCAGTGTGCTATAGAGCTAAGCTAGTAAAAACGGGATATTACAACTGCGAGACAGTCGACGAGAAGAAGAGACGAGACCGACTACGTACTGCTACTACAATGACAATGTGATAAACGACGGCGATGCGATGTGGTGCGGAATACTAGTGGTGCGTAGTCCAAGCGCAAAGAAACAAGGCAGAACACGAGAGATAAATACCAAAAGCTAAAGGGATGGAGACGCACTCGAGGTGCAAATTACAATACAACATAGCCGACTAGGCTAAGTCGGGACGAAACGATGCGGACAAGATTATGGAGCGGGTTCAAGAGAGCGTGATCGACGCCGCCCAGGTAAGCAACGTGAAAAAAGCGACGCTCGGCATGGGGAAGAGAAGCGCGAGATCGACGATGCAACGAAGAAACGAGAACTTGCGAAGAAACGAAGGGGCAAAACAATACCTATGCGATTACCGTGCGATGCCGTTGTGGCCGCAAAAACGAAGCCCCTCCTGTTCACTGACTCCCCACCCTCATCTTGCCGACGAAAGCTTCTGTGGGAGTCACATCCTGGTGCGCGTGGTCCTGCCCGGCTTCCCCGACAGAACCCTTGCCGTACGTCTCGTTGCCGGCGTTTCCAAACCCCTCCCCGGCATGCGCGAACGAGCCGAAGAAAGGTGTGGTTGGACTCAACGTCGACGGAGTGCGGGACGACGACGACGATGCAGAGGAGTTGTACGTGAGCGCGGGGGACGGCACGAGGAGCGGCGAGTCGGCGGTGGAGTGTGCCGAGACGGAGGTCGATGTGGTGCAAGTAGAATTAGAAGAGCCGTTCGACGAAGAAGAGATGCTGCTCATATTGCTGTTGCTCGAAGAAACGGTGTCGCTGGAGATAGAATGAATGGTGCTGCTAGAGCTGGATTTCGGGATGGTGCAGATGGTGGGAAGCGCGGCGTTGAGTCTGGAGGCGAGAGCCTCAGCGGTCGTGTTGTTACTGTTCCTGGTGTTCGACATAGAATTAAGATTGGGAGACAAAATACTGCTAAGCGTGTTTGTGCTGTTGACGCTGCTGCCCCCCAACATAAAGTGAGGGGGAAGAGTGGTCGAGCGTGTGTGCAAGGCCTGATTGCTCTGCATCCGACCGCCCTCGGTCTGAATGTTAGAGAAGGTGTAGTCGAGCGAGCTTGAGAGGTGGTTGCTAGGGTCGTGAGTCTTGCCATTGTCGTAAATAGATGTGTTGGTGCGAGTGTCCGTGTTGAACCCAAGGGACATCGTAGCGGATGTGTGACGCTGCTGTTCAAAGGGCTGCTGTTGCAGCTGAGCGGTCGCGTGGAACTCCTCCTCCGATCTCGGCGATAGAACGTCGACTGGAGACAGCGAAGGCAAGGAGTAGCCATCTGTCGACTGGGCTTCCTGGATCCGAGACAGCAGACCGCGGGGGACGAATTCCTTGGATGCCATGGCCATAGAGAGGTTCATGCGGCCCGTCGAGCGAGGCCCTTTGCCGCCTCTGGAAAGAGCGCCGTTCATTTGAGACTCGTAGAGGGCTTCCTGCCTCGCCTCAACCTCTGCGCGCAGCTGCGCTTGAACCTGAGCCTGCGCCTGCGCCTGCAAGATGAGCTGCTGCTCGAGGGGAGTGAATCCGTTCGCGCTGGCGGTCCTGGACAGAAGCGAGAGATCGATGTCATTTCCAAAGACAGGCTCTGTCACGGGGAGCGCGGAAGGACCGCGCGCAGGCAAGCGAGCGGGGGCAGAGCGAGAAGCGGGGAAACCAACGCCGGTATCCGTTTGCTGATGGTACTGCGCCGTGAGAGGGTGAACGGGCAGCCCTGTATGTGTGGCTCGTCCCCTGACGGGTGACGGATACCGATCTCCGATAGGTGGGATCTGCCGCTGCATTTCAGTGATGCTGGGAGCGCTCGCGCTTTGCTGACCGTTGCGGAAGCGATTATGGATCTGTTGTCCGCGAAGGTTGAGCAACGCCGCTTGCGCCATGGTGAGCCTCGCGGGAGACTGCTCTCCCTCTTGAGAGGTCCGTTCGTTGCGCTGTCAACGTTGAAGGCTTCGCTCAACAAACTCCAAGATTTCCCTAGACGACGAACATGGACTCACTCTCAATTCCCTTTGTTCTGCAGAGTCCGCAAAGCGTACCGAGATACGGCTTCCAGCGTCATTCCAGCCGCGAACCATGCGCCCATGCAAGCGTTCAATCACGTCCTCGCAAGCAGAGCGACTCTCCAACCTTAGTCATCGAGAATCAGTGCGCATCCATTAAAGAAGCAGGAACATTCTCTACCGAACGAAAGCGATGATCCTCGGAGGATGGCTGAGGCGCGTCTGGAAGAACCGGCTGCTCTTGATTATGAAGGGGTTGACAAGAGCCGCTAACGTCTGCGAGGTGTACAGTTAGCAGGGTTTCCGAGGTGTATCAATGGAAGAGGATGCCAGATGTTCGGTCATCATGCATGTATGCGCGCATACAGGCACATAGGAGAATGATAGACTGCTCACCGTCTCATCGATGCTCAGCGGAAGTCCCTCGATGTACAAATTCGTGCTCGACTGGTCCTTGAGGCGTTCCATGCGAGCCTTGAACGTCTCCGCCGACTCGTTCGAAGAGGAGGTTGAGACGGAGGAGGACGATGAGGATGCCGTGAGGCTTGCATAAGGCGTGCCAGGAATCTTGTGAATTTGCTGACGTGAAATCAAAGTCAGTACGACACCGAGTTCAAGGCGAGAGCGAGGGTCAGATTTACCTTTGAGAAAGAGGGGTGCAAATTGCGGTAGCGACGGAGAGACTCGATGCACTTTTCGGCGCTGTCGACGTTGTCAAACCTTGTGAAAATAAAAGTTCAACGTCTGTCGTGGAGGCACGGTGCCAGTCAAGACGACTTACAAGACAAAGCCATATCCACTGTAGGGCCGAGCGATCAGTGTTGACAGAGCGGTGGGGCGGAGCTGAGAGAGCGGGGACTTACGACGGGCGATCGCTGACATGGCGGGTGAAGGTCCTGACACTGATAACGCCGCCAAAGTCCTCGGTCATGGCATAGAGCTGCTCCTCTGGAAAGTTGGGGGGGAGGCCGTTGATGTAGACGTTCGGGGTGCGCAGGGAGTCCTCTTGCATGATGGACGCGGCCGCAGTGGCGCTGCTTGGGATGGCGTGCTGTTGGTACTGGTACACGGGCTGCTGCTGCTGCGAGTCCATATGGCGAGCGGAGGGGGCGGGCGGGGTGAGCGGGGGCTTGAGGGGTGTGAATGCGACGGGAGCGGGGACGGTGGGGGTGGGGGTTGCGTTGTTTGAGCTAGATCTGTTCGTGGAGGGTCTGGGGGGCGAGATGGGTGGCTGCGGAGACGAGTGAGTCTGTGACGGAGAGCGGGACGAGGTGCGCGGATGGGAGACGGGAATAGGCGGGTGCGAGTCCATGTCGGCCGGGGACGTGGCCGGGGGCGACGACATTGTGGCTGCAAATAAATAGTCCTAGAGGAGCGGAGATGGCGGAGACTCGCGCGGGGAGAGAGGGCGGGAGGGCTAGCGGCGGAGGGTGTAACGCGGGAGGATCCAGGGGATAGTGGATAGCAGTGCGGGTGCAGAGAGCAGGCTAGTGGGGGTGCGGGGTGGGGACAGCCGGGCGAGGCGACACGAGGCTCGCAGCCCGCTGCCTTTAAGGCGATGGCCAGCGACCGTGCACCGAGTCTGCATGTGTTTGCACCCCGCCGTCCACATCTGGAAGACCGCCTTGACAGCCCGCTTCCTTCCTCAGAAGCCACCCGTCACCACCCTCGACACCCCCGCCCAGCTTTGGCTAATTGCATCCCGCATTCGTCGAGCCCCCGCCCGAGCCCCCGCCCGCACCGCCCGCGAGCGGCGCTCGATCGGCCCCACCCCGCGCCGCACACCCGCGCCCTCGGTGGCCGCATGCGGGTCGAAGCGAGCACTGGCGAGGGCTGCTCGGCGCTGGCGTGGCATATGTCGCCGGGGAGATGACACTGGACTGGAAATAGCACGCACCGCAGCTCACTCGTCCTTTTTGGTTCCGTCATGCAAGGAAACGCGGATCTCCCCGGCCCTTCCCGTCTGGGGATCAACGCCCTCTCGACTCTCGCACTCACCTCCGCGCTCCGCGCGCCACCATTCCTCCCTCGTCCCAGCCTCCTCGGCTCGCATCTCTCATCGCATCGTACTCGCCCATCCATTCGCCCCGAACAACGAGCGCACCTCGTTCGAGAATGAGAGCGAGGACGCCAGCAAACGCCCGATCCACATTCCCCGAGGAATTGAACGAGCTTCGGCGTTCGAAAAAGGCCCAGCCAAGAAGCCCATCAATCGCGATGCCGGCGATGCGACGATGAGATCACGCCCTCGACGCACGACAAAGCACCCCAGCCGTCCGCCCGGATACCTCCGGCCCGCTCCACAGCGCCGCGGAGGCACCCCGACCACGACACCTGCCTAATCCGGCAACATACATTGTGGGTCCATATTGGCGTCCGCGACCCCAGCCCCTCCTGCGCGCGCTCTCCCTCCACGCCTCACCGCGCAGGGAGTTAGCGTATAAGACTCCTTTGTCCTGCTCTCCGCTCCTTTCTCCTTGCTTTATTTTGCCCCCTCGCGCGGGTGTGGCCCGCTTCGTCACCCAACACGCCTTCAGAACCCATAAATACGCCCTCGACGGCGGCAAAGATGTTCCCTCAGCCCGGCATCGTCGCATTGCCACTTGCACCTAGTCCTCCATCCAAACTCCACCGCTCCCCCCGTCCTCGATGATCTTCACCGCCCTCAGCACCCTCCTGCGCCTCTGGCGCAACGCGCACGACGCCGACGCCGACAGCGACGCGGAGAGCGTCGACGTCGATTGGGTGGCCCGCACGGGCACCACCCCCGTAATCGTGACCGTAACCCCACCCACGCCCACACACCCACGCCCCCGCCCCTACACTGCGGACGCGGCCTTTCAAGACGCGTACGGGCGCGACTCCCTATGGCTCCCACGCACCCCGCGCCCGCCGCCGTACGCTGGACGCGCGCGCTACTCGTGGCCGCCTCCCTACCCCGGCCAATCACGCTACGCCGATCTCCCTCCCTCATACACGGCGGATCCCGAACGCGCGTTCCCCAAGCCCCCCTCCCCTGCAGCCTTCCCCGCCGGCGCTATTCCGTCGTCCTCGACGGCCCCTCCCTTCCCCATCACCTCCTCGGAAGCAGACGCGACACAAACACCGGCGACCCTATGTCGAATCATATTCAACCTCGGCTGGAGTACGCGCTTTCCCCCTCCTTCTCCTCTCAAAAATTTGACCCCCCTTGTTTTTTATCACGTCCAGTATGTCCACTAGTCTGGCTCCTCGCCATCCCCTTCCTCCTCGTCCCGCATCTCCCCTTCCCGCTCCCCCAAGCACTCACCCCCTACGGCCCCCTCACGCCCCTGCGCCTCGCTACAGAGCGACACTGGGCCAAGCGCAGCCTCAGCGCCTTCTCGTCGCTCTCCACCCTGGCGGGCATCGCAGTCGCCGTCTTCTACATGGCGCACCACCACCCCCACCCCCACGACCCGGCGGGTGCCTCCCTCGCCCTCTGACCCCCCGCACACCACCCTATTTATACTTTACTCCCCCGCGAGCCCGCGAGCCCGCAGGCGGCGCGCGCGGACCCGTGGCTAGCGCGACCGCAGACTGACTAGACTTAGGCGCCGAGGCGCGTGCGGTGCGGTGTGTGGTGTGGCGTGGTGAGTGTATGCACGAACGGGGGCGCTCGATGCTCGGCTCGGGGCTCGATCGCGTAGCGCAGATCGCAGCGGATCGCCACCTCGCTCCCTCGACCTCGACCCTAAAGGCCCGGTGCTGGCCCGGCGCTGCACCGAGGCCTGAACGCCTGAACGCCTGAACGAGCGCCGGCGGAGTCGCATACAGTCGCATGGTTGCATGGTGCGGGGTTAGCCGCTGATCGTGGCACGCCGGAGCCGGACGCTCTGTTCGGCTCCGCTCGGCGTCCTCGGTCCCCTTCCCCTTCCCCTCCGCCGCTTCGGTCTGCATATGACCATACTCTATGTTCTGCACCACCCTCCGCATCGCGTCCCCCTCGCCCTATTTATCCTCGTCGTCTTCGTCATCGTCATCGCCGTCATCGCTAATGTTTTTCTTCGTCCCTTCATTCCCCCGTGTTATCGTGTATGCTTGTTGTTTGTATGCCTTGTTTTATTTTGTTTTCGCATCGTCCGTCATGCACATTTAGTATCTGTCGCAGTGCCCATTCTGTCGTTATACTTCTGTACCGCGTGATCCCTCCAACTGTATGACCCCGTCCCCTCTCGTCGCTTATTGTACCAACCCAACCCAGCTCAGCCCAGCCCAATCCAACCTATCTCATTAACATACCTGTCCACCACGCTGCGCCCTTCCCCCCTTCCTCTTTATTATGGTTCACCCCGCACGCACGCTTATTCACGCCCCGCAGCCCCGCAATGGTTATTCCCGCTACCGCACAAATTATACAGTACAGTCTATCTGCTAGCGCGATCGCGTAAAAATGCCATCAATCGACAGATCCATCGATGCATCTGCGCGTGCCCTGCATTGTTCTGAGTTAGTAAGTAAGGCCTGTAAGGCCGCTCGCACGCTCGAATAGCGAGCGCGAGTTCTAGGGCGTCGCCGCAGAGAGGAAGGTTCAGCCGGACACTGGATACTGACCCTGCACCGGCGCGCGCCTGTGGCGCTACACAGGAACACACGCGGGAATGCCAGGCCTTCCAGGATCGCGCAAGATCGCACAGGTTCACGTGATATCGCACAAGAAAAGACCAAGAAAAGGAAACGAAACTCGCACGGACACACGCACGCGTCATCGCACTCCATCGTGCATCACGCCGCACGCCGCACGCCGCACGCGCCACGATGACGCCCCCTGCTCTGATGGGCCGATCTGCGCACCCCTCACCCCTCCCCGCGCCCTGCGGCATCGTAGCACGCATCGAGCGCCCCCGCATCACAGGAGCCCGCGACGAGAAGGCGCGAACGCAGCGCGGTGCGGCGCTTCCTCCAGCTTGTGCGCATGCGAGAGGAGCAGCGGCCAACCTGAGCGCGGTCGTGGCAGAGGGAGAGATGGACGTCCAGACGCGTAAATGGACTGGCGGGCGGACGCACGTACATGGATCGCATGGACGCGGGGTTGGCTGGGCTCGTAGACGTAGAACGCAGTCATCCGGGGATAATCGAGCATTGGAGGTACCACTCGCAGGCGACGCGAGGCCTCTCGGCCTCCAAAGAGTCTGTTTTGAAAGTCGAAGGTCGATCAGTCCAATCGATACCCCTCTCTTTGTCCCCTTCCTCTCCTTCCGAGAGCGCAGTATCCCGTCCCTCCGTCGTGTCGTGACTGCGCCCGTTCGCAGACAGTCGCAGACACTCACCTGTTCACGATCACAGCTGGGCGCCTGAGCGATAAATTGAAGGAAAGAACAAAAGAAAGATCGCGGCGCAGCGGTTGGCGCCGGTATAAGCGACGTTCGAGGACGCCCGATCCTGCACAGAATCCGTCCGGAGGGGCATGCATCACGCACACGAGGCAGGTCGGAGGGCGTACTGAAGCGCTCCACAGCCCATCAAATGGTGCATTCGACGAAAAAACATCATAGGCTAGCGCATAGACGGGGCCCAGAAAAACAGCGAAGTTGGACGGCGAGAACGGTCGAATCGTGAAAGCATCGCAAACGCACCGCGCAGCCTCGGACCTCTGCGCACCGCGAGGGATCCTTCACGTCTTCATACGTAGCCGCCGGCCCGCGCACGAAGCTCGATCGCGCAGCCCAACTTCCAAGGCCCGCGCCAACCTGGTTGTGCGAAGCACCGATCGATCCCTGGCTCGTGATGGAATCAAGATACCTCATCAGCAAATGGCTGCAGAGTGCGAGGGGGAAATGAAATGAGGCGACGATGAGAGAAGGCAGCTGACGATCGACAGGTCAGTGATGGTGCGCAGGCGTTCAATACTGTCAAAAGTATATAGGCGAAGAGCAGGCATGTGTTATGTTCCGGACCAAAGGTCGACCGAGATGACGATGCCCGAGTGATTGTTTGCAGACCATGAGCCTCAATCAGTGCAGGCGCTGAGGCCTGAGGACCTAGAACAGCCAAAAAGCGCGCAGAGTGGAATGTGCGCCATTGAATACCCCAGTAAAATTCGAAAGAAGCCTGCAAGGCATGCCACTATGAGCGCTCGAGCTGTTAGCTTAAATGAGGTCGATCATGCACGTCGTTATCTAGTCTCCATGGCTGACCAGTGGCTGACCCTGCAGAAGACAATCTTGTCCGTCAGGGCCACGAGTTTTGCTGACAAGCTGTCGGGCCCGCAAAGTTTCAACCACCGCCACTCTCGGCCAATGCTGGGAGCAAATCTGCTGGCTGGCACATATTATCCTGTTGGACTGGCTCGTTCTTGCTCACAATCTTCCCCTCACTGCGCAGTTTTGCAGACCACACAGAATATGAATAGGCTTCTAAGAGAGGAAATACGGCTGCAAGGATAATATTTGCATCTTGGGAGGATCTTACACTTGAAGGAGCTTGAAGGAGACGTCCGCTTGCTTTCCATCTGCACTGCGCTTCGCCGCCCACATGTGTGTTCTCTCTTCTGCCCACACAGTGTCGTCGTGCTACTCCGCAGCTCTGAATATCAGAACTGAACATCAGTGTCTTTCAACCCTCAAATCCTACACCCTCGACAGTCTGACGATACACAATCAGTGTGTGCAGGCTCTGGCGCACCATGTAACTTCCCCCTATCCCCTTTCCTCACCTTGCCAACGTCCACATCTCCACTGATTTTTCTATCTTGGTTCCCGCCTCTCGCTGTGCGCTTGTTCTCCATTCTCGCTTGAACTTAATGTTCCTGGCTCGGCGTATATCTTTTATTTATTGAATCCCGTTTAATGTCTAATCAGGGTAACAGAATCTCGGCGTACATTCTACATGTATACTATCATTTCCGAGGCCGGATTGGTTCCAGGCTGTCCTGGCCAGCTTCGATTGTTCCAAAATTCCCCGCAGAACTATGATTGTTCACATGAGACCTCGGGACGAGCTCCAGACAAATGCTGGCATCTATTCAATTGTTCCATCTGACACACAAGTGCAAGAGTAACTCTAAATCCAGTACCGGTCACTGATGCCATGGTTTAGTAGATGTTCTGCGCGCCGGAAATAGCCATAGCCTACTTGAATCTGGACTCCAAGTATCCCCACGTCTCTGCCTCGCTGCCAATTATGCCGTATTGCAGTTGCTCGCGCGATGTCAGCTGCCACTCAGCACTTGAAAGCCACCAGCCGCAAGGTGAGTACCAGACCAGTGTTTCCTTATCAGCCTGCGCTACGTTCAACTGGATGCGGAGTTCAACTGGATGCCCACCCTGCTTCTCTCTTAATGAACAGCGATCGTAATCTTACGGTGCTCAGTTGCTGCCTGAGGATATCCCAGCGGGTGCTCAGCGAGTCGAATCGTCCCTTTCTCCGAGTCGCATTGGTATGTAGGTCGAGATGCATACAAGAGGCCTTCTAATTCAGGAGGCTGATGTCTTGGATCTTCTCCATCGTGGGGCAAGTCATGGCTTCCATTTCACCATTCGCATAAGAGAGAACGTGGTTGTGATCCTTTCCTTTTCTGAGCAAAGATGCAACGGTAATTGGCTTGTATTTTTGTGAAAGATTCCTTTGATATGTTGATCCCGTTCACGGGCATGTCGACGTTCTTGTTACGAGCCATTCGCTCCTGCGAGTAGTGCTTGACTGTCCTCTTTGAGCTAACACCCAAGTCAAGGAATACTATACATACCAAAAGCAGAGGGCCGCGTGGCTGATGAAAGGACCTCGAGCCACTGCGGCGCAGCTGAGCAAATCGCCTCGAGTCTGCCTCATGACTAGGATCAGTTCGAATGAACACGATCGCAGCGACTTCGGATCTCTTCGGATTGGCATCCTGAAAGATAGTTGAATCCTATGGAACGATAATCTCGTTAGACGATGCAATCATATTTGACGTGAGCAGACGTGGGCCTGCACGATAACATATGCTTCTTCAACCTCTGGAACGGACTCATCGACAGCGGTGACATTGCACGATCCAAATCAGGAGCTCGGGAACAGCCGCGGAGAAAGAGGGCGACCTCATTGCAAACATATGTGGGTCCATCGTTGCGTCCCGTGCTGGAATCGTTTCTTCTGTCGTCTGCGCGCTATGTCCCCTGGCACCAGCTTCTTCCCCATTGTCCGTTCAGGCTTATAAAGATATGGAATGTAGAAGCCGTACACCATCTCTCCATGGCACACTTAACCACCCCAAGCGCGATGCGCCTTCACGATTACTACTTGCAGGGCGGCGACATTGTCTTTCGGGTGTGTCCCATCTGCTGTTCATCATATCGCGGCTCTCTAATGCGTTTGTAGGTTGAAAACTTTCTATTCCGCATCCACAGCTACTTCTTCGTCAGGGAATCGCCATATTTCCGAGAAAAATTACCTCACCCATCACCTCCGGGAAGCATATCGTATCTCACCTCTGACGATAATCCGTTTGTCCTCGATGGAGTGTCGAGCACGGATTTTCAGCGATTTCTATGGGTATTCTACAACCCGTGAGTTTGTTCTTCAATGATACACATCTGCACTGACTCAAGACACGCCAGCGAGCTCTCGATATACAATGCGAGCATCGAGGAGTGGGAGTCCATCTTGAGGCTCGCTCATCTATGGCAGTTCCATAAGGTCAAGGCGCTCGCCGTACGCCATCTCGAGAACATCCCCATGGATGCCGTTCAGCGAGTCGTCCTCTATGTCAAGAACGACGTTGATGAATCACTCCTTATCCCGCCATACGCGGAGCTGACCATCCGGGAGTCCCCCATCTCTCTCCAGGAGGGCAGACAGCTCGGTATCGTGACTGCCCTGCGCCTTGCGCAGGCGCGTGAGATCGCTCGCTCCCCACAATCTCCTAAAGGACATCGGATCACATCGCCCGTCAGCGCTGTTGGACCCGACCTCGATTCGCTGATTAAGAACGTGTTTGAAGTCTCCACTCGTGCACAGGGTGCTGATGAAGGGGCTGCCGATGGGTCATCCACGGCGACGGAGATATCTCAAGGTCAATCAATGATGATTACTCTCTGCATATGAACCTGCTAATATCCATCCTTCTTGCGGGCTATACAGGCGAATCACCGCCCGAAAAAAAAACCAACTCCACCAAGCCGCCGAAAGCCAACGGCAATAACAACAGGAACGGCCGATGAGCGCGTGAGCGAGTGAGGCCTTTGAGGTTTGGCGAGAACGGTGGATGACACCAATGTTAAGGTAGCTAGTTGAGCTTGGACGTTTTGAGATTGGCATGTAGGTTGATCATTAGTGATTATGTACGAGTAACGGACGCCTCGTTGGCATAAGAGATTGCTTGGGATATCAGTAGAGTGAACGCCAGAGGCACTGCGCAGGAACGTACAATGTCCCGTGTGGCTTGAAAATAGGTATGTCGATAGTATGTGTATTCATGTGATTTGATCTCAGCATCTTCTAACGCTGCTGCGCATCCATTACACTATGATATGTCCCGCAGGCAGCGGTCTATGGACAGACTGGCAGCTCGGATATAATGACGCGAGACGATCGAATATGATGAGAGAATGTAAATTGGTGAATCCACTATGTCAACACATCTGCCGTCCTACGGTATGATTGGACGCTTCACTTGGCGAGGAAACCTGAGCCTTTTGATTCTGGCGAAGTCAGTGTCAAATGCATATGTACCTCTAATCATCCTCAGCAGATGGCGTGTGAGATTCGAGAGCAGCTGTGCGCACTGTGTATGCGATGGAAAGCAAGAAACCAATATCGGCAATCAGTGAGAAAATAGCGTGTCTGTAATCGAGTGCACGTCGGCCAGACCAGCAGGAGAGAACCTTGGGTGAAGACAATGGGATAATACAGCCACGCAAAACACGGAGTTTGTCCTAGGCGTCGTGAACGACCCGGACAAAGACGAAGGAGATGAGGGCGACAGTCCATAAGCAGTTCTGTCACTCGCTGTTCCTGATGATCGAACTCAATCTGTCAAATAGAGCATCAAAAGAAAGATAAAGTGTGGACTGTGGCATGAGTGAGATGATGAGACCCCTACCGAGCGTATGCGAATGGAAGACACGGAATGTATTCCGTTGATGGCCAGGTGTGCGAAGCACTCGTGAGTTCTCTCCGCGTACAGAGATTGTCATCGGGCTGAATCTGAAACGAGTGCGGGGAACAGCTCGTCCAGGAAGTGTGGATGATTGCCTCACGACCTCTTCACCGGACGTGATGAATCTATGTTTGTGATAGAGAGAGGGCAAATGTGCAAAAACACTCGGCCAGTGTCCCAGACCTAAGATTGACAAACTAGAATGAACATTGGCCATTGGTTAGCAAGCAAACCTGGTTTATCGATGGTTGAGTGACAGACTAGCATGTTACTCAGTCATTGTGCGATCCGGCTTCAGATACACCGACTGGCCGCGACGTTGAACGCTATCAAGCTAGCCACGTGAAATGAAAACGCGCCTCTCAAGATGACTGCTCCCAGAGGGATTCCTTTGTTCCGAGTATTCCCCACAGACCTCACTCCCACCACATTAGGACATCTGGTCCTATCATCGAGGCATCGAGCACCGCTCAGGATATGACATGCCGCGTGTCACCCGCTTTATGAAGCATGCTGTCTGTCGGTCATGGGACTCGAAGTCAAACGAGCAATTGCCATAGACATGGATGACACAGAGAGACACTTACACAGAACTTAACCGACCTTTCCATTTACACGCCTCCGGACCCGGCAAGCGCAGAGGAGCATGCTGAGATCGTTCATCTGGCTGCAATAGATCGTCGTAGTCGAGGCAGCGAGTAACTTTTACTTGGCAGTTAGACTGTCCCGCTCATGGGCATGTAAGGATACTTCGAAGATCTCGAGGAGGCTGGATGAGTTGGCAAGTGGCGCATGAGAGACGCGGGAAGGTGGATGGAAACCCAGTATTGTCAAGACGTATTTTCCGGTAACCGCGAATCCGGAAATAACAAGATGGTCGCCGGTCATCCCGAGTTGTCGTGGCGTTCAGACCCACACAAGCTGAAAAGAAGAGGAAGAGAAAGACTTGGGTGACTAATCTGACCAAACGACGCGGCTAGTGTCAGCATCTGTCGGCATGACTAAGCACACCGACTGGCGCGCTGGAGCGTTCTGGTTTCTTCGTCACACAACCATCGCGAGGTTGTTGTTGTCCGCTTCTTGTCTTTCATAGAACACATGTGATGATTTGACGGCATTGAAGATGATCTTTTTCAGCTCCGTGTAGCCGCAGGAGACGAGAGGATAATGTTTAGGTGCATGAACTGTGAGTTTAGCGTTTGAACATATCCTTCCTTAGGCCTCATCTGTCAACATGAGTTCATGAGTTTGGAGAGCTCTCGATATATTATCATTTGTACAGATACGCAGTGTCGACAAAGTGTAATTACTGTGCGAAGAAAATGGCATCTGCAGTGTCAACGCTCTTCTTCTCTGTGCTTGCTTCTATACACAAATGGATACGCTGATCATCTACTTTCGTAGTAGATCTCAAGGCTCGACTTCGACATGATGCATAAAATCTCGCAGCAACCGGGGCACCCACTCCGGAACCCCGATTGCATGTTTCACGATCTATACTGCGGCTAGCTGTGTTTTGTACCTTCCATCTCCAGAATCTTTCCTCATCAACCGTCTCGTTCTTCCGTGTATAAATACAAAGGGATCTTCCGAACGACGAAACCTCTTTCTTGTTATATAAGCATCCGGTTTTGCGCAACGTTGGGGTTGACCACGCACGACATACCGTGCGGGCGATGCGATTGCCTCTTAGGTATTCAATCATCATCGTTCTCGATGACTACTCTTGCTCCCAGAGACTTCGATCTACATATAATTGTTCCACTCGCTGCATACGGTCAGTCCTTCCTGGCCGTTACACCCGCTTTCATTCAGGAATTCATATCGCTTTTCTTGTAGTTGTCCTGTATTACGACTATACTCTGACTTTTGCGACAGAAGTTGAGCGCCACTGGAGTCGCAAAACCTTCACTTTGCCATCATTGGCTTTCTTGATCTATAGATATGTCGCAATTCTAGGTCATCTTCCCCTTCTTTACGAAGCAGTTGTCTTTAGCATCAATGCTCAACGCGTGGTTCGTGGTTATGTGCCTTATTAGACATTCCACTGACGTCGTAACACTCACATAGGACACGTACGTTTTATCATTGACTATCAAGTAGAGGTATGCTGATGCTCAGACTCTAGTTTAACCGGTATAATATGATACTACTCCGCTCTAGCGATGTTTACCCAGTTTTTCACGTCAAGTACGTTGCCACCATCTGCTGCGTTCCTCGGCTCATTTCCTTTCGTCGTCAGTCCTCTTGATCATCAGAATCTATGCATTGTATGAATGTAATCGCTACATTCTTGCACCTCTCGTCATTCTCGTCGCAACGGGAACTGTGATGAGCTGTGTACGTGGATTTTTACGAATATAATGAGCCGCCAATTAATCTGTTCAACAGTGGAGTATAAGCCTAGAACGATCAGCTGACATCTTGGATGGACTAGACAACAACCTGTATGTCCCAGGCTCGAATTCGTCTCCTGTAGCCGACCATGATGCCATGGATAGAAGCCATCGTAGGTGCTTAGGAAGTCGACAATTTTCATCTAATGGATGCGTGTTCGGGTGCTCAGATTTAGCAGGGTCCTGGAGCGTTTTCCTAGCGCTTGATACCGTGGTGTTTGGCCTCACAGTCCTGAGAGCAATAAAGATCGGCAGAGCTCGACGTGCCCTTCATAAATGCACTCGTCGCAGATGGTATGTGCCCATGAAACTTCTTTCTCATGACCGTATGAATAAATTTGAACAAGTGTGATGTATTATGGGTCAGTCATATATCATATCTATTTTGCTGCTTGACTCCTCATGATCGCCCCAGTGTGATCTTCAGCATGAATTTGATGAACATTCTCATTCTATTGGTACAGTGCCTTGGTTTGCTCTACCCGTCTACCGATATTGACTTCATCCACTTTTGTTGTCAGCTTGCACCAGTGAGTTTATTCTGTATACTCTAACGTCTCGCTTATTTCTAAGCTGTCAGCCAACCAAAAAATATGCTGGTTCGATTCTCACAATTGTGTACGCTTTATTCACAGCTCATCTGCTCTCGACGTCGTTAAATCAAGCATATAGGATATCTGTCGTTATGATGTCTCATCTCATGCTCCATCTTCGTGATCCAAGTTTGATCATTGATACCAGACCAGGTGCGGACGAAAGTGGAGCGATGTACTCGTACGGTTTCACGACCGTGACTACTCAGCCCCCTGTAGTTATGACCGCACGTACCTCATCTCCTTCGCTGACTATCTGACCCTGAAAACCATCAGTTCGATACGTTCTCGGATCTCACACGGTGACCTATTGCCTCTCAAATTTTGTGATGGTTTGTGCAGCAAATTCTCATTGATTTATTGATTCAAAATCCTATACATTCGTTACTCCCGGTGCATTTACTCACCTGTGAATATTTCTGCCAAGCAGACAAGCATTTTCTGTCGCTTGAGGGTAATCGGTGCGTCGTTAGGATTTGAGTATGATGTTTTTTTGGGGCGCTGTCGCTGGTCAGTAGATTCATCAATCATCAAGATACCTGCACGGTATCTTAGGAGCCGAGACCAGACGTTATTGCCGTCAACGTGCATGCATACAATACAGCACTTTTCAATTGGGAGACTATCGTGAGGACTTTGCCGGCAGCGAAACGGTACTATAGGGACTAAACGGAGGTAGGTAACATGTTGAGTCTTCTCCCAATGATTAGTCAATTCATCGATTTCATGGGATTTTCTGTTTGGCGGAATGATACAAGCAACCTGCTGCGACACCATTTGAATCGAGTTTTGTGCGCTCATGACTCACAACCATCTAGTTTGCCATGTCCTCGAATGCAGCAATGTAAGCCTCATCACGCTTGCAATCATAAGTCACGCATACGACTGTTAAGACTTGACGTACTCACGCAGGGGGCTAGGATCACAGCACATCGTGAGCATATATGAAGACGTCTGAAGTTTAAAGTTCAGAATATGAGGTGGCTTTGGCAACTATGCACCAGTCCGCCCGGTATAATGACGCTGTTGACCACGATTGAATCCCACTGATCGCGCCCCATATTGAACACATATCGATCAGCATCAGCTTTGGAGGAACAAGACTTACAAGGGAAAGAAATATGGCGTGATCACGGGCGTACATGCCAATGCAAGAACGGGACAGGAAGATCGAGCGATCAGACAGACACAGTGTACCATGCGTATGAACGACAGGGCAAGGAACGTGAGCAAAATACTCGCGCTGTGTTCCAGATCGAAGAATGACGCACGAATTCGAACATCGGACATTGGCCATAGAGTAGGAAGCCAATCTATTTATGTTAATCGATGCCTGTGAGACAAACCAGCATCTTTCGCAGTCTTTCTGCGATCCGGCTTCAGACTCCCCGAATGGCCGCGATGCAGAATGCTATCGGGCTTGCCATGTGAAACAAAGAAACATTTACCAGCTAGACTGCTCCCAGAGAATTGATTTTACTCCCCACAGACTTCGATCTCACCGCGGAAGTGATCCAAATATTTGGTCCTCTCGTCGAGGCACCGAGAACCACTCGAGGTACGATATGCCGCATGTCACCTGCAGCCATCTGCAGAGTGAAGATACGCTGCGAGTCTCTAAGTCAAATGTCCAATCACCAGTAGTCATAAAAGACACGGACAACGTCCACAGACGAAATCTACACAAAAAATGAATCTTCCCATTCGCACGCGTCCGGAGGTGGCCCGGACCAGGCAAGTGCAGAGGGGGATGTTCAAATCGTTCGTCCGGCTGCAATGAAGAGCGTCATGGTTAGAGCACTGCTACTTACTTGCCAGCTGGGATGACCCCCTCATGCCGTTATACGGCATATTCATGTCGTGTGATTTACAAAAATACTTTGCAGATCTCGCGGATGCTGGCTGGTACATGAGAAAGAGACGTAGTAACGGAGATAGGAAGAATGAGTTTGCTGATAACGCTGAAGCTGAGCTGGCAAGATCAAGGCGGTAGCCGGTCATCCCGAGTTGTCGTGGTGTTCATACAGGTCCATCCCCCACACAAGCTGGAAAGAAGAGGAAGAGAACCAAAGACTTCGAGGGTGACTAATCTTGCCGAAAGATGCGGTCAGAGTCGGCATCTGTCGGCATGAGTAAGCGCTCCAACCGCCGCTCTGGAGCGTTCTGGTTGCTGATTGCTCCGTCATGCATCCTTCGCGAGGCTATCGTTGTCCACTTCTCCAACACATCTCATGCTTTTCTAGCGTCGAAGGCAGCCCGAATTAGCTCTCATCAGCTGCGGGATCTGGCACGAACTACGCAGCTGAGGAACGCATATCTGGGTGCAACATCTTGTGCACACTCTGTGAGTGCAGTAACACAAAGTCTATCCTCAGTTGTCGACATCAGTGCATGTTGGCGGAGAGCTTTTGATGTATCATCATTCAGACAGATACACTACAGATACAAGCCCTTCGCCCTTCTTTTCTATCTGCTTCCGTACGCAAATGGTCATCTGGGATGTTCCGTAGAAATGGCAAGGCTCAACTTTGACATGATGCAAGGAAGCTCACTGCAACCGGGGAGCCCACTCCGAAACTCCGACTACCCGTATTGCAATCTATGCCCCACTGGCTGTGTTTTGTACCTTCCGTCTCCGTAATCTCACCTCTCGAAGCCCTCAACCGTCTCATTCTTCCGCGTATCAATACAAGGGGAGCTTCCAAACGACCAATTCACTTTCTTGTTATATATGCATCCGGTTTTGTGCATCGTTGCGGTGACCACGCACGCAGTACCGTGCGAGCGATGCGCTTACCCATTCTTAGGCCTTAGGTACATCCATCGTCGTCAATCTCGATGACCACTCTTGCTCCCAGACATTTCGACCTCCATATCATTGTTCCGCTCGCTGGATATGGTCAGTTCTTTCTGACTCTTCCTAGTCGCTTTCATTCATCATAAAAACCATGGATCTCATATCGTAGCTCTCCTTTACTACGACTATACTCTCACTTTTTCCACGGAAGTGGAGCGCTACTGGGCTTGCAAAAACTTCACTTGGCCATCCTCGGTTTTCTTGTTCTACAGATACGTAGCGATCCTAGGACATATCCCCCTCGTCTACCAGTCAGGCATCTTCAGCATGCACGCACAACGCACGGTCAGTCCTCGAACTGTCCTGTGCCTCATGGGACATGTGATTGACATCGTAATACTTTCATAGGACATGTATGTTCAATCGTCAACCTTCGTGAAAAGGTATGCTGATACACAGTTTGTAGTATTCTTGGTATCATATGGTATCACTCCGCGTTGGGGTTATCCATCCAGGTTCTCACGTCAAGTACGTTGTCAACGATCCGCTGAGTTTCTTGACTTAGTGCGCCTCATCGTCAGCCCTCTTGATCATGAGAATATATGCATTGTATGAACGCAATCGCTATGTCCTCGCACCCCTTATCGTTCTCGTCGCAACGGGGACTGTGATGAGCTGTGTACGTGTCTTTGATTGAAATATAGAACGAAGAATTGTAGACCAATTCATTCGATAGTGGAGTATAAGTCTAGAGCGATCAACTAATATGTTGTATGGGCTTGACCACAACCTGTATGTCCCAGCCTCGAACCATCATATCTAGCTGACTATCATACCATAATCAGAAGCTATCGTGGGTGCCCTGGATCTTGGCGAATTTCATCTAATAGATGCTTGCTTAGATTTAGCAGGATCGTGGACCGTGTTCCTCGCGCTCGACACAATTGTGTTTGCACTTACGGTCCTGAAAGCAATTAAGATGGGCAGAGCTCGACGTCAGCCTTTTATGCACGCACTCGTCACAGATGGTACGCGTGCTTCAAACATCTCTCTGATGACAGAATAATCAAGTTCGAACAGGTGTGATGTATTATGGGTTAGTCGTATATCATAACTATTTATCTGCTCGGTTCCTCATGATATCTCCAGTGTGATCTTCAGTATGAATTTGACGAACATTCTCATTCTATTGGTAAAGTGTCTTTGCTTTTTACACCATTCCACTAATACTTACTTTTGATTCATCCTCTTTGACAGTTTGCTCCAGTGAGGGAATCTCTATCTTTTTTTTCTAATTTCCCGCTCACCTCTTGTTGTCAGCCAATCAAAAAATATGCTGGATCGATCATTTCCATAGTGTACGTTCCATTTACAGTTTATCTGCTCTGAATGTCGTTAATGCAAAGATGCAGGATATCTGTCGTTTTCATGTCTCATCTTATGCTCCATCTTCGTGATCCGAGTTTGATCACTGCTACCAGATCCGGCACGGACGAAAGTGGAGCGATGTACCCCTCCAGCTTCACGACCGTGACTGTCGACTTTCCTGTAGCTGTGACCCCACGTACCTTATCTCCTGCAGTATCTATCTGACGATAAAACCATTACTTCGATGCATGCAACTCACCAGAAGTTCATCTCGACAATTGGTTTGAAATACAGATCGATTCAAGTCTTCGCTCGCGAGTTCGTTCGCAAGGCGAAACAAGCATGACTCATTCGCCCGCTTGAGGTTCCACATCCTTTCTATTGCGAGCCGATCATACATCACACCGGATGGTTCTGTCCTTGGGGTCCGTGCATAGCACCAAGGAAGCACAGTAAGCATTAGTCCTTCTGAAAGTACCAGATCATTTTGGTGGCATTGGAACCATAGATTCTTTCCATCATTCAGGATTTGTGAGATGAGGTAGTCCTGAAAATACGTGCGGTTCTGAGAAAACTAATTTAAGACAGGTTCCGAAGATGTTCCGGATTTCTCACGCTGGCCGGTAACCTGTGTTGAATGTGGCTCTGAAGACCTGAACCCTACAGCCTTTTAGTTGTCACTCAAGCTGTTGCGATTTGGGGCTCTATTGCGCACCGACACTGGAATTACTCATGGAATCACATGTCTATGCTTTCTTCACTCCGGGTGTACTCACTCATATTTTTGCCAAGAAGCCAAGCATTGACTGTTGCTTTGGGGTAATTGGTACATTATTTTCCATTCAAATTTAAAGTTTTGTCAGTGTGCTGCTGCCTGTCCATTGATTCTTCAGTCATCAAGATAACTATATATGGTAAACCAAAACTGAGACTAGACATTGGTGCCATCAATGCACATGTATGTGATATGGCACTTTTTATTTGTAAACCTATTGTGGGAACAAAAAGAGCACATAATTACAAGGAAGAGAATAGTCTCTTGCTGATTTGTAGATTCATTCATAGAGTTTCTTTGGCAGATTGATGCCTGCAATCTGCTACAACTCCTCTTTGGTTGAGTCTTGTGCATTATTAAAGTCTCATAGCCTAGCCCTATCTTCTATCTTTACTCACAACCATCCATTTCACCATGTTATCAAGTGCTGACATAGCCACAATATGAGCCCCATTCTTCTGGCAGAGATATCTCAAATAGAATACATAGTGATATTTAGCATGCTCAACAACTACTGGGATCTCATAGCAATTGGTATATTTGAAATCTAGCCATACTATACTATGACCACTTGATCACTTTCTCCTAAGAGATTTCATGTATATAGGCCCAACCTCAAGCTAGAGTAACTCTGCAGTTCATTCTAAATTGCTATATTCTGCCCCTTGGGCATGCTACTACTTCAATTTATATACTTGGATGCATTTTCTAGTGTTTAGGTATTTCTATCTAGTAGGCCAAGGGACTAATCTTTTTTAGGATTTTGAAGGGGACATATTGTCTAGGCACTAGTTTGGCCTTTGGGTAAGTTGTCTTAATATGTGTTCCTTCTAACTATGTTTGGGTTCTTTTCTCCCACTATAAAAGGTTTTGATATAGGTCCTAGTTCTTGGTATATTGTGCTGCCATTTGTAAGCTAGCAGTGGCTTCTTCTTATATAATGTGAATCAGTTGTAAATGCTCAGCTACTATGGGCACCTTGGTCTCTAGAGCTGAGTTTACTGAATACAGAGGATTGAATCCATATAGAACTTCAAATAGGGATTTCCCTATAGTGGAGTATTTCCGCATGTTGTGGGAGAATTCTGCAAAGGGGATTAGGTCCATCTAATTGTCTTGGTAATAATTGCAAAACATCTATAAGAATTGTTTGATTTACTGATTGACCTATTCTGTTTTGCCATCCATTTGAAGGTGGTAAGCCATACTAAGTATAGGAGTAATCCCTAGTTTGTTCTATAGTTTGCATATGAACTTGGCTGGAAATTGAGAACTGTGATTTGATACTACTTTGGTCAGCAGGCCAAACCATTTGAACATATTATCCTAGAAAAAGGTCATGGTTTCTTCTACTATGATTGTTTTCTTGCATGGACTGATGATTATCCCTTTGGAATGTCCTTGGTCAACTACCACATTAATTGAGTTGTAACCTCTGCTTTCAGGCAAATCTATTACAAAATTGGTGAAGATAAATTGCTAGAGGATATTTATAGTTTCTAACAGTTGTATGGGTGGATGAATTTGGTATTACAAGTTCTTTGTGGATTGGCATATTGTGTAGCCATATCTGGAAAAACCTCCTCTCTTAATTAGATCTAATTATTCAAAATATTAATCTGAGCTAATTAGAATATATTATTCAGGGGACATTGTCTATACTAATACAGTCCTATTGAAATCTACAACCTAATTACAATTTTACACATCCCAAATCCAAATTGTGTAAGTACTGTAATTTTATTTTTAGTGTATTATTTATTTTCTATTGGTTTACTATATAATCATCTAGTACCTATATTCAAATATCAAAAACCCTGATTTTTAGGGTATTTATTGACCCTTTTATATATAGAATAGATAAAAGATGAATGTGTAATAAAATTAGAAATGTCAAGATTGCCTTATTTATATCATCATATTTAGGTTACTAGATAAATAACTTAGACCTTGTAGCTTAGTGGTTTAGAGCAGTGGTCTAAGGTGTGCAGGCATGAGGTTGTTATTTCAATTCTGGTGATGGGCAGGTTTATTATAAGGTATGACTTTGTTTTGATTAGTGAGCTCTGTAGATACTCTGTAATTAAAGGTGTAGGAATAATAGAGGAATTATAGGACTTGGTTGATTGCTATTTTTCCGAAAATCCATATGATAAATTGGCTTTAATTAGCTCTAATTAGACTTTATAATTTCAGGATTAGAAGAGGGGTAAGCTAAAAATCCTAAATAGTAATTAGTAGAAATCTAGCTATATTTATGCTTAACTATGGTTAATTTGATGTGGAGCTTTTCCCTAATAGCCATCCTGTTCCATTGTGTCCTCCCTTGACATATACCATGGCCCAATATTGTCTGCTAGATTAGATCCTTCAGACTAGTAGGTGGTAATGTGATGCACTTCTCTGTTGTCAAGTGGGAATAGCCACTCTGGCAGAGATCCTGTTAGCAGGTATTTGTTGGTGACCAAATGTACCTGTCCAAAGCCTATGACATGGAACCAGTTAATGGTATTTGTTTTATAGGGGATATGCATGAGGGTCAAGATCCACTCCTATAAAGAATGTCAGAGGAGGAGATTTATGTCAAAAGAGTTATACCCATTATGGCAGAAGCTGATTAGACCACTACAAAGGGCTAGAAGATTGATAAGTCCTTTGTTTCTATAATTGGTAATGGTAAGATTAGTAATCAAAGTCATTTGGTGCCAGTCCAGTGGTCCCTGATACACTTGGTAGGCATGAGTCATAATTGCCTGCTATAAATAGAAAAAGAAACTCTTGGGGTTATCTAGCCTAGCATCTGGGAAACCACCCCCTTGTATTAAGCTCTAATTAGCTATAATTAATGCTCTACTATACTAAATTATAAAAGATTAGGATTAGACATTTTTAGCTTACCCCTCCCTCTAAACCTGTTCTAATTGGACATATTTTTCCTAAATTAGGAATTATTAGGATTGATTATAACTTGAAACTTCGGAAAAATCATAATAAATCAAGCATCACAGTTCTCATAGCCTTCTTATAGAGTCATATCTATTAGAGCACTAGTTAAATACCTAAACACAGAATATACCTTATAACAAACTTGCCTTCTGCCAGAGTTGAACCAACAACCTTATGTATGCAAGCACCCGAGACAAATGCTCTAAGCTACTAAGCCACAAGGTCTAATATATAAACTTGGTAATTAGAATAAGTAGACATAATATAGGCAACCTCAACATCTCTGATTTTATTTAACATTTATCTTTCCTTTATCTAATAAATAAATAGGTCAATAAATACCTAAAAAGTCAGGTCTTTCAGGATTTAGTTTAAACACCAGCTAAAAAGATAATAAACCAATGGAAAATTGATAATACACTTTATATAGGATAAAAATGAATTATGGCACTTACACAATTTGGATTTAGAAATTTAGAATGTATAAAACTATGATTGAGTGTGATATTCAATGGGACTCTATTAGTATAGACAATGCTACCTTGATTTGCAAATTTGATTAAAAACATGATTATGAATAATTAAGATCCAATAAGAGAGAGGGGTTTTCCAAATAGCCACTAGTGAGGTAAAGGGTGGGGACAAGGGTATATGTATAGCATGCCTATATGTAAATAAGCACAAGATTGTTGGACATGATCTTAATATGCTTAGTGCACATATTTCCTATATGTTACGAACTGCTCATTCGGTAACCCCAAGAGTAGGAGGTTCTTCCCTAGGTTGCTCATAGAGGAAGAGTGGAATGATGGTCTTGACTGTACGCGTAGCACAGGAGCCAAAGGTGTATTGCAGAGAGTGCAGTAGGAAGACTGCACAGAACAAAGGAGAATAGACTGAAGATCCTCAGCCTATTCTATGGGCCTTTTATACTACTTTGGGAAGTAGGGTGTGAGAATACCATATATGTATCTGTAGGTATTTCTCTAAGTCATCTCTCTCAATAACAACTACTCTTGTGCTTCTCCGTTCGTCTCCTTCCAGCCAGGAAAGACTAGGAGTTCTATGCCTGGTGTGTGAGTAGTTTGTAAGGCAGTATTTCATGCCCGCTGCAATAAGGCCCATAATACTCGACCAACGATAGGTGATCCGTTGGGAGTGGATGACCAAGGTTATTATCTGTACCTTGTTGTATGCCTCAACATGGAGGCCGCTTGATATTTGTGATGATCGTATCAGAATAGACCGCTGTTAAGGCCTAATAGAACATAATCATAGCACTATATAGCAGGCAAATATATCATTTTAGCACCACATACCAAAATGACTGTTTTTTCCACAGCCTAATAGCTAGAGGAAAACACTAAGTTTGAGCATCTTCTATATAACAAGGCAATAAACAATATGAATAGTGCTAAAAATTGTAGTATCAATAGTGATGATGATTGTGTGCTGCACAAGACAGTATTAAATACTGTACTAATATACAAGGTCTACAAGGCTGCATGTAGCATATCCCTAAGCCCAACCCACATGTTGTGTCCTATAATGACCAGTAGCAGGCATTGGCTAACAATGACAACTTCAATGATCTTGTGTGCAAGGACAAGGTACTGACATCTTCATAGCCTCTTGTGGCAGCTGCCAAGCTGCCAACAAAGTGGCTGGGGGCATCAATGCACATTTCTCTCTTTCTATGTCCTTTTAAAAGGCAGCTAGAAAGTCAGCAAAAGAGCTACAAGATTATGGTGCAGGCATATATGAAGGAGAGTAATGTGCTAAAATAGTATAGAATGTGCCACATCTTTATTTTCTCACTAATAGAGCAGTGGTACTTACTATCCTACTGCTAATTAAAGACTTCTTTGTATAGAATTAGTGCTAATATCATGAAATTAGAGTACAATCCAATGCTCACAATGTGTTGCTCCCAATTAGGAAATTAGACACTTTTAGATACTATTAATACTTTTAGATACTTTTAGACACTATTAGATATAATCCAGAGCTAATACAAGGGGGTGGTTTTCTAGATGTCACACTGTGCGTGTTGTCATCTTTTTTTTATTCAAGCACCAGCAGACAACTTATCCATGCACCCTCGTTGAATGGTTTGTACCAATTGATGATAGACCTTGTTCAAATACTGGTATGTGGATTGTGGAGCCACAAATAGGCTTAGGGGGAGGGAGAATTACTTCGGTGATACATGTAGACAGTATCCTACACGGTACACATCTAATAGGTGTCTACGGAGACAACCACATACCTCAAGATTTTAAGTTCATGGACACACTCGATGCCTTTGCTGCTTATTATGTTAACAAATTCATTGATCATCATGTGAATGAAATCGCCTTTTAATCACTTTTTTTTGCCTTCTCACTTTTTTTGACTTTTTAGTCGCTCGTCTCTTAAATCCAACTTGTTAGACTTTTATTTGATTGGGCTCGGAAAGGAACTTTTCTCTAAGTCTCTCAAAAAGTTGATAAGAATGAACAAGTGCGGAAAAGCCCGGAAAAGCTAGCTAAGTAATGCGCCCTTTTCCTGATGCTGACCAGGATCCCCCACTCGCACCGAAACTGCATCTCGCCGTCATGGTGCGCGGTGGGCTGACCATGGTCGTCATGGATCGCATCGAAGGTCAGAACGCGTTCAGTCGCTTCGGAAAATCTTATCCTCAAGACTCAGACTCGCCATCTGAAGTTGAAGACTTGTCTTTCAACAAGGTGAAGGTAGATGTGAAGAAAGCCGTAGACCTTCTCCACTCGTCCAACTTGGTCTTCGGGGATCTGCGCCGCCCGAACATCATGGTTGTTCGGAGGCCGGGGACAGGTGACTCATTGGAATATGATGGCGGGATGCTGATCGACTTCGACTGGGCTGGGCCAGTGGGACAGACGAAGTATCCCTCAGTAATCAATGACTCCGGGGAGATTGATTGGGCCGAAGGTGTGAAAGCTGGGACCCTCATCGAAAAGCATCACGACTTGGTAATGTACCAGAGGCTATGAAACGCATCATGACATCGTGTATATATGTTGCCAGGTGGCATGATAATTGGAGCAGCGATGAAACCCAGTGAGAATCTCCCTACGTCTGACAGGACGAGGTCGACACACCGGCGGAAGCTAGACCCCGGAAGCGGACGGCGTTGTTACTTACAGCATTTGTCACCACGAACAGTGGAGATGGAGTTCCCTTTGTTCGTGCCACGCGTGGGTCAGGATTCTACGAGAAGGGAGCGCGAGAGGATGGTGAGCTCCAACTTCCCACCCGACTTGACTGGCACCAAACGATGGCTACTGGGGCTCCGGGGACAAAGTTCGCGTGTGCTTTGACTCGACCACCAACCCGCACTTGTCGGGTAGCTATCCGCGCGTCTGAATATTCTCCTCGCCCTGCCAGAGTACATGATCCCACCGCAGCGCATGTTCTGCCTCCACGTCTGCCAGATTTACGCTCGACCACACGGTAATCCTTGGTCGCCCCCAGATAAGCCGGCTCTGTCCCTCTGCATCAATGACATCTTGCACACATGAGGCTTCCTCATAAACCGTCATTCGCAAGTAGCCTTCCGTCCCCACTCATCGCGCGTACTGACAGACTGGAATTGGACATGCACATTGCACTCCCTTCCTTCCTCTTCCCAGCGACTCGGCTGCGACCATCACGACCTCGATATTCTTTTACTTATATACGTATACATACGCGCCCTCACCGTACCCGCACTCTCACCCGTACTTGTTCTCTTTGTGCAGACTACCCGTACGGCTTTCGTTTTTTTTTGTGTGGCATCGCATCGTGTCGGGTATGGGCAACGAGCGTGCGGGCCAGCATGCACTTTCTTCGCGCTTTGAGCTTCGAGCTTCAGGCTTCAGCGTCTGCGTCTGCGACCAGTGCAGTACAGTGCATGATGTTCCTGCACGCGTCGCGCGTCAGGGCCGCAGGAGCAGGATCGTCTGTCCGTCGGCTGAGTGTCGGCTGCAGCTAAATACCAGTCATAGTACACCAGGCGGTTCGGGAGTTGGACGGCTGGAATGTGCAGCGTTCGTGCACAACAGTTGGGCGTTGAATCTCACGTCTCCGAGCCTGTACTCGTACAGTACACATGAAACCACATTTGTCCACAACCGCGGACATACTACTTATATCCCGGTATCAAATCGAGCCTGGGCCTGCAAACCACTACACAATAGAGCTATACAGCACTACGCGCACGTCAAAGGCCACCGTCCAAAACGCACAAGAAGCAAAAAAAAAGGACGACCGACCCCAGCACGCGCCCCTCCCACCCATTCACCCACTCACTCGCGTTCCGCCTCGTACTCCCTCTCCTCCCCTCCTCCCCCCTCCCACTTCACGTCCTCCCGCCTCACGCTCCCGTCCCCGTTCCCATTCACCGTCAACAGCGCCTCCAGGCGGCGCCCCAGCTCGCCCCCACGCCCCCCACAAAAGTCCCCCGTCGCAGCGAGCGCCTTCTCCCGCTCCTTCTCCTCCGCCGTCGCAGGCGCGAGCCCCCGCAGCGGCAGCCGCCGCCGCCGCTCCTCCCCGTGCGGCCGCAGCACGTCGTCCGCGCCCCTGCGCGCGCCCTTCCCGTGCGCGCGCCCCTTCCCGTGCCCGTTATGCTGCCCGTGCCCGTGCCCGTGCGCACCGTGGTGCCCCGCCCCGCCCGGGCCTTCGCCGTCCGACCCCTCCCCCTCAGACTCGAACCCGCCCCCGCGCGACGCCGTCACCGTCGCCGCCGCAGTCGCCATCACCGTCGCGCCCGCGCTCCCGTCTGCCACCGCCACCGCCGCCGCAGCCGCAGCGGCGGCGCGCGCTGCGTCCGCGAGCGCGTCGCGCGCCCACGCGTCCTCGTGCTCCTCCGCACCGAGAATGCTCGCCACCAGGCCTTCCTCCCACCCGTCCCACTCGACGCACCGGTGCGCGAGCCGCAGCGGCGCGCCGAGCGCCTCCCACCGCAGCCACTCTGCCGCGAGCGCGCCGAGCGGCGGTGCAGATGCCACCGAGGACGAGGATGGAGGCGCGGGCGCGCCCTCGGCGAGCTTCGCGACGGCCTCGCGGAAGAGGCGCGCGGTGAAGGGGCTCGATTGGAGGAACACGGGGAGGTGCGCGCATGCCCAGAGCGGGCGCGTCGTCGTCGACTCCCAGTCGATCACGCATGTCTGTCGACCGCGGTCGTTTCAGTCGGTCGAGCGAGAAGCAAAGCAGAAGAGGGGACGCACGATTTTAGAGTGGTCGTGTTCGTCCACGAACACGTTCTCCAAGCTCAGATCGTGGCAGTCGAGCCCGAACGCCTCTTCCCCACCACCACCACCACCACCACCTCCGGGGTCGACCCCCGCGCCGACACCGACCGCGAGCCTCTCCATCATCCTCACCCACCGCGCCATCTCCTCCCTGACGATCGCCTCCCGCTGGTGCAGATGCGCGACCAGAAACGTGCTGCGCTGCATGCGCCTATAGTCCCTGTACATCGCGTCCCCTGGGCCGTCCCACTCCTCCTCGCTCTCCTCGAGCTCCCACTCGTCGCTCTCGTCGCTCTCGTCCTCCGGCACCGCCTGCAGGTGGTGGTGCCGCGACGCGCGGATCTCGTCCGGGTCGAGGTGCAGCCGGTGCGGCGCCGCCTTACCCTCGTTCTCGCGGATTACGCCGCGCACCTCGCGGGCGCCGCACGCGTCGAGGTACGCGCGGGCGCTGCGCCACGGCCCGCGGTCGATCTCCGCGGGATGTGCGAGGTCGCCGCGGTTCGAGCCGAAGAACGGCCAGGAGATAATCTGGCCGACGTGGAACTCGGGGGAACTAGGGAACGCGGGGTAAGGGTAGGGCTCGGGGTGTGGGGGCGCGGACCTCGGCGTCTGTGCGGCTAGGGCGGCGGGGCTCAGGGGCGACATCACGCCGAAGCTGAAATAAACAGAGGTCAATGTGGGCGTGGGTATCGAGGACCCAGCCTGCAGTGGTTGAGGACTAGACGCGCCTGGGGACGGGCCAAAGTACAAGGAGCCGACGGCGGAGAATCTGTGGGCGAAGAGGGGTATCACGAGGGCAGCGATGTTGTCGAGCAGCGCGATGAGCGTTGAGTGCGGAAGACTGTGATACACGGTAGATAGCGGAACGCCTTTCGCCTTTTGGTACGGATCATCACAAGCGCGAACGGAAGGGAGGGCGCCGGGGGCTCATGTCAGTATCACGTGATGCGCATAGAAGGGTAAGAGCGATGTCAGGAAAGATGACGCACCCTGGACATCAGGATGTACTCGCCGCCAAGGCGGTTGTACGGATTCGAGTCGTAAAAATAGACGGTGGGGACGGGGATGTTGGTGTGGGTGCGGACGTAGGCCATGGTCGCGACCTCGGACTCGGACTTGAGGCGCGGCATGAAGCGACGCGCGACGCGCGCGATGACTTCTCGTCTGTCGGTTAGTGTGACGAGATAGGCCTGGGAGCATCCCGCGTTTAGATATGCGAGGCGCAATCGATGGGCGAGGGGGCGCAGCGGCACCTACCTTGTGAAATGTGCCTGATAGCGTCGTCGTCGCGTAGATGGCGGGGCGGTGAGTCCACGACGGCATCCGACGCGAGGGGACATACCTGAGCTGAGGAATGTGATCCGTGCGACCTCACACTCCATCTTCTCTCGGACGACGTCCTTGAGGATCTTTCGGTCGACGAGGAACGGCTGGGCGTTATGCTGGGCCGCATCGGCCTTGGCCTCGCGCTTCCGGTCGTCGTGCTCGACGTCCCAGTCCCACTCCAAGACGGGTTCCGCGGGTGCGCAGGCTGGGGTCATATCAAGCGCAGGTGCAGCCTGCGCCGTGGGCGTGTGATAAGATAATGATGAGGGGTCGGGCGCTTTATGTGCGACACGATGAGATGAGAAATGGCCGTCATGAAGCATGTCGGGCGGCCCCTGATGCAGATAGGGCTGCTGGGCGGGAACGGCGAGGGTGTGAGGGACGCGTGTGTGTTGAGCGCAGGCACGAATGGCGAGCGAGAGGGAGGGGGATGTGCTGGTGTGGTCAAGGGTGAGGGGAGGCTTATAAAGTGCTGACGGAGTGTTTATCGCGCACCGAGCACTGGGACTGGATGGAAATATGAAGCCACCCGGATGTTTGGCCGTGTTTGCGGGAAGGGCCTCTGCCATCTGAATCATCGACGTCTCGGGCGGGGTTGGCAACAAACGTGCCGTCCTCCTCTTTATGTACCTCACCGCATCCCACCGCATGCCTTGACCATTGAGACGCTCTATCTCCGTCTCCCTTTCTTTCGTTTTCCTCTCAGCTTTACCACTTGCCATATCGGCTGGCAATCACAGGCCCCAGGCCCTCTATCCCAATCACAGTCACTTCTATCCGCCACGTGTTGCAGGCTCGGGCTCATGGCCGCCCGCTCTGAGTCTAATGGAAAGAGCTGTGCTTACGCCCTCCTCATCCGAAGACGATATCGAGCTATTCTTGTCGCAACGCCAAGCGCGTTACGTACCCAGGCGAGTTTGTTCCAGCAAAGTCTTGACCCTCGACACCGTTCTTTCTACGGACAGCGGTTGATAAGCGAGAAATTGTGCGAAGAGGGTGATGGTATCGACGCCCACACAACGCCGAAGGGTCCACGATGGCTGCGCTGAATCGCCAAGTCTGCCTATGCCTCGCCGGTTACTTGGTCGTGCATTCTTCTCCCATTGGCAAGATCTGAGCGCTCTCTAATTATAGCTTGCACAAGCTACTGTACAATTATGAACCCAAGCCACAATCCCATCACTCTAAACACCGATGCACGCAACCAGCGTCAAAGCTCTGCAGTAGGAAGCGGCACCGGCACAGATCGCACCTGTCTAGGCATGGCTAATACTCTCCACGACCCGGAATCAGACACGGCACAGCGTCCTCCATGCCACTGGCTCACGCTGCGCCTCACCCATATTATTGATTCATTGACACAAAGGGTGCACAGATGCAGAACAAGTTATCGCATCCGGCTCATCATCTTGTCCCTGTCCCCCTTTGATGCTAGCCAAATGCATAAATGCCTGAGTATACTGCATATGCTCGATGCTGACAGGATTTCATTATCACATGCATCGTGGCTGTCGGGGGAGGACTGCACTGATCTCTAGTGCTGACATGCGGCAATAGACCGGTTTTTGAACATTGGGTCTGCTGGGCAAGTCAGTGACCTTTGTCTGTTCATTGCCATATTGTGCCCTTTTGCTCAACTTCGATATGATCTTACTTATCAACATGAATGACTTGGCTTGTTCATTTATGGTAAGTACATATTAATGAAATTCTTCTGACTGTGTGAGCTTCTGTATCTGCCAAGCAAATGCCCTGTCAACTTTGTAGTTTTGCTGTTGGCTCTCTGTTGGAAAAATGAATGGGCATTATAATGCTGAGGGCTGATATTAGAATAGCATTATTCTTGGCATTATTTTGCTGATGCTAGAGATCATCATGTAATTATCATGTAAAACTAGGACCCCCAAAAATATGTTGGAAGGCTAGGTAGAAATTTGTCAAAAGTTAGCAAAGCTTGGATGCAAAATCCCTAAAACCAGCCAAATTTTGCTGGATAAGTTCAGGCATGTGTAAGGTTCACAAAAAATGCTTGGATTGCCAGATCAGGCCTCAAAAAGTCAACTTTTTGCCAGACTCACCAGATCAGGCCTTGCAGGTGCCCAAAATTGCTGGATTGCTAAATTCAGGCCTTTTTCAAGCCTTACAATGGTCAAAATGTGTAGTAGACACTAGTAGATAGCACAATACAACATATAGAACACCATAGATGAGAAACCCCATCCTAAACAATCACAGAGCCATCACTATCATCCCTCACACCACTAGTGTACTATTACTCTTCTTGCCCCTTGCGCTGTGCCAACATAACCCTTATAGTCACTTCACAGCTTCAATAATAGCTGTGGTATGTTTTATTAAATGATGATATGCTAGAGGTGTCTCTAAGTGCCAAGCACAACACTAAAACAACCTCTAGAGCAAAGAAGGGCTGGAGCTAGTATCTAATACACAAGGAATCATTAGTGACAACTTTAGAAATTGAAGGCTTATTAAAAAGCAACAAGAAGGGTAAGATTATAGTGCTGATATGCTAGAGGTGACTCTGAGTGCCAAGCACAATACTAAAACAACCTCTAATATAGGGGTGCTGGAGCTAGTATCTAATACACAAGGAATTGTTAGTGATGACTTCAGAAATCGATGGCACACTAAGAAGCAGTAAGGAGTGTGAGATTATAGTGCCCAAATAGTTTTGGGACTGCACTGAACACTGACCAAATATTCGGTCAGTTGTGTTGGCGATGCGGTTGGTAATGAGAAGGTAGTGTCGCAACCGACAACTACGTGCTTCAAGAGCGACACAGGACTCTGATAATATACAAGGGAGAATGAGGGGTACAAGCAAAGAGTCAAATACGAACACGAATAAGGTCGAACAGTAAGGATAACAAGTTTTCGGGAATTGACAAAGACGATTTCGATGGTTGAGACGAGTGCAAATGAGCTTTGAACTGTGGGGTGTGAAAGCTGGTTTATTCCAGAGTTGTATGTAGGTTTTTATAGTAAACAAAGTCCCTAAGTAAAATATCAAACATGAAATGAGAGTAGATGTTGAATGGGTGCCAAGCCCTAGCAATCAGAGAATATAAGAAGGTAGGTGAGATGTCCATATGGGTTCCAAAGGTAATAAGGTAAAAGTTAATCAGCAATGGCAAAATCCCAAATGTTCGGGATCCGTCGCTTGAGTGTAGGTAGCAGGAACAGGTGTTGGTGAGCCAATGAAAAATAAAAAAGATGTAATGTATGACCAGGGTGGCCAAGTAATGGTGCAAGATTGTGTTTGACCTACTATGTGGAAGTTGGGAAGATAAGCAACAAGGACTGACCAACTTACGGAGCACATCAGCTGACATGGAATACTGGCTCCAATCTTGTAAACACCTATCATAATACTCCTATGCAGTTATGGTAAGTATGTGAAGTATGGGCGAACTGACCCAAGTGCTGCCAAATGTCATTCGGAGGGTTGCAGTCAGTTGGGTGAGGACCAACCATGTTTGGTGCAAGTCAGCATCTTTGGTACTTGTCTGGCGTTATTCAGTATCTCCCTAAAGCTTCCCAAATACCTCCCTTGGACCCTAGCGCGGGTGCATGCTCATTATTAGTATTTCCTCAAAGCTTTCCAAATACCTTCCTCAGACTCTAGCATAGGTGCCTGCTCATCACCACAATACTAAGGTTGTAGTGGGCATTAGAGGGAATTGCTCTAGGCTGCGGGCCACCTGGTGGTGTTTGGAGTACTCCCTAAGGTCAGTGTGCTAGTGCTCATAAAACTGTGAAAAACAGGATCTCTGTGCTTAGAGAGATAGAGTGCTCATCAGTAGTGATTAGGATGAACTGGTTGGAGTACTTATCAATTATCATCTTTCCTTGGGAGAAGGTCATGAGCATGCTTCACACTTTGTCAGTTTTGCTAGTCTCTCTAAACTGTAACCTGAATTTCTTTAGGAAGTCTGCCCAAGTGCCTAGGTCAGTAAGAGAGTCTGCCCCCATTATTTTGAGGAGAAAGTCCTCTGCCTAGGCTCCTGCCATGCCATATCTCATGCATGAAAGCATGAGGGAAATTTTGTCCTGATCAGTCTTGTACCAGTCAGATTCTACTACAAAAAAAGGAGGCATTAGCATCTGGAAAACCACCCCTTTGTATCAAGCTCTAATTATATCTATTTATGCATAATTAAGAACAATTAGGATTAGACATTTTTAGCTTACCCCCCCTCTAAACCTGTTCTAATTAGACATAATTTTCCTAAATTATGAATTATTAGCATTGATTATAACTTGAAATTTCGGAAAAATAATAATAAATCAAGCATCATAGTTCTCATAGCCTTCTTATAGAGTCATGTCTATTAGAGCACTAATTCAATACCTAAACACAGAATATACCTTATAACAAACTTGCCTTCTGCCAGAGTTGAACCAACAACCTTATGTATGCAAGCACCTGGGACAGATGCTCTAAGCCACTAAGCCACAAGGTCTAAGATATGAACCTGGTAATCTAAATAAGTAGACATAATATAGGCTACCTCAACATCTCTGATTTTATTTAACATTTATCTTTCCTCTATCTTATAAATAAATAGGTCAATAAATACCTAAAAAGTCAGGTCTTTTAGGATTTAGTTTAAACACTAGCTAAAAAGATAATAAAATAATGGAAAATTGATAATACACTTTATATAGGATAAAAATAAATTATGGCACTTATACAATTTGGACTGAGAATGTGTAAAACTATGATTGGGTGTAATATTCAATGGGACTCTACTAGTATAGACAATGCTACCTTGATTTGCAAATTTGATTAAAAACATGATTATGAATAATCAAGATCCAATAAGAGAAAGGGGTTTTCTAAATAGCCACTAGTGAGGTAAAGGGTGGGGACAAGGGTATATGTATGGCATGCCTATATATAAATAAGCACAAGATTGTTAGAGGTGATCTTAATATGCTTAATGCATATTTCCTATATGGCAGGCAAATATATCATTCTGGCACCACATACCAATATGACTGTTTTTTCCACAGCCCAATAGCTAGAGGAAAATACTAAGTTTGAGCATCTTCTGTATAATAAGGCAATAAACAATATAAATAGTGCTAAAAATTATAATATCAATAGTGATGATGATTGTGTGCTGCACAAGACAGTATTGACCATTGTACTAATATACAAGGTCTACAAGGCTGCATATAGCATATCCCTAAGTCCAACCCACATGTTGTGTCCTATAATGACCAGTAGCAGGCATTGGCTAACAATGACAACTTCAATGATCTTGTGTGCAAGGCCAAGGTACTGACATCTTCATAGCCTCTTGTGGCAGCTGCCAAGCTGCCAACAAAGTGGCTGGGGGCATCAATGCACATTTCTCTCTTTCTATGTCCTTTTAAAAGGCAGCTAGAAAGTC